ACGTCTTTAAGCCAAGGCCTTTTTTGACCTACTAGGGTGACCTCAGTGCAGTTCCCTTTTCGCAATTCCTGACTGTGAGATAGCAGGTTAGCGCCACAAATTTCACTAAATGGTACACATACAAACATTTCTCGCAAAAATTTCCCTCATGTATGACATGGTAAACAAAATTCTTAGCCCTTTATTTAACAAAGCTGTTTGTAAGCCTTAACGATATTTTTAGAGGACTTTGGAAGCTCACGACCTAAACATAAATTTATCCCTGGTGTTTTCAGAGGATTTTTGAGATTAGAAAAGCTTGGGAAGAAGGGCAGAGTAGTCTGCAATGACAGTTCGCCGAATCCCTCGTAAGAGTGCGATTTGCGTAAGAAATAAGCGTTTTGAATTATTTATGAATCTTAATGTTTTCGGAGTTATCTCTCTCGGTCATTTGAAATCCTTCAAATCACCACGCGGTATGTTTAATCCTCCGCTTTTCATGCCGCGCGGTCCTTTTTTGAACTCCTGTATCTGATCGAGCGTAGCTAGGTCGCCTGATCCTTGCTTAGTGAAATCTCCCTAGTTGACTGCAAGACGGCGCTTCGACTGTTCTCGTCCAGATAAAAAGCTACTCGAATCAACCTTGTCTTAATCGCAACCCATTAAGCATGCAGAAAATTTCAAACCCGCAAACAGAGGTTGCGTTAAAACCTGTCTCGGTTATCTAATACACGGATCCGCAAAAGATATATCGTTTCAAGCTTCATTAAGAAAAGAGTACATGTTTCAATTAAAGTACTTCGGCATTTACAACAGCCCTTTATTTTCAGCAAAATGAACGTGACACTGCACGTGGCCACGCTAATACGAAAAAACTATATCGAGGTTGAGTCAAGTTCATTACGAGACAGCACCAACATGGTTTAATACATCCAATTAAAACAATCTTTTGGTGGTACAAAACTTGCAAATGGTTTTGAAAAAAGCAAACATTTAGTAAACTAAAGCTTTTCGTCTGACACTCTTCAGAGTTTAAAACGTCAGAACATAGATCGAAAACTCTACGCTAGGAAATATATATACCCAGTTGTGGATCGAAATAGGCCAATCAGAAACACGAGCACATGACTGTATATGTTGACCAATCAGTGCCGCTTGCCTATTGAGAATGTTACCAATGGAGTCCTAAGGTGAAAACGAACTCCTTTTGTCTACACAGTAGCGGCTTTTTCGTGCTTATGTAGATAGATTCCAGGTGGAACAACGATCGCGCATCCATCCAATTAAAAGGATGCGAAAGCGCAAACGTGTCATACTAAAATACCTTTTGTCCGATGCTCCTCAGGGTATAAACGTCGAATAATATCCGAAGGTAAACAGAAATTTATATTCAGATGCAGATCGAAAATAACCTGAGAGGAAGAATGACAAGTTTGAATGGTTCATTGTTTTTACCAATCCCGACTTGTGTAGCCAGAAATAGTTCAATTTCTCTACAGGACTCTTCCACCTTGTGCGAGGCTTATAGCTAGAAACTATTTCAAATTTTTTGGAAGAAAATAAAAAATAAAAAAATTATCGATTACAAAATGAAAAGCCTTTCTTTCGCTTCAGAAAACATATATTTTTTAGACTCCAATAAAAATTAAACTTTATCTTCACAGGCTAGTTCCATTTGGTAGTTTATCAAAAACAAAGCAACAAATTCGCCACTTCAAACAAATATAAAATATGAAGATAATCAATAGTCGTAAATCTTCAAATTCAAATTATGAGTCTTCAACCTGCAGCAAAAACACTGCGCGTGAAAATAAAACTTCAAAAGTGGCAAGGCTTTATTATCGTGTTAACAGTCTAGGCGATGATGAGGCGAAAGTCTATTTTATGTTTCGCAGTTCTTTAAGTGTGGCATTTCTCAACCGATGCCTTCTAGTTAGATGGGAACAAATCTTACTTATGTCCTTAGCTGTTTTCCGGTGTGTATCGATACACAGATTCAGGTCAAATTGTTAACTGGTTTTTTGGATCCAGAAATTTTAAATTCAAACAGTGAAACTGTCAAAGGCATTTTGGGTGCTCATTTGCCACAAATCTCTTTAGAAAGCTTTGATAGTTTACAGTTTTAGATTGAAATAAATAAGCTATCGATCTATTTTTAAAACTTGCCAAGTCCCCCAGATTGAAACTTGATTTGGGTTCTGTACAATTCTTTATGGGCAGGCTGGTTTAAAAACTGTGGCTTCTGGCTTGCTTTATGAAAAACCAGTTTTTCAAATTCTTCCCTTTAGCAAGCTGGTAGCTCATCCCACATGAATATCCGTTACTTGCTTACGGATATGGCTTTAGGCGTGGGCAGATCAAACATTTTCACAAGACCGTTTGGAAACAATGAATATTTAATCATCAAATTCATTATTTCAGCTTTTAAGATAATCCTGCTTCCGAGGCATGTTTGTTTTAAAACGCAAAAAGCCATTTTGTAATGGCCAGTAAGCGTGTTCACACACCGTGCATAATTCATAGGTTTTAAATTCGCATTTGACGATGAATTTGTTGCTGATGTGAAAATCCAAATGCCGTTAACAGTTAATTCTGGCGAGCTATTGCATTTTGCGGTTAGATATGCACTGGATTCTGGTGAAACTGTTTCACTGCTTTCCCATATAGTTGCGCAGAATTCATCAGAAGTTTTTCTACTTACATCTGTCCATAGTTGAAAGATTTATGGGAAATTGGATTTCCATGTTATCTAGCACCCCATAGAAGAGTTGTTACAAAATCATTTTTCAAGTAGACAAAACGAGCAGAGTGCTGAGGGCTTTACCCCTCCCTTTAGCCAAAAATGTAAAAAAATTACGAATGAACCATCAGTCAAGTCTCTTTCTTTTCGGATTTGCCCCCCTCTCATTTTGTTTAACGCCCAGCGGTGCCTGTCCAAAGAACATGTGTTACAATTTATTGCCAAACAAATGTAGCTTATGCTAGAACCAGAGTGTAGAAAATGTCAAATATCTCCCAAAACCTCGACTCCTAAGATCAAATTACGAGATTCAAATGATGGCAACTTTCGAAATGTCATTGACAGAAAGACTACAACAGAAGAAGGGAGGACCAAAAGTGGGCTGGATAATGGATAGTAATCTTTGCCTTGTTAACAAAGAAAAGGTCAATGAGTTGTAACAGAACATAAGCGAATTCGACTGAAAGCGCCTTTACTTAATGTGTGTTGCAGTGTCTCCGAGAAGATCTGTCAGATTTCATATTAACTAAGGAAATCCTAGGATTTGCTGAAGAATAGAATGCAGCTGTCGAAATGGTAAACAGATTTGCACAAACCTAATGATTGTGTTTTAGAGAAACAGCAAAAAAATCATTCTGAGAGCATTCTCTTAGATGTGCCATAACCTCAATCGTGTAGTCATTGCAAGAGGGAGCTATATTCACACAGAGAGAAAACCATTCCTGTAAAATTACATGAAGGAGCTTTCCATTTCCTTTCTATCGTACACCTTTTAAAATAACCACAAGATAACGACACATGAAATAAGATAGGCGCAAGGGACAATAGCCGTGTTGAAAACTGAAAATGGAAAATGTTTCCTCTTTCATGAATACTTTTCTATCAGTGTTAAAAAGAGTAAATCTATCCTGCAAAAGCCATTTATTTCGTGATCTCGCTACAACGCTGTCATTCACAAATTAAGTAAGTTTTGTTTCAATAAATATACTATATTCCGTACGGTACAATATAAAGCTATAATAACGATCAATGTAAGTAAATTATACCAGGAAAAATTTTATTTTAAAGAATTTTTTCCTGGTACAATTTACTTACATTGATAGTTATTTTAAGTTTCGTTTCAGTTGACCTGTGAATCAGTCTTGAAAGAAACGTCTCTGCTTCGAGCCTGAAAGTGTAAATGAAAAGGGATGATCTTCCAACTATTTTCGCATAAAAAATATGCAACTTGTCAATTGATGCAAATGGGCAAATACCTACTCTCCCTGCCCACAGCATCTACTTTGATCTGCCTTCTTGCAAATTTATGGCATTTATGGCAATTACACAATATAGCTCTCAAAAAAAGAGTTCCTTCCTAAATTCCTAACATTTCTTCCCGTTTGTAGTAAGCATTTTTCCCTAGAGCAACAACTATTTTCAAAACCGTCAGGCTTCTCTTACAGTAGGTTCTACCTGTTCAACCAAGTGTGCCCTCTAAGAAATCGGTGAAGGCTTTATTAATTAACCTATGTTGATCTTATCTATGATTTATCATAAAAATCGTTGAATACCGAAATTCGACAGTCGATAAAAAACGTGGGTGGGGCAAGCAAAATGCTCATATTTTCCCAGATCCTTCCCTTCTACAAAATTTCTTGAAAATTTCAATACAGTTTCCAACATCTATAAAAATGATTAGAATGTTAAGCCTCTTGAGAGGTATTTGTCTGGAAAACTTGAATTTTCATGATTAGTAAAATCATGTAAATAAAAGGAAAGTTACATTAACAGTGATGAGGAAACGTAGCATGGAATAAAAAGATAACAGGATAAAACAGACTTTATCACTGATATCCTCTTCATAAGCCAATAAAATAAACCGGATCATCTTAATTAATACATTTCTAGGAATTAGAATTAAGAGGCTAAAGAAATGTAACCAATTAAGGAAAATATCCGTACGAAGACTTAAAGATAACGAAGGATGCAACTCCACAAACTTTGAAGATTTCCTTCATGGGCACTTGTTAGCACCTTAAAACTTATTGGTCGAAAGGCATGTGACAATGGAAACTCGATGTTTGATTGGACAGCCAGATCATTCAATTCCCCAAAATAATAAACTTTTATAGCCTGAATGTCGCGAACACATTTACAGCCAATCTGAACTTTTGATATATTTGATAAAGGTAAAAATAATATGAGAAAACTTTGAATCTATTTTGTTCGCGACACATGCGCTCACTAAATGAGACACATCCAAGAACTGTTGCTACGATGGCAAAATAAATTCTTGTCATTCTGCTGATTTGGATGTAAATGAAAGAAAATTATGAATAAGAAAGCAATTTTTTCGCATCAAACAAAACAACAACTTGAAAGTTTTCAAAACGCATTCAAGACAAAAACTCTAAGATGTTAAGTATATAAATACAGTCGTGGATCGGAAAAGGCCAGTCAGAAACGCAAGCACAGGGCTTTAAAGATGCCTGTGTAGACTGTGTTGACTGTGTACAATCAGTGCCTGTGTAGACTTAAGGAGTTCGTTTCCTCCCATGGACTCCATTGCTTCAACTTTTTTATAGGCAAGTGGCACAAATTGGGCAGTCTTTATTGTCATATGCTCGCGTTTCTGATTGGCTAAGAAGGAACTAAAACATTGAACAATTAATATTCTAAAATTCTAGGAACATATAGCGTCAGGAATTCTTGGGTTTTTACAGCATACATTTACATAATTAGAGCGTTATTTTCAAAAGAAGAAACATCACACCTTAAAACATGGCAGATCTGTTAAAGGTCCCAATCTTCCTGGACGGACATACCTTCCATGACGTCAGAAAGTTCGGTATCCTGTACAATTGATATGCCTACAAAGAAGAATTCAGGAGTGGAAGGAAGTCCAAGATTCACTTACCAATATCTAAAGACGATATCAAATCGAGCTTAACTACAGAAGATGGAGGATTTATTACCCATCTAGAACGACTGTATTATCAACATGCAGCAAAGATAGGAGTTCTATACATGCTGTCAGATCATTCAGTAATGAAACTCGATGATAACATCTAACTAATAAGGAATAGAAAAAAATTGCACAATATACTGATTCGAGTATGTTTTTCATACTTTTTCAGCAGTATTATATGCTTTCTAGCATAGCAGCTGGGTGTTGAAGGAAGAAGCATTTTCGAACGGAGCACAGGTAGGTAGAATAGGGCGCTTCCGTGAACTGCAAATAGGCACTTTACAACTGTTTTCGAAACATGAGGTACGTTCCCTTTGTGCCCTTCCGGGTTTCTACATCTACGCCTGGTCTAAGACAATTACTCTCCATTCTTATCTTTCTTAGAAATTCAAAGTAAAATTTCCAGAGCCTCGGTGAAAAAGAGTGGATGACTACTGTTCGACAATTTCTTTCAATGAGGCGCTAGTACCCAAGGTAACTCTGCACAGCTGAAATGACTAGCTCTTTCAAAAACAAAGTTGTATCTAAAACAACTACAAATTGCCTTTTATTTAGGGCTCAAATCTTGATTGGCTGAGAGCTTGCGCTAAATCATGTGACCTCTCTCGCCGCTGAACCAATCACAGCCCCGGAAAGTGTAAACAAACTTAGGCCAAAGCCGAAAATTGGGCATTTTTACCAACGTCCATTAAAAAAATAACGTGTAAAATCTGCTACAATAAATTTCAAATTTTTTTAACTTCATCCCTACACAGATAAATTTCCCACAAATCTACCGTGGAACATGACCTCGATTTTGCGTTGTTAAGAAAATACAGCGTTGTAAACCTAGCCATAGGATACCTTCACATCCAAGGGGTTTAAAATTAACACAATTTCAAGTCAATTATTGCTGTTACCCCATAAAACCAAAATTTTGCATATTTCAGTTGCTTTAAATCTGAATATCACATTAGACTCAGCTTAGTTTTAAAAAACTCTGACGAACAACGCATGCAGTCTTTACTAGAGCTTTGATCAACGCAAAAATGAGAGAATTTCCCTTTTCAAGACAAAAACTCTCAATAGCTTTCAACTGATCATGTAAAAATGCTCCACCTAGCCGGAGAAGCTTTTAAACTGATACATAATGACTTAATTTGCGACTGTACCATGTCCTGAGCATCTCTGCTGAAGCACAGGTATCTAAGTATTGTGGGGCGTGAAACGATTAGTTCTAAACATGTGCTGGGCACCCAAACAGAATCGTAATATATGTACATAAAGGGAAAAAAGCCACTCAAAACCTAATTAGAAATACTTACTGTGTTTCTGTGAGTGTTGGAATCCTGCTTTGCCAATTTTTGAATCATGATTTACATAACGCGTTTGAAGGTAAATTTTTGGGTTATTCTTGTCCTTGTGACATAAGAATTCATATTTCGAACAATTCTTCACGCCCATCTCTTCCAGTCCGTTGCAATTTTAAATTTAGGAGATAGAAATGATGACGACTTTTGAAAGCAGGAACTACCCGCATGTTTCTCAAATTTCAAAAGTTAGCAAATGATGACGTGTTGTAACAAAGTGAATTCTCAAAAAATTAAATTCAACTTTTAAAAGTATTGCAAGGGTTTCGAGATTTCGTGACTTTTCAGTGAAAGGTCTACATATTGATTCTTCGAAAAGTAACTTATGATAGTTTTAGAATAAAGAGAGATGCAAATTGTTTGCCATTTTAATTGTTTTGCTTGAAGCGTTAAACTATAAAACTGTTAGAATAAAAAGTCAATTTTTGAACAGGGCCGATTTCTAAAAAAACGATAACTCTTTATGCTTCATATTATAAAGCAAACTGCCATGACATTAGCATTAAACTCATAATTTACTGTCACGAATAGCTGAGTTACATACAATGAGGTGAAACTATTCATAGTCAGTGGTGATTTCTAGGGGGTGTAGGGGGCGATAAATCAGCCCCTTTGCTAAGTCTTTTTCTTGGTTTTGGAGGCTCTGCCTCTTAAAGGGGAATTTTCAGGTCTTCTCATCTAGATCTTAGATCTTTTCAGGATAAGGGGGATTTTCGAAAGCATGATCAATGAAGTTTTATTTGCAAATACCACGAGAAAGGATGCACAAATTGTTAATTTTCTCATCACTGGTACCTCTTTGATTAGTGTCTCACCTTCGAAGTATACTGTTAAGTATACTGAAGTATAGCTGCATTGTTTTGGGAAGAACAGTCATATCAAACATTGATTTGCTTCAGTATTGGTTAATTCATTTGATGGGTGTGATAAAAGATGATCGTGGTCATAAGAAACCACAACCGGTCTTATAAAATCGCATCTAGAGCCCCCTTCCAAGAACTTTTAGAAATCAGCCCTGTTCAAAAAATGACTCTTTATTCTGACAGTTTTACAGTTAAACGCTTCAAGCAAAACCATTTGTTCGCGACGCAAAATCGAGGTCATGTTCCACGGTAGATTTGTGGGAAATTTATCTGTGTAGGGATGAAGTTAAAAAAATTTGAAATTTATTGTAGCAGATTTTACACGTTATTTTTTTAATGGACGGTGGTAAAAATGCCCAATTTTCGGCTTTGGCCTAAGTTTGTTTACACTTTCCGGGGCTGTGATTGGCTCAGCGGCGAGAGAGGTCACGTGATTTAGCGCAAGCTCTCAGCCAATCAAGATTTGAGCCCTATGCTGCCTTTTATACAATTCACAATTCAGATGGGATAAAGGTTCTATTGATAACGCAATTTTGTTTATAACCAAGATCAGCAATTTTTTGAACTCTGCCATTAGCTGTTAAGTATGATAACTGCTGTAGCCAAATAGGAGCCGTGAAAACAAAAGCTCCGTGCTTTTCACGTGAAACTCTCAGCACTGGGTGCGTTGGGTATGTGTCTTTTAATAAATATGATAAAACTATAAGAGTCAATAACTTCATTGTAATGCTCTACAAATTAAGTTACGCAAGAAGAAGAAGGGAAGTCAAAGAGGTCAGTTCTGCCCCTCTGCACCTACACAAGTTTAAATGCGTATTCTTCATTGCATTATTCAAATAACAACCTTTGTCAAGCTATATTCAGTCTAGACCCAGTTTTTTTATGCTCTTCTTTTTTTCGAGATACTTCTATACGTAGAAATCAGGAAAATTAAATATTCATCTTACTTTTTACCTTTTATGATACTCCTCCAGTTTTAAAAGGGAAAAAGAACAAATAATGAACAAAATAAGAGGAAAAGATTTGGTTCTTCAAGAAGTTCTTGCTTAGGGGTAGTGTTGCAATTTGCTTTATTTGCATCGGCTTAAAACATAGATTTTGCCTGCTTTTTGAAAAGGGTGTTCGTCTCTATATTTCTGGTGTAATTTTGACTATTGTTTCATAGCAGTTTTGGAATTTGCCAATAATTTGCTCTTCCTGTTTTATATTTTAAAGTCTGAGATCTCGTCGTAAACTTTCTTTCAAGACTTAGAAGGCACAATTCCTTACGAATCCTGTGTACCATCATCACAGGGTCATATTCATTTAACCCAACGAAATCAATCGTGTGGGTAGCATGTGATCCTTACTAGGGACAGACGCAATGAAGCACGCTGTCTTGTCTTCAGATTTACAAGGTGCAGAGCTTCGTTTCAAAGATATGGTCGCATAACAAATTTCGATGCAATTCCTGCAACAATCTTGCGTGAAAATAAACCCTTCTGTTTAAAAACTGTGAATGAATCTGATTGAATCTGAGTCTAAGGTGTGAGGATGGCTCGGTTTGAGACCCTGGCACGACCAAACATTCACCCAGAATGAGGACAGACTCACGCTCTCTGCAATGCCAGGCGTAGGAATCACGAGGTGTTATTACATCGAGAGAAAGGACAAAGACACTGCTCGATAAGCATAGCTTTTCAGTGTCCTTGAAACTACCTTCAGATGCTTGTTAGCACATAGAAATAGAAAAATATAGAATCAACCATTTGACTGCGCTTAAACTTTCTGAAATTGTATCAAATTTTGATGTAATTACAGGTGCGAGGATGGCGAAGCGGATCCAAGGGTTTGTGTTTCATGTCACTGCCATGAGTAAGCTTTCATTTAGAGTAATAGAGAACTGTGGGCTCTGTGAAATTCCAAGCGTAGGAATCACGAGGTGTGCTCAAATCGAGAGGAAGGACCATGGCATTGCTCGATAAGCACAGTTTTTCAGTGTCCATAAAAAATACCGTCAGAAGTTAGATAGTAACAAATATTAATAAAGATGAATTTACGAAAAGAGGCAGGGGCGTAGCTAGGGGGTGTAGGGGCTATGAAAACCCCCAATTTTTCATGAGTTTGTCGGTACTTTCTAGTTGGCACATAATTTCCCTGGTTTGTCGGTAAAATCGTCTATCGGTAGGTGAAATAACACCTAAATTTCTCTTTATCTGTCTTTATCGGTAAATTTTAGTGCTCATAACCCTCCACCCCCCTAGTCTGGAAGTTCAAGCTACGCCACTGAAAAGAAGGTTTTTAGAAAAATAACAAAAAATTTATGTACCCTTTATTTTTGAAACATCAGCAATGGGGGATATTGGCCGAATCATATGTGCGATGTGTAGAGATTCCTTGCTTTTCCTTTTTGCCTAAAAAGACAGTTCAATGGCAAAATATTTAGATGCACAAAACGATTCACATAAATCTATACTAAAAAGGATAATTAGATGCCTTTTATTTAGGCTTCTCACAAGTTTAATACACTGCAGCAAGTATAGGAGAGGAATAAATTAAAAACTTCTAAAATCCTTAAATGGATTAGCAAAACGAAACTTAAACTGGGTTTTCTACTTAAATGAAAGTGTACAACTTCACAAAACGATATAAATGTGGAAAGACATTTTTGAAAAATATTCATGTTGAACATAAAAAATATTTCAGACCAAAAGTCTTAGAAGAGGCCAGGCTGAATATTTTCTGTTTAATGTAAACTACAAGCACTCGAGTTGTCTCAAAAACAAAACATGGCTGCAAAAAGCAAAATCTATATGATAGCACTTTATCTTAAAAACGTCGATGTGGTAAGTGTGTGGCAAGGATGCATATTCCCCTTGCATTCCAAGATTATTGCTCGAGGTTTTTTGCCCTCAAACTTCGTTCTCCATTTGTCTATACAGGCTTTTTAGATATGACGCTTCTGAGAGCAACATTTGTACTATGGCTCTTAGTCTTGAATATTCTTTATCTATTTATCTAAACTCGCTTTTCAAAGAGCTTTGGCACTTTTGAGCGACATTTTATACAATGGCTCTTTGTCTTCAACTATTGTATTTTGCATACACTCTTTTCCGTTGTTTTTCCTGGCAACAGAATCTTGCTAAGAACACATAAAAGGTTATCGCAAGAAGATCGATCCACCTTCTCGAGCATTCAAGTAGACCATTCTGCGCTTTATGTTGCAATAAAAGATAGGCTGTAAGCATTAAAATATCATGGCCCAGGAAAGGCTAATGTTGTGTTTTTGAAATACAGGAGAAGATTGTCAGAAGTGTTTCTCGTTACGGACCATAGACCGGACTGTTTAAATTATTCAGAATAAATTAAAATAATTAGAATATTTAAAACATAAGGATGTTACCTGTCTCAGAAATGAGGAAGACAGAAGATTCGCAGCAGTTGGCCTGAAATTGTAAAAAATAATGAAACATTTGGCAAAATAATGTACATATTGCTTATTCCTAGAGATAGTTCATCAATAATTCATCCATAAATATATAAAAATTTAAAAAAGTTCATCAATAAAAGAGTACGCAAAATTATGTTTTGATAAAGCAGAATCTTTTACTAGTTGGAAAAATTGCATGAATAAATTTTTTTCAAATAAATATATTAAAAACAAAATAAGTCTTTAGTTATTCTAAATCTATCTAGAACACTAAATATTGTTTTCCAATTACAGCTCTTGCTCTTGTCTTGGAAGACAAAAACTTTTAAGGATGCCATAAATTAGCTTTAATATATAAAAGCTTCGCAAATCCAAAGTTTGATATTCTTAGAACAACTGATGAAAAGAACAATCTGCTTGATACAGAAAAATACAGGCAAGATAAATCTATTCATGGCTCACACTCTGCTTGCAATTTTTACGAAGATTAACATCAGGAAAACCCGAAACGACAAGATGCAAATAAAGTGATGTTTGTGTGCTGATATTGTCCTGCAGTAAAATGTTTAGCAGGTAATTATCAATTTACGAGATCCCAATAGCAGTATCAAGTCTAAATATTATTTCAATTGTAAAAAGAAGTTCTCGAAGAATTCGTCGCTTGCATACCTTTGAGATGGATTCCTATCCAGACAAAGCTCAACAAACTAAAATAAGGAAAACAAATTATATCTTAGAAAACAAAAAAATGCAAATTTAAGCTTATGTTCTAAATTCTTAGACTCCAAAGAAATTTATTTCATCCTTTATGTAATCAAAATGAAAGATGTCCTGAAACTGAAACAAAAGTATTGGCAAAATCTCAGAGTTTTCGTCACTTTGGTTTGGGGCGTTAAACAATCAATAGTGAAAAATCCTCTAGCATACAAATATTGAAAGATAATTGGTCAATCAGGGATTTGGGTGAAAAATTTGAAGTAGCAGTTTCCAGTTGGTATAAATTGTTTTGTTCGTAACTGACAACTTAATTTTTCTCGCTATTCATGTTCTCATCGAATAATCAAATCAGACCGGATGTTGCTCCAGAGGAAAAAGTGCGACGAAATTGACTTGAAGCATTTAGCAAAATTAACTGTTCCACTAGGAATCCCCAGGTGGAGGGGGGTGTCACCTGAACATGTTATATACGGGGGTCCATACGGAAATTATTGGTAATAATTTTCTTTCTGATCTGATACTTTTGGGTACCTGATTTAACTATATACCTTTTTTATACTTATGGGTTCAACAATCACATAACAATATCAAAAACAGGACAATAAGAACAGATGTGTTTAAACTGATTATTATAAAAAACACTTTAGATTAATATGACTAGTGGTCTCTTGTGTGCTCAAAGACAAGCTTTTGTATTTTTATATTTTCGGGTCTTATCAACACTTCCTAGCTGATAATTTTTGGCCTGTTCAATTTGTTTTTGATACTTTTAGAAGAATTTTGATATCTGCGGAAAGTTTGTGCGACTCCCCTGGGTAAGAATAATCAATCGTAAGGTATTCACCGGAAAATCACTTACACTCGGGATTAGTTTTCGTCATTTTCGATTTGTCATGTTTCGTATTTTGGAACGTTACCAGTGATTTCCTCAACAAATTTTCTTGGATAAACCTTTCACGACAATTCGCACAGCTAAACCCTAACAAAATTTTTAGCTTTGCAGCATTACAAGCGATATTGGTATTTTAACTAAATCTGCAACGCTGAAAATTAATATCAGCGTAAATAGTGTTTACAAAAAGTTTATGAAAAGCTCTTAAAAATGGTTTTACGGCCGGTAATTTTATTCAGAAGATGAAAACAGCCGGTATTTTAGTGACTGATGCCCCCCCCCTCCTCCGGGAAGCAATTAATGAGCATGCGCAGTAGAGAATCCAGGTCACTACGCATAATCGTCGATTGCATAAGCAGGGAAGTGGATGGCAGAGATCGACAAAATGGTGGACCTACTTGTTGTAAAGATGTATCAAAGCGTCGTGACATTCCTTGCGGTGTTGACATTGATCGAAGCCGGAGTGGGCTGGCTGGCTTGCGTTCTTTCTCGGGGAAGTTCAGATCTGAAACAGAATTTGACGGCTCTGTGGATTTGCGTCTGCTGATGCTGCAATCAAGCGAGCTCGGGAGGCTGCCATGTAGCTTTTGGAGGAATATCTAGAAATGGATAGGATACAAAATATGAAAATATATTTATATATCTTTAAAAACATAAACTAAACTGACAAAAAGACATTTCTTTATCCTATGAGCTATTTTTACTCCCAGTGAAAAGAGAAAATTGAAAGCGGATACATCAGAAAGTACTATTGTTTACATTACAACAAAATGGGACAATAATGTACAAAATATTCAAGTTCTTGCTATGAAATAGAAAAGGCTGATAAAAGATTCAGTATGTTATTATAGATTACATCTTGATATTATAGATTCAGTATCTGTTTCAATTTAATACTATTTTGACATATTAAATGCAAATTCATAATTACATCATAATATCAAGATGAAATGCTTGAATTCATGAAAAATAAATTATTTTCGTTGATAAGTTGCAAATGGCTTTAGACCGTGGAGAGAAATCCAGTTTCTTCTTTTCACAAAATTGATTGGCACTTAATATGATAAAAAATAAATCCTTTTCGAAAATACTGGTCGTTAGCAATGAAAATGCATTTCTTTATAATTTCAACAAAATTCCAAGAACCCTGATAAAATATTTTACCTCAGTTGGGGACAGGCCAGAGAACGGTATTTTTCCAGTGGCAAGCTCTAAAGCCAATATGCCGACGCTGTAAATATCTGACCTTTCTGAATATCCAACAAGATTCTGAAATTTGAAAAAATTTTTTGCGGTCCAGAATTTGAAAATGGCTTTGAAAAAGCAAACATTTTACAACATACTAAAAGCAACTATACCGGTCTTGTGCTTGCGTTTTTCTGATTGGCCTATTTCGTTCTATAACTAGGTATTTTTCATCGTGTTCTCTCGGACCCTTATTCTGACGTTCTATGCTCTGAGGAGTGTCAGACGAAAAAGCTTTTAGTATGTTGTAAAATCTTTGCTTTTTTCAAAGCCATTTTCAGATTCTGAAATGTTACAAGGAACATATCAAAGGTCTTAAAGTTGTTTAAATATCGGGACCTAAATCGGTTAAGTATCAAAATAAATTCCCATAGGAGCAAGATTTAGAATAAACTTCTGATTTAAACTGCGGAACAAGTCCCTTGAGATGCTAAAAATGCGTTTAGGCTATCGTTCTTCGCTTGCTTGCAAGTTTGTGATTTTAAAAAGGCCATTTCATTTGCACAAAACAACGGTCATTAAAATAAAAACATCCAAAGCAAACATTTATCGAATTGAATTTTTTGCCCTTTCCCACCAGAGACTGGGTATCCTCCTTTTCTGTATCTTTGATTTTCCCTTATTTTTCCACAGCCATTGCATTTTTCCACTAACAGATTGCAATGTCATACATGATAAAGTTTTTCAAGCAAAAAATACGGTTTGTTAATAGTGCCTATATTTGGTTTGTTCTTAAGATATCATGCTTTTAGAACGACAAATCGCATGTTTAATTCATTTGCTCTGGGGCAAAGCGGATGCATGCTAAAATACTGTTAAACTGCTATCAAATGCATAAATTTTATATCAATCTACCATTTTGACTCAATGGAACCTAAAAAGGGCTTCAGTAGCTCGAGTCTAACTAAAATTTTAACCAACCTGATCAAGAACCTCGGGAGCAGTCCATGGCAAAACAGCCACTGCATGAGCTGGGAAATTATGCACGACTTTCAAACGATGGGAATTGCTCCACATCGGGTAACAATACCGCAAGCCAGACAGGCAGACATTGCCATCAGAACATAGAAGAACATGGCTTGCCTTGATTGCTCTGAGGAAAAACGACAATTGGGCTGTTAAAAATAACAATAATCTATGTTATGAAAAATTGATAAAGGCATGATCGGTCAGCCTAGAGGGAACAAAGCTAAAAAGTATTTTATAAATAATCAGGTTTAAGTTTAATAGCTCATGAATATCTCGATTTTCATCTTGATATATAGTCATTAACCGACGTTTATAATCTCTTGCAAAGTCAAATCAGAAATTTACAGAAACCATCAAGATTATGTAGAAAGAAATGGATAAGCAACCCAAACCAAAACAGCTACTGAATAGTGAATCAGAGATGGGGAAGTGGAAAGTGGGACGCCCAAAGCTAAGATTCACGGACCAGATAAAGAATGATCTGAAGAAATTTAATATCAACACAAACGAGTGGCAAAGATCTTCGTTTGACAGAGCAATGTTGAGGACACTGATAAGAAATGGAGCAACACAGAGCAGTAAGGGGAAAGAGACAAAGACGCGCACTCCACGATCAGAACTGCTGGACTATAGAGGATGTTTTGTTGTTTCTGTTCAGTAGCGAAGCTAAAATCGGGGGAAAGGGTGAAGACCCAAGATTTGCATACAAAAGAGGTGTTGCTAATTTGTAACTGTTGGCAACAACACAACGTAGCCAAACAGGATCTTCAGGCATTTTAAAATACACAGATAATTTCTCAAGGCAGCACACATAATTGGAATGAATTTGTTTATCGCTAATAATATGTCTTTAAAATTGAAAACATTAGAGCAATAGAGGATTAACTTAGACCCCCTACCCGCCACCCCTGCTCCCCTCTTTAGCTACGCCCCTTTTTAGGCTTTTCTTAACTTTCTTCTCTTCTGTGCCATCTAACATTTGTGGACTGCAGGGCTATTCGATTATCGATAAAGAAGAAAACAAGTAGAGGCGAGGGAAGATGACAATTACGGTGGTGTAACAGGTCAATGTACGACAAAAGAATGGGAAAACGTTAAAATTGGTCAACAGAATACCAACTGATAAATAAAAAAAGACAATAAGCAAACTGACTGCCTGCAAACATTAACTTTGGTACACAAATCACTAAGTGAGGTGCAAGAAGGACAGTAGCTGGAACAAAATAAAAACATGGCCTAAATCTAAACAGAACTAGTAAATAAAAGTCTTCTTCTGTACCTGTGGATATAACCAGCCGTGTGGAGGTAGTGTACCCCTTGTAATACGCTTCTGAGAATATAGAGCACCGCAGTCTCTTGAAGTCCGTTTGGAAAGCCAGCTTGGATTATGTCAGAGCATGACCCTGTGTCGGAGAGAAATGGGATGTAAGAGTTTTAAAAAAGGCAAAAAGTGTTCAGTAGAGAAAGGCAATAGAGTTCTCAAGTGATGACGTCAAAAAAATGTTTTTTTCAGAAATTCTGAATTTTGATCCCATTACCTGAAAGAATATCGTGAAATACCTCTAAATGTGCAAAACATGCAAAATCAGTTAAAGGTATTACGAATTGGCTGAGATAAGACTAGATTAGCCCAAGCTCTTGCCCCATTAAATCTTTGTATTTTGGTCTCTGTTCATAACTTTATGAACAGAGCGAAAATAAGTGTGATACGTTTGCAAATTTCAAATTTTTTATTGGCTATCACACCCGGTTTTCTGGCCAATTGACCTGATTTTTCATACTTGGAGGTATTACATAGAGTTCTTTTATGTAATGTGATCAAAATTAAAAGATTCTAAACATGGTTTTTTGTGATGTCACAAGAACTCTATCGGGTACAAAAGCTTGTCAGTGCTGGAAAATAAAAAACCAAGCTTCTGATGATGTTTTTTGCAATCTTCAAATGTTAAATCTGACAATCATAAACCTTATATCTATCAATTATATCTACAAATCTATTAAATTTATATCCTGGGCAGAACCTTTTGAGATTTTTCACACCCTACTTCCCCCTCTTCAGCTCAATGTATCTCTGTTATTAAAGGGCATCTAACTATGCAATTAGAAAACTTCTCACCATAATCAAAGAATGGGAAGACTGTCCATATCTCTCTGCTTTCCACAAATGAACAGTGATATGACAAAATCGAAGGATGCTGCAACTGACTTGAAAGCTGCATTTCATACTAAAGGAAAAAAGTAATGTGAGGTAATGTGAGGTAATGTAAAAAGTAAGGTAATGTGAAATAAGCCTTGGTCAACTTGCAAAACACTTGAGTAGAAACAAATCTTTTTACTAAACTGCACAACATACCACGGCACAAGTACTTTACAAATCTTCGAAGTATTTTACTGCAATCCACCCCCCCCCCCCAATGTGCGTTTGGTATTCCTCGATATATCTAAGGCATTCGATAGGGTATGGTATGATGGCCTGATTTTCAATCTATGTCGATATGGTGTTTTTTTATCAGCTGCTTTCGCTATTTGAAAGCTTTTAGCTGATCGTAAGCAGGGTACCGTCCTAAATGGCAAATCATCACAGTGGGGAAATGTCGCAGCTGTTGTTCCTCAAGGTTCAATCTTTGGACCTCTTTTCAATCACGCGTGCATAAATGATTTGACTGAAAGTGCAATGTTTAACTCTTTCTTGGCGATACACATTTAACTGTTGTTTACGATACCCTTGCATCTTTCCTGGACATGAAACTCGTCAGGCCTTGGGCTGAGAACTGGTGCATGACTTTGATCCTGATTCAACTAAACAAGCAGTGTAAGCAGCCTTTTTAAGGAAATAAATCGCGTAGACCATCTACAATTTCTATTTAACGATAGTTTTGAACACAAAGTTGATGAACACAAACAACTTGGGATTGTTCTAAATTCAAAATTGCCCATTGCTAGTCATATCCAGACGGCAGGGCTCATTAAAAATATTTTGTGCCTGCAAGCAAATAAGGGTGCAACTTAAGGTCAGATTGATAAAATGATAAAATGTGAATCTGCCGTTCTACAGAGTTCCACTCAGTACTGTTACACAAACTTTATCCAAAGCAGATACCATATCAGTATTACCATGAACTAAAACTGCATGCAGTGGCGTAGCTTGGCTTTTCAGATGGGGGGGGTGGTTGGGAGTTGTTTGGGGGGTCATCGAAAGTAAAAATTTCTAACGAATTCATCGTCGTCGTTTACTCAGCCATTTAGTTGGCTGCTTGTGCTTTGTCTGATAACCACGTTCCACAGACTATCTTGAAAACAATCTTTTGGTGGTACAAAACTTGTAAATAGCTTTGAAAAAAGCAAACATTTAGTAAACTAAAGCTTTTCGTCTGACACTCTTCAGAGTTTAAAACGTCAGAACATGGATCGAAAACTCTACGCTAAGAAATATATATACCCAGTTGTGGATCGAAATAGGCCAATCAGAAACACGAGCACATGACTGTAAAGGTTGACCAATCAGTGCCGCTTGCCTATTAGAATGTTACCAGTGGAGTCCTAAGGTGAAAACGAACTCCTTTTGTCTACACAGTAGCGGTTTTTTCGTGCTTATGTAGATAGATTCTAAAACTGCTAGGTGGAACGACGATCGGGCTTTACCAATAATCCGAAACATGTCGCCATTATAGTTTTTTGCACAAACTGGGTTTTCTAGCAAATGCTGCCCGATAGCAGAATCGCAGGTCTTATTAGTAATTTTGGATTTGCAAGACCGAGGTGGCTGTTCTCTTTGGGGATGTGTTTTGTTTCTAATATTAGATGGAACGTGTTGTTTTATCCTATCCTCCAATCTTTGGGTGGTGCGTCCTACGTAGCCAGAATCACACTGGCACGTGAATTCATACACAACAGAACTTTTTTTGTGGCAGGAACGCAGTCCTTTTGAATGGACGGAAGGGCCTTTTTTGTACTGTAAACAACACGTGGGTTAACCGCGAAGAAACAATTTGTTATGGCCTGTTTTATTTGGCTTTCAAAACGTAGGGAGCTGTTACCGATCCAGGGTAGTTTTAGATAGACCGGGCACTTTTGAGGACCAAATTTTACGTCAGCCGAGAAATTTCCTATCTTCTCCTTAATGTAAACTGAAATAACATGTTCTGGATAGCCGTTCTCCAGAAAAATCTGAGTTAGTTTTTCAAGTTCCGAGTCGAGTTTAGACTTGGAACAAATCATCAGTGCCCTATGTGTGAGCGTTTTGATGAGGCTGATTTTTCTTTGTTTTGGGCAAAACGAACTCCATCGAGTGTATAACCCCGAAAATGTGGGTTTACGGTATACACTGGTGAGAAATCCAGTGTCAGATTTTTCAACCAAAACATCAAGAAATGGCAAGGAGTTATTTTCTTCCTTTTCAAATGTAATGTATGGCCTCCCTAAAATACACAAGCCGAATGTCCCACTTAGACCCATTTTGTCTATGATTGGTTCAGCACAACACGAACTGGCTAAGTGGCTTTCTGAAGTTTTGGACCCTGTTCTTCAAAAATATTCAAAACATTGTATCAAGGACTCTTTTACGTTCGCTGAGTTCATGCAAAACTTGAACATCGAAAACGAAACATCTTTCATGTGTTCTTTTGACATTAGCAGTCTTTTCACTAATGTCCCTTTGAATGAGACCATCAAAATATGTGCCGACGCTTTGTACCGGAGCGAGCTTAATAGCCCACCATTCCCAGAGGAAGTATTCATTGAACTGATGGAAACTGCAACACGTTCAGTTGAATTCAGCTTTAACAATGAAATGTACCAACAGAAGGATGGTGTCGCTATGGGTAGCCCTCTGGGACCTGCATTGGCCAATATCTTTGTTGGCTTTCATGAAGAGCGTTTGTTTGACTGCGACCAAAAGCCAGGTGTCTATTTTCGGTATGTGGATGACACATATACTATTTTCAAAACAGAGGCTGAGTGTGATATTTTCCTAAAACGCCTTAATGGTCTTCACACAGCCCTACATTTTACATTTGAAAAGGAAGAAAATAACTCCTTGCCATTTCTGGATGTTTTGGTTGAAAAATCTGACACTGGATTTCTCACCAGTGTATACCGTAAACCCACATTTTCGGGGTTATCCACTCGATGGAGTTCGTTTTGCCCAAAACAAAGAAAAATCAGCCTCATCAAAACGCTCACACATAGGGCACTGATGATTTGTTCCAAGTCTAAACTCGACTCGGAACTTGAAAAACTAACTAAGATTTTTCTGGAGAACGGCTATCCAGAACATGTTATTTCAGTTTACATTAAGGAGAAGATAGGAAATTTCTCGGCTGACGTAAAATTTGGTCCTCAAAAGTGCCCGGTCTATCTAAAACTACCCTGGATCGGTAACAGCTCCCTACGTTTTGAAAGCCAAATAAAACAGGCCATAACAAATTGTTTCTTCGCGGTTAACCCACGTGTTGTTTACAGTACAAAAAAGGCCCTTCCGTCCATTCAAAAGGACTGCGTTCCTGCCACAAAAAAAAGTTCTGTTGTGTATGAATTCACGTGCCAGTGTGATTCTGGCTACGTAGGACGCACCACCCAAAGATTGGAGGATAGGATAAAACAACACGTTCCATCTAATATTAGAAACAAAACACATCCCCAAAGAGAACAGCCACCTTGGTCTTGCAAATCCAAAATTACTAATAAGACCTGCGATTCTGCTATCGGGCAGCATTTGCTAGAAAACCCAGTTTGTGCAAAAAACTATAATGGCGACATGTTTCGGATTATTGGTAAAGCCCGATCGTTGTTCCACCTAGCAGTTTTAGAATCTATCTACATAAGCACGAAAAAACCGCTACTGTGTAGACAAAAGGAGTTCGTTTTCACCTTAGGACTCCACTGGTAACATTCTAATAGGCAAGCGGCACTGATTGGTCAACCTTTACAGTCATGTGCTCGTGTTTCTGATTGGCCTATTTCGATCCACAACTGGGTATATATATTTCTTAGCGTAGAGTTTTCGATCCATGTTCTGACGTTTTAAACTCTGAAGAGTGTCAGACGAAAAGCTTTAGTTTACTAAATGTTTGCTTTTTTCAAGACTATCTTGAGCTTTGGTCTTCCTCTGCTGCGCTTGCCCTCCACGTATCAGAGCATTACTATTTTCTCGAATGATGTTGAGTTTCGATGTACTAGATGTCCAAAATATCACATTTGGTCCTTCTGTATTTGTCCTAGCAGGCTACGTGGGTGTTTCATTTCTGCACGTATACTGGCGTTTGTTCTTCCTTTTTCCCAAGATATACCGAACATCAGGCCCGTAGACAGCTAAATTGGATTGGGGGGAGGGGGCATGGATAGAAATATAGTTTTTCTATACCTGCCTTGCGAAATACTGCCAGACCAAGCTGCGCTTATAAGATCTTCAAACACAATCTTCGAACATTATTGGGGGGCATTGCCCCCCTGCGTCTACGAGCCTGCCGAGCATACGGCGCCATACCCACATTTCAAAAGTGGCTATTCTATTTTATCACGCTGCTGAAGTGTCCAAGACTCGCAGCCGTATGTCACAACTGAGGAAACAAGTGCCTTTATCAATCTGAACTTTGTATCTTGCCAGATGCCAGCTGTTGATCGACCAATGCCCAGATTAAGTTAATTTTATTCGATGATATAAAAAAATTATTGAAAGTGAACTCACATTACTGTCTTTTTCACACCACATTCAATACGGTGAATATCTACATTGATTTTATGACCTTTATTAATTTCTCATTATAACTGTATTACCCCATTATTGATTTGCAATTGCTTTTCTGTTTGTTTATCATTATTTCAATAACAAGATTCAAATAATTTGGTCAAAGGCATATCAAGCATTTCTTTAATTCTAGCAAAAATTTTCAGTAAAGTTTTCAAAAGGGTGGTAGTTTTGTAGGCTAGGTAAATCTCCTAGAATATGACATGTAGACATGCACATACTAATGCAGGGCTAGTCTCACAAGGCCATTTTTGAAAGTCATGTATAAATGAAACGATGGACTATAACGATGAAGGCAGGCCTGGCCGTAACACTTTTAACAGGGGAACAGTAAACAGCTCTCCTAGTAGTATTCAGGTGAGCTATAAGAATTGAAACAAAGGAAAAATTGATTTCAAGGAGATTTGCACAATCTGGGTTGTCTAAAATGTGTTGACCGATGGCAGAACCACTTGTTTTAACAGTGTTTCTAGACCTACAAGATCGAGGAGGCTGTTCTCTTTGAGGGGCAGTTTTGTTTCTTATGTTGGAAGGAACATGCTGTTTTATCCTATCCCTCAATCTTTGGGTTGTGCGTCCTACGTAGCCATAATCACACTGGCACGTAAATTCATAAATGACAGAACTTTTTTGGTTGGTAGGAACGCAATCCTTTTGAATGGATGGAAGGGCTCTCCTAGTGCTGTAAACAATCTGAGGATTGACAGCAAAGAAACAATTGGTTATGGCTTGCCTAATCTGACTCTCGAATCGCAAGGAAGTGTTACCAATCCATGGTAGTTTCAAATAAACTGGGCACTTTTGCGGACCAAACTTTTGAGCAGCCGAAAAACTTGCGATCCTCTCCTTAGTATAAGATAAAATGACGTCTTCTGGAAAGCCGTTGTCCAGGAAGATCGTTTTGAGTTTTTCCAGTTCGGCGTGCAGTTTAGATTTTGAGCAGGTCATAAGTGCCCTATGTACTAATGTTTTGACAAGGTTGACTTTGCGTTGTTTTGGGCAAAATGAATTCCAGCGTATGTACTGACCGGTAAAAGTAGGCTTGCGATATACACTGGTAAGAAATCCAGTGTTAGACTTTTCGACCAAAACATCTAAAAATGGCAAGGAATCATTTTCTTCCTTTTAAAACGTAAACTGGAGGGCTGGGTGTAGGCTATTAAGGTGTTTTAGAAAAATATCACACTCGGCCTCTGTTTTGAAAATGGTATATGTGTCATCCACATACCGAAAATAGACACCTGGCTTTTGGTCGTAGTCGAACAAACGCTCTTCATGAAAGCCAACAAAGATATTGGCCAAGGCGGATCCCAGAGGGCTACCCATAGCGACACCATCCTTTCGTTGGTACATTTCATTGTTAAAGCTGAATTCAACTGAACGTGTTGCAGTTTCCATCAGTTCAATGAATACTTCCTCTGGGAATGGTGGGCTATTAAGCTCGCTCCGGTACAACGCATCGGCGCATATTTTGATGGTCTCACTCAAAGGAACATTTGTGAAAAGTCTACTAATGTCGAAAGAACACATGAAAGATGTTTCGTTTTCGATGTTCAAGTTTTGCATGAACTCAGCGAACGTAAAAGAATCCTTGATGCAATGTTTTGAATATTTTTGAAGAACAGGGTCCAAAACTTCAGAAAGCCACTTAGCCAGTTCGTGTTGTGCTGAACCAATCATAGACAAGATAGATCTAAGTGGGACGTTCGGCTTGTGCATTTTAGGGAGGCCATTTCAAGGAGAGCAAATTTGCTTTTTAGAACAATTTAGGAGAGCAAACTCTAGCTCCCCTCCAGCGTTTTAGGAGAGCCTGGAGGGGAGCAAGAGCTATGGCTCTCCTCAAATGGCCAGGCCTGTGGAGGGTTTAGCAAGTGGATGATATTTCTCATAAAATAATGATTGCAGGCAAGTCAAATTCAGTTAAATCTCTGTCATTGGTAGGAGACTCCTCTTTGTTTTGGTTTTGGATATAACATTAAACATTATGCCAATGCATTTTTTAAAAAAATAAAAAAACAGATTTTCTTGATGGATACCAGGGCAAGGTTGTAAAGAATCTTGAGCTGGCATTTATTTAACAAGAGAAAAAAATGGATTTCTGAGCATAACATCAAAAAATAAATAATCTAAAACAAGTTACCTGAAAATTCTCTAAGTCATCATATTCTAATTTATCCAGCTTTGTTTTTCGCAAAAGCACAATGGCTCCTGATGGCTTGTGATCTGCAATCCATAACTTTGACAAGCCATATGTCCCCTCACCTTAAAATAAACAGTTTAAGTTCTGAGTCTACTGAAGTAAGGCTTTCTACATAAAGTGCAATGTTATCAGATTTTATGCAGTGATTCAAAAGAACTTGTTTTTGCGGGCTATGGTTCTGAGAAAAGTAGCATTCAATCATATGGACAAATACCAGTCGGTAAAGGGCAGAATTCTTTTCAACATTGAAGAATGTTTACATCAATCTTTAAAATTCTGCACTCTTAGTATCTGCATCTTATCAATATGTTTAATGATTTCATCTGACTCTTTGGTTTTTTTCTTCAGCTTGAAAAGTCTATTTCCAAGATCTAAATCATCACAGAGGAAACTTTAGCGGATGGCACTTTTCTCTAATCTTTCATCACTTTGCTGATAGTTTCCAGCAATTTTTCATAAAGCTAATATTTGTTCAGGCAATGAACTTTAGAGAACTCTAGGTATTTGTACCATGCTTAATAGCAAGCAAAGACAATAGGTAGATTAATATTGTCCTTTTTTCTTTTTATGTATATAAATAGTTGGTATAAATTAGTTCTACATATTTTTACATAAATTAGTTGGTATAATATTATTATCTGAAAACATACTTACCGAGAAATTGTCTACAATCAAAATGCTCTTTGTTGGGTTCAAACCTAGGTGTAACTTCACCAGGCATCAAATCCAGCATGGTACTGCTATGTGTCTTTCCCTTTTCTGCTTGCATTTTTACCAACTGATTTGTGTTGAACCCTCTAAAAAAATCAAAATATAACATAAAATATTCAAGTCAAACGAAAGCATGAAACGCCAGGTTGAAATTTAGTATATATAATTGTAATTCTGTAGAGAAGAGGGCTACTGCCAGCAGGTCTTTTAGATTTTAGCAGCTATTTGATGTTGAAAGAGAGAGTTTGAGAAATTTGGAAAATTTGTGGGAAATTGTGGGGAAAGGGGACTAAAGGAATTGAATTTAACATTGCCCTACACCTCTATCTTTGTTACCAGGTGCAAAGGAATAACTTGTGGTCTATTTTCTCTGGGTTAACACATTAACATCAAAATCAGCATATAAACCACAAAGTCTCCCCCTGTTTTTCCCCCCAATATCAGGGGTGCAGTCTATTTGTAGGGTACATCTTTCCCAAAGAGCAACTGCTATAACAAATGAATTCCATTTTATTTCAGGTAAATTGTAATGATTCAAATAAACAACAAGCATCATTGAGGCACCCCTTGCAAAAAACCCCCTTCTCCAAAAACCTCCCAAGAAAAATCCAAAGGTTTCATAAGCACTCTTTCTAATGTTAAAATAGTGTCGCATTTTATTTATCATTAAACAAAGTTAAATTTTATATTGTAGTTTTTTTAAATTGATTACCTTTCCTTATTTTGCATAATTAGAAGCTGTTAGAAATATTGTTTTAAATATACGTGACACAAACCCAGTTCTTAAAACTGCCTGGGTGACCACCCAAATACTTTAGAGGACAATGGTCTTTTGTTCTAAAACAATGGGAAATGTGACATCATTTTATTAAAACAATAGGCTTGCCCCCCAATATTTGACCAAGTGTCTGCCTCTTCTGGGTGATCAACAATGTTGTTAATTTGTTTTAAAAATGAAACTACCCCATGAAATGTATAATTATTGTCTCCCAAAATAAATGTAATTTTAACAATAACATACTAAGCTCCAGCTTTATTTAAGCAATCGTCTGAAATAAACTTCAAATAAAAAGGTCAAACACATAAATAACTGCCTTGAATCATAACTGCACTCTGTTAGGTAAAATAGAGCAAAACAATCGAGAACATCAGCGTTATCCATGCGTGTAAGTTTTGTTTGATCATTGACTTAATATTTATTTTGACTCTGTGATACTATCAATATGCTTTCTAATATACATTTGGTTTGAGGAATTTGGAAAATAAATTTTAACTGGGAAGATTTTCTTTGTTGAAAGGCCAGCTTGTTTATTCTTCATTAATTCAACAGAGTTCCATATTTTGGTTGTGATAAATTTTATAATGAGAAACAAAATTTTTTCCCTGGTTTTGCAAGGTTTGAAATTAAATGGTCTGGCCTGTGTAAGGAAGGCAACAAGAGTGTTCATGTTACTTTCATGAGGCTCATTTTTTTTCATAAAGGTCACATATTTAGGCAGAAAATTTGTTTACAAAAAACAGTGTTGCCAAAATTAAGGAGGCAAATATGTTTCTATGTATCCCATCTAGCTTCAGAGAAAGCCATTCAGAGTCTTGTGTATTTCATTACAAAAAAGCTTTGGCACAACCAGACTAGAGTTTTAGTGTTTTTTGTCAAAAGCATTCTTATTTAGGTTATAGGACAACAAAAAATTTTAAAATTCTTGACCTGTTCTACTGTTGTTGATATGTTTGCTTAATGTTTCGTGGTGGTGTTTGCAGGGTATGGTAAAATATGGCAAATCATATCTCTTGTTAATGCTGGCAAATCATGCAATTACTACTTTTAATCATGGTCATGGGCAGTATTCTATATTCAGAGCAATTTCCATATAATTTCAGTTTTTAACTTGTCTCAACCACAGGTAGAAAGAATGACTTAAACAGTTTAGGATAATAATTTTTAAAAAGTGTTACATAGAAAATAGTTATTGAGCTTGGAGATTGTATAAAAATATTTCAATTATTTAGGGTAAAAAATATGGTATTGTCGAACATAGCTCAGTCAAATCTTTATCAGAATGTTTATCAAATATGACTCAGTCAAATCTTCATTTCAGTGGAATGTCAATAACCACAATATTTTTATGTATAAATATATGCTTTTTAGCATGGTACTCATACTGAAATAATAGAAATTTTGCAAGCATCCTCTTTTAACCAGTGCTGGTGTCATGGTGATGATATTGATATCAAAATTTTAGTTCTCAAAATTACACTTGCCAGCTTTTCAACCGATTCTTTTCGTTTACATAATACCAACTCTCTTTGATTTTACTAATGCTGCAGTTCAGATAAAGCACTGTGCAGCCTTGGATTCTTTTTAATGGTTTTAAGAGTGGCCTAAACCAAAGAGTGTATGTTTATTAACGTGGTCGTCTGGTCGAGTCGAGTATAACTTACCAGTGATACTTCCTTTACTCTGCACTTTGACACCTGTTCACAGTCATCATGGACGAATAAAAGTTATGCTTAGTTTAACCTTGAATAACTGTTAAGTAAGAAGACATAACACAGAATCTGTTGTCAAAAATTCACCAATTTATTCGCAGTTTCTTCCTCACCCCATCCTCTCAATATTTACAAGTTAACTTAAGGTGGCGTTACTATACAACCTAAGGTGGTACTGATATGCTCCTCCTCAGCATGATCCCAACAATGAGGTGTTCACCCCCTCGGGTGTTCACCACGCTAGGTGTTCACCTCATTGGTGCCCCTCAAATTTGTCCAACTTCCCTTTCACTAATTGTAATTGAAACTCTTGAATAAATGTGTTAAATGTGGGAACCCCGTTTTCCTTCAAGAATGAAATCGTAATGGATGTGTTGTTAATCTTTTTATAAGTGATGTACTTGTGCGCTTCAAAGGACTTGGTTATTTACCAATTTTCGGGGATTTGCCACAATGAAGATTGCATTCGGCTTTTATAAGTTGCAGCAGAAAAATTTCCATGTTTAGCAATATATGGCGGTTACTGAGGTAATAAAAATCGAAGAAACGTGTTAGTCAAAAACCATAATCTAGCTGCCTTGCATAAAAACTATAAATTAGGAAAGAATCCGGGTTACAGATTCAATTCTGCTACTAGCCATGTAGATTTTTTCCCAACAGCTCAGTGTCGACGTTATATATGGCTTAAAATAAGAGACGACTTAGATAACCAGGTGCATCTGATCTCATAGCAATATGGCTTTTGTTTCAGATGTGACGACTGAGAGAGATCAGGAGGGATGGAAAAACCCGGAGTAGAGCTTAATATTAACTGCTTTTTTTGGGAAAATTATCAATCTTGATAGAAAAATAACAGAGCAGTATATTTATTGTATCTAAGCGTTTCATTTTGAAAGAAATAACATAAAGCTCAACATGACGATTTCTTCTGGCTTTTGTAGTTTAGCAAGGGAAATGATTTCTTTCAATATAGTTTGTTATAACACCCTTTTGTTTAGTTTCAGCAGTTACTCTATCTAATTTGCCATGTTTTCTATTATTCTAGTTTGGTCTGATGTTAGTCTTTTTATTGTTTGATGAGTTTGATATGATAAAACACGTGGATAATAATTTCTTAGTTTTTTTCAATTAGGGTGTTAAGGGCTTTATGTTGGATAAAAATCGAAGGTAATAAAACTATTTTAGCAACAACCGTTAGCAGAGTAAAGAATAAGCTAAGAAAATTTTTTTATGTAGGTAGCTAAATTCCAGTCCCCAAGCCTCCATGGATTTTGTTAGGGTTGAAAGTGTTGATTGAGATTTTGGGGTAATAGAAGTGGGGGTTTTGCAAGTTTCGTGCTTCGATCCCTTTCTCTTGATCGTCTGTATCCATTATCTTTCTCAGGATGTAACGTATTTCTTATAAACTGTGATCAAAGGAAAACGATTCATTCATGCAAAGGTTTTCCTTAATCACCATGTCTAAATTATGAAGCACGTTGCCCCAAAGATAGACAAACATGTAAAGAGCAAGCCACGGTGAACTTTTCGGCAAATCGCGGAGAAGGGATACCAAAGTAGACATTCCTCAGTACATGCGAAAAAGAAGCCACCAAAGCAAAGCCAAAGCGAGGCAACAGATAGTAGCTCTCGTTCTTTCCGCAAAAACAAGTTATTAATAACCGAAAAACGAATCTCGTTCTTCTCTAAGGACTTGCATATTCCAAATTCATGGTGCGATCCCCACTGGCGATACGATTAAATAAGAAGGAAAACAGCAAATAGTGACAGTTCAAGTAATTTGTTTTTTTTTTCAGAGAAAATTTAAGTATTGAAAGATGAAATAATTATTACTAACTAACGACAAATAACATTAGTGATAAATAATATCTTTGTATTGGTCTAAGCAACAGGAGAACACTTTTTATGGCTCAATAAATATTTTCAATAGCGATGGAAACATCTTTACACAGCTTGATTTAGAATTCAAAAATAGCATTAGACTAACTCCTTATTTTTGCATGAGGTGTCATCGAAACTTTGTATTGTTTGCATTTAAGGTACCAATGCCAGGCTACACACGTTTTCGTTTTTTTAAGTTTGATCTCAAAGCATGGAATCTTGAGCATGTCGAAATAAATACTTTTTATGTCCTTTGATGACACCGAGTTATCTCTATGTAAACAGTCACGAAATTTGTCGTCACATGCGCAGGAGCTGATGGTAAATAGTCGCCAATTGAACAAATCATATCGTTTGTTCCAGCGTGGAATGTAATGGGGGCAGGAGTCGTGTTCTTTGCAACATTCGTCTGTCCGTGATATGTTTTTCGCAGAATGGCTTGTTTCTTCTCTTTCTCCAATACCGCACCATTGTGTGCCTAAAAGAAAAGGTTGTGCCAATTGCAGCTCTGCTCTTACTGCTAGCATGATAATGCCTAAATTTTATTGATTATATCGTTAGAGTTAAATATATCAAATATTTGTTTACATATTATAAATGAACTTAGATCAATTTACTCTGTATATTTTTTACTCGATGTAAAATAAATTGACATTAAAAACAGACAAAAAACAAATAAACAAACAAGCAAAGTCGTATTGTCAAATCTTTGGTCTAGGTCTTCAGACTTACCCTTCCAAATAAAAGGATTGTGATGTTCTTTGCCCTCGTTTATTCCAATGTTGATTATTAGGACAGTTAACTTCACAGCAAGTGCTTTGTGCATGCTTCTAAAGAAAAAAATTGCATTATAGAGATGTGGACAAAAAATTATCATATATTATGATTATGATGATGGATAATGATTGATTCTCGTCTTTCAACGTTAACTATTATTTTTAGCTTTAAAATTTAAAAACAGACCAAATATGATTTTGAATGTCATCAGCTGGTTTTATTGTAAAATATTTGGTAAATCATTTCAGATAAATAAATTAATACATTGAGCATAAAATACCTACGAGTTAATTGAAATCACTTACCTTTTATAGAAAAGTGTAACCTATTTCTTTACAATATCCAAGTAAAATATTATTTTAAGAACTAACCAACCCCACAAAAATAAAACCGTTCTTTTCTGTTTACGTTCTTCTGCTCGTCTCACTGGATATTCCACATCATCTTGGGCAAAAGAATCCAGAAGTATGCCATGAATTTTCAGTACAAAGGTCACAAACAACCTTAACAGATTGGCTGTAGAGAAGCTCACGATATGGAATGATCGCGATGCAGCCAATCAGAATAGAGCATCACCTGGGACCACATATTCTAACCAATCAGATGTCCTCTTGCAACTAGCGATGCATCATTCTTTACGTAGATGAATCGATTCTTGGTGTCATGCAACTTAGCTTAATTTTTGTTGTGCTTTTGAATGGGCTGAAATAATGAAAAGCATTTTCTCTCTCCGCACTAGTAAGCGTGTCTTTTTGTGCTTTGACCACTTTGTCTGCGTCTTTGCTTCACAAAACAAACGCGTGGATACGTATGGCCATTATCTTTGAACATTTTAGAACTTTCAAATGTTGAAAAAGGTTATTATCAAGGTGTAGTTTATAAAGAATATACAGAAGATTATAGTATATTTTTTGAGCAAAACTTGTATAATTATTTTCTCTGTTTTGCAGGCAGAAGCTTCGGATGATCAGTTATTTTTTTAAGTTGGAATTAAGTCATATATTTGTAATTTTAATAGAGCTTTTTAAGTTTAGAATTATTTTTTAAAACAGGAAAGTGGACATCAGAATCTAAACAGCCTTTTTACGAGTACACATTCAAAATTCATTTCACTGCAAGGAAAGATGTAAATAATTCTCATGTAGAATAGCAAAGACTTTCCATTTCATATAATCAGTTGAAAAACTTTTCTCTACATCTTTATTTTATCATATACAATTTCTTAATCATCCATTCTTTCAAACAGTCTTGTCTAATATTACCAAAAGCAGATTTCACCAAAAGCAGAACAGATTTTACCAAATGTTACCAAAAGCAGAGCAGAATTTATCAGCTTACCACCTTCTAAAACATTTCATGCAGAACTGTTCTTTGTGGTCTTAGAAACAATTGATGGTATGTGAATATAGAAGAATCAACGTTGACAACAACATTAAGAACACCCAAGCCTAAAATCATCTAAGAATTTAGAGCATCGTTTGAGCCAAGGGATGCCATTTTAAAAAGTGAATAAGGGGACCGTGCTGTAGGAAACTTTTAGAGGTCACACCCTAGACCACACCCATGGTCACACACTATATACTTGCTTTCGTGTTAAGTATTTTCTGTTGGGAACCAAAATCATTAAAATAAACTATTAAACGATTCTAAAAGGCTAATAGAAATTGTTCTTTCCAGGAATTGAGAGCCCAACCAAACATATTACTGGCTGGTTAAGGCTTTCTTATTCTATCTTAAATATAATTTTATCAATAAGGCTCAATCTAAACCAAAATCTATCTTTATTTCAACAAGGGGGTGGAGCCTTCAGAGCCCCTCAATAGAACCGGACAGTTGTGTGTTTTTTTGATACTTTATTTAAAGTTGGATAAAAATTCTAGCTTGATGTAATTTTTTATAATTTAGCTAGAATTTTTATCCAACTTTAAACAAAGTATCAAAAAACACACCACTGTCTGAGCCTCGTTAAAAATCACATTGCTTTTTGGGTAAAGGTTTTTCCTTCTAAAAACCAAATTCATTAGAGTTGCATTCTCCAGATTTTAGGAAAGTGTGCATTATCCCTCCGGACAACACAATTAGCAGTGAAATCCTTCCTCGTGTAAACTAAACGGGACTTGGGCGTGTCGCTTTGGTTTTTTTTGCTTTCTTTAATCTCTGTCGCTGACATTGACTGTTCGACCGCCATGTTTTCTGGCCTCTTTTGCTCTCCGGATGAATTAAAAAAGTCGCAATCCAGCCTCAGCTGTCTCTTAAAGCGAGGACAGTTGCATAAAACAACATTAAGTTAAAGACCTTTTTAATAAGTTGAAATTCTGTTTTATATAATTGTATGAAGCTAGAATTCAAAAAATGACAATGTAATAATTCTTTATGGGTGTGTTTGGCTATTTCATCTTTGTTTTGTAGATTCTTGAAAAGAAAAAGTGAAAAGAAAAGTTGAAATGGGAACAATATTTTCTTTTGTCGAAGGTTTTCAACTCAATTTTTCATAACACTTTAGCAAAGTTCCGTGTTCTGGGTTATCAATCTATCTTTCTTAATATTTTTTTGCAGTACGAGCTTCCCATTAACTCGTAAATTTGCATCGTCTCTTCAAGTGTGTTCGTCACATTCTAAATGAACGAAACCATTGCAAAGGCTCGAAGTTATCGGTGCACCGGACAGCCGATGAAGTCTCGCTTTACTAATGAATTCAAATATTTAATCAATTGTGTGAAACTTCAAATTATAACAGAGCAGCAAAACAGCAGAGGAACTTGAAAATCGAGATTCTTGTTGCCACTGACAAAATGTGAATCCAGTCTAAAACGGAATTATAATAAAGCATTTAAGCAGAATAAAGCAAAATATCCCTTACTCCCTTTTTGTTGCTGGGGGTTGCAAATTCTCTCCTTTTGTTAATCAGTGTATTTTTAATAGAATTACCAACTACGAATAATAAATGTTTCGTTCACCAAACATAATTGGAATGTTTTGGACGCTTTCAATGTCATTGTTATTTCACATTTTGTTAAAGTTTTAAAAATTTTGGCTTTTGGCCTACCATCTGCTGGATGACTCAAAATTTATCAGCAAAGCTTTGAAATTCAGAGCTATAATGTCAAAATAAGGGCATTTTCTTCAAAACATTTTTCTTCTTTTTAACTGCGATGAAGATTTTTCCGTAAGATGCTTGCAGAAAGTTCCCTAAACAGGGCCGGCGAAACGTAGTTGAAAGTGGAGGGGCCACAATATCAAAGTCTTGAAAGGGCTTAGGAAACGCTGCTACCGGTTGGCGGCAAGAAAAATATTACAACTATGGTGTATTGGGGATGGCCAGAAACTGTATCTTAAATAAATTTTGACTGAAGGTGTCGCATAATCGCGTCTATTGTGATGTTGACTTGAAATAGCCACTATCATTTAGCTCGTAATGAAACCTTTTTTAGATTTTAAAAGTACCCGAAATAAGATGGGGGAGAAAAATAAATGAGACACGGATTAATAAAAAACATTAACGTTGAAATATCAACAGAAGAACTATCAACTAAAGATAAAAAGTTAAGCAATTTTGTACAGTTAAGATATAACTTTGTAACATCTGATCTTAACTTTTTCGGAAATGAAGTGCTTTAAGAAAAATTTGAAAAACCTTCAAATTGGGCTTGTCAAAATGAGTTTAAATAGAATTTATAATTGCGTCGATATTTTTTCTTTCTTAGTGGGAATGGATTATCCAAACGATCAAACACTGAAGTTTTCTTGATGATACTTTTTAAGAACAAATCTGCCCATACTTTGTTTCTCATATCCTCAAAAAAGTTCTTTCCAGCTGTTTCTTTTCCTTCAACAGCTGATTTCTCCCTTTTTGTAATGTTTCTGAGAAAGTTTCATTAACAAATACACCTTGTGTGCCAAGTTTAGGCAATGGAAAAAACGAAACTCCGTCAATTTGTGCTGGCACTAAGTTATTCTGGACTGGGTTTCACGATCTATTTGCTAAGCCAAGCTGTTGCTCGTTAAATACTTAGACAATGACCGATTTCTTCGATCTAATTCCCATATTCAATTTTATGTATGCGTTCTATGGTAAAGACATAGCAACCAAGGTAAAACTAAGAAGAGAATACCAGGCAAAGTTACTTACAGAATCATATACTATATTTATTTCCACTTTTGCCTAGAATGTTTCCTTAGGTCTGTAGAAAAGTGGGCGGGGGGGGGGGAGGGTGGTATGGCCCCCCGGCTTCGCCGGCCCTGTGCTCCCCTTTGTTACGCTACTGTTGAAGAAGAATGAAGTTTTGTAGTGACAACAAATGAATAAATTATCCAAGCTAAATTGAAACTTCCAGCATTTCCTCCTAGGTATCCGCAAATTTTGTGTATTTAACACCAGGACAGAAAGCTTTAAATAAACAATTTAACTTAAAAAAGAAAATCAAAGCAAAATTGACACAGTTCTCGTGGTGAGATATTCGCTCTGTAATGTTGTTAAAGTCACAATGTTCAAGTGCAGTAGCGCTGTTTTCGATTTATTAGAATCTAAAGCAGAGTTTTGGAGTTTCTAATCAATGTAATGATATCATCAAGCAATTTCTTTTTCTTCGAGGCGGATGCATGTATGTGTTTGAATTTACCAACTTGATTTTATCAAACATAAAAAGACAGAGTGCCCCAGATTTCTTCGCCTGGTAGACCAACCTCTCCCCCTCTCCTCCCAACCCCCTCAGTACCAATAATTCTCCTGCGATCAGGCACTCCTTTACCCCTTCAAATTATATCCATATATCTCCGATTTAATAGCTTACCATTCATTACTTACAGACAAATGTCAAGGCTGTAAGGATTAAGGATTTTTCAAGGTTTCAAGATAACAGTAAAATGCGTACCGTTTTCATTTTCTTACTCACCTTACTTATCTGATTATCTTACTTATACTTATCATCAACCAATAAATATTATAATATTTTAAATTGCGAGCGCATGCGAACTAGAATGGAATTTTTATGGCTGTGATTCTGAACCGAAAACATTTGAAATTGGAAATTTTGAAAGACAAAATTTTGATGAACAAAAAAGCATATAACGACAAAAACGTGTTTTTCTAGTCCTTATTTTATGGCCTGCATTTTATCGAAAACAAAGACAGATCTAACAAAATCAAATTACTTCAAGTAGCAAAAAGTTGGGTATGGTTTTTTTAGTAAAGTAGGGCAGCCGAAAATTGATCCTACCGAATTTTTTGATACCGACTTTTTTTTCTTAAAAAATTCTGGTAAAGTCCTGTTTTACACTGTTTTCCTCTTGAAATACCAAAAGCCTTTTTCATTGAATTGCTTGTGTATCACTATACTTCTAATACATATCGATTATCAGTTTATTGTTCTCCTTCGTCATCAACAAAAAATAAGATATCTAACTCATTTCCACTTTCTTCCATTTTCCCCTCTCCTTCCCAGAGGGGGGGGGGTACGGGAAGTGCCATTTCTAGGGTACTTTTTTAAAATAGAAAATAATTCTTCGGGTATCAATATTGATAAAATAAAAAATGGTCGTAAAAATTGGGATTGATTTTAAGCATGACCTTACATTATGGGCTATGATTTATAAAAGAAAAGTAACATGTGTTAGAACACAGGGTTCCCATTCATTGCAGGACATCACATGACAATTGCATCATTGCGCTGCAATTGCATCAGCTTCTGTAAATTGTATTATTCTTAGGGTATATAAGGGGTGGCTTTATAGTTAGGTTCAGTCTTGCCGTAAGATTGTCGTACTCCGTGTACCTTGTCGCTAGCTTGCAGAATTGTCTTTGCCGTTACATTGTCGCCGTTAGCCGTTTAAGATATTTTTAGTCGTTTGCCGTAAACTGATGAATTAGAAGAAGTGTATAGAGAATTGGATAACAGTTTTTGCCGTATTTATCGTGTACGTTTCTGCGAACGACATACGAACTCACGTTTGTAAAACCCCCTTTTTAAGTGGTTTTACACATGTTTTCATTGACTTTCTCCAAACTTAATTATACGACTTTTTAAGCTCAGATATGGTTTCATCGCCATAATCTTTCATATTGTTTGAGCTTGTAGTTTAGATTTTACGGAGAAATGAAGTTTGAAAACGTGTAAGGGATTTGACCGTAAAAATTATTTCAGGGGGAAATTTACCCCCCCCCTCCCCCCGTCGCCAATTACGGTCAAAGCTCTTATAATTCTTTACTTTTATGTCGTTGTAAATGAATATCGTGACCAATACCATAATGAAAACTTCCAAGTAGACTAAAATCATTGCTCTCAACCCGAACCTGAGGTCAAAATGTTTGTACAAAAGAATTTGAAGAATTTTTCAAAATGAGGTCGTAAGTCGAATTGGTGTATTTCATATGATATCTGAATGCTATTATTTTTGGAATCTCCAATCCAGCTTGACTTAAAGCTTTTTTGTCATTTTCTGTTATTTTTCTGTACGGAATTTGAATGTATTTCAATTAAAAAAACGTTTTGTTAACTTAAAAATTTAGCGTTGATTGAATGCCATTTGAATATTTGAATTTTGTTGATTCGCGTTGATTATCTTACCACATTTCTTGAAATCAAAACTCCTAATTCGCGTTAATTGTGATCACTTTTATTAACCGCGTTCTTTTCGTGTAATAATGTAATTTACAATGATATAGTCATATAGATCTATATCATTGAAAATTTACCTGCTCCGCGGAAAAGAGGCCAATTACCAAAGCGAGACGATATGTCGTGGGAAGAAAGGTTTGGCAAAGGGCGATTTGAAAATGAACAAGTTGTGTGGATAAAAGCTTGTCTTTGAGGAACCTTACAACAATATGGCTTGTGATTATGTTTTCAAAATAATCATTGTTGGTGATGCAGGAGTCGGGAAATCTTGTTTGCTTCGTAGATTTGCTGACCAGTCTTTTACAGATAATTATATCAACACGATTGGGGTTGATTTCAAAGTTCGGACTTTAGAACTATTTGGAAAAACTGTAAAGCTGAATATATGGGACAGTGCTGGACAGGAACGTTTTAGGACAATCGTAAATACTTATTACAGAGGAGCTCATGGCATAATTGTTGTTTACGATACAACTGACCGTGATTCGTTCGAGCATCTGCCAAGTTGGCTGAGCGACGTGTCAGAACTGGCCGAGCCTAACTCCAAAAAAATGCTCGTTGGCACTAAAATCGATCTCGATTCAGTAGAACGTCAAGTACCGAAAGATGTGGTCTCGAGATATGCTGAATCTATAAATGTTCCATTTGTCGAAACCAGCTCTAAAACAGGACACAATGTTGAGCAAGCATTTAACCAAATGACCTCATTGCTGTTGGAAGATGTTAGCTCTGGTGACATATCTGTGGGCGAGCAAAATGTGATAAGATTAGATGGTGCTACTCATGCTATTGGAGAAAAGAATACGAGACAAAAGAAAAAGAAATGTTGCTAAAAGACCAAAATTTATAGGACATGGGCTTTAATTGTTCTAAATTTTCTAATTCCCTATAAGAATGTTGCTGCAATTACTCAATAAAGAAACTCAATTACTAATTTGAACTTCAATAAAGAAATACTAAATGAAACAATGAAATGATGGTTTCTGTCATTTGTCAAAAAGTAAAACAAAAGATATGCTTTTAAATGTGGCTATATTTGGTTTGTAAAATGGCATCATATGAGGGTCTTCTGATCAGCGTTATCCAGGGTGCATTTCATGCAGCAATCCCCAATGATCTTTGGAGTGGAGTTACGTTATTTGGCATGGTATCGGAATGAGATAAGCATCTGTCAGCATATGGTGTAAACTGTAATTTTGGTGAAATGGCGGATTGGTGCAGCCTTTTCTATATGTTGTTTGTGTATACATTAAGGGGTTGGATTTGGTCAGCATAATAATTGTCATAAACCTTTTCTTGACATACTGTTGAAGTGGGGTTTCCATGGAATGCACCATGGAGTTTTGTATGTAATTTTTTGCAAAGAAAATGTTTCTGCCAGGCTAGATTCCATAGCACACATGATAAGTAACTGTTTCTTTTGCTAAAAAGAGCAATTTCGTAACGAAATAAGAAACGTTTGAGTTTCCCTTTAGGAGAATGTTTTGAAATGTAGAGTTTGTTTTGCTCACAAGCTAAAACCATGACAAAAGTGGGGATAGAGTGAGCAAGATTTTTGCCTTTTGAAATCATACAATTTACCATATATATCAAATAAACATCATGTTTTCACTAAGGATTCATCATTTTTTAAACCAAACTGTTACACTAATTTAGAAGCTAGAATTTCAAAACTGGTCATGCAGTCATGACAAATTATTACAATGAAAAATGACAACAATTTTTTTTGAGGTCCTTGCTTTAATTATGTTTGATGTGTTCCAATCAAAGATGCCTGTTTACCCTATGGAAGTGAATAAACAAAAATGTGAGAAATGTAGCATCTTTTTATACAAATTGTGTGCTTAAAATGATTTAAGTGGCTGCATTTGAGAAGATAAAGAATTCTTTCTTTCACAGTAAATGTTCATCTTTCTCTCCAAAAAGAGGTAGCATATTAGAAAGCAGTAAAAATAGTTAGGATGTTTTGTGTACTATCAATATTTTGTAGTTAAAAGATTTATTTTTCTTTTTAGTAGCCTGAAGCATTTGTTCTAGCTTTTAGAATTCATGGATTTCATACTGTTTATATTCCTATTGGGATTTATAATTGATATAGGCTATCGAATAACATTCTAAATGCACTTGGTTTCCATTGCTGACATGAATAATCCCAAACTGGGAATGAACCCTAATTGCTTTACATTTTTATTTCCTCGTAATTTACTTTTATTTGATTTTAAGTCCAGTTGAACAAAATTTACATCTTTAATTTCGAGCAATGTTTTACTCCATGGTTTTATGCCCTGATCACATTTAGTATTTAATCATAATTAGCACTGTTTATGTCAAACAACGAGGCAGGATATTCCTCCACTTGTAAAATGCTAATGTTTTATGTCAGTGTGTTGAGCAAATCCATGTCTGGCGTTTATAACTGTGATTTCCCCTTAGCCTTTTTGTATATACATGATTGTCACCATGTAATTAACATTGAATTTCATAATTTATATAAGGTACATACAGATTTTGGAAGCTGTTGCTCATTGCTTTGAATATCTGGCTATTAATCATTCGATCATTCAGTAATTTTGAGCACCTGTGTTATTTTTGCATTTTCTACCTTGGCTTTGCTTTCATGTATATTCAATATATTTTATTTGTGTTTTTTTTCTCTTAGAAATATCATTTTGGTTTACATTATGGCTGAAATGAGAAACACAATAGCACCAATCCATAATTTGATGACCTACCCCATTATAAATTGTTGGACCTTTTGATGAGCCAGTTATTTGAAAGGAATCTAAATCAAGGTTATTTTTAAATTTGCAATCTTGCATGATGCTAAAGCTTTGTTGTTTGTTGTTTGCTGTTTATTAGAGTTCCGCTTCCTAACCATTAGGTGTAGCTGCTTCTCCGGTCTTCAAAATTATTGCTCTTGTTAACTTCTTCCATCCCTTGCTATCTTGGACCAGTGTTCTCAATTTTTCCAGATCTTCTTTGGTATCGAGTTTTACCTGGTGACAGTAGTTATGTTCAGCTGTTATGAGGTCTTTATTGTAATAGGCATTCAGATCTTCATTCAGTACCTTTGGTAGAGTTGTTCTTGGCTTTCCTCTGAATCCTTTGGGTTTTATGTTTGTGAAGTACAATTCCATGGCTTTAAATACTAGTAGATTTCTGTCTCTTCTCAAGATATGTCCAAATAGTCCCATCCCTGGTCCCCTTATGGTGTATGATATTGGTCTTTCTCCCGTCACTTCATACAATTTCTCATTTGATATGCATGTTGGATATCCTATTCCTAGAATTCTACGTAACTGCCTCCGGTGATATGCACCCAATCTTCGTTTAAGCTTCGTTCTTATATAACAAATTTAAAAAATATATTTTGAAAATGATATGAACAAAGAAAGTACCACATTATCAAACTTTCTATATTTTTATAAAGTGCACATAAACTATTAAAACTTACTCTTATCTCTTTAATTTTGTATTTTTTTATTAAACATACATTTTTCTGTCGTTCATTGCTTGCTCAATCAAAGTCCAGCGGGGCCTAAATAGTGGTCCATGGGAATCTATGGCATGTGTTTGCATTCCTTGGAGATATTTAAACATCGTAACGAAGCAGCAGAAGAATTTTACAGTTTTAAAAATGTGATGATAAACAAAGCTGTAGGCCTAGAATTCGAGGATGTTTCAACACAAAGCCAAAAGTAGCGTGTAGATTGACATTGAGTAGCAGCGAATATTTCGTTTATTCATCTAAACTATACGTAACTCAAATCTAAACTTTACCACACAGTTTGTGAAAAGCAAGGACATGTGCCCCCCTCCCAAACTCTATCCGGTTCCCGCATCTCCGGTCTCTACCTCTTTGGAAATGACTTGACAATCACCTCTATCTAGTTTAAGTTCATGCCTCGATTTGATCTTCAGATGTACCACAAGGCTCCGTCCTAGGTCCTTTTGCGTATTTATCTAAATGACCTAAATCAGAAATATATACAGCTCAGCTGATGATAACACTTTGTTGAATTTAACCAGAAAATTGAAAGAATGATCTCGAGTTTAGAAATCAATATAAGCAGTATCTGAGAATGATTTGAATCAAAGAGTTATGCCTGCAAATCCCTTGAAATCCCACGCGAAAATGCCTGTGAATTGTAATTAAATTAGACGTCTTTGGATAAACATCGACTCAAAATTGAAATTTGATACCCACTTAAATTCTTTGTTTGGCAGAACAAATAGATGTGTTAGCACTTTTTCCTAGGATTTGAAGATACCTTGAGCAATCTCCAGTAGGGGCTGAGCCGGGGTAGTAACCTGGGGCCCGGCCCCTGGAGTGTTTTTCTTTTTTAGCGATAATGAATCATTAAAAGCAAGACTTTCTTCGGTAAGGGCCCAAAAGCCCCGAAATTAAATATCAAAGAGTTTGAAATTAATTCTGTGTTGTCTATCTTGAACACAGGCTATCAAAATGACATGGAATGACGTCTTACTGAATGACTTGACTGTGTGTACTAAAAAAATTGACTTTAGAGATCTTATCAATGTCTTTACATTAAAAAGCTCGTACTGTAAAGGTTTTGAAAATTAATGGTTAACAGTTTGAACAAAATATATCGGTGAAAGAGTGGCTCAGAAGTTGATTCCAGTTAACTGCAACATAGATTAGTTTTTTGTCTTAATTTGTAACATAGGATTCATACCTATTTTGTATAAATAGAACCTTGGCCAAAAGGCTTGTAAGTAAGATTTAGAAAATGGTAACAAAGCTGTAAAGCAACGCATAGTCTATTTAAGCCTCTAGTTTCAATGCAAGGGCGTTTCCGGGAACAAAAATGGTGGATGGCCCAAAATAATTGTTGTACCTTTGGCACAAATTGGAGACCCATCATGCCTGAATGAATGGTGGAAATTTACAAAGTAAACACTACTTTAAAAGAATACATTTTGTAAAAATATTGAGACTCAAAATTCCTGAAATTTAAGAATTAATCAAAAATGATAGCCAGGCTCTAAATCTATCTCCCGTTGACTTTGCATGCAAGTTTGATTTGCAGTTTCAGATTAGATTCGGTTAGAAAATACAAATTTTTCTTTCTTAATGCAGGTTATCATTTTGATATAGCAAAAACATTGTTATTTTTCTGTTTTTTTCATTTTTGTTTTGTTTTCATAATGAGCGAAAGCTTCAAATTTTCTCGCTTGATCCTTCCCGATCCAAATTCATAATTTTATACTCGCTTTTAGAGTCAAAATCAAAACTTTTTAGGAATATCGGGCCTCAAAGAAAATTAAAAAAAATTGAAAATGAAGGTATTCATATAAAAAGTAAATATTTCGTCAAGATTTTTTATTTAATAAGACTTATTTTAGAGAAGAAGAGCCAGGTAAAGTTACTGAATAAATGATACACTTGTCAAATTTACTTTCAAGCATATCATCAGTATATTGTGGTATGAACCCAGTCTTTTTTAGAAACATAAGAAGAGCTTACTTGATATTAAAAACAGGAAAGGATGTTCGTCCTTTGCAAAATAAAATCAACACACTGGCTCGGATAGGAGACAATTATAAACTTTTGTTTTATTTGTAAATATTATGGCCTCGTTGTATCCTTATTATGTCTTTAAGTTGATTTTTGTTACGTATATGCATATGTATATATACGATTTATTTAACGTTAGTTGTTACAATAGTGGAAACAAACACCAATTCAGACTAACATGAAGCAATTTCAAGGATTACATAAGAAAGTTCATTTACTGCAAAAAGAACGTTTGTATTAATTTTCATGGAACCAAGTTTTAATCAATTTTGCGAATTCTTGTGAATTTTTTGAGCTTTTTTTATTTCATCTGGAAGAGAGTTCCAGATTTTCGATCCTTGGATATTGATTAATCTAATTCCATACTTAATAGTTCTAATCTTTAGTGTCCAAAGGGGATTTGCAGCGTTTGTTTTGAGGAATTTTCATCATTGCACATATTCAACATTTTTGAAGATTGCCTTAAAAATATACAAGACCACACTTATCAAACTGTATGTGATACTATCGAATTACACCAGCTCTAAACAAAACCTTACAAGAGAATTCGACGAGTAGAAGTAGTTTATAGCAAGGAGCAGGCTTGGAGCAAATGACTTTGGGGACAAAATTAAGAGGCTGTAACGAAAACGAGGCTGCATGTAGGTTTGTACTTTTTGGCGGGAAATTATGTTTTGGCTGTGGCATTTTGGCAGGAAAGCAACAATGAGTTGAAAAAGTCGCGGTAATTGGCCGTATATATTGAAAATGACTTTATTGTTTAAACTAGCGGGAAAATATTTTGTGTTGTAGTTGGTATATTTAATAACATATTGTTGTTGTAGCGACGAGATAAAGGTACGCTGATGAAAAAAAGACATTTTCTTTATTTTCTATTAAGTATTAAGATATGTAATCGAAGATGAGGAAAAGTACAATTATTATATAAATATAAATAAATGTAGAGTTTATTGGGGTATTACTTATATTACAAAAAGTTTATTTTGGAAAACGGTTAAGAATCTGTACGTTCCAATGCTGGCAGCTTAGGCCAATTTGAATTGTCTGTATGTTTCAGTGCAGCAGGCTGTATAGGTGCTATGAAAGGTTTTGGTTTCTCAACGGCTGCTTTTTGTACATTATCATCATCATAATCGCAGAGTTCTTCGTAGGGTATTTCCTGGATATGTTGAAAATATCCAAGGTTTTTGTAAAATTGCTTAAATTCATGGAGAATTCAGATTCCAAGGCTCTGTCCGTTGGTACCTTGAACATGTTGCTCAATTGTAACAGGCTTAATTCTTATTTATTTATTTATTTATTCCATTCTTGCAAGAGGAATAAATTTGGTTATATTTAAAAATTTCTCCAAGTTCTTTAGGTAGTATCTTTGCAAACTGCTTTGCCAAATTTTTAGCACCTGTTTTCTTGTGTGATCCTCAATCAACTTTCCAAGCGAACTCTCAATTGTTGTCGTTTGCTGTTTTTTATATTTCTTTAATACCCAATGTTTGGTTGACATATTTTCATTTTGGGCATATGCATGGAAAGCCTCCCTGAATCCACCTGAAGCGAATTTTTCTTCCTCAATTGCGAATTCAATTGCACATTTCTTCGACCAAGATTGGCTGTTTAGCTCAAACTCTTCCAAATGAAGAACAACAGATTTTGTTGGTAGTGGTTTGACAAGCTTTCCAGCTTTCAATAAATGTCCAATTGATACTGATTGTGGGTAGATGCTGGATGCATGTTTGGGCTTAGGAATAGAGTTCTAAAGTGTGACGTCACCAAAAAATTATTTTAGAATTTTTGAATCTTAACGACAAAACATAAAAGATCTTTAAGAAATACTTCCACAAATGCAAAATGTCAAATATGTCTTAAATCAGTTGAGATATTGCCAATGAAAGATTTGAAGTTTGCTAACGAATCACTGTTATTTTCACTCTGTTCATAAAACTATGAACAGAGACCGAAATACAGAGGTTTGATGGGGAGAGAACCAATAGACGTGTGGCCATATCTCAGCCAGTTCGTAACACATTTGACTAATTTTGCATAATTAGAAATATTTTATGATACTCTTTCAGACTATAAGATCCAAGTTCAAAAGTTCTAAAAATAAATTTTTGTGACGTCATCACTTTAGAACTCTATTGGTGTGCCTTCAGATTAAATTACTTCAGATTGTGTGTTTTCAAATCTTCTTTTCAAGGTTGATTGACTCGTTTGGTTTACTGGAAGGAATCTGATTAAGAAAACTTTCTTGCCTTTAATTTGCTTTGTGCTTGTACACGAGGGGCCTCGATCGGATGCAAGAACATCACAGGAACCCCTTGGTTCACCATAGAACCTTTCACAAGCAGATTTAATGCTCTCTATACTGAGATCGTTGTAAAAATTCCCAAAAGGTATAAAATATCGAGTGTCCAATGTCCTCTTGTTGTAACCAAAAGTGATTTGGGAGAAGGGGGGGTCATCCCCTCTTAACAAGCCCATATATGTTTGGTTTGGTGAATTTTTTTAAAAACAATGCAAGTACTTTAAAGAATGCAAGTATAGGTATGACCATGGGTGTGGTCTTTGGTGTGGCCGCTAGATGTTCCCTACAGCACATCCCACTTCGGAAGTTTTTAGGAAGGCATCTCTGATGTTAGTTAGATATTAGAAATGATATGACAACACAAACCGTAGAAAAGGAATGGTTCGATGGAAGAGTGTGCTCCAAAAAGTGCCCCAGATGGGTAGTAAAGTGTATCGATGTTCGGGAAAAACTCGACGGTATCAAAGGCTTAGTGTTAAGTCCAAGAAAACAAAAGTCAATAATGAGAAAATATTTTTCCCGAATTTTTCATAGATTTAACTTTCATCAAGGCACCCCCTTTTCTTGACATAAAGAACTTTCTAGCAAGCCTGTATTTACCAAAATGTCTTTATTGGATTAGACACGTGAAAAATGGAAAGACTTCAAAGAAATTTGATTTGCACTTGATAACTGTTGCCAAAAGAAGAGACGAATGTTGCCTGTGATTTGGTCAAACGAAGAATGCATTTGGAGATGCTTTGTGAAACAGTTGCCTGAACACTATTGGGAGGCACATCCTGAGGGCCTCATATATTTCTTTTTTGACTTGTACCTTTGAAATAAATTCAGTAATACTTATCTATTTGGGGCACCCCTAGAGACCTCCTTCATTTACCCTTGAACCGACCCTCTGATATAAGTTTGCGTAATTCAAGAACCAAAAAAGTCTACAGGAAGAAATGTACAAAAAATTAAAAGCAGCTTGCACCAGCTTGCAATCTTTTAATGAGAATCACTTTGGTATATAGTACTGAAAAAGATTCGTAATCTTGGCAATTGTTAATTAAAAATGGGAAGTGTCATATACTCGATTGTTGATTCTGTAAACAGGCTATTCATGAATAAAACACGATAAACTCAATTGATTCGATTCAAATAGACTGCGAAAAAATTTTAATCAGATGTTAATAATACAATCAAACAAAATATACGATGTTGGACATCAAATCGGTGCGTGATACGATACGCTGTGTTTTTGGAGAGTTGCTTTTGGAGAGTTATAACGAGAAAGCCCTCAAAATTTTATTAATTATGGAAGTAAGTCTGATACATGCTCGATATAAGATGGTATTACTAGCTACATACTCGAAGGTATTAAACATATGTAATACAATCTGATATCGAGTCAATGCGAAAGAAGCTGTTATTATTGAGTCACTACGTCAAGACTCTTCGCAGAGGTCTTGATAATTCACACTGACTACGGCAGCGGTGGGGGTACGAAGCTTTAAACGTTAATTGGGGTATACAAATGGGTCCATTTAGTTTCCAACAGTGATGATGGGATACTATCGAAAGTTTACAAAGCAAACATATAGAAAGGTTCAATAGAAAAACTGTCAAAAAATAAGTCTCTACAAATCAATGAGGTATAAATGAGTAACATGGACATGCAGGTAAAAGAATTGAAAACTTAGCTTTCAGAATATGTCATTCTTAAATGAATGCTGTTCTTGTTCTTAAGATCTCTATTGTTTTGCACATTTTTACGTATTTGTCAAAAGAAATTCTGGGCACAAAGTAACGGATAATCTGGGATGAAAGATTTTTCCTCAGTTTGTTTGAGATGCAATTGCGAAGAAATTGAGGAATAAACTTGACAGCGAAAAACAGTTACATAAAAGGACAGCTGGATCAAGAGATTTACAGACAAATGTTGAGGAGCAACAGCTGCAGTTTTGTACACAATCAATATCTTTTAAACGTTGTTTCATTTTATGGTGGAAAGGAAATCACTACCTTTTTCAGTATAGTCCATTACCTGTTCAATTAAAGTCCTGTGAGGCCTAGCTAAAAGCCTATGGGAATCTACCGAATGTGTTTCAATTCCCAGGAGAAATTAAAAATTGCAACGAGATAAATCAGACAAATGTAAAAAGGTAATAACAAAAAGAGGTGCATGCATAGAATTTAGAAAAAAATCAGAACACAGCACAAAGTAACGTGTAAATGCATAGCCGTGAATATTTTATTTATTAATCTAAACTATGTATAAATGTCTTAAATATACAGTTTCATTTTCCCGGCTTTAATCAATAGGATAATGTTGTCAATGAAAATATAATACACCTTTCGCAATATTTACAACAAACCTTTACTTACATAAAGGAAGCAAAGAATTAAATAGACTATCAAAATTATATAAATTAAGAGTTTTCTACTTTTTTATACCAATAAGCTTCCATCCGCAAATCTTTCGAAAAACCGATTTAATTTTGACAAATCATACAAAATCTTCTTAGGAGCTCTACGAGTACATGACTAAGGCCCGCTTCTGTGTCAATGCTCTGATCGCAGACATCAGAGCTCCAGCAGTACCCAAGGGAGGTCCGCCAGCCATTTTAAAATGCGATTTTATACACTAGGGAATTTCACTTGTACAAAAACAAGCTCCCGCTAATACATCACAGAGCTCCGTTGGTAAGCAAAGGAGCCCAATAGTACCAAGATTAGTACCCAAGAGAGTTCCGTTGATACACACGAGAGGACTGTTGGTGGATGATAGGCCTCCGCTAGTACCCAAGAGAGTTCCGTTGCCGAAACACAAAAAAGTTCAATCAGAAAACCGACATACCTTCGTATGCCCAATCAGAAAACTGAAAATGTTTATCGTTATTACAGGTTCATTGACTATAAAAGAATAAATAACGATTTTTCATCTACAAAAGCTATCTATTATAGACAATATCCAATGATTTCGATTATAAATCTAAAGACGTTTGGTCAGTGCAATCATTCTCAAAAATGTTGAAATTGTTCTATTTAACAAAAACGATTTCAAAATGGATCTGTTCCAATTGGATCCGCGACTGTGTTAATGGGGTCTGAAATGGAAAGGTCTCGCTTAACAGTCCTGCTAAGGCCCTAATGCTTAAACCAGCAAGTGATTTTCTCCCCAGTTCTTGCACCCACGCATGTGAATTTTGGTTTCGTGTTCCTTCTCCTGACGTCATCCGTCCAAGCTTTCATCTTATCAGATAAGCGCCAGATCTCGTTTTTATGCTTAGGTAAGCAATCAGGAAACAGCCCTCAATTCGGTGCTAGCGTTTGCATTTAAAAAAATAACTCTCGAATCACCATTTCATTTAAGTCCAACATCTCATAATAGGGTCTCTTATTAAATGTCAATACTATTTTGCGAGAGTATAACTTACAACAAAGTGGTTATGACAATGTTTAAGGCAAGGACATAAAGGATGTGTTTTGGCTCAGACTGTTGACTAGACTTTTGACCCATTCAGGCGACGATCATGTTCCAGCTTGTTCCTATTTCGATTGTATTAATAAATTCCAGCGTGATGGAATGCTTGGCTAATGTAATGTCATACAAAGCAGAAGGAAGTTGACTAGATTTTTCGTAAACAGCATATAAACGGGCCTAGGCCAATCAGAGAAAAGCGCTCACCAAACATTTATATTTTGTATTTTCATACATTCTCTGATAGATACAAAGAAAAAGAACTTATTTATAAGCTGCAGATAGATAACCTAAGGAATGCAAAATGTTTCAGGTCTCACAAAAAGTTTTATGTGAAAATTTTTCACAGAACCCTTTTTGACTGGTTCTTGAATAGGTCCAGTAAATTCGGTATGTATGGATATTGACAAATCACAGAGCTGTTCCTGTGCTAATTGAAGTCGTAATTTGCTTTAAAATGGACAAAATAGGTGAGGAGTTACCTCTATGGAACTCAAGCTATTGTCAGACATTCAAATTAAAACCAGTTTCTGTTTACAGTTATGGCGAAAGAGGTTCAAAGGTGGAATCTAGGTTCCACAGAGCAGTAATTAAAAGGAAATTGCTGGAATTGAACTGGTAATTGTAAACATGGGATTGATCCTAAAAACAACATGAGATATTTAAAGGTATTGAAGATCAGAGCTAGTTGAGGTTTTATTTTCATTTGGAAGCCGAACAAAGTGCTCTATAATGTTACGTAATTACCATGTTTATACAGGATTTTCTGCTATAGAATACCCACCCTGTCTCGAATTTAAGTAACATAATTGTCGAAAGTTCAAGGTCTGGATACTTTGGAAAAGCTGATTAACAGTGGCAATGAAGTGTGATTTTGGTGATAACAATTTGCTGTAGAGAAAGGAATGCAAAGTTGAAACATAACGAAACATAATTTTCGAGACGGGATGTATTTTCAATCTCTCTCTTTACTTTTCAAGAAAGCAAATCATTAACAACTTGGTTATAGCACAGCTGTCGTGCGAAATTTGCTATTTAGCACGACAGCTGTGCTATAACCAAGCGAAACAACGACCTTTGTAGAATTCATAATGAAAAATTGTAGGATGAAATTAGAGAGAGGAACAGTCTTCCAAAATCGACTGATTCTATCAAGGGCTTATGTTTTGTTGCGCATTAGAAACCTGCAAGATACGAAACCGAAACTTGAAAACGAGAATGAGAAATGCACTGACCAAACTTCGAGCAAATCTGTTAATGGCCTAGTTACGCACTGTCCCATCAGCCTTTATCGGCACTTTTCAATATCGATTCAACATTTCGTTTAGTAGATCATTAACAGCCTTCCTGGATAAGCAGATTGCCGATTTGAAAATATACAATATGGTCGTCGAAATGGCGACTACTTTACGTGCGTAAGAATTTTTTCCCCTCGATTATCTTGAAAATCAGCAGCCAGCATTTTCAGTCGTTGGACTGACTGAATGGAAATGGCAGCAGTTTTAAACTTGGATAAAGCTATGCTGGTTCTTGACATACTTTCGTCGTCTGCGATAGCCGACGTTCCCCGAGACTGTGAAATCTTTCCTTTGACCCAAGGGTGATTCAGGGCCTTGTCGGCAGAGTATCGTTTCGGAATATCCACAACTAATAGACACGAAACAAAGTCTTTGGCATCTTCGGAAACTTCGTCCCAATAAGGAGAGATATATTCGAAATTACCTTCCTGTATTAGATCGAACAGTTCACTCTGCCTCCTTTTCGTGCTTCGGAATGGCGGGAAACCGCAAAGCATGATGTATGCGATCACGCCAGCGGCCCACATGTCCACTCTTAGGCCATAGCCAGATTCACGGAGAATTTCTGGGGCGACATATGTTGGTGTTCCACAAACTGTGTATATTGGTTCTTTTACTTCCATTGCGAGACCAAAATCAGCCAGTTTCAGAGTTTTTCTTCCACCAGGTCCTTCATAAACCTAGTTGATAAAGCGTCAAAATTAGTATTAGCAGAAACCTCATTAAAGGATATCAAATTTACCTAAAGTGCTCCAAAAACGAGAAAGCTGCAATTTTCGTTCTACAGAATAGGAATTTATCAGCAATTGCTCATCTTATGGCTTCTGGACAAAGTATTTTTGGACAAAATTTTCGGAAAACATTCTATCAGTTTTTCTTCATTTAAAAACATTCGATTATTTCATAACCAATCAATGGCGGACATTCAGGCTTTCATTTGGGGGAGGGGGCAGGCTTGCGATTTTCCGACAAGGTTAATCTTGGATCATGTCTAATTTTGAGAAAACTGCACATTTTGATGAAAATAGGTGATTTTTGGCGGGACCCTTTAGAAATCTTTGCTGATCACGCCATAATTAAGTAGCAAGAAGAATAATCCGTTTATGAATTTTGATATCAAGATCGGTTTATCATCTAAAACAATAGATGATACAAGAGGTCAACAGATTACATTTTTGACAAGTCGTTCATGATAACAACATGATTTTAATTGTTATGTCAATTTTCTGTATTTCATTTTGTTTTCTTCAGTGGGAAATACGTTTGAAAATAACTTTTATTTGGAAGAAATCGATGGAAATTTCTGTTAATTTTTACGGAATTGAAATTAAATATAGAATTGACAAGCAGTTTTGATTTTCTTCATATATTGTTTGTTTGACTATTTTGCCAGGCTAATATTTTGCCAGCTATGCTATGTTCAAATTTTGCAAAAAGGGTACAGAGAGGTTATAGAGGCCCCTGGGGGTAAAAAGGGAAAATGCGGAAAATTTGGCAATTACGCCCTTAGATTAGCTTAAAATATACTTCAGAACGATCTCGAGCCAGCCCCCCCCCCTCATACCCCATAATTTCCGCCACTGAACAAATGGGTAACAAACAATTTACTGCTAACAGAATGAACAGAACGGGGAAAATCTTGCTTCTATTTTCACCATCGATTGATCAGCTTAATAAATTATTACTTTCTGCTTTTCAAGACTATTGTCAAGCTAAGTGATAAACACTCAAATAAAATTTCATTTTTCATTAAATATGCATGAACAAGGGTATTGTCGATTATGGTCGTTTTTATTTCGTTTTAAAAATGCGCTTTGCAATTTTCGCACGTTTCATATAAGCTAAGATAAGCTTGAATTCAAACTTTCTTGTACGATTTTACACAATAAATAAACAAACTAGCATTGAATTTGACAACTCTAAACGTGTGCTTTTTTAATTAAAACAAATTAATCTATTTGTGCGTAAAAGCAGAAGAAAGGACGTGTTTCACGCTGATCGAATACACAGGTGTATGGATTTAAACAGAAAACAAAAGGCGAAAGCAAGTTGACTTTGTATCGTTGGTTCAGCGTCGAGTGTCCTTAGCATAAGAAGGCTTCGTTTAAATATAAATTGAATAGATGTTTACAGTAGATAGCTTGGCATAAAAAGCCAAAGAATTGTGATTCAATATTAGCTGAAGATAGGTAAACATGGAATTCGTCTTTGGTTTTGCTAAGCTGGCGGGAAATCAGCAGTGCAGAGGAACATATCTTAACACGCAATTGCCAAACAGTTTGGCCTAACAACAAGGTTTGGGTGCTAAATAGCGTCAGATTGAAGCTATCTTTATTTGAAAACAAAGACAAGTTCTTGAATCGAATTTAAGTCGAATAAAACACTTAAAGTAGAAATGTTAGGTTACTGGTCTCAGATGAGAGATAAGATCTGAGTCCCGTTGGTGCCCTTAACAAAACAGCCCAGTTAATTGTAGAACAAGTAGGCGATGTACCAGTTTACCAAGAGAGGGGGGAGGGGGTTAATGCAACCAAACCGTAAATGTTGACTCACTCACATGCAAAAAAAGGTTTTGGAACATAGCAAAACTCAGATATCAACCAGGACATTTGAAAACTGTGTTTTGACCCTTGCAAAGGAAATTTTTCTTCAATCCTGAAAATATGCACAACGTTTTGACCTTTGTAAATGAAATTTCTCCTTCTTGTTAAACTTTTATTAATTACCCATCGCTGTTTAATGATATCAATTCACAGATCTATATGACTTCTTTTTCTTTGCTGTGAAACTACAAAACAGATGGCCTTTCTCTGCTCATGTTACCCATTCATATTATGAAACATTCTGAACTTAAGTGTGACACTATTTTCACGGCTTTACATGCATTCACGAGGATTCCAAGTAAAACTGGAAATAGCTTTTAACTGTCAAAGGTAATAAGCATTCGAAATATCGAGATCTTGAACAATATTTACTATGGATATAAATGCAATTAAGTTCTTTCGCGGCAATAAGTCTGAGCAACCACAAAAGAAAACTTCAAATATATTTGCTATGGATTTTCCCTTTACTCAGCTTTTGAGCTGACGTTGTCAAAGCAGCGTTGCTTGGAAACACAGGCCAAACAGAAATCTGGCACAGCTAATCAATGAATTTTGACGCTAGGAAAAGGTGGGGTTTGTTGTCACAAAAAATTACTTCACCTGGCAAGTCACCTGGCCGGTGTCGCATTTTTTGCAAACTTTACTTACACGCTTACTTTAAAATACACAGCACTTTTGACTGACAAACTTGACTACAGACAGAATGATATTTTTAATGCGACAAATTGTTACAGAGATGGGGCTTGGTGTCTCAAAGGGAAATTTGTTGTTCACAAACGAAAGAGAAACTCTTAAATATTCTAGAAAGCTATAAAATCTTATTAATATCAAGGTAAAAATGCGAAACTTCGCAGTCTACGAAACACATTTTAAGAGATCACGTCCCGCTGAACATATAAACTGTGAATTGATAATTGAATATTACTGGAAACGCCTTAGCAATCAGTAAAAATCTGATTAAGCAACCCAGAAATGCAACAAAATGTTTTGGTAAGGTGATAAAGATTCTCCAAGCTCGTTTTGTGCACCGGTTTGTGACAATTTCTCCTCGATGATAATTGCAATTAGATGGTGGAAACTGCAGAAGCCAAACGAATTGCACAATGCGACCGGTGCTACAATTTTGGCATCGAGCGGATTTAAATTTTAAGAACATCTGACACATTTGCTGCAAGGATCCTTAATTCGTCTTAATCCTTAAACTCTGTTCGCAAAGTAGCTTTGGGAAAAAAAGATGGTCACGAAACAAATCAAATCGAGGGAATGATTATCGCGGAACACTTACATCTGTAAGGTCTGCAGAAATTCAAAATGCAGGGCTCTCTTAACGTCTGCAAATGTGGGATTGAGTCTATAAATCGTTTTGAATATGTGTGGCATTAATTACCATAGCCACAAAAAGGGAATTGTCGTTCCTAACCAATTGATAGAGACAAAAAAAATAATATTCTAGTACAGACAATGGAGAAGGTGATCACAGAACTTCGTTGAGTCATAAATTTTGGTTATAGAAAATCGAAATTTTCTGATGTAAGCTAAAATAGTACAGAATGGAGGTTAGATTGAAACATAAAAGAGGTACTTTGCCTTTGTAAAAATTCTTTAAAATGCATAGTCTTAGAAATGTTTAATTTTTATGCCCTTTCATAAACACAGAGATGTGATAATGCCCCCAGGTCATTTGTCAATTTTAAGAGAATGAGCATCAAAGGGACAGAACAGATCGCTAGCCCCTTCAAACTAAAGGCCCTTCTCAATCCCCCTTCATAGTCGACCATCTGCCTTGAAGGATACTCCTCCTTGATTCTTAAAGAAAACTGGCAATTTGAGAATATCTTCCTTAATTTCTTGCAGGGGTGCAGTGCAATGGGGCAGAGGAGGATCAGGTGGTTCATTTCCCTAGATCACAATTTTTGACAGCCCCAACAACCCTCCTGTGAAGCAAGCATTGCATTTCTCTTTTATCTACACATAGAGCAACATCAATGTTGATGTGTTCTTCAATGATGTTGGAAAACCAGACATTGATAAGGACGAACTTGCAAAAGAAACTTTACAAAACCAGCTTTGGCAACTCAGATCTGTTTGAAAACAATCTTTTCTTTCAAAACAATACTTATAAAAACAGTAGTTTCTGCTGGTGGAAGTATTGAGAAAGACTTAGTTGCCATAACAGTAAGCTGTCATTGCCAGAATTTGCCATGGTAATAGATAATGGTGGGTTATAACAGAAAATATTATGGTAGGGGAATGAATTCAAAGTATTGTTGCTAGCAAAGCAATTTGGTAAATCAGCAAATGAAACCAATACTTTAAAACTGAAATAAAGGTTTTAATTAGCCATTTTAGCCATCAATAATTAAAACTATAGATATGCTAGTTGTCATTGTTATTAGACAAGAAAATTGAAATAAAAATGAAGTATAAATTTTAAGCAAAGATTGAAGGTGATGATTCAAAGTTTTTATTCATTTTTGCTGGTGACTATTAGGTTCCTGTGATGCTATTTAGAAAACAGCTGCAGGTCCCATAACAGAATAAGTGACAAAACCTGCATTAATGTGAAGTATATGAATAGACGAGCTTTCAGCCACAATAACTATGCTGACAATACCTATATTGATGATTTCTAATAGCATTTTTCCACCTGAGGTAATACCAGAAATTCAAGCAGAAATGTGGAGTAACATTAGTGAGCTTACCATGAGGTTCTCTGGTTTTAAATCTCGGTGAACAATCTTTCTTTTGTGCAGGTATTGTAATGATGAACAAATATCATGGACATAATTGGCAGCAACAGGCTCAGTAAACTTCACCGCAGTTGAAATTGCATCAAACAAGTCCCCACCAGGGACCAGCTCCATAACAAGATAGATCTCTGTATTGCCATGAAAATCGTCAACAAGACTGACAATATTTGGATGATTACATCGCTTCATAATTTGAATTTCATTTTCAAGCATTTTCTCCTTTCCTTTTAACTTGCTTCGGTCAATAATTTTCAAAGCATACTTTTCATTAGTCACCTTATGAACACACTCTCGCACCACAGCAAAATTCCCATCACCAAGCTTTCTACCAATATCAAATAAATCCCGTATATTTTTTATCTCTTTCTTTTCAAACTTTTCAGGTGACTCTACTGCATCAACAACTTCCTTTCTAGGTGACTGCTCTGTTTCCTTTCTTGGTGAAGTTTCATCTTTTCTCTCCCTAATAGAGTTTTCTCTTGATTTATCTTTTTTATCAGCTTTTTCTTCATCTTCAACTATATGTTGGTTATTGTTAGCATCGATAGGAGGTAATACTACCTCCTTCTGTTTGTTGCTAAGTTCTAAATGATGCCCATTTACTGCCTGGTTTTGGTCCAGCTCCTTTATATGGGGAAGTTTTATATGCTTATTCTTAACACTATTTCGATGTGATCCGATACTTGCTTCATCCGTAGCAGTCAATCTACTGGAGGCATTGCTATGCAAATCATTGTCATCAATGTCATTTGCAGTTGATAATGAAGGAGGAAGTCTAGGAACTAAATCTTTTTCTTGCCTCGACTTCTTGTGGTGTTTGGGTTTATGTCCGTTCTGATTAATATTGGATTCTTTCAGTATATCTTGCAAATCGTGTGCATGAAATTTCTCATCGCCAACCGCGATAAACGTAAAGTTTTCAGAGTTTAGCAAATCGGAAAGCCCTTGGACCTGTTTTCCTTCAACAGTAAATAACTTGCGAACCCCAGATCCACCGATAACTCCAACGGCCGAAGTGACATCGTCAAGAACTTGCTCAAATGTCTGGGCAGTTCTTCGATTCAAAAGAACTTTAACAATCCTTCGAGGTCGGAAACCATTTCTTATAACTGTTATCAACCGTGGTTTAATTACATTTGCATTTGATTTGTTTGACTGAATTATTGCATGTTTCTTATTTTCTCGGTTATGAGAATCCGGTTTGTAATGCAAAGGTTTTAATCGAATATTATCAACTTTTCGGGAATGCAGATCTTTTCTCTGCTCATCGTCAGTTTTAATAATGCTTGATCCGTAGTGTACTTTTCTTAGTTTTGTAAAGGACGATGCGATGTAAGATTTGCCATCTTCAAGCCCATCCAAAGTATCTACACGCCTCCCAGTTGTCGGTGTCAGCAAAAATCTGACTCCGTGAGGCAATTTCGTAACCCGCGTCAACTCTGTCAGCAAGCTGTCGAAACTTCTGTATTTTCTTTGTGTAACAACAACTTGATGTCCTTGGAAATATTTGTCGCCGTTTTTATAAAACACAACTGACTTGCTAGCATTGCTCGGTCGACTCACATTCTCCATTATACGAGGCAGCCTTCTAGGCCGGGCAGCATATCGACTTGTCAGCACAGGCAGTTTGCTGGTGTACATAAGTCCTGGCCGCTCTGCCATTGTCATATCAAATTCTCTTTACGATCTGGTGAGATCGTGACCCTTGACAACACAAACAAAAGTGTGAACTAACTAAATATCTTAATCAAATATCCCCACTGCTCTTCCGCCATCATTCCACTTCCCACTGGACACATTTCAGTCTGGAGGACAAAAAATAATTGTTGCCATAGAGATAGGCAATGTCTACAAATAAAGTGGCCTTTTCGTGTCATATTCCTGAATGATCCTTAAGTTCTCTGTCATCTTTTGCAGTCATTTTTAACTTCACAGATTATTTTATGCAAAAATTGAATTCATCGTCAAGCACCTTCAGGGTAATTCAAATAAAACGATGAAAGAGAAAAAGCCTTTAGGTTATCCGTTATTTAGCGTAACAAAGTAAGACTATTTTAGACTCGAATTCATTCAATGCTTGGGTCTTGATATCGCTATTCTTCTTTAATTTGGCAAATGAATATGGCTTTTATTAACGGAATGAGGAAGAAAGAGGTCATGTTTGTTTCAAGCTTTGAATAGCACCGCCACGGCAATGGCAATTTCGAGTGCCTGTTCGCATGGAGGAGAACAGAAATACCTTGTCGCGAGATTCGATTGATAAATTAATTGCGTCACCGAAAGTCAAACAAGATCTTCCAACAGTGGAGACAAATATAAATCTAATTATTTGGCAAAACAAACAACAGAAATTGTTGATGCAACTTAAAAATGATTAATGTTCTTTGTAGTGCTCGAGGTGAGAAAAGAAGGTTCGCATTTTTACCCAAATATTTTTTGCGTAGAATTTCCAGTTTGACATTAGATGCTTTTTTATTTTTAATTATTTATACTTTTCTAGCTATTTACAGCCAATGCAACATAAAATAATCCTTTCAAACCCTAGTGTTGGAACACTATTGAGCTTGAAACTTCTATGATTCTATCAGTGGGGCTTGTAAGAACTAAAACATCCTGTCTCTGAGTTACAATAGTACAAAATCAAACTAAAGTATTAAAACCTATTCGTTTTTTTCTTGAAAAACTCTATTTTCAGTATTCAAGGTGAACCAAGTCACTTGTAAGATGCTCATATTTCTAAAATAGTAAAGCTAGAGTTTTCTTTTCTTAGTTTCTTTTTGCCTGTGGTTATTGAAAATACTTTAAGGAACGTGGTGACGTGCTCTGGGTACCAGTCCTCTGCATGCCAGCCTGTGTTGAAGTGCCGCTCTGATGGAGAATGAGTATAATGGATTAACAGTGAAAATACCATATCATTGCTTTCTCCTGCTTCCTTTGTCTCATGGGTGCACACGAAACATATGGGGCTTCCATTTACTCTACGTTACTTTTCATTATTTTCTTTGGCCTTCCTTTCCGCGTTCGCTCCTAATATCTCACGGCTCCTTTTACAAAGTGCAGTCGAAAAGCAAGACGACAGTGATGACGACATTTTCCTATTTTGTTCCGCTTTTCTAATGACAAGTACTCACATTTTCTTACGAGAATTGTGATACTCTTGTTCACTATTCCCGTGACTTAAGAGGATCTTGTTTCTAGGAAGGACGGTTAAGCAACAGGCTTCCACAATTACGCCCACATGGACTACAGGACACCCCTCTGTCACAAGCCCGGTGAAAACCATTCTCGATCAGAAATTTTCTGTGCTCTCCTTTCCAAAAATCGAATGACCCGGCCAATTTTTCCATTTTCCAGCGTCCCTTATAGCCCTTGAAAGCTGAAATTTTTTCCCCGTCTGTCTTAAGTTCCCTGTTTGGCTCGTCAGCCAACATGATTGCAAATATTACCCATTCCCTGCCAGCCCAAGACAAATCTTTCTGTCCTCAGCCATATTTTCCTGCTATCCTCCATCAAAAAAAAATTGTCGCCGGGCTTGTGTATCACACGGGAGATTCCTTATCGCCTTTCTTTATATATCGTTTTGCGGCCCAGTCAACTTCACTAGCCGAGGAGCTGTTAGTGCTCCTTGACAGCTATGACACGGAAAATGGAACTTAAAACAATTCGCAGTCACCTGTTTTGAAAAGACATTCAATAAGTTTATTCATGAGGTTTTCAGAAATTTTGTTATTGATACCTTTTTCTATTAAATCGGCCTATGTTTTTTAATCAGACTATAAATCTCATTCAATTTTCAAGAATAACGCCATTGCTTCAATATTAACAGTGCCGAAATCCGTTTTATCAGATCCCATGGTCTAACAAGACCTTTAGGCATGTGACCTTGAAAGTCAAGTTGCTGCTGGACACCAACTAACAGCGACCAGTCAATCAAAAAGCAGTGCTTCTCTCTGCCATAGCGATAAAGCAGTGTCATTTCAAAGTATTGTGTTGCCTTTTAATGCTATGCAATAGACTTATTGCAACTTGATTTCAATAGCTCGTGGTTGCCAGATTTCAAAGATACTGTAGCAGCTGGTCAACCGAAGTAGTCGCTTAATATGAAATCGAGCTCAAACAGTGAAACACACGACAGCGGCATTGAATTGCTCTGAAACAAACTGCTTTTACTTGAATAATAACTGACGCCATAATCACGACGAGGCCCGAGGCTTGCTGAGCAACAACAACTAAAGCAATGTTGCCCTTCTGTCAGACCCTTTAAAATCGTGTCTTGGAGTAAAGTGAAACAAATATTTGAAAACATTTTCTGTTCCAAGGTCATATAAAGGTTAGGAGAACATTTGCTTGTGTATTCATAACAATTTGGAGGTGCAATTCCAGTGAATACTTTAACAGCGAATGGTGCAAGACTTGATCCTTGTGGAACATCTTCGCACTGCTAAAGGCGTTTGTGCGGAAAGGAAAACGAAGGCGGTTTCGTTCCTATTTTGTCCTACTTTTAAAGAAGTTTTGCCTACTAATAAACGATTTTGGTGGCAAACTATTGAGAGTGGTTTAATCTATCTCAGCCTACAACAACGAAGAAAAGTAGTTGAGGTTTTTGAAGAATAGTTGATATTTTCTCTATTCTTTCAAAAATAACTTTTCCAGCATTGATTCTGGAGTGGAAAAGGAGGTTTGAATTTACTGAGGCAACCTAATGTAGAAAATTGCAAAAATTGCAGTTCTGGTCTTGCCTATGAAAGGTCAGGTAGCAACCAATGGAATTTTGGGTCTATAAAATAGGCATGGAACTTGCATCGTCAAACTATTTATGACAAGAGCCAGAGGGACTAGTTTTATGATGATCAAATCCTTGGGGAGCCAAGTTAGTGACATAGATTACATGGGCAAATCCATAAACAAAAGAACTTTCCCATGGGCAAATCCATAAACAAAAGAACTTTCCCATAATGGGGTTTGAAATGGAGCACTAAGAAGTCACCGACACACCCCAAAGGATCATTTTCAAACACATCGTAAATTTGCATTAAAGCGCGGGTAAACCGCGGGAAGAAGAGTCATAATTAATGACTTTTGGGCAATTTGAAATACTTAACCGCTTTTATCTTAACATTTAGCAAGACTGCAACAAGCCCGTGCTTTCAATTTTAACTCCGTAAGGTTAAAACCTATCAGCCTTTGGCAGACCTCCTTCGTTATCAGCGATCACAATTTCTGCTTCTTAATAAACATTGCATGCTTGCGGGTGCTAAAAAATGAATTTTTTCTTGCGTGGGGTGAAAAACAGTTATTTACTTCCATGATTGATTCTTTCTTCAAATTTCGTATCAAAAATTTCAAATGAAAGCACCTGTGTGTTGCTACGCAGTTACCAAGTTCTAAATCCATGGAAACTCGAATTAGGGCAGAATTCTATTGTCTGCATTCTTAGTCTTTATAAAACTAAATGCTTCTAGCTTTGGGTCTCTACAGAGCTCATCAGGGCCAGACCGTCTAGATCTCTTTTGCCATTTAAGAAATATCCCACTCCTGTGTCAAGGCCAACTCTGTCCGGTAAGGGAGCCAAAAAAGATCGTTAGCTTCACAGTCATCTGATTTCTTAAAATATGGTTATGTTGTTTTAATTAGCAAATTTGAATGTAGTCTTTAATTAGAAAATATCTCTCAAAGCACGCAAGAAAGCTACGGAGAAAGGCACACGAAAAGCCACGAAAAATCACACGAAAAAACGCACGAAAAAAAACAAGAATTAAACACAAGAGAAAACACACAACAGCAGACGGAAAACCACACGAAAAAGCACACGAAAAGCGCACGAGAAAGCACAAGAAAAGGCACACAAAAAGCCACGAAAAATCAAACGAAAAAAAGCACGAAAAAGAACAAGAAACAAACACTAGAGAAAACACACAAAAGCAGACGAAAAAGCACACGAAAAAGCACACGAAAAGCGCACGAGAAAATGTTCCCAGATCACATAGAAGAAGGATAGGGTTGATAGATAAACATTAATTTCTTCACTCTTCAAAAAGAAACCTTACTCATTCCTTTTATTGTTACGTCCACTTTCATTACGCGCTGCCGCTGACCATATCACCCGTTGACATCATTATAAAGATCTGCTACAAAAGTTCCTTCAAGAAAACGCCCTGGGTGTTCTTTAGATCTTTTACTTTTTGGGAGGGGCGTTCTTTTGAGGGGTTTTCAAGAAGGGAACGTTTTATTGAATTAATATGGTAGGTAGCAGGGTAGGTAGAAAGCTAATGGAGTGTCCAATCATACATTTGTCTAATCGTTTCAGTTTTTCATCTTGTTACTTTGCAATGATTCAATTTCACTTTCAACTTTTGCATCCAAATTTTACTTCAGAGACGCATTTTTTTACATCTGAAAATGAGGGCCTAAATCGGTAGCTTTCGGCTCCTCATCTTGTTATACGCAGTTCCGACCCTGCCATCGATACCCTCTTTAACTCTGTGACTGAGGGTATCGTGTTCACACCCACTTCAAAACAGGAGAAAACTGAATGCTCCCATTTTTCAATTAAATGCCCCATAAGCTTGCAATTGATACCTATTAATTATATATAAATATTACAAAATGAAAATATATTACAGAGCAGTGTTGTGCAAGTTTCTAATAATCAAAAAACCAATGGCTAAAAAGAAAGAAAATGGGACATTTTTCATTGGGGATCAAGTTTGCATGTTTGTAAACAGAGGGAGGTCACCAGTCTCTAACGCCCAAGAGTGAACCTATTCCAGCATTTCATGAGAAAAATCAAGGCTGATTTCTTTTTTCATAAATTGCTTTCCAATTCGACCCAGTTCACAGCTACACCGCCCTAAGGCTAGCAGAAGTTGACAATGTCCCTGTGGCCATAAGAGGTCGAGAATCAAAACCCTTCTCAACTACTACATTTTTATCCAACTTTTTCCAATGCATAAATCTTTGAAACGACCGTTCAACTGTGAACTACCAAATTTCATCACACAAATGTAACGTTCTCATGAATAACCGCAGATGACATCAATATCGTATTGAAGTAATTTCAAGAGATCTTCTGTGGTGTCAAGATTAATCTTCTGGTGATGTTGTTACTATGTATCCCACCTATAGCATATATGATATTGGCGTCAGGTCTTCAGGCATCCTACGCTAGATCTACATGGCTTCATTTCGTTTTAAGTGATAAGATAAGTACGTCATATAGGTCGACCAGAAAATAGCTTGTTGCGCTTCTTTTGTCCTTGTGAAAGGTATTATGTTTAAAACGATTTTCAAGCTAGGCCATGGGATCTTAATAGCTTATAAATTGTTCTTTAAACCTGATGGTTCTTAATCTATTTGGTGAATGATCATGATTTGTGCATTGATCGCATATCTTAAAACCTCGGCAGGCTTGATATCCTGATAAAGGAGAATCGGCTCCCCTTCAAGCATGATACACTCATTTTTTTATAGGAAACAAAGGTCGATGTTGAGTACTCCAGTTTCTTAATGTTCTGGAAATTTCAATACTCATTGTTTCTTAAGAGTTTCTTTATTATGATGTCATGAATGATGTTATGAAATGTTCGTGACTTTTTTATCACGTCAAGAGATCTAGGCTAACAGGGCAATCTTGTTCTTGGATTTTACAAATTTTGTTGTTCTCAGTTTTATCACGATTTAATAGTTTCTTAATTTGTTTGCTTCGAGTTCTGAAGTTTCTTAATTTTTTTCTGACTGTCCAGTACTCGTTTCTTATAGCCAGTTTCTTATAAAAAATGAGTGTATGATTGCCAATGGAAACCGATTCCAGGGCCCCCGAAGAGGGGGACCGGTCGGCATGCCACTCCCACTTTTTTCAAAAGAAAAGAATTTGCTTGTCATACAAATGAGCTGACTTTGCAAAATCTTTGTCATGAGTCTTATTTCGACCATGACCCAATACCCGCTTTTCAAATTGCATCTCAGCCTATGCTTTCCCTTAGTTTTGACCTCCTGCCCCCAGAACAACCCATCAGCCTAGAGGATATTTCGTGTTTTTTTACTATTGAAACGGATGGGCAGAGAGCTGGAAAAGTGGATGTCATCCTAATGTATTTAGGATTCGTAGAGAAGACGCTAACGAGAAGGACCGGACTAACGGTTGTAAACTAGCATTGTGATACCTCGCAACTGTTAAGCGAGTGGACAACAACAGTCAGTTTCAATTGAATAAAAGAATTATAACTTTTATCACATATTCTGATATTTTATCACATAATCTAATTTAAAAAACGGCCAAAAAATCATTGCTTTTTACAATATTTATAGAAAAATGAAAAATGATAAATACGAGTCTCATATTTCAGAGCTGCGAATCAGTTCAAATCGATTGCATTTGTTAATCTCTAGGCACATGCAGCAATCCCTGCAACTCCTTTGGCAAACTGTGTGATTCTCATTCTACTGGTCAATCTAAAGTACCACTCACTATACTTTTAGCTGTAAAAATAAAACATGGACAAACAGATAACTACACAGATATGTTATTATTTTTTCTTCTTATTCTGTAACCCAAACAAGCAGTTGCAAAATACCGATGTATTAGAAAGGAAAGGTTTTAAATAGAATCGACAACGGAAATTTTAAACATAGCTGATTGAAGCTTGCATTTACTAGCCTGCCTGCAGACTCTTGAATTGAATACATTTGCAATTCAATTCAAGAGTCTGCAGGCAGGCTAGCATTTACAGGATAAGATCAATATGTAACTTAAAAAACGAAACATAAATTTTTTTTTTCAAAATCTCCAAAAGTGAAGAATATGTACTTATAATTTAATAAGGTCATGGAGACGCGTGTAAAGTATCCAACCAATGCCATAGAATTTCTAAACAGGGCGAGGCAGCCGTGAACGGTAAGTAGTAATAAGAAATGAAATCGTATCCAGACCCTAAACTATTTTGATGGGCGTTGCATTTAGACGGGACCTCAAGGATTCGAACACTCTCGGATCCCCTGGATCCCCTATCCGATCTATTTTCGGATCCGGTACCGATACGATCCCGTCGCGGATCCGGTTTGGGATTCAGCACGGACGCTTCAAAAGGTGATCCGGTACCGATCCGATCCCGAAAAGGCCCCGTGGAAACGGCCGGATCTGAGCTAGATCAGTACGGATAGGCATCGAGGGATCGAGGCTGAGGAATTCAATGACAAGACACCTAGCCTTTCAAAAAGAAAGCTTTGTCTGGCATCAGAAAGCATCGTGCGTTTAATTGTTTTTAAAATACTCTAAGGGTTCGAAGCGATCATTGATATACATGTCAGGGTTGTCAGATTGGGAATTTCCGGACCGCAGTTTCGAAACTTGGGCAATTTTAGAGTTAAATTTCTTTGAAAATTTGTTTTTTGCCTACTACTTAAATTTGGCCTTTTTCAGCATAGATTTTGAGGAAATTTCTTTGTTCTATTTATATTTTAACACTTTAAGTAACATTCAAATTTTAAGAATGAAAGAGCAATGCTGCACTGTGCAAGCCCAAGTTTCAAAAGTTATCACCTTACCCAGCAATAAGCAAGGAACATTTTTTAAAGTTTTACAATTTCTCTTTTAAGTTTGGAAATTTTTTCAAAAGGTGCGTGTGTTGAAACATATATACCACGCTTGTGTGGTGTTGTTAAAGAAAATTATCCAATTTGGCCTTTTAATCCTGATACATGCAACATTGAATCATGTTTCTGTTCCTAACTTCCATGCCGTCAGCCCAAAAGAACAAGCTTCTTATTCCTTTAGCCATCAACATTTCGAAAGTAAATAAAAATAGTTGTACACTCTGAAATCTAAAATCCAGGGCGATAGTAATGACTACTTAAATGAATTCGTTCATTTTGTGATAATTTTTATTGTGATAATTATTCGCTCATGATCAAGTTTTAATCATTTTCGCAAAAAAAATTCACAGGCTAGGCTCAAATTCACAGGCAAGAAAAAAAGATTCAAAGTGTTTCCTATGTCCATTATTGCAAAATTTACGACAATAGCTTAAACATTCAATAGTTTAGACCGCCATTTTACATGCTTATACAGACGAAAAATGTCAATTTACAGTAACTGAAAGTGAAGCTAAAGGACACCAAGATATATCAAAACCCTGAAAGCTTTTGCTAGATGCTTAATGGAATCTGAAAATAGATCTCACAAATGATACATCTTGTCAACATGACAAAACAGCTTATAGAAATGTCTTATCAAAGGTTTTTATAATCTTTGTAATTTGTCATAGGTTGCAGCTGTTTTCGAGGGATAAGAACAATCTTAAAAATGAAACCAAATCTTGAAGTTCGAATATGTATTGATACAAAAATATACATATACCTTGATCGGTAATATAACAAAAGCTAATTACATAACTATATAAACATATTGTTGATTGCTTTCGTTTGCTAAATACAAAACATTTCTCAATTCACCATCAGTCGCTTCTAATAGAAAGTTCGATTACTAGGGAGCAAGTATCTTAGTTTATTTGCCACCAGGCCCGCAGCAGAAACGCGGGCAAACTGGGGCACATGATTGCTGGCAAACTGGTGGGCACTGTCCTGGTTGTTGTGGCATCGTTGGTGGTTGTTGTGGCATAGGCATAGGCTGAGGCATTGGTTGAGGCATTGGTTGAGGCATAGGTTGAGGCATAGGTTGAGGCATTGGCATTTGCATCATGGGCTGAGGAGGCATCATAGGCATCTGCATTGGAGGAGGTTGACCCATGGGACCACAGCAAGAGTGCGAGCATTGGGGTGCACATTGCTGGGCACAGATCTGTGGGCACTGGTTCATCATCACCTGTTGGGGTGGAGCTGGGCCACAGCAGCTGTGTGGACACTGAGGGGCACACTCTTGTCTGCATTGTTGTGGACATGCCTGTGGGGGAGGAGGTGGAGGGGCTGCTTGAGGCAAAAATGAGATTTGAGGCTTACTGAAGGTGACAGAGAGCATCTGTGGTTGTTGTGGTGGAGCCATTTGCATGGGACATGCTGGTGGAGTGCAAGGCATTTGCATTGGCATCTGCATTGGCATTTGCATAGGCATCTGTGGAGGCATTTGCATAGGCATCTGCGGAGGCATCTGCATAGGCATCTGTGGAGGCATTTGTGGAGGCATTGGTGGCTGGCATCCCGGAGGCATACAAGGCATTTGTTGTGGCATTGGTGGTGGCATCGGGAGGTTTTGCATGCAGCAGCTTGGGCTGCATCCTTGAGCAGCGCATGTTTGCGGGCATGGTGCAGGGCAGTGAAGAGGTGGGCCATACTGTTGGATTGCAGGTGCCACACTGTCACCTAGAGGTCCTACAGAGTAATAGAAAATGTTTCTTACGAACCTTTCCTATGTCGTGTGAATTATCTCTTGCAAATTACATTTGTATATACAGGGACTCACGGCAGGGCACCAGTGTCCATACATGAGAAATGGAGTATCTACATATCATATTAATGGTGAACTGGATAACCAATTGCAATTGAAATGGATAACCAAAAATATTGATATTTGAAAAGCTCACTTGCTCACTTTCATCTAAAAATTCACATTTTGAAGTTTATGTCTAATCGAAACTTTTGATTTACAAAATATTGTGTACAATGCCTGTCAAAAGTACTTGGAACACCCAGCAATTTACGCTGCATTTGATATCTTTCATTCCTTTCATGAAAAAAAATTGCTACTTCCGCCCCGTTCCCCCTAAAATAATGTTGATGATTTAGAGAAACATCATAAAAGAAGCGCAAAAGAAAGTGCTTCATAAAATCCTAACCCGTTTGATAGTAAACCAACATTGTTCTGTAGGGGAGAGGGGGATGATTTATTTTGACCTTGGAAATTGATGTCAGTGTTTCAAGACTTTTGGCAGGCATTGTAGTTAATTTGAGTCTATTAATGAGTGCATCTAAAATAGTAGCACATTATTCACCAACATTTATTGTGCTTTAATGTTTTGCGGATTTTTAAAAAGACAACAATTCTTTTAGTTAAGCAGAAATTTGCAAACATCTATTCCAAGCATTTATGACTTTTTTGAAGAGCCAAGAAGATACTTCAAAGAAAGCAATTTAGTAAAGCATTTTGAAGTAAGATCTTTGTTTAATAAATTTCTTGAATTATCGGTACAAAAACTTTGCAATGTTTCCATTAACTTGTCGAATTGTATTGGAAGGCAAATCTTACAAAACATAACTTTTTCTAGATAACTTTTTTACTCTGTATCTAGACTATCTAAACTGCCATTCGAATACATATCATGAAATAGATAATTCATAGCAAATTACATTTAGTTATTTCTGACACGCACTTTTCATAAAACAAACAAACAAATATTGGCGTTTCGTTTTTCCCCGTTGTTCGTTGTAAAATTTATTTTGCTTCGAGTTTTTCGAGGGCAGGTCTTGCCAACATGAGGTAGCTCCAAGATCACTCTAGCCCTTGAATTTAACGTACATCAATAATTTCTAAAAGTTGGAATTTAACTAATTATGATTCAATGTGTTTTTTTTATATTTTAAGTTATATTTAGATTCTTTGGATTACAATTTGTAGTAAGCTCTTTCTCGTGAAACCAATCCTTGCTCTTTTAAAAAAAGTAAAATTCAATATTGATATATCGTCAATCCCGTAGACAGCAAAACTGGATTGGAAAGGGGAGCATGGATAGAAATATAGCTTTTTCTATACCTGCCTTCGAAATACTGTCAGATCAAGCTGCGCTTTTAAAATCTTCGAACTCAATTTTCGCAGATTATTGGGGGGAAATTGGGGGCATTGCCCCCTGCCCCTATTGTCTCATGCCTGTTTATCATTGAAAAAACAACACTGAAAGAATCTATACTAACTGCATTTTCATAAAGCACATAAAAAGGAAGGGTGTAAGACTGAATGCTTATTTTAGAGTTCATAAGCTGCGGGGGGAGGGGGGTAAGCATTACATCAACACTTCCTTGTGACTGTAGGAAGATAGAGGTTTATAAATAATATGATGATGCCTTGCCCTCAGAAGTTGGGGAAAAATAAAGTATTTCCGTTGAGATCATCTAGATATCACGTAAACACATCTAGAGGAGGGGGGTGGTGCCCACCCGTAAGAGAATGTGACCCTGACCATTACGATAGAGAGTGATGCTCATTAGAGGTATTTTACGGTACTTTTTTATTTGTTTAATAAATATCCATATGTTTTTTATAACTTTAAGAAAAAAATAAGGACTAATTGTGAGCTTTCAACCCAGAATTTCCACCTTTTTTAGTAGGGGTGGCTGGAAAACTGTGTTTCGCTACGTAATATTTACATGACCCTATTTGTGCTTAGACGTGTGTGTGTGTGAGTGTGCAGTGCATCGATCTTACCGACGCCAAATGACGCTGCATTTCGCAATGCCGAATTCATTTGATGACTGGCAACGCTGAGCTTACCTGAAATAGACAAAAAAGAGGTCGTTATGAATTTGTGAGGTACTCTATATCAATTACTAGTTTTACATCAAGTATTACTACATGAAACATTGCAATAAGCAGGATTGTTGATCAACGATGTTGCAAACTGCTCAAGGTTAGAATAGGTAAACTTTTGAGGTAATAATAGATAAAGTTAGAAAAAAAACTCTGCTCTTGCTCAACAATTTATTCAATACATCATCTGAATATAAATTGGCATATCAATGAATAATGATGAGAAAGTTCACGAAGTTTTACAAAAATGTGTTGAATCTGGTCTAACGTTCTGGATTGGACAAAACATATTGTGCCTAGTCTCTGATTGGCTGAATAAATAACCCACGTGTGAGATTTCCTAGGGACTTTTCCAGGGGGACATATCCAGCTTTTAACTTCGGGAAGAACCAGGACCCTTTCAACGTTTGACTTCACTTGTTTTTATCTCTTTTTTGGAGAATGAAGTCAAAGATTTTCTTAATTTTTGAGGAATGCAACTAAACAAACGAAGAGTGGCCTTGTAAAAGGGAATTTTTTGCCCCCCCCCCCTTATTCCCATTGCCACTGCTAGTTACTAAGCAACAAATTCCTGTTATCAGTGGATATTTGACTGCATCTACCTACCAATACTTTCTGTTAAGGCAGTGTGCAAGTTGCTGGCAGCAGCCATTGCTCCTGAGTGGCTCGCAATGTTCACTAGAAACAGTAAGACAAATAGCTTACATAAATCGATCGTTTTTGCTTCAGTATCCAAAACTTTAACTTGTTAGTAATGTTAGGGTTAGAAAATGAGTTTTCTTTTCTTTTTTGTAGTAAAGACAGTCAAACTTCCACTGATAACAAAGTCACATTGCGAATCACCCAAAGCTCCAAATTTACACAGTACCAAAGACGCCGGCTTTATGGGGGCTTGGGAGCTCAAGCCAACTGGGGCGTTTTTAGGGGACTCAACCACCCCTTGCAGCTTTTATAATGAGAACAGATTTTCGGTACAAAACTATTCAAGCATTTTGTCTCGATTTTTAAGAAGGAAATTATGAAATGCGCTTTTAGAATAATTGACGTATTTATCACGAGCACCTTGCAAACGACATGAGCAACTTTTTCATGACAAATTGTACACTCACAGTTTTGAGCCACCTTTAAGAAAATGAAAAGTTGGCGCCTTGCAGTGCACTACAAATAATATCGACCTGGTGTGAGAAGGAGACTATCAAAAGCTTAACAGGGCTCCAGACACATGGGAGGGCAGGGCCTCATACAGAGGGAGGGCAGGGCCTCAGACACATGGAAGGTTATTTAAGTACACTCTTTTCTTGTGGGAAAATTTTATAAGAACGCGAGCCTCAAAACTGGTCAAAAGTTAAGAACAAATTAAGAACAAACTGAGGCTGAGCTTCTGCAAAATGCAATTTGGAACAATGTTTTTTCTCAAAATCGGGGATTTTTAGCGATGTGTGGGTGCTTTTTCGGTAAATATTCAAATTTGACAGCAAATTAAGGCTGTCTCACTCACTTTGTTGGCAAATGAGGCCTGAACACCTCCTTAGAGTGAAAAAGGCTAGCAATAGCACTGCTTACACCCTCTTAATTTAAGAACAAATTAAGAACAATCCAGCCTCAGATTTTCGAGAAAATTAAAAACAGTCTGCCTGAACTTAAATTTACTGGTTCTTATAAAAAAGGGGCATATGCCCCTTCCTCCTATCTTAGCAACTTTCAAATTGCATTAGGCCCTTTGTTATAGCTACAATGATATTGATGGCGTTTTTAACCGGACAGATGTGCAAAGCTGTAGATTTTTCAACAAAATTTGTTAAAGTTTTCAACTTTGCCGCATTGTCCGCGTCTGTTTTGCAGTGCAACTAAAAATTGTTCTTATTTCAACCTCAACATGTTTTATTGATGTTCAGTAATTTCTAATTTATGTTCAATTATTATAAAAAAACGTTTAGCTTATGTTTATTGAAATTATGCTGTTGACAAACAAAATCTCTTTGCAAAATATGAACGGATGAAACTTCACAAGCAGGTATTGATTGGCAGGCATTGAAAAAGCCCGAATTCCCAAATCATTATAAAGCTGCAATGCTATTCAAATTTGCCATTTTCGCACGCGTTTATCTTGAATGGGAACCGAAAGTTTATGCGCCGAATTGACGCAAGTTCAGGTGCGATCTCAAATCTTTTAGCTTTAAACTGATTTCTAATTAGTAAATTCATTGTGAATGTGTAAAATGGGTGTGAAATTCCAATTAATTAAGGCAAATGAGATTGCTTTTATGGCACTTCCCGGCATTGTTTTTAAGAGAGAATGTTTACTTCAGTCTATTTTATTGCTAAAAATAGCATTGTTTTCATTCTCGGTGTTTTCCATTTAAGATTCATTTTGAAATAACTTCTAGTAAACAATGCAGAATTATCTCCTTACCTGGTGCTTGTGCGGGAGCATTTTGTGGAGGAGCATCCTGCGCATCGTCATTATTATCGTCGCTGCCAATTTCCTCTAGATTAAACGAAAAAATCATACCATTATACATATGTGCATTAATAAATTAAATATTCGAAATTGATTATGCAGCTACCAGGAAGGCAATGTTCTAAGTTAGTTTTTAACAACTTTCTTATCAATAATGTCATTGTTGTTTGACCCTTTTTCAAAGATTTATGGTCCAAGCAAAATAACTGTAATCGTTTAGAGAATGAAACATCTTTCTTTGCTAATATTTCGGCCAATTTGTAACATATTCATAGATATACTGTTTAGTGTTTTGTGGTCTGAATTCATAAGTTCGATTTGTAACACCAACGCTTCCCCCACTTTGTATGCTCATTAAGGAAGTATCGACGTTTGAGAAATTTTCGCAATTTTTTTCTAAATTAATTTTGACACTTTAGCTCACGATCTACGCCAATTTGTTGAATATAAGAAATAGTATTTAAAAATTCAGTCGTGATTTCAACAAACTTTTTGGCAAATAACAAATACCCAGTTCACTTATGTTCTTCATTTTCACAGAAAACTACAACCGCAGACAAGACCAAAATAAAATTAACCTTTCGTCTCTGCTTCCTTGTGTTTTACTTTCCTTGCTTTGTGTTTAAGACCTGTTACGATATAACAAGAGCAAAAAAATGTTAATAACAAAACTGAAATAACATTTGTCGTACATGAGTAATACAATGTACACAGAGATGTTAGCACTAAGATCTAGTATTATATGAAATACTCAAAGTGTTTTAAGTCTCTTTTTTAATAAACAGACTTTGAATTAACGATTGTGAATAATGACTATTCTTTGCATTAGATATGAATATAAACATTAATTGTAATTTGTACATTAAATATTTTAAGTATGCTGTTTCCGATTTTAATTTACGTGTTAAAGCTTTGTGGTACCGCGGTCTGCATTTAGGAAGGGAAAGGACTAACGTTGTGTTATATTTTACATTCCACTGTTAATAAAATATATATGTTAACTAAAAGACAGTCGAAACTCAAACAAACCACAAGAAATGCACAAAGATATGTTTTCATCTCCTAAATGAATCAAAGCAAACAAACAAACAAACAAACAAAAGTTTATAAGATATTACTTGATACAGTAGCAAACGCCGTTTTCTTTATATATGTTTTCCCAGGGCATTTAATTAATTGAATCTACTGCGGTTATTCTGGCCAATGATAATAATAATAGAAAATATGATAACAACTGGATAATTGGCCTATACAATAAACATGCAATAAAAATATTCGTAGTGTTTGCTGGTATTTTGATATTAAAAAGTTTGATATTTTACGAGCAACATTTCATTACCTCTGCGCGGTCTGCCTTCGGCGTCAAGCACAAGAAGTATCACGACAATGAGGAGACAAAGATGCCTCCAGAAGGGACTCATGGTTGTCTGTGGAAGAACAAGAAGAAATTTCATGTTGAGTTACTATATGCTGACATACCCTTCTTTTTTCGAAGGTGACGCAGGGTAGGGAAGGAAAGGAGGCTGGTGTCAAGCGAACCCAGTCATCCTTTGAAATATGTGTTCTATCTGGCCCTACTCAACAAAACTCAATTTTTTTTTGGGGGGGGGGGGACAGAAACCCATTGTATTCCTTCTCATTCAATACACTGTTACAAAGGAAATATACTGCAGATTGAGAATTATCAGGGGGCTCTAGCCCCCACCCCTTCGGTTCCGACGGCCCTTAGTTACTGACAAGCAGAATCTATAAGTATTGCTTGTTTAGCATGTAAAACGTTTTGAAATTCTTGATAAAAACATCTCCTTCGTTTTTGATTTTACTGTTAGTTCAAGTCACAAATCATCACGTTTTTAGTCAGGGAGCAATTCCCTCTAATTTTTTGCCATATTTTAGCAAATATTTCTAGAAAAATTACAAGTGGAACATAGATGTACGGCAAAGAACTTCAAAGTGAATGCTTTTGTTAATTGCATTTTGCTACCATTTTGCAAAATGGCCCGTATATATGAACAGATGGAGACTCTTGCAAAACATTAACCTGAGGACCAAAATGAATACGCATAATCGTCCAGATACAAAAATGTTAGAATTCAAAATTGGTAAGCTTTCGATATAAGCTGTAGCACACACAAAGTGTACCAAAACGCAGGCTGCACCGATTTATTTCACTTTGATCTGAACTCGGTTTACTATTTTCACTTAGGAAAAAGCAACAAATCTGTTCAATGTATGATTCTTGTCATTTGTCTCATTCCCTTCACTCGATGACTTAGTATAATGCCGTCTGTATGTACGGGACATTTAAAATTAACGCATGTTCTCTAATAAAAACCTCTTGTAGAGCCGCCTCCCCCTATAACACAAAAGTGTAATAAACCTCTCTTTTTCATAAACGCCGCACATATAAAACTGAGGTTTCATTAAAACTGAGATTTACTGGAACAGAAAATAATTTCTCTGAATTTACTGGCATATTTTATGTTCAATGTAACACTGTCCCTTACTGCTCTGTTCCTTTAACTTAGCAAAGAAAATATCAACATTTTCATTTGTTCGCTCGAATGATCTTAATCACTTCATTGAAGAATTCAAATTTATAAAATGTATGACTTTAAAAAATAATTTCTAAAATGATCGATATGTCCTTATCAGACATAGTCAAAAGAAAAGTCGTAATTGTTGATTGTAAAATTTGTAAATAATATCAGTAACTGTCGTTGCCAAAACTTCTCCAAAGACCTGCCTAGAAACTGTTCCTTTTTATAATCTCCTACAAAAAGTTGACTTTTATATTCTAACCCACCGAAGAGTATGTAAAAAATGCTCGTTAAACTTACTTTCGTAGAATGTCTTTGTTGTTTGACTTCGAATAAAATTAAAATTGTTTTTTTACAAGCAGAAAATGTTAAGATTGCGAATGAAACTATCTACTGGATGGTGTTTGCATTGATATTCAGTGAAAGCATTCAAGCTTGACAGATGTGCGTCCCATTTGCTCAAGTACCAAACGGCGCGAAATGATGCTTTGTGGCGTGCTCAGGTAGCAGGTGAACGTCTATTCAGATCGATGATCGTTAATGCACACATTTGCTGCTCCATTCGCGAGAAGCGACGAACTGCGACGATTCAAGTCAATGCTTGTTAAGATGCTCTTTATTACATTGTATCCGAAATTGCTTAAATGAAAACTGCGAGAAAATGGTCTTGAAGTTTAGTAGCTATCTTAGGGATTGCTGCAAAGCATTGTGGGGAAACAGTTTGATCATTGTATGCCAAAAGATACTGGATGTTTTATGTTGTAAGGACCTGCTTTACGAGAAATCAGATCTCATTGAGGTGCCTCAGGGTTCCTGTCTTGGCCCTATTTTACTCCTAGAAAATACGTTATGACTTTTTCTATTCTCAAAGCCTAGGAGCGCAATCAAAGATAAATTTTACAATCAACAATATATCCAACAGAAGCAATATCGATTAATGAAAATCAACTTTAATTGAAAATTTTGAAAACCTTAAGTAAAAGGGCTTACATTCATTATCCGTTAAACAAAAACTAAAATTTCTTACTAATTAACTTGACTCTTTTTAAAATTTTATCAAATTTTGAAAATTTTTTAAAATCCACATATGTGCGAGAAACATGTTTATGCTTATAAAATAAAATATTAATTTTGCAATAACTTAATTCTGGATAGGAAGTATATTAAGACAGAAGCTGCACAGAAATGTCAATGAATGAATTCCGCTAGTTTGGCACCTACAATCAGAGGGAAATTGTCATTAGTAACAGATTGGCTTTAATCATGATAAAAACATGATTATTTTCATAAATATAGCTACAGAGGGAATAATGGCTGAAGGTTGTTGATTTGGAGTGAAAATTACAGAAAAAATGTGAAGTGGAAGAAAGAAGGACACAGTACCAAACATTGGCACATTGCATTTACTATAAGGATGAAACACGGTTGAAAAAAGTAATGTTTAATTGTGTGATCCTTAAATGTGAAGGTAGGAAAGCTGAGGGCTTTTCAAGGACCTGGGACAAAAAAAGGGCTCGTGATGGCGTCTTTTCAACTTTGACGTATTGGGGTCCCTCTCAGCTCTGAGGCAATCTGTCCCCTGTTCACCCTTTTTGCGGGTCTCTGAGTGGGTAGCAATATCGGATACAATTTCAAAGAAAGGCAAAAGCCAAGACTTGTGCCATCCTAATGGTTTCAGTTAAATGTTATGAGGAAAGTGAAAGGCAACCAAAAGGTGAGATTGGATGAGAGCGACTTTTTCAACATAAAGTCATGTGTTTTCGAGCCTTTCTTGACAAACGTCGCTTTTATAGCTACAGAGTTTCATTTCTTCAAATTCATGGAAAACATTTATGAAGTATGTATTGAAAAGCGCCTTGTTTTACTGAGAGGCATGTCATAATCTACGACTGGTGCCAAAGACACATTTTTGGGCCCCGAGATCAGATAAACGCTCGACACAAACTGCCCGCTTTCTTTTACCAGAAAAGATTCAAAACCACACCACCCTACAGACACAACTAGAGGTTAGCCACTAGACGTATTTCATTGCCCATTGTCGCTTAAACATTGTTTGCAAACGTTGTTCAACGCAGAAATAACTCTTTATTTGATCATGACGGGACAAAATGCAGTGTGCTGACATTGCTATGTCCAATAACACCGACTGATTAGGGAAAAGTGTTATTTGGGGATAATCCTGCGATTTCATAGTTCTGCATAATTTCCAAGTGAATGTAAAGTCTTGGAAAGAAATCCCTGCTACCATCAGGAAGCTCCCTGCTTCGAAACAATTTAAAAAACACCTCAAAATACATTTGAGGCGCTGAATTCAACTCAGACACGACTCCCTGGAAGATCAGCCCTACTCTAGTGTTATGAATTTTTATGTATATTTCTATTTTTATGATTGTAAATTTAGTTTCTGCTGATGGGATTTCGTGTATAAATAATATATAAAAATAATAATTATGAATAATATAAGAACCAGTAAATTTAAGTTCAGGCTGAATATTCATAATTTTTTCGAAAATATGAGGCTGGATTGTTCTTAATTTGTTCTTAAATTAAGAGGGTGTAAGCAGTGCGATTACTAGTTTTCACTCTAGGATGGTGTTCAGGCCTCATTTGCTAACAAAGTGAGTGAGACAGCCTAAATTTGCTGACAAATTTGAATATTCACCGAAAAAGCACCCATACATCGCTAAAAATCCTCGATTTTGAGAAAAAACGTTGTTCAAAATTGCATTTTGCAGTAGCTCAGCCTCAGCTTGCTCTTAATTTGTTCTTAACTTTTGACAAATTTTGAGGCTCGTGTTCTTACAAAAAGAAAAAAGGCCAGTTTGGTTTTTTTCCAATGAGACGATTTTTTCCACATAATATCGTAAGAAGGACGCGAAAAAGGAGAACCAAATTAAATTAAGGAAAATACGATATTTCTTATGAAAATATATACAGTGTTTTAAAGAAGTGCAAATGTAACTTTATGGTCAAAATGCATTTAATATTAACATAAAAGTAACTACACGAAACAAAATAGACATTAAATTACATTAAAATGATACACACGTATAGTATATATATTATTCTAAAAACAAAATACATAATCGAAAGAATTCCATTTACCCAAAATATTTAAAATTATCAACTAACATATCTACGTCATTTAACTAAACTCCCAAAGGAAAACGGGCTGTTCCAAAATAACTTTCATAAAATTAAAAAAGTCCCTAGAGGCGAATGAAACTGAAAACATAATTCATCAGGGAAAAGGAAATATTATGACATTGATAAATTCAAAACTTACTAAAAGTATCATGGCGATTGTTGATATTTTTTAAGACTTCGTATGTTGGGCATTAAAAGTGATTATATGTATTGTCTATAACCATATGGTTACAAATTCTTCCCAGGTTAACACAATTCCGATAGAAAAGTAGCTGATTTTGTCAACATGAATTAATCCATTCCGGCTGTTTTTTACAAAGTTACACTTTCCTTCATTGAGGACATACGAGGCATTCAAAATAAATTCGAACTAAATTCCTTTTTGCCTAGAAGCGAGACAGTAAAGAGGAAATAATATATACTGTTTTGTTTCCAAACATAACTTGAACCGGAAGCCGGTATCGCCAATTCGGCAACGTATGGAAAGTATCAAGAAATTGCTGATGAATAAAAAGATAAAAAGAAACAAAGTTTATGAAATAAAACACAGTACGGTATCAATTTACCCAGCATCTAAAAACGGCAGTTCGATCGTCGATAAGAAAACAAAAAACTCTGTCATAAAAAATTAACTTAATATCAATGTTTTGATAAAAAATAAACATTAAAAACAAAACTTATTGCTTAAGATCAACTTGCTATCGGCGGTATACATAATCAACGATGCTTTATTTGAAAATTCTAATGAACTGATGATTTAAAATTACCGTAAAAAAGGCTTCTTATGTTTAATTAAAACAGTTTTCTAACTCCCCGTTTGACGTCGTTAAATTTCGACCATTGACCCAATTGAGATAAAAAACAGAAAGAAGTGCTTAGAATTACTGTGGGCCCGCTGCTGATGGGATTTCAGGATTAATGCTCTTGTGAAATTCTCGTCATGCCACTGAGGAGATAACACGGAAACATTCAAGTGTTCGAGGGGTTTATGGGGGCAACGATTATTAACAAAAGTTTAATAGTATTGCTAAACGTTTGGCGGAAAATTCTTTGAGGGATATCACTTAGGCTCTGAGTTAGAGATCCAAACAATGGGAATTTAATAGATTGTTGCTTTTTATTTAAAAACAACGGAAACCGCTAAAGAATCAGAAAGAAAAAATCAACCGAAACCATGTCGCCAGATTGAAAATGCCCAGGAATTGCAAAAATTTGTGAGGTAGGTTTCAGACCACAATCCTAACTGTTTGATGCAAACGCAATAATTGTTTATTTGCTGCAAATACCTTGAATTTAAATTATGGCATTTAACAAATTTAGCTGGTTATAAACCCTCCCACGGAAACAGTAGATATGCTTTGATTACCTGGGCCAATATGCACGCGTTTTGGCAGTAATTTTGAATAAATATGACTGCATATCAAGCACTATTTTGACCGGGCCATTATTGGCGCCAAAGGGATGCAAATTACAACCAGATATAACAGCTGTTTGTCAAAATGCGTGGGAAAGCGCCCAAGAAAGGAGCGCCCATATCAATATATGAATTCTAACATAACTTGGTGTGGTTGTAAACGCCAGGCATGTCAACAGCAATATCAAATTATGACGTAGGTCTCTCCAACCTCCTTGAATTTTCATCTCCGCAACACAGTCTTTTCAAGAGAAAAGTCAAAATTAACATCAGGAAGCCTCGGACTAAGGGGTGGATTGTCTCGTAGTATCTCTCGAATATGCATTTCCAGATCATAAGTCGAGGATTCGAAGGGAATTCCTTCTAGAGTCAATTCGGTCATGTCGATTGTCATCATGCGCCGTAACATTGGTCGGCGAGTAGTCCGCGTCGGCGTCTGCACTGGCGGCGAAACTGACACTTCAGATTCTGTCTCCACACTCTAAAATATGCAATTAATTAGTCGAATAAGGTTCTGATTCTACAATGGGCTTTAGCAGATAAAAATTCAAAAAAGTAAATTGTAACAATTTACTCACTCATTCAACCTTTCATAAAATCTGAGATGTTGGAACCAGTGTTGTGAGCCAGGGGTATTCTGTGCCCAAGGGGTATTCTGTGCCCAAGGGGTATCATGTGCCCCCTAGCTTTTGGAAATGCCCTTTTCCAAAAAGTAACCACTTTGTCCTTTTTCTGTGACATGGTGCCCCTTCCTACCCCTGCCCCCTAACATTGGAATGGTTCTGATGTCCCTCTATAATTTAACTGGGTACTGGATGTTGCAGGAAGTAATTAAAAACAAATAAATGCATTTCAAAACTTAATTTAAAAATGGCTTTGAAAAAAGCAAACATTTGAGTAGACTAAAGCTTTTCGTCTGACACACTTCAGAGTTTAAAAAGTCAGACATAGAAACCACTACTGTGTAGACAAAAAGAATTTCACCTTAGGACTCCATTGGTAACAATCTAAAAATAGGCAAGCAGCACTAATTGGTCAACCTCAACAGTCATGTGCTCGTGTTTTCTGTTTGGCCTATTTTGATCCACAACTGGGTATATATATTTCCTAATGTAGAGTTTTTGATCTATGTTATGACGTTTTAAACTCTGAAGCGTGTCAGATGAAAAGCTTTAGTTAATTTGATTTCAATGAAATCTGTATTTAGCATTTACAGCTATGTAGAAAAAAACCATTTTCAAGCAAGATATTTTGCTTGAAACAGACACAATAATGATGACTTGATGACAAGACTTCAATTCAGTAAGTATATAAATAGAAAGAAAGGCCTGTAAATTATTTAAGTAACATGACCGACATTGAACTAAGATTCAATAAAAACCTAAAATAAAAAAAATGATTTAGAATCCAAGTTTGCTGTTTAACATTTCAGGTTTAAACGTTAAAGAAAAGTTGCCTTTAAAATTTTTGATATTGCAAATACATTTTACAAGAAATATCTAAATTAAATTGTTTAGTTTGATGACGATGCAATTGAGTCAAATGTAAAATAAATATTGTTAAGATGTTGATAATTGCACTCAACAAACACTTCTTGAAAAATAGTTTACAGCCTCAATTTTAACAGAAATATTTTATGTATTAACTATATATATATTCAAATTTATTTTATCTGATTATAATCTTGTATTTTGTTATTGCTATTTTAATTAAATGTATGAAAACCTTTGTAAGAGCTATTTCTGCCTACATTTTTTCTACGTGTAAAGAAAAAATAACTTCATTTACACAGTTTACAGAATAATATATTTATTGGCAAAATAATTAGTGGAATTTTTCAAATTATTAGAACATAAATAATTAATGAGCACCTATTCATCATTTTGATCTACAGAAAAGCAAATGGCCAGCTAACGAAGAAATTTTCAAAGTATTACATCAAATATAAGTTTTACTTGCTAATATTCAAAAATGTCAGTCTGATGTTACGTAGGACTGGTTTTTCCTTATGAACGCCGAAAATGAAGCCAGAGCATGAGTTTTTAAAGGGAGATTTTGTTAATAAATTCATGTGACAAATATCTACCAGGGACTTTGGGACACCTGCCGCCACCGGCTTTTAGATTAACATATAAATAAAATCAATTGTTTAATAACAGTTTCTTAATCAGAGACAGACACTCTTTTGTTCCCCTTTAAAGCCGACAGCTGCCTGATTAGGGATCTCAACGTGCTTCTTCAACAATTCTATCAACAAAATTGCTGAAGGACAATTCAAAAATAAACGCAGCGGATACAACCCAATCATGTAGCTAATATGTCAAACATGATAGTTTTTCAGCCTAAATGCTACTCGTCACCAAAGTTATATTTGAAGATTTAAATGAACAAGATTTTGGCCTATGCATATATGGAAAATAATTTTATCCGGTTTCGATTCCATCGAGAACTGAGCCAGTTTGGTTTTGCTATCAACATAGGCTAGTGACGGCATATCTTGACCGGCCTAAATTTGCTTTGTACATTCCCAAGGAATCTGGAGATTGCATTGCTTTTGTATCTTTCAACACCTTATCAATATAATCCACGGAATTTCTAAACGGAAATTCACTACTAAATAAAACAACATGACCGTCGGTATTTCAAAAGACTCACGGTGCTGGTGGCATCCTCTGTGGCAGAGGCAAATCTAACATGCATCGATCCTGCATCGGATTCCGAAGTAGGACTAGGCGGTTTTTCTTTCTTTACTTTCAGATCACCAGTAGTTGTCATATTGTAAATGTTTCCAACATGACTCCGTTTGCGAGTAGGAATCATAAAGAAGCCATCATCGCTTGAAATTCTTTCCGACTTGAGTTCGTTCTTCGTTGCTGCAGCATCCCCTCGCAACAGGGTACTCCATCCAGACTTTAACATTGTGAACATGCTTTTTGTCCCCATTTGGAGGCCGGGATACCCTCTTCCGCCTCTTTCTTTGAATACCACGAATGTCGCCTGATGTTTGAAAACTCTTCAGAGTGCCACTCCCGGGTTATGTCCCCGCGCGGATATTTGAAAGTCGTTAGTATTACGCGCCATTTCAAAATCCAAACTAACTGCCACAAAGAAAAAACTTTTTGACATGTTTTGACAGCCGCAAGCATGTTATATTTATATGGTCACGTGGAAAAAAGTATTTTGAGGCTGTGGAAGAAACCAAGACGAGGCTGTAGCAAAAAGGCCCCATAGTCACAAACATCAAACTCTTTCCTTAATGGACGTTAGGAGTATTTCAGCAAAGTTTTATTCGTGATAAATGTTCTTTTCTGTCAAAAAAAGTATTCAGCAATGCGTCGAGGACCGGGAATTGCTGCCATTAACAGAAGCAAACTTGCCAAGGTAATTTTTGTCATCTTCTGATCAGCATGATAAGTTAATTCAAATAATATAATTAAAATATGATAAATCATGCACTAATTCAAAACAATAATAGGAATTTTAATTTGATAGATTTTATACGATAACTTGAATAGTTGATGGGCTCAAGGAAAGAACTCAAAGCGAGCTATCGGGACGTCTTTTAACTTATAGACTAGCCGGTCTGCAGAGTATGGCACTTTTCGACGAGATCTCCGGTGTGCACGAGCAAAAAGCCTGGTGTGCCGGTGTGCACCACCAAAAATGTCTGGTGTGCTGGTGTGCACCGACTATTTTCCCCTATTGTGGTTAAAATTTGTGAATTTGCATTTCACCGTAAAAATGCGTGTGAAGTACACTGTTGAAGATAGCCCAAGTTTTTATTTGTATATTTGTCAAGTAAGATTCATGATACCTAAAATTGTTCATACAAAACTGTGCTTGTTTTTATCAGCTGACATTTTCTAAGGGACCACACCAAGCCACACCCATCTTTTTTGCCACACCCAAAAATAACTGGTGTGCAACAGGTTTTGCACAAAAATATCTCCGGTGTGCACATGCCATACTCTGCAGACTGGTAGACTAGTATTATTCCCAATATTTGGTTTGATTCAGCAAGAATAAATAGGCGTTAGGTAATGATTAAATTAAATGAAATAAGATCAAAACAAGATAATGAATATCTGATTCAAGCTTTGAAGCAAGCTGTTGTTTGGTCAGTTAGCCAATCACAACAGATGCAAAACCGAAATTGAATTCATGTAATGTCTAAACAGAAACAAATAGAATCATAATTCACGAGCTATAACTAAAGTATAATTCTTATCACAGTTAACATTTTCACTTGTATAAGGAAGCTGAGGCAGTCCTTTTTGTCTAAATGTAAGATGTACCTGTCACAGTACTGTATGAAGTCTAGTGTTATGAAGCTACCTTTAGCTCAGTCTGATTTGTATAACAAAATTAATTTCATCTTTTAGGAAAGATATGCAACAAAGGGTACAGAACTTTCTGAAGCAGAGGTTGCTCATGTAGGTTGATATTTCAGTCTCAAAGTCTATTCAGTATTCAGTATAAAGCTGGCACTGAACCATTATAATTTGGTTGAAGTTTTAATTGGCATTTGGTTTTATATTGAGTTACTTTGTTAGTTTTTGTAATATCATTTGAAAAATATCATAAACAGGGTCCAGAGCCATGAACTAGCTTTCTAACTGTTCAGGAGATTTAGCATAACAAGCTCAAGAAAAATATAACACTTTATTTTTCTTTTAATCTAAGATGTCAAAACAATTAGAATCCTTCAAAACTTTCCTGGAAAAGTTTGCTGCAAATCATCAGGCTGATATTAAAAAGAACCCAGAGTTCAGACAACACTTTCAAAAACTGTGTGCAAGAATTGGTGTTGATCCATTAGCATGTGAGTTTCTCATAAACTTTTTTCTGACAACAAATGTATCATGCTCTTATGTTTTGAAGCAGTTTGAAACCTTATATTTCCCTGTCTCTGGATATGCTTTTGAACCAAAAATGATTAGTAGAACTCCTAATTGAGAAATAGTTTCCCCTATTGAGAAATAAAATTCCCCTAAAGTTTCCTCTGGTTCATGAACTGTGAAATGTCATCTAATTTGACAATGCCTCGAAATTCAGCTTAAGCATTAGATAAATTGCATTCTGTTGTTTTTTCATTGGAAGATGGTTGCAAAAAGTTTGATAACAATGATAGCTAGATAATTCTAAAGTGTAGCATCAATGATGCCAAATACTTTCTGCTTTAATTGTCGAGGTTGAGAGCAGATCTGTCTGTTACCATGGCCCAAATTAGCGACATGTGAGTTTTTAAGCATTTAGAAGAATATGTAGTTATTACAAAATTCAAATATAATTCATATATTTCTGAGAATGTGGTATATCAGCTTTATAATCTCTGGAGTCCCAATTAAAAATTATTTTTTCAATCTATTCCAGCCAGCAAAGGTTTTTGGGCAGAAATTCTTGGTGTTGGTGATTTTTATTACGAGGTACGTCAAAGTTTTTTTATATGTGGCAATCTTACTGCCTTTGAACCAATTTCTGCCTCTTTCTTCAATTTTTTATTCCCTATTCTATTTTGCTTAATTTTTGCAAAGCCCTTTGTTTGCTGTGCATCCTTTTGTATGGGATTCCAATGCCCTAGCCAGCAAAGTCAGATCACATAAAACTTAAAAGAATCTTTCCAGTTTCCTGATTAAATATCTTCTCACAGTTTTCACGACATTTTCTTGATTTGTCTGATTTATCATGCAATTCAAGTTCTTTTTAGAGACTGCAGAATATAAAACCTATTTGGGAGAGCTGAAATTGATTCGGGGCTGAACTTTCAAAAGCCAAGGGTTGAATGATTCTTTGATGTTTTGAAGCATGTCTAAGAAGTTGTTGGGGGGGGGGGTGGTGGCAAGCCTCCTAAGACCCTCACTTCTGCACTCCCTGTCCTATGTTCTCAGGTTGTTGGTACACTATCAGTGGCATCCAGGTATTAAACTAACGTGCCTACAGGCGCGGACGTGCCTCGTCGACCAAAATACGTGCTTGTCGGTTTGAATGGCGTGGTTATAAACGAAATTACGGACTTGTCGTCACATTTAGCTTAGCTGTGCTCGACCAAAAAACCCTTAAATTAATCCCTGGTGGCATCTTTTGTCAAAGAATGGCTTCTGCACATGCTCCCCAATCTTTTGGCCGGTTTCCACTTGATTCGCTCTGGTCGCGCGACTTGGCGAAATCGAATCAACAAGTCAGCGAATCGGGAACGCGACCAGGCGCCGATTCGCATTCGCTCATTTGCAGCGAATGAGGAAGTTCAATTTGCGCATGCCCCAATGTGCATTCGCTCAGTCGCGCGACCAGAACGAATAAAGTGGAAAACCGCCTTAAAGTGCTGCACAAATCCATATGTCATCCTTAACGCCATCATCAACTTCTATGCAGTGGTATGACATGGTTTAGGGCACCCAAACTCTTTAACTAAGGGCCCTCAACCTAACAGAGCCCCTAGTTTTTTTTAATTTATATCAAGTTTAACCCTCTTTCAACTCATTTTCAAAAACATTTAAAGTTCTTCAGCTGAAGCTCTTATAACTTAGCTCTTTCTTGTTGGTAAGACAAATTTTCAATTTCGCATCTTGATATTGTGTTTGATATTATGTTCTATACCTTTGGATGGGGTTTTCTTGCAGTCCTTAAATAGGTACCCCATGTCCCAGCTTCTAAGGGCCACAGATGCCTTCATTACATCTACTGCTTCTATGTTTTATGTTTCTTTGTATAACTACCTTCCTCCAATTTTCAGTTAGTTCCTGGAGGTAGCAGATTTTTTTTATTGTTCTTCAGTGTTATCTTGTTATAGTAAGATATACTGCATGTTGATAATCTATTACCTAGATCTTTTTTCCTATGTAATGATTACATTATTAATTTATTGATCCTGTTTTTTAAAAGTGCTTGTTAAAAGGTTATTTTTACCATTGCCTTTTTAGTTAGGTGTTCAAATCACTGAGGTTTGCTTAGCTACAAAATCAAAGAATGGTGGATTAATAACTATTGAAGAACTACACAAACTTGTTTTGAAGGGAAGAGGCAAAGCTCGACAAGATGTATCAGAGTAGGTTGTCGTTTTTATATTCACGGTCAGCAAGACCTCTGAGACCAGCCTCATTTGCCCCCTAGGATGCCCCACAGTAATGGCTCCATTTTAAGCATTCAATTAATCAATCTTAGCAAAGGTATGCCTAAAAATAGTAAAAACTTTTAAATTATCTCAAGAAATGACTGGAAGAAATATTCTGAACCACATTTCAATACAGTAATCCGAAGGATGTTGTTGCAAAAAGTTTTTGCTCGCTCCAGTTGCAGAGGGCCTCTTCTTTCGCTTCTGCCCAGGGATGCTGGAACGACCAAGGGGTAAGTGGGCAGGCTTTAGTAAAAGGGAATTTGTAAGTTAATATTCGCAGCTTTTACTATTTCATTCGTATCTGCCATTTTTTTCGATCTTCTGTAGCTATCTTGAACAATGGCTAACTTTTGGCAAAAGGAATTATTTTACAAGTTTTGAGAAACGTCGTCATGAATTAGGCACTACAATCAGAATTTCATATGAATTTCTCTGACTATTACAAATGGCCGCTTTCAAGGGCACTCACTTTAATCAAAATGGCACTCTGGCCTTCTCCGGCGTCCAAGGGCCTCCGAAACCTCTCGACACCCCTGACTACCAGTATAATTCCCTTTATAGCCACTTTCTTCCTCTTTTGCCATTTTAGCTCTTCAAATATTCAAGCTGGCTATACCGCTGGTCTAATTCAACAGTTCTACTTACTTCTTTCATTTAGAATTGATTTAATTGCTCACATAAACAAATTTATATCAACCTCAAAATACTAGAAAGCCAAGATTAATAAAACCACCCTCTTGTATAAAATACGGTCCAGAAACCTCTTGCACTCACCCCCTCTTAAGGCATTTATTTATGGGTGATTTTCTGTTCCCATAAACCCATATGAGTGGTCAGTTCATATGGGAAATTTCACGTGGCTTACCGGGATGGTAAAATTTGCCGAGATCTCACTTTATTCACATACCAAGGCCCGCGCCAGGCGGGGTGGCCATGCCCCTCCACTTTTTTGCGAAGCAAGTAGTTTTAAAGCTGCAATAAAAGGGGGAAAGCCTTGGTCCCCTTCTTTTGCTGGCCTTACCCCCCCCCCCCCCCAATTTCAAATTCATGACGCTGGCCCTGCGTACAAATTTGTTTCCAGTTCATATGAGGGCGAGCTGGCCTGCCTAGTGGAATCTTAGCTGAGTCAAGTAAGATCAAGTATAATCTTAGGTGTTTATACCTGCATATCTTATCATGACTTAATTTTCTTCTCAGCAAGTGTGATGATTATTTTTTTCCGTATGTAAAAAATGAAAACCGTCTCGCTTATAGAGATTCCCCCATATTAACAATCCCTTGATTTCAAACTTGCATCATTTTCACATATGAAATCTGTTCTTATATTCATGTACATTAGAAGTACCGCTTGCTTTATGAATTACCAAGGGATTATTATTACCCCCAACTTTCTTTTAGGGATGATCTCTTGAGAGCAATAAAAAAATTGCACGTGCTTGGCTCAGGTTTTCAAGTCATACCGCTTCAAGGTCGGCAAGTGATCCAATCCGTCCCTGGAGAGTTAAATGTCGATCATACTACATTGCTAGAGACTGCTCAGGTTAGATTAAATTTGATTGGCTAGCTAAACAATTGATTTTGTTCTAAAAAGCAATGGTTTTTTTTAATTCAGTTCATGAAATAAAAAATTAATCACAAATACATCTTCTGACTTGACCAAATTTACAAACACCAAGTATTAAAGTTATTCGTTATTTTGTAACACCTTTTTATAGATTTTTAAGTAAAAGCAAAACATTTCTCATGTTGAATTTTTCGTGTGTGACGACAAGGAATAAATGAAAGGGATAAACGTAATAAGTACTCTGTTTTGTAGAAATCAGGTTACACATCGATGTCTATGCTGTCCTCGGAACTTGGTTGGGATAATCACAGATCTGAACAAGTACTTGTGAGTTAAAATTTTGTCTTGTTTTCGTTACACGAATATGGGCAAATTCAGCAAATTTCGCTAATTCTTACAGCTTATAACTTTGATTTTATCTATTTGAACAATCTTTTTGTGTCCAGAGTATATTTTTTCTTTAGGCCAACTTTGTTGCTGCAAACTTTTGATGATTTGAACAAGTTATTTCTCACTTAAAGTTTTAATATTCAAGTTACTTTATGTGTGTAAGGGGAAATTAATTGCTTTTAGCACATCAAAATACAGACTAACTTGCTGTCGCTTTTATTGGAGAACATACTCTTCAATCTGCTTACATTTCTGTAATTTGGGCAACGAAATAAGGGTAGCTGAAAAGGACAAAGGCCAAATTGGTTCTGGTCTTAATGAAGCGGTCATAATTCATGTCTAGGTACAGATCGGAAGTAGCAAGAAAGACGCCTTTGAGTGGCTGCTTCTTTTTGACTCTTCTAATTTAGCCTATATGATATTTGATTAATCCATTTTTAGTTTTTACAAGTGACTGCTTTTGTGCAGGTCAATTGAGAGGTTTAAATTTTCAATAATGTTTTTATCATTTTAGAATTATTTGATTCAAGAAGGAATGATCTGGGTTGACAACCAAGGACCAGGAGAAAAGCTATACTGGGTTCCGGGCTTTTTCAGGCAACCTTAAACTGTGACCAAAGTCTATAGACTTTGCTGTGACGCACTCGTACTTTATAGAAATAAATTTGATTTTGATAGTTTTAAAGTCAGTTTTCATTGCAAAAAATTCACATCATTTGCCGAAAGCCATTTTGCATTTATCTCATTACGTCATTTTCCTCAGTCTTGACATTCAGAAGATTGTCCAATGACTGTAAATTGCAACTGCGCATGCTCGTTAGTTGCTATAAGCAATAATGACTCAATAAAGACTTTTTCTCGTAGATGACGTAATTTTATATTGCACAGAGACTTATAAGACTTAAAACACAAAAAACGATTATTTTCAAAGTGTATTTTTTACTTTCTTTTCAAGTTATTGAGGCACCCTATATATTTGGATTTTAGACGCTATTTGGTGTTTAGAACAGGAAGATTCTAAGCTGCTATTCAGCTGTTCATTTTTTTAATTTTGGTCATAAATTTTTCTATAATTCTCCTCCCGATATTCTATAACAATCGGCCTTCGTTTTCCCAACAACGAAAAGATAAAAGAAACTGACAAATACCTAATAATTTCTTGTGCGCAAGTTTTTACCAATTTACTTACCCGAATTCCTAGCTTAGGCCCTGTTTATATGGAGAAAATCCCACCTTCCAATCTGTGAGCTGAGAGGTGAGATCCCACTCTGCCATAGAATCCTTTATGTTTTTCGTTTTGCATTTATATTGAAAACAAGCCAGCCCGATTACGTACGCTCCCACTGTATGAGAGGTGCGATCTCACTGAGGTGGGATGAATCTGGAAGATGGGATCAGGCACCGCGGTGCAGGGGGGCTGGGGGGCTTTAGCCTCCCACTTTTTGTAAAAAATGCCAAATATTAAGTATTAAACTACCAGAAAAGCCTCTTTTTATACGGTTTTGCCCCCCTCCCCCACTTTTTTTAGACCCCCTACTTTTCTGAACGCTCTGCGGTGCCTGGGGATAAAATGTTCATATAAACGTGATAAAATTTCGTCTAACATCTCCAACATGGGATGATTTATCCATATACAGCTGGAAGGTGGGATAGAATCTGTATGTAAACATTCGACGATTTAATCCCACCTGACAGATTATGGGCTGGGAGGTGGTATAAATTTGCTCATATAAACAGGCCTAGAATATTTTGAGTTCAATATTAGTATATCTTATGAGGTGATAGTAAAAATCAATGAAATTATTTGGTATTAAAAACTTGTTGATTACGATTTTTTCATTACAATGGTCCCAAGTTTCGTTTATTGAGATTACTTAATAACTGAGATAAAGAATCGTGGAAAAATATGCTTTTTAGCCTGCAGTTTATGTTGCAATGTTTGTTTACCTAACATAGTCTTGTGATCAGGTTTCGAATGTTGCAAAAATCTCGACTATAGTCTCTTTTATGAATATTTATCTACATTTAGTTCAAATTCTTGTTACATTCAGTATCGTGTGTTCAAAGTAAGAAAGATAATGGAGTTATATTTTTAGGCCTACCTTTCTTAGTGTTACCTTCTTAAAAAGGAGATCCCATTGTTACAGTTCCTAACTGAACACCACTATCTTCGACTTAGCCATTTAGATAACACCCTCTTAACGAAATAAAATGCGCTTAACCCTCACCAAGGTCCGTTTGTTTCTTACGCGAATCAACGCTCATAAAACCCAATGTCACGAACGAAGAACTGTAATTCTGACCAAAGGCCGACCTCGACCACAACGATTTTGTTCGCGCGCGCGATCGCTTTGATCGAGCTTATGCACGTGTATTTTTATATCACCTTGGTCGTAGAGTAAATAAAATAATAAGCATTTTATTGACCAAAGAAACGGTGCTGAAATCAATTTACCCAAGCTTACCTTTGATTTATATTTATTTTCTCTTCTTTTAACTTTATAGTTTCTCGGTTCAAAAGCAAGCAGAATTGTCTAAAAAAACTATTGGAAGAAATTTAAACTATGATATTTCTATTCAAAGCCAAAAATTTGCAACGGTAACTTAAGCACATCGTGTTTATCCTCGTCCCTTGTCTTGACACAAAAATGTGCAAATATGTGACATGACCACTTTGGTCAACGGTCTCATTCTTCAGTACGCGACTTATAGATAAGAAACTAAGCTCGAAATTCGATAAACAGTTTAGTGCAAGCTCTTTAAAGGCTTCTTAATTTACTAACTCGGGAATACCAATCCAGCATAAAGGGCATAAAGCTCTCTCAGAAAAACTGTCATAGACATAAGAAAGGTCAGTCATGAGGCTACGTTCCCACATCACTGAGAGCGAGTTGGGCCGTTGGTGCATCGGCGCCAATCGCTCAACCTACCATATAGGGGTTACTAAGGAAAATTACACAATAACCCCCAAATATGGTTGATAATTGGGAGGGAATGGACAGGAAAACCTCTTTTCCCCACTAATAGCCGACGCACCAGTCCTACCTAATAGCATCAGAAAACTCTAAGAAGCATAAAAGATGCCTAAAGGTATGAGAGGTTTTAACGATGCCATAAAAAAACTCAACACGCAAAGTTATACTGAAAAGGCATTTAGCATAAAGAAACAAAATGAGGGAGGGAGGGCTGGGAAAATACAATGAAACAGCCTAGTTGTATTGTGGCTTCACCAAGCAAGATGAGACACGCTATGCCAAAACCTTAAATACCCCTAGATTAACCAAGGAAATGAAAACGCCATGAAACACACATCTTACACTAGTTATGCAAATCAAATTCACAGGAGGCCGAAAGACTCCCTGCATTGCCCATAAACTAGTAGAGCAGATACAAGCAAAACGCGAGGAAGCGTGGCACAAGAAAACATAACGAAATAGTAATAACAACAATCTCATGCAATTTAGTTAACGCTCAAGAGCCCCTCGTGAAATTAACTCTGATGAAATTTCATTTAATCATCATTTAAATATCAAATACCAAAGAGCTATATTATTAGACAGAGAAAACGTAACTTATAACCTTATGTTAAAATAGAATACCAAATTATAAAGGGTGCCTAATCGTTGAAAAAATTAACATCTATCCAGTCTTTAAAAGAAGGATTATCGAACAGATTTTTAAGGTTGAGGGTGGTCGGTTTCAGGGTTTTTAGCTTTTTTGTCATCTTAGGGGTTGGTTTCTTATGTATGATTTCTTGTTTTTAATAAAATGTGTATTATGGTAGGTACGCTATTCCATACCGTTAATCCTCGAATTAGCCCCCTGGCGGCCTATTTATTTTTGATATTTTTGGACGGGGGCTTATTCAAGAGGGGGGCTTATACCAGGGGAGGGGAGCTTATAAAATTATTGTAGACAATAAGAAGGCATTATTAAAAGACCTTGTTTATTTTAGTAGGAATTTCTTTATGAGCATTAAATTAATTACTACCAAAAGTACGAATTTGTCGTGGTAATTCAATAAAACGCCATAGGCAGCAACCTCAGATGGCAAAAACCGTCAAATTGAGGGGTCCAATTCGAGAATATACGGTAGTAGTGGGGGCTTATTCGAGGGGGGGGCTTATTGACAGTTTGTAGTTTTAAAGTGGGGGCTTATTCAAGGGGAGGGCTTTTTCGAGGGGGGGCCAATTCGAAGATTTACGGTATAGCTCTATGAGGGTATAACATAAGCAGAGTTTTAGTTTTTCCGTCACATAACCTGTTGTTCTGTCAAAAAGTTGACACTTAAATGTACTTTTATCACAGAGTAAATGCTTTTATCGTTGGGGAGAGACCAGTGTACCAAAATCATAGAGATGACCAAAATTCGATATGATGTTGCTGTTGTTGTCTCCAAGTTGTTCAATTTTACCAGGTGCAGATGGCAAGGGAAACTTTATGAAGCTGCCGCGCGCGTGCCAGGTTTTTAGCTCTAGCCTGGAAGCAACACGAGGGCAGAAGAAGGAATAAACGTGTCTGTTTGCACATAATATTATATCAGGTATGGTCGAGTTGCTGCTGAGCGAAGAGGTAAGAATATTCGGTGTCGAAATTTTTTGTTTGTCTTTACTTGGCCTAAGTTTATGATGACACACATTCGGTAATTGTATAAGCTGTCGAGTAACGATTGTGGTGTCTCGTCTGCATACTAGACAACTTATTTTTCTTTTAATTTCTTTCAATTATTTAAATGAGTGAAGTCGGTGCTTTAATTTGAACTAGCTGGCACCTTTAAATTGACTTGCAAAATACGATGAAGGAAAACACGGAAAACGCTGTTTAGATGTCAAACATACACCGTTGGATTGGTGATGCTATACCATTTTCGCTCGAAATAAAAACAAAGACTAAATTGCTACAGTAAAAAAATAAGACGAATTCTAGTATCAGTTCTAGTATGGTGTGAGTGACACAGGCTTGCCAAAAGTAATCTACATCCATCCATCCACTATAAAAAATGCTATCATGTATGACCCATCCTCTTCGAATAGTAGGATTTATTGCACCACACGGATATTGTGTTCAATGCAAAAACGTTTTTGACAGAACAGATCTCAAGTAATCCTACAACCATGTGCTTAATCCAGATGGGAATTAAACAAATTATCATTTAACAAAAGCATCCAAAGTGCATGATTTGTTTTTGGCTAAAGAGTTTTAAATCTTAAATTGTCACTAGCTAACATTATTATCTGGTGTTCATTAATTTCACTAAAAATGACAGGTCAACTGATAATTCTGTCTATTACCTCAGGCACCGCTGAGCAGGGGGGCTGGAAAGGGCTTTTGCCCCTACACATTTTGCAAAAAATGCCAAATACTAAATAATAAACTACCAGTAGAACCTTTTTATATGGATTTAGACCCCCCCCCCCAAATTTTTTTAGACGCCCACTTTTCTCAATGCTCTACGGTGCCTGTACCTATCCTTTTAATAACAATATATCCACAATGTTCAGGGCCTGGTGATCTCAAAAACATCACAGATTTCAACTTAACCATTGCTATATTAACCTTCCTGTACATAGAACTGTTCTGGTAAGAGACTTTTAGAGTCTGTAGCTATCCATACATATGTTGAAAGGCTCCTATACTCAAGGTGCTTGAACCTTTATAAAAGCATCAGAAGCAGGAACCTTTTAAAAGGCAAGTCTGAGCTAGGCATTTGCATTTTTGATTTGCAGCTCTTCAATGGTGTCGTTGGATAAATATACACAATATTTATGTTTGGAAATAAAGTATTCCCAAATCGTAATCATTTTACAGGTTTCCTAAGAATTTTTTGATACTGTGGATTGTCACTGGTCTTTTTATGTTTGTGTTTACAGCCTGTGTTGGTTCAAGCTTGTTTTCATGGGGATGCTGATGAAATCAGAGTTGTGTTGTCAAAAGGTGAAGATGTTAACTACCAGGTTGGTAAGATTTCCACAAGCATTGAGATTTGATTTCAGCCTAAATTTAAGATACTTATCTTAATTAGATACTTAGTAAATCTAATTAATGGCACCAAAAAGCTTCAGATTTTGATAAAAGCACTGTCATAATACTAGATATGTTTGTATGTATTATGAGTTTATTGAATTCTTTTCAAGGATGCAGATAGAAGGACACCACTGCATGCTGCTGCTCACTGTGACGAAGAAGAATGCCTAAGGCTCCTTATTATGAATGGTATGTCTGTGAGTGCTAATTGCAGCATTTGTTTTACAATTTCAAAATACATGTCAAACTGTATTTGGTAACACTGGGAGTATTGCCATTATTTATGAGGTGAACTAGCCAAGTGTTATGTGTGCTTGGTTTTAGTTCTGAAGACTGCTGGTTCAAATCCATGTCTTTGATTCATAATTTTGACACTTTCTCTTTTTTCCAACCACCATGAAATGTACTTTGTAGCAGCTCTTAGGAGGGTGAAGGCAGTGGGAAAACAACTGGCCACCCATCTCATCATATTGTTTGTCTAATACTGCCTTCTTCAAGATGAACTTTCCTTACATGCAAATTGTATACATAACTCACCTTTACTGTTTACCTATTTCGTTTCCTGTTCATTACAGATGTTCTTTCTAGTTTGAAAAGTCCAGTTTTGAGTTTCCAACAGTCATTACATGCTCAACTAAATGCCAAATTATTAGCTTCAAACATTTAAGACAAACATCAAACATTTGAAGTAAAGCAGAAGTTGTTTCAAGATATGAGATAATTCTGAAATCAATAGTTTTATGTAATGTGCATAGCTGTGTCCATTGTTCTACAACCAGTTTAAATATGTAATTTAAAAAATCTTTGGTTCTTATATGCAAATTTATAAATACTATAAAATTGGCCACTGACTTGGTTTCAGAATGAAGCTTCATACCTCTATAGCTAGCATATTCATTTCAGAGGAAAAAATATGAAATGCCAAAAATTTTCATCTCTTCACGAAGCTGCTGCTAAGTTCATGAAAGTTTTTTTCTGTGCCAAGTTTCCAAATTCTTTTTTCAGGCGCTAGGGTCAATTCAAAAGATTCGAGATGGTTGACACCTCTTCACAGGGCATGTGCAGTTGGAAGCGAGGTAATGACAAATCTTTGTTTGACTTATGTTGCAAGCAGTTGTGCCTGACAAAATGATAATAATTATTTTAGCTAAACTCATAAAAATTGTTTTTAAGAATTAGCAAAAATTATGTAAAAAAATAAAGTTTTTTAATTGGCACATCTGTGCATTTTTAATATTTTTCTATATTATATATATATAGAATTTATCAAAATATATTTGTAATGTTATTTTGTGCTGTTTCATGTCCATACCTTCGCCAACATTTTATGTAACAATCATTTCTATATTTCCATGTAAAAATTTTTTTCTTTAAATGGAGATTTGAACAAAGTTTAAAATTGCGAAGAACAAAACTATTGGAGTTATTTATAACATTATATAACATATTTGTTTGTTATATTAAATTTTTTGCTTATCATATTTTGGTAATGTAGTAATTTATTTTGATGTTTTTATGCATGAGTAAGCAAATGAAAAGACTTTTGTCTGCTTCAACTAAATTTTGTAGCATTGATTTTATTAAATTTCATAGACTCTGAAATTTGAATGTTTTTATGAAGAGAGAATAATTTATACTTTACAGATGTGTTTAAGGGTCTAAAAATTTTATGGAGATGGAGTTATTTATATTTAACAGAGGTATGTAAGGTTATCATGTTTTTATGAAGAGCGATTAATATTTTTTAGAGATGTGTAAGAGTCTTATTGGAAAACCAAGCTGACAGCAATGCAAGAGACAAAAACTGGCAGACTCCTTTTCATGTTGCAGCTGCTAATAATTTCAGAGTTTGTGCAGGTAAGCTTTACCATCCACTACCTTTGTGGTATTAATCTTAAGGCCTGCCCGCCACACCACATTGCATCATAAAGAATATCAATATCAAATCAACAGCTAACTTTTTATACCCAACATCTCAGAATTGATTGAATTTCTAGCAGGGTGTAGACATACTTAGGGGAAAGCCAAGATCCAAATTTTAATCTTACAATTCGCTTTGGTTGCTGAGCTTAGTAAGTTTGAAATTCGTTGGTTTTACTGCAGATTAGCCATGGAAGCCATTTTGAATTTGCCTTCTGCAATGTACCAAATTTGAATTTTTCCATTGATTCCATAGATATTCCAATGATTTGTGGATTTAAATTAAACTTTGCACACATACAAGCTCATATACATGACTTTCTTAACTGTTAAAATAGTTTTTGGATCTTTGTTAGTCCTATGTACTGCAAAAATTCAAAATTATTATGAGATGATGGGGGTCATGGCCTGTTGATTTGGCATAGTCTCTGGAGCAATAGTAGCCATGGTCTGGGTGTGGGCCTCTTGGTGAGCCCCCCCCCTCAAGAAAGACGTATATAACAATTAATGTGTCTACCCTATAAGACACTCAATTAATTTGCTTCTTATTGTGATCTCAACGAATGGTGCCCCCCAACTTATTCAATCCTTCCGGTATGATAACTGGCCACAACCACCATTGTTATTCCAATACAAGATGCCATCGCCCCCCATTATTCAACCCCATTTATCCCCTGTACTGGACGGGCCACACCACACTGTTACCAATACTAGGGTTGGTGTGCGCTTCCCGACCCTGCCGCCAATGTAACGTGTCAATCTGGCGCTAGCTGGCCACACCACACTGTTATCCAATTCAACTCATATGCTGCATAATACAATTAGGTGTGGCCAACAAAGTGATTGAATTTATATTTTATTAAGAGCGCTTACACCTCATATTTGAAAAGCCCTCTCGTCTTTTGTTAATGTTCATATATTTTTACTATTATTTGCTTTTTATTTATTTTCGTTATTATGTATTCCTAATAGAAACTTCAGTCTTGACTCGAATATGTTTCACGTTTTGTTCCTTTCTGTCTGTGACTGCATGTGACCCTTATTCCTGAGCTTATTCCTTTGTTTATTTCTTGCCCACGTTATGTTGTAATGCTTTTAAAGTGATGCTCATTCCAACAATTCGTTAATAATGAATTATGAATAATGAATTTACTTGCAGCTTTTCATAATTTTTTGTTGTTGTTATCATTTGAACTGCATTTTGCTAGAAAACATTGTTCATCATTGCTTCTTTTCTACGCCATTTTAGTCAACATAAATTAGAGATGAATTCTTTGAGTAATCATGCATTATTCACTTAACTTGTGTTCTTATATTCCAGAGGCTTTATTGCCGCACGTAAACAACATCAATGTAGCTGATCGTGCAGGAAGATCCAGTCTACACCACGCTGCATATAATGGTCACATCGAGGTTTGCTCGCTTGCCATGCTTATTAGCTAAACACACGCGGGTTGCTGCGTAATTGACACACAAGAATCTGTTACGATGGTCGTGTTTCATCTAGTTAAGGGTTTTTTACAGGCTGTCCGAAAGTATTGAATTATTTTATTTGATACCCTTTACAGGAGAGCCTATCTGAAACGGAAAATGCCTTTTCCAGCATTTTGCGAAGCAGCATTTTGGTTTTATCTTGTGTGCCCGTGAGCGAAAATTGAAGTTGTTTAAGCTTTTGTCTTTTCTTATATTTAACTAACAGTCATGCGAAAATATCTTTATTCAAGCTCGTCTTCACTCATTCAATTTATTGTTTTGTACTAATTTTGCTCTGCTAGCTTTGGGTTTGAGCGCATGACTTAGCTGTTGCTGCGGTGGTGCGTGGGGGTTGCACCCCGTTTGTCATCTAGGGGTGCTTCTTAGGCAAAATTGTCAAAATCGGCAAATAGAGGATGGTCCACCCACATTGTCGGCAAATGGGATCTGAGCACCCCTCTTAAACACAATAGCTAGCGACGGCCCTGAACGTGACTGGGTAGCTCTTTTGACAGAGCAAGGACGTACTATTCGCGGTTTCGACTCCTATCCTGGTTGTGTCTATCGCTCGCATTTGCTTTTAACATATTTTCTCAAGCCCTGTTTTTCTCTGATTTTGTACTCACATTGCTAATTTGAGTAACTTTTCAAAAATTGCTCTTTTTGGAACCTCAGAGTGTCTCATTTATTGAAGCGTAACTCATTCATGTATCCAAAATTTAAATCTCTTTTTTTCACAACAGATGGTGAACTTTCTTTTGAGCAAGGGTGCAAATCCAAATGCTTCGGATAAAAAAGAACGAAAGCCGATGCATTATGCTGCGTTTATGGGTGAGTGAACATTTGATAATTAACTTTACAGATTTGTAGACCGAGCGTGAAAAAGCGATTTGACTTTTCAGTGCTCTTATTCATAATTTTCTAAACTTAAGCCTTTATTCGCATGGTTTTTTATAGCAAATCCCTAGTTTATATTACTATAAAGTAAATACTTGAGTTACCTTAACAGAAACTTTCCCCTGTTGCTTTTTTCGATTCCCCTGCACTTTATTTTATAAAAAGTCTGTTTCTTAACCTGATGGGACTTGGTAAAATGAAAATTGATCGGTAAATTTGAATGCTCCTGTAATACCGAAACATGTTCTTATGCAATGATGCTACAGCGAAATGCATCAGCAGGTAGCATTTGCATGTACCTAATGCAGGCATAGGAAACTCACAATTACATTTGTACCGCACCAATCTTACTTTCAATTCTAATCCACATTTGAGTAATTTGACCAGTAAAATCACATAAGCATCCTGATTTTAACCCACACAAAGATAATAATTTCATGTAACGGATTTCAGTATTTAGAGATGGTTGATAAATAAAAGAACTGTGTAAATTTTTAAGAAACTTTGTTTCATATTTCCTCAAGGACACGACCACATAGTGAAATGCTTGGCAAGGAACAACGGGGAGATTGATTCTGTTGACAAAAAGGTGAGTTATCATTACCCACGTTTTGTTGTCCTTCATCAAACCTGCTATAACTGCACAGAATAATTTTGTAACTCGAGATTAATCTAACAAAGATGTTAAAGTTGCCTTTATTAAAGGCTCTTGTACGACCGGCATGCTTTGCGACTATAGTTCGACTATGATTTGCAACAATATATGGCGAAGTCTGAGGTGAAGTCTGACTCATTTCTTCAATACATCAACATCTTTCGAAAATCGCTTGTTAAAAAAGTCTTTTCTTATAACTTTCCCTTAATTGAAAATATTTAGTTTTTTGGTGATTCAAGTATTTTTAGTTAATGGCGTCCTCTAAAGTGTCACCTCAAGCAGAAGTGCTACCTTCATTAAAGAAATGCAATTGTTGTTATTATTTTGAATAAAACTATATAAAACTGCCGTGCTTTACGCTATCTACAAGTCTTGCTTAACCTTTGACATTTGACAGTAGGAAATAAGGAGAGAGCATTTCCCGAAGTCAGTCTTTTTATTTATCTTCAAATGTTTAAATTTTAACTTGTTTAAGTTGAATGCATTGTCTTACAGTCGTACACTCCACTTCATGCTGCCGCTGCCATGGGACAAGAATTTGTTGTCAACCAACTCCTCAAATTTGGGGCATCGGTAATTATTTGTTTTTATTCATGATAACTATGTCTTTATTCCTGAACTCTAGTATTTATCTTATAATTGTCTAATCATAATCAAGCCCATCATATAATCGACTCAAATCCTACCCGTCAAATGTGTGAATTTAGGACCACAGAATAGAAACTAGGCAGAAGGGTAACTCTCGTCGGTACCTTTGTTGTTTTTGAAGCCTGAGTCAACAATAGAATTCCTTAATTCCCCTTTAACCTCGGTTTTATTAGACGAACTTAGCCATGACAAATTATTATTCATTAAACAGATAGTAAACGAATTATGATACATAAATGAATTTGTTTATTATCATGGGCATTTTGTCTCAATAAAGTTGTCTACTTTAATTCTTTTTTTAAATTTCTCCGACAGATACATGTTAAGCCTTGTATAAGTTAACACATGCGCTAGAGTTTTCAGGCTTCACCTGATGGGCAGGAGTTCCCCTTCCGCATTATTCCTATTCTGTGTTAGGACTTTTTAGTTGTCCGCAAAGCTGCGTGCAGACTGCGTGTTGACAAAATTGAAAATAGGAGAAAAAGTAGAGTCTGCGAAGCTGAGCCGATTTTCTGGTTCACAGGTTTCTCAAAATCAAGGAACCGAATTTGATTGGTTGGGGGAATTTCAATTGTTTTTTTTCTCAGTTTTCAAAGTGGCGCCTTCGAGCCGAAGTATAAATGAATGGTGTCAGGATAATAGAATAGGTCTGTTTGTTCTTTTGAACAACTAAAATTACAGAAAAACATTGCACGCTAATGGAGTTGTTGTTCTGATGCTTAGAATAAAATGTTGATGTCAGCGAACAAGAAAAGCGGCTCTGTTGCGCAGACTCTACTTTCTCTCCTCTTTTAAATTTCTGACTCTGCACGCAGGCTGCCTATTCCGTCCTCACTCTCCCTTACCTTATTTTCCCCTTCACAAGTAAGTAAGTTTTCACTCTTGCCAAACTCTTATATTCAGATACTTTACATGCTTTTTATGTTACTGGATTATTACTGCCTTCGCAGTGGTATAATAAAGCATGTTTAACATCCACCCAACAATAAAAAATTAACTTAGCCCACAAAAAGCTGGTTAAGTACTTCGTATACCATTTAAAAGCTGAACCTGGAGAGCTGTTGAGAGTGGAAGCAAATTTAAATCTTGTTTTTACTTCTATGTTGACTAAGGTATTTTGCAATCAAATTACCTGTACACTTTTAGGTGCATAAGAAAACGGTCGCCGGAAACACTGCACTTCACATCGCGTGCCTGAATGGCCAGGATGGCATCATAGATGTACTTGTCAAACGCAATGCATCGATCAATGCCTATAATTCAAGAAACCAGGTATGTCACAAATTTTCATTAAATGCTTCACATTTCCTTATGACCTTTCTTTCTTATTTCGTTTCCTTATCTTATCCCATATTTCCTTTTTCCGATAGTTGGCATAAATTACCTTTTGCATAGCTTTTACAGATATTTGCCAACTTTTAACAAATTATTCATTATGTAGCTCTTATTTAGATTTTATCAATTTTTCTGTAAAATGTTGATGCTATGAAATATAGAATTGTTGAAGTTTCTTTTTGATCCACGTCGGAACATTGAAAGAATTATCGCATGTTGTCAAGGCAATCTTAATACTGAGACGAAATTGTCACCCTCTCAACAGACTGTAGCGTTAACTTTCATATTTTCTTTAATTTTTTCCGTTTTTTTCCTGGTAGCTTTCTTGAAACGTAATGCCTTTTTCCCTCTGTATTTTTCTTATAGCTAATCTTTTAGCAGGGAGGTCTGTGAAAAAATGTCATGTCATTTCATTTTATTAATGTTAGCAATACTTCATTCACTTCTTACAATGTTCATTAAGATATGTACTTACACTAAGCGTCATTAATACTATTTTTTCTTTTCTCTTATATTATTAAACACTTCTATTTGTACAACTGGAACTTGTCATTAAACGCTACCTTTATTGTAAATTGTCAATGTGAGCTGCTCATTGCAAACATATGCTTGCTAATTGAATTTCCTCATCCGATACGGCAGTTATATCTAAGGCCTCAGACCTCTAGTATAACATGCTGTGTTATGACATCACGTTGTTTTTAAATTGTTGTTTTCGTTTCCAGACTCCTTTGCACCTTGCTGCCTCGAGTCATTCTGGCCTCATTTGCATGGAAGAACTTCTGAAATTAAAGGCCGATTCAAACCACCAGGTAAATAAACTCTTCAAGCAATGACTTGTTTGATATTTCGTCTCGAATCACACCAGTGCTCCAAGATGTTCTTAGATGTCAACTCTGCCAAATTTTGAGAACTTTAATGAAATGCTTTGCCTAGATATCTTAGCGTCGAATTTAGCACGGAAATGTAATTTGGTTCCCCTAAACACGTTTCAATTTGAAGTAGCCAGTTGCCCTGTTTTATATAGTTATCTTTTTAGACATGTTTTGTGGATGAAAAGGGCAGGTATTCTCGTGTTTTTAGTATTTTTCTATTGCCTGGAAGGCTGAAAATTCGAGAAAAAGCTTTGAGGGTTGTTTAACTGCAGTCTTCTTTCAAACCTGCAATTAGCGTGGACTAAGTGGTAACGCTGTGGAGGTTAAATTCATCGAAGAACGATAATAGCTTTTCTGGCTCGTCCTGTCGTATCCCTCTGTGAGGATGGCTCAATGGTTTTAGTCTAAGCTCCCAGTCCCTGCCATGATCAAACTTTTCCTTATTTCCCAGCTCTCTGTAGTTCCAAGCGTAATTGTTTTAAGCGAAAGCAAGCGTTTCAAGCGAAATCACGAGGTGTGGTCACATTGCGAGGAAGGACCAGGACACAATACTAGATTAGCATAGTTTCCCCCTGTCTTAAAACAACCTTCGAAAAAATAGGTAGCAAAAAACAAAGAAAAAACCCATGGCCGCTCACATTACCTTTTGGTTGTTAATGAGCACACCATCAAAAGGTATTGGACTTTCTTTTTACCAGGATTGCAGTGGTCAGACCCAGAGTCAGGAAAACATTACGGTCGCACGGTCACTGACCGGAGGAAGGTCCACGAAAAACAATAAAAGCTCCAATGACACACCCAAGCCATGCCCACTTTATATTGTTTTGTGAGGAAGGTTTGCCTTCTGGGGGAAGGTTAACAATTTTTCTGGACTCTGGTCAGACCCTATTACAATGTCTTTGCACGATGTCTTTGCACCAGTGAGCGTTAGTGTTTCACTCATAGTTTCTTCCTTCGTGTGCAGGTCGCATACAATGCATACCTCTACTTTGTTCTTTGCTTACAACATTGCCAACCTTTTCTCTATCAGGATTACAACGGCCAGACCCCATTGCACATCTGCGCCTCCGAGGGCCACGCAGCCGCCATTCGTCTCCTTGTAAGCAATGGCTCTCAAGTCAACCTGGTGGACAAGAAGGGCAACTCGCCTTTGCATCTTGCAAGCCGACACGGGCACGAACTTTTTGTTATGGAACTCCTGAATCACGATGGCGATCCTTTCTGGTACGTTTTGCCAGTTTAACTTGCATTTATATCACAGCCAGAATTATATTCTGAAGAAAGAAAGTTTGCCAAAATCCGTAAGATAAAATGGGCATAATTGACTGTTCACTTTTTAATGTCTCTACGATGTGCTTTTTTACCCAAATTGTTTGGATGAACTGTGATTTTGTATCGCCTGTTCTTGCCAGAAAGTGATTTTTATATGGCCGACTATTGTAAGATTTTCTGGTTAGGGGATGGGGGTAGGGTAAGGTGAGGCTGGAGGAATAATTTTTGTCAAATAGTATTGAAGTCATTGAAAAGAACCATTTAGAAAGCAAAATACTCTAGTATTTATCCGTTACCTATTTCACTGCGTAAAACACAAATTCAGCAGTAAGGTGTTTACAAACAACTACATATTCGAAGGCTTATGCGACTGCTCCCAGTTGAGCTTTTGACCACGTCTCTGCTTTTTTGCAAAGTGCATGCATTTTATTTTTTTCGAGATTCACTTTCTATATTTTGTTTTAAAGAGAAAACCGACTTAACGAAATGATCCAAATAAGGGATACCTCCAAATACGGGTCACTTCAAAATAAGCGACGTCTTCAAATGAGGGAGACAACTCAAAATAAAAGACGTTCCGAGTAAGGGACACCCCCAAACAAGGGAAACCACCAGATAAGGGTCGTCTCCAAATGCAGAACTCCCCAAACAATGAACAAGCAATTATGTGGAGCAAATTATTCTCTAGAAATGAACATCTCCCTACGACGGCTACCTCTCTTGTTCCAACGGTGTCCCTTATATGTAGGTTTCCATGTAATCAATTTCAACCTTTCTACCAAAATTAGGTTCCAATCAAAGGGTACTATTAAAAGTTCCACCCAAAATGTATTTTAAATAAGGCCTCGATGTCAAATCATGCCCTTATAAAATTTCAGCCGTGGCGAAAACAGCATGACTGCTTTGCATATGGCTGCACTTGGCGGACACACAGACTGCTGCCGAACTCTTATTGCAAACGGTATGTGCCTTAACCACCCTAAATATTGACGTTTTGTGTTTCTCGAAGTTATTATCCCCTAAAAGAATTCTCATGACGTCATAAAATAAAGTCAGCCCTTTCTCGCCCTAGGAAAATGTAGTTAGTCGTAGGGCCTAACGGACATTTAGTTTGAATTGCAAATGAAATATGACAATAGGCTCAAGTTTAAATCAAGGTAAACTTCATTTTTAAGCTTCAGTTAGCTTTTTATGTGCTAAGCTTCAAGTAATGACCACAGTTTTAAAATCCAAGACAAAAAATCTAGATTTCCAAGACTACAAATTGTGTCCAAGGACACACCAGAATAGGATGTACCCCCAACATGAATTTGAGCATTGTCTCTGCACGGGCGGTTCATCTCATTATCTTTGTTTTTGACGATGAAAGGCACTTCATATGACTTGCCTTCTTTTTAGTGTTTTATAATTTCAATTTCCCCGCCCTTTTTTCAATCGTTTCATTCTTTCTAGGCTGCAATGTTAATTGCATTGATGGCAGCGATCGAACACCACTCCATGCCGCCTCATGTAGCAAGTAATCAACTTTTTTTTTCACAAATAATTTTTAATTTTTCCTCTGGAATTAAGGTCCTCTTAGTTATGCATTTAGATAATTATCTGCTTAGCAACGAGCCTCAAGTTAAATTTAAAACAAAAAATATTTCAGATTGATTATTTTGTGGTTTTTTCATGAGGTTTTTGAGGTTTTGAGATAAAGGGTTTTTTATGACCTTTCTCGAATACCGTATTTCCTCTAAAGAACGCCGCGGCGTTTATTACAAAATCCAATTTTTGGATGCGGCGTTTAACAGAGGGTTGTGTTTAATACAAAATGAAAAGTGTGTCAAATGAAAAATGACAAGAAAAGTGCGATAAAAGAGATAAAAACAGACTTTTGACAATGTTTTCTTTCCCAAAATGGGGTTATAAAGATTGTGTGAAAAATGTTTTAAAGTTCACAAAAGATGTGTTCACGTGGATATGTCAAGAAATGTCACGTGGAAATGTCAAGAAATGTCACGTGAAAATGGAAATTTCAAGGAATATCTGTTTCACTGTCTCCGTGAGAGTCAACGTCTCTATGACATAACAACTTTCATAGCCTTCGAATAGTAAACATATAAACTATTCGTTATTTCTTTTTTGGTCAATTTTCTAATGAATGCCACCTTCCAAGATGCGGCGTTTAAAAGAAGGTGGCGTTTATTACATATGGTTAGCTGAAAGTGCAGCGTTCAAAAGAGGGCGGCGTTTATCTGAAGGCGGTTTTCATTAGAGGAAATACGGTAGTTATACAATCGCAATCGATCGTGTCTGTCACATTGTCTTGTAATGCAGGATTTTCCCAGGTCCTCATGTGCATTTTTAATTGCACGAAATTTGCGTTTATTTACACAGAAACATCGAATGTCTGGAGCTACTCCTTCGGCACGGAGCTCAATTTGATCTCAGTGATAAACTCGGAAGGTAAATAATTATTTCTACTGTTTATTTTATTTAAATTTATCTCGATTTTATATCACTAGCTCCATCCAACATGGCAGAAATTGTTTGATTTATTCACCGGTGGAAATAATTATTATTTGGAAAAACACCTTCACAATAGGGTTTTGGGGTGCTTGTGGCGAAATATGGCTCTGTAACCCCAGAATGTGATGCTCTTCAACCCAGGCACAAAGAAAAAAACATTAGTACAAAAAATTTTTGTCCTGAATTGAGCAAATGAACTTGGGTGAAATGGTTGGATTATTTTCTCTGTAAAACTACGTGATGCTAGCTTTAGTTTTATAACAAAAATCTGATAAAACTCGGAAAATCTTAATCTAAGCTTTTTTAAAAAAGAAGTTTAGGAAAAGCTGTAATTTTACATAATTTTCTTCAATATATTTTTCTCCTGTAAGAATACACGCGAATCGTTAAACATTTAAATGTTCGGACGGTCATGACAAGAGGAGTTTTTCCATACTTGAACTCCATTGGTAATATTTTCAATAGGCAAGCGGCACTGATTGGGCAACCTCAACAGTCATGTGCTCGCATTTTCTGGTTGGTCTTTTCATTCCATAACTGGGTAGATATATTTTACATGAAGAAATACCTTATTTTATCATAATTGTATGCGACATAAAACTATAGTGCGAAGGGTCTCTCTGTCTTAAAATCAGAAAATTTTCACCTTAAACTCTATGGCTATTGAAAGTCCATGGTTGCAATAGGGCGCCTTGTGTGTTACGGATTTAATTGCAAAGCACCAAACACTATTTTACCCCCGGTCAAGGGTAGTTGTTCGGAGAAAGAAGGCCCAAGTCAATATGTTATTGCATCACCCCAGAGTTACACCAAGATTTCATCGTCATTCTCAAGTCTCTCATAGCCTCTCTTCCGCTCCAAGCAGAACGCTGTGGGAAACGTATGCCATCCTCATTAGCCTCCATTTGGATCAATATCATTTCATTTGAATACATGTTTTAGGACCGCGTTGCATTATGCGGCTGGTCACGTGTCACATGAATGCGTGGAGCTGCTTTTGTCAAAAGGTTCCAGTGTGCACAAACAAGATACCAATGGGTGCACACCGCTGCATTATGCTGCTGCCAAAGATGCAGATGCGATGTGAGTTGCATTCCGTCTTTTCATTTCGTTTCGTTTCGTTGATCACGTTGCCTTTCAATGAAATCGTCCTACTAAGGCCATAATCTCGATCAATTTTGTTGTCACAAATTTTCTTCTTCGTATCAAGGTTCTTCTCGGCGTTTGCTCAAGTTTTTGAAACATGGTTTCCATTTAAGCTCAACTGAGACTTTTTATGCCCACGAACGACTTCGTGTTAAGTAAAGTGATAAATGCCACATATCTAGAATCGTGTATGCTTTTTTAAAACGTTTTCTTGTTGACAGTTTTCGATTGGTTGTTTTTACGTGACAGTGATGCAAGTTTTAGTTGCATATGTGAGCCCAGGCTGGTGTGTGATTGTGGATCGGCGCTTAGGGTTGCAGACTACAGACCCAAGGGTCTGGGGCTCGAGTCCCCGACGTGACCAAACTTTCACCTGGAGTAAGGAGCGTCGCCAGCTCTCTGCCATTCCAGGTGTAGGAATCGCTAGGTGCTGCTGTTGAATCGCTAGTGAAAAATATTTAGTCAATCTAGCTGTACGTGCTACAATATATCGTGTAAAAAAGACATTAATCTTAGCTCTATTGCTGGCCACATTTTTCTTAACTTTTCTCTCATACTGTCTGCACAGTGTGGTGGAGAATTTGCTCAAACATGGCGCTAGTCCCAGCAAGCAAGACAAAAATGGCTACACTCCACTTCATTACGCGGCTGTCAATGGGTTCAAATTGTCAATAGAAATGGTAAGTTATGTATGCATGGCAGTTGTTCTACAATTATTAGTCTCATGAAACGCTCGGAGTTAGCCAAGGAGCAGGTTCTAAACTTTCACTTCTTTTTTTAATCGGGGCATGTACATTCAAAAGCGATTCGAAAATCTCCTGAAATGTATCAGCCATGACAGATGGGTCATTAGCTTAGGGGGCAAGGATGGTTTCCCAATAACTATGATCAGGCCGTTAATGTTTTTCGATAATTTGCAATTGTCGTTTGGAATTAATTCAGGTATTGCCATGTGATGTTCACAGAATTTTCCAAATTTTATGAATGTTTAGGGGAGAGTTTTAAAACTGCAAAGTAACAAAGATGAAATTCGGATTTTCAAAAGGACTTTTTAGTAACAGCTAAAAAATTGGAGCAAAAATGATGTTTTGAATGAAAAACTTGGACCCGTATTTTTATTAAAAGTTTAGACAAAGTCTATAGAAAATATAAAAATCAAGACTTAAAATTTAGTGGCATTGAGCCTAATTCTATAGAAAACAGAAGAATTCAGTCCCCTGCGTGCTAACTAGATAAAATTCGTGTACCAAACTTTTCGTTGTTTTTAACGCGTTTTGTAGAATTAGCTGCTTACCCCTCAACATTTAATTCAAAAATTTAATTTTCTGATTTGAAATTGCCAGAAAGCATTTAATTAGTTTAACATCTGTAATATTTCGGTATTATTATTGCAAATTTTCAAGTTTTGGATAAGCAAAAGCAATAAAAACATTCTCTCTTTTTTTGCAGCTTTTAGATGTTGGTAGAGACAATCTCGTTAATAAATGCGGAACTGAAGGATACACTCCGCTTCACTTTGTGGTAAGTGTGATATTGTTTCTAATAGTTTCTTTTAATATAGTTTCTTATCGAATACATCATCATACCCATGTTTTGATTTGTTGGGAACCTTCCTTTTACATCATTCTAATAAACTGGTTTCTATTTTCTTTTTACTCAGAATTTTCCAACTTCAGTGTAAGATATATCCACAAACAATCTAAGCTTTTAATCGTTATAATAACTTTTACTCTTTTACGTACAAAATTTTAGATAAAAATCTTGCACGTTTTTGTAAGATTTAGAATGGATGATCTGATAAATATAAGATTACATATGTAACAAAGTCTTTAATATCTTAGCACTTCATCATCCGTCATACAAATTTTTGTAATTCGATTTTCTTATCTTAGTCAACTCACTGTTTGTACTTTTTCGCTGTGCGTTCCATGTTACTAAGGTCTTTCGATACCCCAAGTAACAATGTTCAGGATTTTCAGCTACAACCTCATTCCCTTTCCATCCCTCCTATTCCCCCCATTTCCCCCATTCCCCCCATCCAAATAGCCTTATTTAACCCACTCCTACTTCAATTCACGCTTCGTGCTTCGCTATTATGTTTTACTCAAAGATGCATGTTAACATCTATGTTTGCAATTCCGCCCCATCTGAGAAAGATTCCTCCAATTATCTTAGCAGCTTTGACACATCGAGTGCTGTTTTGGTAATTGTTACCTTTTAATACCCAGCATTTTACTCCATTACATATCAGTTTTCCCTTTTAGTCGCATCATGGTCATCTCGCCGGGCTTAAAGTTTTACTCAGCGCATACAACGACCCCAATGTTAAAGGAATCAACGGTAAAAGCTCTTAATCGATATTTTCACATTATATTTTTTGATACTCTTATTCAATCGTTATCACGCATACCTGTCAAGTCACTGAGGTGCCCTGCCGTAAGATTTTGCATATTTAACCACAAGTCTGTAAATAAAACGGTAATTGAACCATAAGAAAACCGAACGTATTTTTTGGAACCGTTTTATCTGTTTCAAAACGAATGCAGACTGAAAACTTAATGTAAATAGCAATAACACATGACTCAGTATAGACTATAAACTTTTCAAATGCTTAAAAACGGCACTGTTTAAAAAGATTCATTGATAGAACCATCAAATAAACTTTAACTATGAAGAAAATTTTTTGGAAAATTACAATGACGGACGTCTTTCAGCTTCAAATTTCAACAATGAGTTACAAAATACAGAATGTGCTCACTGGTTAGCCAGCATTTTTATATAAATGTATTGAGCAAGGGGAATGCATTATCAGTTCGACTTCGCGAAAGTTCGAGTGATCGGGGTCTTAACTGTAATTTTAGTATCCAATCTCTGTGAGTTCATGATTCCAGAGGTTTAACTCCTTATTCAATGATGCCAAAAAGTGCCCAGAACACCAAGCAGTACAAAACTTTATATATTTCATCGTTTCTTAGTCTGTACTTACCACTCGGACCGATTCTTTAAAGGATCTTGTGCAACCGGCATGCTTAGTGGCAGCTGTCTTGAGAAATTGACTGCGTTATGTATATTCATGCGGTACGATATCAGGCCGGTTTTGAAAATATAGTCGCAAAGCATGCCTATTGCGCAACAGCCTTTAAATACAGTCTGTCCCCTATTGTGCTCAACTTTATTTTCACGGGAGTGAAATTCACGCACCGCTGAGCCTGATCGATAATTAAACGATTTAAACCAATCAGAGAAAACTTTGATTCCAGAGCTTTTGAATCAAATGCCTGTGTTCCCGTTGTAGTGAAGCTGTGACTAGAAAAATATTGCTTCTTGTTTGGTTTCTGCGACAATTATGTCAACAGCGAAAGGAAATGCTTCCATTATCATTATTCAATTCCAGCAATTAAATCTTCTTGCCATTCCCGATACCTTTTTGCTCGCAGTTTCAAATGTCGTCCACTACCGCAGCTAGGCCAGCCAAAGCAAGCATCGTAATCCGTTATCCGTTAAGGCGGGAAGACCTATTGTTTATATCAGCCAATCATTGAGGGGACAGACTGCCTTTGATGCAATCATTGGTGCCACTTAATGTTAGTCTTTATTAGTGTAATTACTTTTCCGAAAACTAACAATAAACGGTTATACTTAAAGGCATTGAGTCATGGTAAATAAGCCCTCTCTATAGGGGGTCATTTGGTTTCGGCGTGATCGCTGGTGTTTCATGTGATACTTGCATCCGTTGTTGACAACTTACTATTGATCGAAATTGTTTTGTCAATCAGTACGAGGTGAGTTCATGTGACCAGTTCCAGGTCAACCAATAGCATGGCATTCATGAAAATCATGACTCAGCGGATTTTGGCACTTCGGGTATACCCAATCCATTTTATCATGACTCAATGCCTTTAAATACCGTGCAACATCTGTTCGCAAAGTCAGTCACTTGACAAGCATCAGATTTTTCGTGCTTCGAAGGGTGTTGTATGTTTAAAAGATTAATCTCTGAAATTTGATTAATCTCGTGAAGATCTCAAGTAGGATAAATATTTTACTGTTTTGAACTGCAAGATTATTTAAACATCTGATAATTGTATTGTTTGCAATAATTTGATTAAATTATGGTTGATATAAACATCTTCCTTTATTCAAATGTTTTACAACAAGACTTAAAGGCGACCTGCCCGTTCAGTGATTGGCTAATATGAACAATGAGGTTTGATCAACGTCGCTTCTGATTGGCTACAATTGCTGATTACTCATCAACGTCAAAGAAGCAAACATTTTACTTTAGAGAAAATGAATTTGGACATAAAAGAGGAGAAGCTGCTTTTAATTTAATGGTTTTATTCTCATGAAATAACAATAGGTTATTCTCCTCTTACTCGCTGTAGACACAATCATCAGAAGAAGTTCATGATGGTCTAATTTAATTGGTTTTCTTATCCAGCTATGTTTAGGCGATCGAATTCGTTTAGACAAAATATTTTTAAACTAGGTGAAGCTAGCGTTTGCATAATTAATTTACCAATATATCAGTAATTCGTAGTTTTCCAAAGTAAAAACTGTTATATTCTTTCTGCACGTGTTAAATAATCGAAGCGTTTTTATTTCAGGCCTAACCCCGTTAGATCTTGCGTCACATGCAGGCCATGTGTGAGTATTTTTTTCTTGGTTGGGTTCTCGTTACTTCAAAGATATTTCATCGCAGAGACCTATTCACGTTTCAGTTCGTGGAAACATTTTGTCAAATCTAAAACCCCGCTTAATTGTTTGCTACTTTAGCAATTGTCAGCTGGTCAAAATCAACTCGTGGACATGAATTCTCCATAGTTTTCCTAGCGTAAATCAGAAGGAGGGCGATTATCATTTGCATCAAGGTTGCGAGAACGTTCAACAAATTCCCTAAAAATTTAGTATCTGAGAAATCATTATTAAAAGATTTCAGCTGGCTGCAAGTTTTTGACTTGACTTTTAACGATAACTCTTTTAATCATGTTGTCGTTGAAGTGTTTTTTTAACTATAAAACAGTAATTTTATTTGGTGAACAAGTTAGCATGTATAAAGATGGTTTATTATTTTTATATTAGTCAGGTTTAAAAGCCAATTCTTTTGTTAACCTGAACACTGTCGAATTTGAATTTTATTGCGTGTGATAAATTTTCGTCGGGGACAGTGCTTCATTCGGAAAATTCAGCCGGGTAAAGTCTTGAAACTTTCAAAAGTAACAAAATTTCTCCCCAATTTCTTCTTCTCCGATAAAGTATTCCATAGGGCATTTATAATTTGCGGTTTATTGTAGGGCCTGCGTGGAAGCGTTGTTGACAAACAAGAACCCTGCATCGGTCCTTAGTTTTGATAACGACGTAAAGAGGACTCCCCTTCATGCGGCAGGTAATTGAGATCGTTGTAATAAGTTGATGACTGCCTTTTTGTTGCTAGATTGCTTGTAGTGAAATCGTTTAGGCGAAATACACTTTTCCGTGTAGCTTGTTTCTCTCTGGATTTTGAAATGAGAGTTATGATATTATCTGCTTTTGTGAGAGTTTTCCTTCCTCGTTTAAGAACTTGTCTACGTAGTTTGCCAAAATTCCTATTTTTACGGCTTTGAGAGAAACAGATTGCTCCTAGCGCTTCTTTGAAGACTTACACTACTAGTGACACATTTTAAATTTAAAGTAAAGTGCATCAGTTAGTCTATTTATTGTTGGCACTTCCAATGCTAATGCCTATTTGTAGCAAGGGAATATAGAGACTTGCGCAAATGACTTTTATGGTCTGTAACCCTATATTCTTGAAGATAGCTCGGAAAAGCCGAAACAAAGGATACCTGCAACCCTGATCAAAACTTTTCAAGAAAGGTTTATGTCTTTTCTTTCCTTTGACAAATAACTCCCCCCCCCCCCACCTTCCCCCGATTCAATGTTTAATACATGTTTTTGAAGCACAAGTGATAGAACTCTGAATACAGTATTGATAGGGGGGATTCGAATTTACAGAGGCAACGTAAAGTAGAAAATTGCATAAATTGCATTTTGTCTCAGCAGTTTTGTGTGGGATTGTAAATACATTTTGTCTTCAGAATATAAACATCGGATATCTCGAGGAATGGGAAATTTCTATCCGTATTCAGCTTGAAAGTAACGTGCCAGGAGGAATGGCGCGTTCGATTGGTCCTTTGGTTTCGACCAATCGGCTGCCACTAGCCTAGTAGTAGAGTCCAAGAGATAAAACGAACCCTTTCTGTCTACAAAATAAGGGTCCAATTGACGGTTGGCCTCACTCTATCTTTTTCAGGGGTTTTCATTTCCTAGGCCTATGCTTTTTTGCAATCATTTTAACCTCCATCTTTCTAAAACTAACGTGTTTTATTTCAGCTTACAACGGCCATACTACATGTTTGGAACTGCTGCTCAAGCACGCAGAGGCTGAAGATGTCGTCGATTGCGTAGACGGCCAGGATCGGTAAGTGTCTTTGCCAAATGCCCATGGCATGCTTCAATTCGTTTATCAAATCGTAAGGATCTTGCGGTGAATCACGTGCAATAACCATGTTCAGTAGCAATATTAATCGATTTTCGATTGAACATTGAAGCTCAAAATGTTTTTACCAGTATGAATTCCATGTATTGAGGCCCGAAGACATAAAGTTTAGTTCCATGTCGACTTCGTGATTATTGTCGGCCTAAATACATGGAGACTAGTAAATACACTTTCGGCCTAAATACTTTGGTTTACATGGTGACTTTGTAATTGGTTGTATGGGTGCAATTAACGTCTCGCCTCGATACAACAATATTTCGCCTCGATAGACAGGGATTCGTCATAGTGAATATTGCGAACCAGATTAAAATTCTTCCTTTTATTTTCTGTACCACGAAAATATTGTCTCAGATTTCTTGCTTCATTCAATCACTCCACTTATGTTCTTTCCCGCCTTTCTTGCCCTCCTCTTCTCCGAGTTCATTTACCAATTCATCCACCAGAACACCAATTCACCCACTAAAGCACTAACATGTGCCATAGATTTTGTGTATTGCAGGGCCCCTATAAACGATGATGAAAATTCTTGTTGTTAAATAAACATTTTTTGCTTCAGGACTCCTTTAATGCTGGCAGTGATGAATGGCCATAGAGACAGTGTGTTGTTGTTGTTGCAACAAGGATCAAACCCTAGTGCCCAGGACTTTAGGCGAAGAACGGCCACCCATCGAGGGGTATGTAGTTTTCCAACTTTTAATTTCTTTGTCAAATTTTTACAGTGTCTTTTACAGTACCTTTTATTTTGTACTTGTGTTTCTACAAAGTTTCAATTAAATAGAAAAGCTGTGGGAGTTCTTGAATTCTCATTTCTCAGCACCCTTCAAAGTATGCCAAATTTATTTATTGTTTCACTGTAGAAAGTAAGAGAACGATTCTCTAAAGAACATGGGAGTTTTTAGGAAAAAAGCTTATGAGAGGCTTTTGAAATCGAATAGCAGAAAATCATCTTGCTTAACTTTATTGGGAAATTAACAGACAGTTTACATTTGGCTTCGTAAACATTTGTTGACATTCAATTGTCTTGCAATATATTTTTCTTTTTCATCAGAGAGTGGCCTAAGCTTTTTACTCCAGAAACTTGTGTCTGTAACTGTTTACATCAGTAATGTACACATGTTTATTTTGGCGCGAATGAGCGGCTCACAACGTGTTCTTTGTTTTTTAGGCAGCTTGCGGCCAGGAAGAATGCGTCGATGCGCTGTTGCAATACGGGGCCGACCCCAACGCAAGGTAGGCAAATTCATAAATGTAAAAGTACCCCAAATGGCAGTTTTAAACATCTGCGCACTATTGCGACATTCGCTTCAGATGATATTTGGTTTCGATTACAAAATTCAATTGCAGTGTTCGAAGTCCTCCTTTTCTCTCTTTGAAACTGCGTTTATACATTTGCGTCAACCCTAATAAACGACGAAGAATATAAATGCATATGCTGAATCTCATTCATAACTATAAGGCCCTTTAGCAGTAACGGCGTTTTTCTGTCGTATTTTTACGACTAAAAGCATTTAGACAGATTGCCGCGCTTTCTGTTGGAGTGATTACTTGATTTGAGTCTCCGAGTCTATCTTGTTCACACCAGCACCTGTATTTGCTGACGCAAGTCAGTGGGAAATTTGCAGATTGCAACCTCGATAATTCTTTTGATAAACCTGTTTGCTACGGAATTATTTTACTTGCAGAATTGCTCTGTAATATAGCTGTTAGTATTTTGATTTCGGATTCAAACTACCAGTCTTCAACAGATCTCTAAAATCACTTTTGCTTCGTGCCTAAACTTGTGTTTATTGGAGAGATTTCATTCCTAGATATCCTTGTTAAAGTCAGATTTGCTTTATTGCTCAGTAGATTCGAATCGCTATCAGGGGTATGAAGCGATTCTCATCAAAATGCACTTGAATGCAGATACCAGCTTTTGTCAATACCACTTTCCAAATACCTTCTTTATGAAGAAAAAAACGCTTTTTAACTTATTCTATATTCTTTTTTCGATGGTCCGGTGGTGAGTTACTAAAACTATTGGCATCGATCATAGATCTATTTGGCAATTGCACACTTCCTTAATGAAATTAACGGTTGAATAAAGACTTGAGCCACTTAACGAAAGTTTAGAAACTAACCTGAAACTGGTAACAAGAATAAAAAAATTTTAGTTCTCAAAGATATAGTCCATAATAGCGTGAAACTCAGACTGAAATTTTCTTTTTGGCATTTAAAACTTGGACTGAAATTTGTTCGAAATATATAGTGATGTTATTATACAATTAATTCAGTTGGTTTAGTAGGAGCAACAGCAGCACTAACAACAGAGCGTTATGGACAGCCCCCCTCCCCATTTTTTGGCGATACTTATCTACGAAGAATTCTCTTCTTGTTATTTTCAACCAGCTAAGGAGCGACTACATGTTTCTTTTTCTGCGAGGTCCCGCAGAGTCCCGCAGTGCCTGGCAGTGTGCCGTGAATTTCTGCGATGGCTTCTCTTTTTTAGACATAAGACTTCAAGTTTCTTGTTTTTGTTTCATTTCATTTGAGGGTTCTATTGAAATGGCAGATGTTACGGGTATTTTGGCTTTATTTTGTATCTTTTATTGATAAACAACACTACTTATAGAAAACTAAGTTAAATTTCTGGTCAATGCAGGGACTGCAACGGCCGTACTCCATTGATAATGGCATCAGCATGCGACCATGTTGGTATTCTGGGAAGTCTCCTTCAAGCTCAAGGGAAGCCTTATTGGCCTGATAACTCGAAATACACTTCGCTTCATTGGAGCTGCTATAACGGTGAGGTTGCTTTGCGTTTTTTATGGACATTTTCCTGCTTCAAATAACTAGCAAGCAACGAAATTTTTTCTGCTTCATGCCCTTTTTTGTAAAAAAGTTATGCAGAAATTTTTACGAAGTTTTCCCCTGTTAGAAATCATTCAAAAATCGATTATTTTTCTATAGAATGTTTGTCTAAAAGTATGATGTCTGAAGTTTTGATAACGTAAGTTGATCAGCAAAGGGACATTGGAAATCACAAAATTCAATTTTATTTGAAAACAATTTTTAATATACTATATGTGTCTAAAATTATGTGAGAAGTTTAAAACTGATGTCCCGATTTCGTTAATAAAAAAGATTTTACAATTATAATTCTCATCTCAAATGATATTGTTCCGTGGTTCGAGTCCCTGAGGTGACCAAACTTTCACCTTGAGTGAGGGGAGTCGCCGGCTCTCTGCAACTCCAGTCGTAGGAATCACGAGGTGTGGTCACATCAAGAGGAAGGACCAGGACACTGCTCGATAAGCATAGCTTCTCAGTGTCCTAAAAACCACCTTCGGATGCTGGGTAAAAACAAATACAAATACAAAGTATAGGTGATAGTACATCATGAATAGGCCAATTATAAACTGTTGTAGCTGGGCCACTATTGACACTGACTTATGCTTTCATTTCGCTATTCAAAAAATTGGCCTAGGCATGTTCGCCTCGCCGCCATGATTCTACTCGCTGTCTGAACGACAAGAATGAACGCAACATAAACGTGCAATGAGGTGCTCAATACAATCAAAGTTAAAAATTAGTAAAAAATCCTTAAGATGACAATAAGAGTCCGGTTTCAAGAGCAAATTACCTTTTCAGCCGAATGAAGCCAATCATTTGAACAATGCACCAAAATCAATACCAGGCGAACTACCACAAGCAACCCTTCTTGAGCCCGCTGTAGCCTCCATTCTGGAAACGTCATTTTCCATTGTAATTTTCAACGCCGTAGTCAATTTCTGTCGATAATGGGCGTCGTACAATGTAATTTTTTTATATAGAATTTGACAGTTACTCAAAACCCGGTCATTTTTTGGATTTCTTTAAATTTGACGCTGTTAATTGTACTTTTTGGGAACATAATCCCAGCAGTGGGCAGAATTTGACTTCATGTCGGAATTTTCTGTTTGAAAAAAGAACTTTGCAGAAATCTCTCACTATTCGGAATCAAATAATAAGTTTCGAATGTTTCCTTTCTGGCCCAATCCGGTCACGGTCTTACAAGCCAGTCACCGGCCGGTACCTTCCGGAACTTTTCTTAAAGGGCCTTTTTAGATGCGAAAGGCTTGAGTAATTTCGGAGTTTTAGGATTATTTGTTCGGCCCTCTTTTAGGTTTTTTGATGGCGGACGTGACGCAAATCCTGAATAGCCATCTGCTTCATTTTTACGGTTGCATTCCCGTTTTTTCTCAGCTTTTTAAAAACTTTGCAATGCAATTTTATAGTGTTACCATTTTTTTTTCGTTCTTTGGATTTTTTGCGGATCTTAATTTTAACCTAAAATATTTGACGAAATTTTCAGAAATTAGCCCGAATCGTTCTTTATCTGCATTCTTGTCAATTTCAGCAGCAAAATTTTGAGCGAATTTCGTTACTCCGAACTAAAATTATTCGAGCGTAAGTTTTTTAGGACCGCCTGCAAAAACTTTCCTTGGATACGAAGTTTATATTTGAGGGAGAGATAAAGGAAGGATGTGTGCTGCATCGCCCCCGCTAACTACGATTACTTTGCATTGCATGCAGTTTTTCAGAAAGCTTGCAAAGCAAAAATTCTCTAAACCACACCTTCATCGTTTGTTGGTGAGTGATATCGACCCGTATCACCATTGTAGACCCATCGTAAAGTTTTTTACATACCCTCTGGCATAAGAAATTGAACTACTATTTGATAGAAACCTTCTCTAGCAATGAGATCTGGTGCGGAGAGCTAAAATCCCGTACGTCCAATTTGCGTTTGCATATGAAGAGGCCTGGCTCACCTGAGAATGTTGCAGGTGTTTTTAGCTGTTAAAATCACAATTCTACCGGCTTTCTTTGATTTATGGGTCCTCATTCTACAGGACATGAAAGCTGTGTTGAGCTGCTTCTGGAGGTAAGATTTTTTTCAAATATTATCTATATTTTTCTGCAAATATTTCCAAACTACTTTCTTAATGCTCATATCAAGAAATCATAAACTTTAAATACTTAGACAGAATATTTGTTCGTCTTCAAACATCCGTCTGTTTGCATCTTGCGTCGTTTTGCTGTTAATAACGTCATCCCGTTTCTAGAAGAGTAGGCAAGTTTTAAAATTTTTTCTTTTAATGATTCTTAAAAACTTGCATTTATGTTGATAATTATGACAAAAGTTTGCATTTTGCTATCTCTGTCTTGAATTGGTTAGTCAGAAGGTATTTGTGATATGTTTTAGAGTTTTGTTTTTAAAAAATTTCGTAGTTTTTGCTTATAAAAAAGCTCTTTAAATGAACTTTCGTCTGGATGTGAGGGGCATTTTCAGAATTGTTTCCGGATTTGTTTTCGTAGTCAGTAGGTTTTCTGCTGGTTCCATTTTATGTGAAAGGGGAGGGGAGGATGAGTGTTTTCTGTTAGCAGTTTTATATTTTAAAACTTATTATATGACAATAGCTTTTAAAAAGTTTTATAGATCGTAAGAAAAATTTTTTCTAGTTGTATTTTTTATAGAACTTTCATTGTCCGTTATCCAAGTTTAGGTCAGAGAAAACCTGCCGTAAAATCTCCTTGTGATGCAACAGCGACTCCAGGGGAAACCGATGGTCCAAGATCATCTCTCGGTCTTTTTTAATCAAATAAAAAATTGATCTTGTATCTTCATGCACCCAATTTCAAATGCAGCCTAGCTAAACCAACCATCTTAAGCTAGGCCATTCAACTAGAAATGCGCTTTGTCGTTTTAAAGGCAACTTCTATTTGTGATCTAAGGTCTTCGAGAAGATGACATCATTTGAGTACCCCATTTGCTCTGCGTACTCTCTTTCGAAAAAGCAGGCCACCCTCCTCACTTCTACCTAATATGTCTCTTCACTTCCCCCTTAACTCCATCTTCATTTCTCCTTCATTCCGTCTTCATTTCTCCGTCACCTCCCTCTCACTTCTCCCTCATTTCTTCTTTGCTTCCCCTCACTTCTCCCTCATTTCTCTCTCACTTCTCCATCACTTCTCCCTCACTTCTCCCTCACTTTTCCCTCGCCTCTCCTCATTTCTCCCTCATTTCTCTCCCTCTCGTCCCCTCATCTCCCCCACACCCCCACCGTCTTTTCTCACCCTATCCCCCTCACATCCAAACTCACCCCTATTCTCCTTCTACGTCCTCCCTTGATCCCCTCGATTTCCTTCCCCCTCAGTTGCCGTCCCCCTCAACTTCTTTTTTCGTAGTCCTCAGAACTGAGCACGAATAATGTGACCTTTTAGAAGAAAACGCGATGTCAGAACCCTATTTACCGGCTTTTCTCGATAGCGAACAGTTTAAAGTGGGAAGAAATCTGATTTATTTTACAATCTGAAAACGTTTTACAGGCTTACTGTTGCGGCGTATTTGTGCTGGTTGACCTCATTGATGAAATCCAATTGTCTTGATACGATTGACGTGAAGAAAAATAACCTTTTCAAAGTTCAACTGCCATGCTGGGTGATCCCCTTTGAAAGAACATAGAATTCACCTCATCTCTTACGGTTTTCTTGTTGAAGTTCCTTTTAATACAAAAGCTTTGTTTACAAACGGCGCTCTTGCTTAAACGAGTAACCTTCATGTTGAAGTACTTGAGTCTTAAGTTTCGCTTGGTATTTTGATAACGATTTTGTTGCACAAAGTGAAAGGCCGCGATAGAAGCTTCAGCCACAAATTAGCTGTTGGAAAGGGTAGGTTTTAATTTCAGGTGAAAACGGTTTCACCCCGTCAAATTGCAACATTTTTCAACAAGATTTATTTCCTCTTCGTATTTAATGTTTATATTATGTTGATGTTTTACCTACGTCCGTTGTTAATGATTAAAACCTTGGAAGATAAGGCCTGCGACGAATTGCCATTTCAAGCTAATTCTTTTTCTCGTACCGTTTCTTGTATTTAATATGAATTATTATTATTTTGAATTTGATATGTTCTTAAATTAATTGCGCTTTTCGTCACATCAAAGATTCTTTTGCAAGCTGTTGTTAAGAAGTCGCCTAAATATTTGAACTAAGTGCTTTTGGTGAAAAAACATTTTTGTAAATCACGAAACAGATTGCTTTGACGTATTGACATCATCTGCTCATCCACTTCTTGTGTTTTAGGCACAAAACTTGATTACCTGTTACAATTATCTTAAAGTTTGGTTTCTTTATTGACCCTGTTGACGTAGACAAATACTGAGTGAACCGGCTAATTTTCCGCATTTTTCGGAGTGGGTGCTGGCAAAAGAAGAAACCTCCTACAGGCATTTTCAATTTGCAGGCAGCTTCAAACTGCGTGAAAAAGCTTGTTTAGTAACCCCCTATATGTGGAGCAGCTGCTCTGGGCACCGGTCTCTCATCACAGTTAGGTCCGGTTTAGGGCTCAAACATCACGGATGCAACCGAGTCAGGGCCAAAGTGCTACCAATGCGTTCGCACAGGTCCTGAAGGATTAGCATGGGATGAAACTTGGCATCAGCATTCTGAAATTTGCATTCTTGTTGTGGGATTTTGGTAATGAACCACTCCTGGGATTAAAGGGCGGTAGACCTGAAAGCTAACAGATCGGATTCGATTTGTTTATTTTGATACAAAAGATCGGATTGAAAGGGCGGAATATTACTTATGATTTTGATTTTTGTTTCAGACCTTGTTTCAACTCTTCATTATAGATTTCTTTACTTTATTTTAGGAAAATCAGGAGAACGCCACGAATGGAAACAGTTTCTCGGCTCTTCATTGTGCGGTGTAAGTGAAAGATTTTAATAAAGCAATTATATGTCACTCTGTCCGCTTTCTTTGTTCCTGTCTCTGAATTTGTCTCCGTCTCTGACTTTGTCTCTGTACCTGTCCCTGTCGCCTTAAGTTACTAAATTAATCTATCAACAAGGGAAACAATTTGTGAGGTCTCTCATATCTGTACTGTCCCGCCCCATCACAAAACCTTTGTAGCCATAACTCACTCGGAATTCTGACTCAAAGTTGTTTCCTTTGTAACCGTGTACAAACAACATTTGCATAAAAAATCACAGTTGATATCATAATTGGGACTATTGTAAGCTGCATTGGGACTTTATGAACAGCCGTGTTTTTGAGCCAATTTCATTAATGACATTTTATACGAATTGTACTGTTTTATAACCAAACCATTCGTGTTTTGCTAAATCGTTTCGCGAAGTTTAGCGCAACTGAGGTGAGAAAAAGATGAAGCTAATTGCTTCTTTTTGAGATTTCTCAACTGATTTACGTAAAAGTCTTGATTGAGCGCAGGCAGGCTTCGAAAAGACATTGAAATTGTAACACTAATTTGCATTCTGCTAATCATTTTTGCTGAGAACGGCTGCAATGTAAGACAAAAATTGACTTTGAGAAGCAGCTGCTTTGTATGTCTTATTCGAAAAAAACTCTGCGGTTTCAGGGCTGCCGAGAAAATCGGGGGCCCTTGGGCAAAACCGCACGACGAGAAAATGTTTGCGACTACGCCCTTCAGATTAGCATAAAATGCATTTCAAAACCTTTCTTACAGTCATCTTCCTGCAATTGTTTTAAAGGTAACTATTTTTCGACATAGATTCGCTTGATTCCGTTCTTAAAATGGAGTGCTGTCTAAATAACAAGAGGGGCTCTTGCAGAAAATGTTGCGAAAAACAACAGCAAAAGTAGAAATTTGCAAATTTTCGGCATTAACAAGGGGGGCTAAGCCCTCCTGACCCCCCTAGCACTACACCCCTGTATGAGGCCCCATAGGCCTCGAAGCCCTAGGGCAGTTTGCCCCCTTGCCTTCCTCCCAGGCGGCCCTGTATGGTATTTCCAGTTTTTTCGTTTCAAAACATTTATCAATGCTGACGCCTCGGGTACTCACAACTGGGTAATCGAAGAAGACAATTGAACACAGCTAATGCAACTCTTTTGAACTTTGGAGAAGATTCGCGTTTTCATATAAGAAATCCTCTAAAAAAATATTTAGACTTCAAGCTTAAGAAACTTTTCAAAACAAAAAATTTTGAACGAGCAGATAGGTTGTCGCTGCTATTTTTCTATCAGTGTAAGGCAAATTATCGGTTGTGATTTTGTTTCATTGAAAACCTATTTAATGCTCTCAGAACCAAATGGAGGAAGTGTGGGCATGGAGTAACGAAATTTTTCTGCGATCTTTTTCAAATGTAACTGCATCAATTCCTGAAAAATGCTTTGTACCAACCCAGACTGCAAAGTTTTTTTTGGTGCGCGGGGAATTGTTTTTGTCGCTAACGCTTTCCCGCGCGTACTCAAAATTTGCACAAATCATCCTTCATGCCCAAAACATCCTTCATTCGGAAAAAATCCTTTCTTCAGAAAATCATCCTTCATTCAGAAATCATCAATCAAACATCCATCAAACGGATATTGTGTTAATTTGTATGAGCACCTTTTTCCGTTATAGTAAAGTGCATTTTGCAAGTAGCAGCTAAAGTGAAATAACGTTAAATATTTGGGACCGTTTGGCTTGTGTGAGAAGTTATTGGCTATTTTTTCATTTCGTAAAAATTCACTCACGAAGCTTTTTGCTTTTCTCTTTTCATGAAGCTGATAATGGACTGTTCTTATCTCGTAGGCTGAACGGCAACTTGGCCTGTGCAGAACTGCTTTGTGAGGCACTTGGCAACAGCATTGTCAACATGAAAGACAAGAAAGGAAGGTAATTGCCCTTAATTTATTTTTCTGCCAAAGTTTGTGCCAAAGGTAAAATATGAAAGACGAGTTAAAACGAGTTTTATTTAGGAGGGAAATATATGAATGGATTATTTGGTGGTAATATAAGAAAGGAGATTAGGCTCGCTCGCAGAGGAAATGCATGTGAAATCGTGGATTTTTTTACAGTGCATAGCAAAAAAGATGCGACGTGAAAACATCCATTTTACTTTACTTCAGGAAACTTTTTCGCAATTGTTTTCTTCAATGAGCATCTTATTGGATTGATATTTCATCATTTATTGCCTTGATAAAGTTTTAGCATCAAAATCCATTTTAAAATCCTGTTCCTTTTTTTATTTAACGCTTTACATCGAATGCTATTTCTGGTCTGCTAATACTGTGTTCTTATTTTCGTTGCTAGATCTCCATTGCACGCTGCCGCATTCAACGATCAAGTGGAGTGCCTACAGTTCCTACTAAAAGAAAAATCTGAGGTTGACCCGATAGATGGTGAAGGGAAAAGTCCATTGATGGTCGCTGCTGAGAAAGGCAACACGAAAACAGTTGGTGAGTTATTATTGCAAACAAATCTTTGACCGCTTTGTAACTAGAACCCAGACTCTTGGGGGTGCTGCACAAGCAATGTTGTGACGTTTCACTCAAAATGGAAGATATTTTGTCTTGTTTTGCCTTGTTTCATGAGCAACTATTTGCGTGTGTATTTTCCTAAATGACCTACATTGGTTACAGCTTTCATTGTTGTAGCCACCTTGTCTGTTTATATGAATATGGATTTTTCTCTAATATTCTGTGAAGAGAGCATTTGCTGTTTGAAATAAGGAAATAAAACTTGATTCAGAAATCTTTATATAAAGTAGCGAAAAAACCATTGTTTTATTTATCAGTATATAATTCGATTTGTCATGGTGTTAGCTATCATTAATTTAGTTATCCTAATTGTTTGCACACTGTGTTCTTTTAGAATTAAAACTTCATATTGATTTTGTGGAGAACGATGGCCCCCCCCCCCCCCCCCAAGGGCCTTTTCTTCAGATTTCTTGCACTCTAGAACTGAGTATAGTCGGCTATGTTTTCAACTGCACTTTTTGCCCCTGAACTTTTCTGTATTCTTGACTACATTTAAACTCTTTTCAACCGCAATATATTTGTAGAAACGTACCCGCTTAAATCAGCTCTTTCAATGTATAAATCTAGTACTTACTTGCCAAGAAATTTGTATTATTTTTATTTGCTTTGTTTAGCCAGGTTTTTTACAATTTGCTATTATTTTATGGCACAATTATCCAGTTTTTGGAGTTAGATTAGGCAAGTTTGCAGTGCACACAAGAACCCACATTTTTGAACCCAGTCTGTGTAGGCTCTTATGAAATGTTCTACATCCATATATCTCGTTCGAAGTTCTTGACTTATTTTCTTGAATAAAGGCCAGAGAAACAAAGGGTAATCGGAGTTTTAGAATCAAACAGCGACAATTATATAGCCAGCAACACAATTGTATATTATGGTAGTACAGTAATCCTTGAGATCTGCTTTCACTTCTCTATGTCCATCCACTCCACAGTTACCAGACAATCTGTTCGTTTTTGAAGAAATTGTCTTCGTCCTTGAAATCTCCAATGCTTAACTCATTAATTTTGTCATCAGTCTCGAGTCCATCAAAAAGTGCGTGTTGCAAACAAGCTGCATTTTATTCGCAACGAATCGATAAAACTCTTTATACAACCCTTAGTTACAATTAAATGGTTCTTATTTATTGAGGGAAGAGTATAAGACATAACGCTGTAGGTTTTTAAAAATGCAGTTCTCAAGTATAGACTTTATTGTTTATCATTAAGAAAAACCTTTATTTATATTTTATTAAAGCGTGAAAAATGGTAGAAGCACTGCAGCCTTATAGCAGAGCGTTTTGTTTTCATAAGATTCTTAAAAACTGTTTCTTGCTTCATAGTTCTGTTGCTAGCTGCTGGTGCCAATCCAGGCCTAAAAGACAAGAATGACCAGACAGCACTTCATATGGCTTGCAAGCAGGTATGCCAGAGGTATTATTTCCGCCGATGCAACAGTAAAGTGCTCTGAGAATTGAGTTTTGGCCTTTTACATAGATAATTTTCCTGCAATTTAAAATCAGGGTTTAAAGTGATTATCATGAATGCAGGTTCTAATAACATACCAGCAAGAGCTGGTCCCATGCAGGTCAGTCACAAACGTGGCTTTTATATACTTGTTGGCAAAAGAGACTTTTTAGGAGCTTTGTAGCATTGCAATGCTGTCGCAGTGGTCCTTGAAATTGTCTTCTTGTCTATACTTGCGTATTTAATAGAAAGATATCGCATTTAATAGACAGATATCGCACACTAAAGAAATCTTTAGACATGGAGTAATTCACAACTTTAATATGAATTGCTTTTTTGGATTCAGGAAACATCTAAAAGAAATTACTGCATGTTATTTAAGAGCCTTACCTTAGGTAATCGTTTTTGAGAGTTCCTGATATGCTTTTATGAAAATATGCTTTTATAAAACCCGTTGTCAACAGTCAACAGTCAACGGTTGATATCTAAGTATATGGAATGCCTTGCTTATTGTTTTTCTCCGTTCTTCAGCACCACAGCACGTGTGCATTGCGATTGCTAGAACGAATGGACAAGGAATCAATCGATATCCAAAATCAAGACAAACAATGGTGAGAATTTTATTTTGTGTCAAACGTGATTGCGACAAAGGTATTGATGCAATCAGGAAGCAATACTAGCTGTTGCAAAATATTTGTATCCCATTCCTAACTCTAGATTTACACATACCCATTGTTGAGTTTTCGCGTTTGTACCGTGCAAAGGTTTGAGAAATGTTACAGGACAAAATCCCAACCTTTTTATCTCCGCCTGATATTCAAAATATTCCCAGACTTTTTGCTCCTGCGCTCATAGGGATTTGCCTCTTAGCCGTGTGATTTCATAGCCTCTCTTTGCATTTAGAATAATTAACTCTCCCAGCTTTATTTAGCAAAGCACAGTGAGAGACTTTTTGAGTCTATATCTAAAAAGTGAAACAAGAATTTGCATTTTTGACCATATGATCATAAGTCTCGTATTATTTCGAAAAACTCTATGAAATTAGCAATGAAAACAAGGTTTAGCGTTAACTGCTATTTCTGGGTCGCCTAGGCAACCGTCCTTTACCTGAATAACCGATTTTTATTACCAAGGTACTTGAGCTACCTCAAGGATCCGTCATTGTTCTTCTTTTATCACATTTTCGCTCGTATTAGAAGGATCTTTAGCCATTACTCATAAATAATTAATGTTTGACGCCAGTGTTTTTCCTGTTTAATCAGCGACATCGCTATTTCTAATTTAAAAGTGTACAATTTAATTTCCGTTTTGCAACATTGCTCTGACTGAATTATCTCTATATAATAGTAAAACAGAAATTCATTGTGTCCAATAGATTAAAATATCTCGATGTAACAGTTTATTTCTTTCCAGTGCGTTGCATATCGCCGCAAGAAATGGGCTACACCGGGTTGTCACTGGTCTTATCAACAAGGATGCGAATGTGCTTTTACCCGACAATACTGGTAAATCGTTTATCTATTTATGATTCCGATATTTAAATCTCTAGCCACCACCCCCCCCCCCAAGCCCCCTCTTCTTTTTTACGGATGTCCTATGATGAAGTTCATTTCGATAAAGTGTTTTGGAATAATATTGCCAATGGCAATTTTCTTGCTGTAATAGCTCATTTATCAATTAATCCCTTTTAAAACTTCCATGTATTCAGGTTAGAATAAAGTCATTCTGTTTCAGTAAAATATTAAGCCGGATTAAACCCATTTTTAGAATATATCTTCTTATGTTGTCAAAAGTTGGGAGCTCTATTGTTCGATCTTGAAAATTTTGTTCTAAACGTTTTAAGTCGCATACTTCTTGAATTTCGTCATCATCAATCTGTCTTCTCGATTTTGAAACCTTTTAGGATTGTTTATAAATGTTTAGGATGTAAAAAAACTTTACTATCTATCGTTTTCTTATTCCAAAATTCATTAGCAGAAAAGTTGCTTATAAATCATTTTCAAATCAGTTTCCTCTTTGCTGAGGACACTTAGCTACTTTATATTAAACTAAAACAGTGCCTCTTAATCGTGCTTCGCATCAGTTACCATGGTAATTACGCTACAGTAATCGAGACCATATTTCTACTTGAGCAAATCGTTGTTTATCTTTTAAGATTTGTGGTAACATGTTATCCGAGTATTTTATGCTCAAAATAAGCCCACAAAGATTCTTTTATTATCTTATTAGAAACACAGACAGTTATTTTATTCCAACTCTATTTGAGGGTCTTAGAGCATTCAGACTTAACAAATCGTTTTACTTTGAAACAATGTTTAAAATGGATTAGTCCTGTTGTTGGTAATTGTGGTAAACGAAAGGCTTTTAATACCAGTTTAGGCCAAGCCAATAGGTTTTCCAAACTCGAAATCGTGACTGCCCAGGGTGGATTGTGGGAAATAAGGTCTGCCTTAATACCCTATAAATGTGGATCAGCTATACTACATTTTTCAAAGGCCTTTTTGTTGCCATGCTTTGTTGGCAACAAATAAAGCTTTCCAATTTGAAAACATTGAAGCATCCTAGCAGGAGCGACTGTATCTAAAAATGCAAATAACTAGACAAATTGCTTGAATCAATGAATCTTTTTGATTTTACAAAAGCCGTAGAATCGGAAAGCTTTTTCTGAAATTTTAAAACCTTTCAATTCTACAAAAATACAAACCTAATGCAATTTTTGAGTCGCGTTATTTTCATGAAAAGGTCATTTTATTTTAAGTTATGGAAATCCTAGAAACATCTACACCCTTTGATTCAATTTGATGAAGTACATCGCATATATTTTCGCTAATTTGACATTTATTTTTTGTGTGTTTATTAATTTTTAATTCATTTGTTGATTCGTTTGTTATATATTAAGTTCTTCATTTTTTTGTTCATTTGTTATCTATTTCTTTATTTTTTTATTTATCCATTTATTTATTTATTTTTTTATTTATTTATTTATTCAAGTTAAAATATCGTATTTACTAGCAATTTATCCTTTTTCCCCAGTTTTTAATTGCAAACTTTACAATCAAAAGATACCCAGTCCGTTGCAATCATTGAAAAACGGTTCTTTCGTCAATTTATGATTTTTTCCCACATTACATGGCATTGACAATATTTCTTTAAACCATTCTTTGTTGCAGGCTCTTGGCCAGTGATATCCTGTGCTGCCAGCCCGGATGTTGCAAGCTGCCTCAAACATATACTTCTCGCAATGTTGCCCCCAGAATCACACCTGCGTGGGAGCCTAGACGCGATGATTGCATCGTCAAAGAACAAACAGAACTCTTCCGATGATGAAAGTGATTAACATGTTGTGAATATTAACTAGAAACAAATTTAGAAATAATCCACTGGTGTCATGGATCTGCTGGTGCAAGCCTTTGTTTTACTGCTGTAATTTGAATTTGTTGTTCCATGGTAAACATGCACCATGCCTTCGTTCATATAAATTGGTTTAGATAAATGTAATCATGTTTCTTAGTATTTTTATCAACATATTTGGTTCCGGGAAGTTTAGATTGCCTATTTGATCAGACTTAATCCATTTATAATTGCTTGAATAGTGAAAAGTGCTGGAAACCCTACGTTGAAAGAAATGTGCGAATAAAGGAGAGGCCACGATAGCAGGCTGCTCGACGGACTCCAGGGGAAATCTTGCGGCGAAAAATCGATAAAATAGTACCCTGTAGGCCAGGGCGAAATATTAGCCATCACAGATTTGCGTGTTTGTTGTTGTTTATACTCTTCGCGTTGCGGTGTTCCTTATACACTACTGTTATAAGGAATGTTGTCGTAATGTCTTTACGCGTCTTAGGTTTTCACATCTTTGTAAATTGAAGAAAGTGTAATGCTATAGAAGAAAATGTCATCAATTATGACAGAATCTGTTTCCATCGGATCCCATTGGTGTTTCAAAATACCTCACTAAAGTCGAAGCTCTTTAGCATTTTGGGGTATTAGTTGCCCTTACCTATTCAGAGCTGCTAAAAGTACTTTACGGAGTTGCTAATTCAATCAAAGAAGTGTGGGAAAGTGTGGAGGTGTATGGTGGTGTGTGGGTGTAGGGTGGTGTGTAGAGGTCGGGCGGTGTGAGGTTGTCTGGCGGTGTTGGGTGTCAGGCGGTGTTTGAAGGTCGGGTGGCGTGTGGTGGTCGGGTGGCGTATGGAGGTCGGGTGTTGTGTGGAGGTCAAGTGGTTTGTGGAGGTAGGGTGGGGTGTGGAGGTCGAGTGGTTTGTGGAGGTAGGGTGGGGTGTGGAGGTCAAGTGGTTTGTGGAGGTAGGGTGGGGTGTGGAGGTCAAGTGGTTTGTGGAGGTAGGGTGGGGTGTGGAGGTCGAGTGGAGTCTGGTGGTCGGGGGCTTTCGGGGTGTCAGGGGTGTGGGGTGTCAGGCGATGTTCGGGTGTCGGGTGGTGTGGGGGTATCGGATGTTGTATGGGTGTCGGGCATTCTCATTTTCTAAAGTATTTGGTCGTGGAAATATTTTAACCGTGTAACAATAAATGTCGTTAGCAAAATTTTTTTTGGCTGGTAACTTACCAGATGATAGGTAACATTGAGTAAATTTTCCTTATCGATTTCTTTCACAGTAAATTTGTTTGTTTTGCACCTAACCCGTACTCTGAAATAAAACCCCCCCCCCCCCCAACTCCCGCGTAATGTCAAGATACGCCACTGATCATGCCCCAATACCAGATTTTCTGCAACTTGAAAGTACGTTTAAAGTCATATTCCACAAATTTCATTTATGGTCCTAAACACAGTAATATAATTTGTTAGCATAAATCTATATACCGCATCCCTTACTTGTTATAATAAAAAACTTTCACTTTCTGCAGTAGTTTATAATTAATTGCTAACTTTTAATAATTTTTCATATTTTATGTAAATATAAGGAAATCTGTAGATTGTGTGTTAATCTGGCGTTATTAACTTCTCGTTGTTCCCAGACAATCGTATTAATATAAAAGGGATTTCTCGTCGATTTCATATTCATCCTTTGCAGAATGCTCTATGTTAAAACATCAATAGACTATGGTTGAAAACATATACCGTGCCAAAGTTTTTCTTGTACGGATCATATATGCGAGAAGAGAAATCTTCTGTGATTATTTCACAAATTGATAGAAACACTAATGAAAAAATCTCAAATGAAAAGTCCCAGCCCAGATTGAAAATTCAAGTAAAGGACTGTAAATTTAAAACAATAAATTTTAATGACTCAATAAGAAATTTAATAAATTACAAAGGTTTTATATCAGTGTCTTGTGACGAGCAATTTTTCTAGGAATTTGTGACTGCAAAATGACATTTAAATCTATGATTGGTTGACGAAAAATTATTTTAGAGAAAGCATATTTCAAATCAAGAACTATAAAGAAAGAAACATTAAATCCTGGATAATCCTTGAAAACTGCAAGCTGCCAAGACCAATCAATCGCCCGAGCAATAATTGGAGTTATTTGCAAAAAAAAACTTTTAGCAGCATTTCAATTAGCAATTAGCAATTCAGATTCCAATTAGCACACAGCTCGACTAAATTGAACTTCTGCAAATTACGTTTGACCTAGACTTCATTCATCATTGAATACAAGAAGTTCTTAAATTTTGGAGTCTAGAAAATGGGGTGGAAAGTTAGCCTGCCAATGAGTACCCTGGGTACTGGAACCCAATATATTGTTAGGGGATTTGCCCCTCTAAAAGCTTTGGTACCCAGGGTGTGCCAATGGTTATGAACAAAGGGTTTCACCTCCTGCCCAGAAATGGCTGTGATGATTTCGCTATTTTGATTTTTACGCTATTTCGCATAAACACGCTGAGATAAGTAGATTGGTTTGTATAAATGCCTGTAATTGACCAACAATTTTTTCTACCAGGGACAAAGGCTAAGCTCATTTACCCTTGCTGTCCGTGCATCTCACCTGATCATTGAGACTTGTGCTTTCAAGTGTTGCCAGTTAATTTTTGATTTTTGCCGCTTTTAGAGAATCCCTATGAATGCAGCAGCTGTCAGGTTTTTGAACCAGCAGATACACAGTCCATCGTCGTCGGTACGTGAGTGAAACTTAATCTTATCTCTATGGACTTAATAAACTTATTTATGCTGTTTTCATTGTTTATGCTACTTAGGCAAATTTTGTTACTACAACAAGCTCTCCTCAATAAGCATAAAGCCTCAATAACAATTTATTTATCGTAGTACAGATAGAATGTGATGGCGATGATAACATCAGTTGGTTGTAACAACACCAACAGCATTAGACTTATTTACCAAATTATTTTTCGAATGATATGCCGATTTTGATATGTTTTAAAGGGTGTTCAGCCGCCTAATAGCTTGTTCTTAGGGTGTTCTTGGGGGTGTTTTTGGGGTGTTCTTGGGGTGTTCAGTCTTTTAGAATCGACGTTTTCAGGGACGCTAGATCACATTTTGGTGTAGGGGAGGGGGTAGCTTGCTTAAGAATAATGGGCTGGATATAGAGCGAGAGAGGGGGGAAGTGAAGGGGGGATGTCAGGAATCATCCCCCCCCCCTGCCCCCTGGGCTCCGGGGTACCTGGATTTTCTTTCTACGTATCTTTTTCGAATGTGAGCGTTGCCAGTTTATTGATCTTTTCCCTTTCAAGGTTTGTGGTTCCTTTGAAATTTTGCGTTTTCTGACGCGCAAATCGGTCCCTTTGGGTCCTTTGTCATTTTCGAATGAGTAAATTCAAGTCCAGTTTGTCTGTTGTGTTTTCAAAACTTTTTGTTGTTGAGCTCTTTGTAAAGCTTTATCAAAATTAACCCCAAATGAACGGGCTTTTTGTGTTTTGCTTTCAAAGAAGGCCGATGATGATTGATGAATCTACTTGCGCTGCAAGTTAGCTCTCCTTTTTGAACTCGAAGCGGTCGGGAACGGTGGTGGTGTTCGCAGGTGAGTGGTCCACTGCCTCCTTTTTTCAAGCGACCCCCTGACAAGCGATAGTCACAGGAGTACGAAAATGAAGGAGTTGAGTCATGTATGGGGCCGCAGGAGGATGTTTTTTTAAGTAAAAGAAATTATGTAGGCCTAAATGACACAACCTAACGGCTAATGTCAGGGACGCTGGAACGACCAAGGGGTAAGGGGCAAGGGGGGCAGACTTGAGTAAAAGAGCATTTGAAAAATCATTCCCAGCAACCAACAATTCTTTTGTAACTGTCATTTTGTTTTGATCTTTTGACGGTATCTTTAATATCGGCTAAATTTTGGCCTAAGAAATTCTTTGCAAGTCACAAATGAGGCACTACAGTTATGATTTCATATGAATATCTTTGATTTTCTTCAGAAGACCGGCGACAAGGGCACTTCTAAGAAAAGGGCACTTAAGCCCCTCACTTTGCTCCTCCTATCAAAAAGCAACAGGGGTGGTTGACCCCCTCGCCCCCTTCTGCGGTGTCCCTGGCTAATGTCAAATAAGATAAATTAAACAGATTACTGACATGAAGAATCCGAATAGATATCATGTTTTGTTGAATGTCATATTCATAGGAGAGCGTCCCCTGACCCTATAAAGGCATTCAAAACACTCCCGAGGTGTATGACACGAATTTAATTGGATTATCCTCACTAAATTCTTCAGTTCCTCCAAGATTGCTTTTGCCGTGCTTATTATTGGAAAAAAGTTTAAAAAGTACAAAAACAAGCTAATAAAAGAGCAAAATAAGTAGCATAAATCTCTCATATAGTACAATAAATTTCATGCTTTGGAATGCTTAAATTCTAGTTTTGTGTCAAATTATTATATTTTTGTGTTGATGCCTGTGGATGGGATGAATCCACTACAGCACTTGAAGTGGAATCGGAAAGAGAATCGCAGCACATCGAGAAGATATTGTTGTTTTTTGGCTACTAAATGATTTTTTTACACATTTTCATAATAATTGTGTTAATTTGCTAGTAGGAAACGCAGAGATGTCATCCACTACTAGCATGCTTAGCAAAGACGAGGTTGCTTCAATGAGAATCAACTACAAGTCCCATGGTTTGAAGCTGGAAGAATTTGACAAGAAGGAGCCATTGGCAATGTTTGATGCTTGGTTCAAAATGGCAAAAGAATGTCCACTTATCGGAGACGCAAGTTGCATGTCTTTGGCTACTGTTTCAGAGTGAGAAAACATATTTTCTGTCTTTCTTTATTTTCTTTTATGAAAACTTGTTAAGCATCAATGTATATAGCTATGTCTAGGAATTAAATGTTAGTTAAAATAGATATAGCTTATATTTTATTTGGTTGCTGATCTTATATTCTATTCGTATATTCGTCTTATAGGGACTGCAAGCCTTCTGTTTGTGTCATCTTACTAAAAGGATATGATAAAACTGGATTTCGATTTTTCACTCATTACAGTAGCCGGAAAGGAAAGGAAATGGTAAGCTGCTCAATGTTTAACATTTTCCAAATTTGAATTATCAAAAATTTTAAATGACTTTTTTGATACTATCTATAGAAAGATAAGCATTTTGCAGGGGCGTGCCTTAAAAGGGTATGTGGGATGTGACACCCCCACCCCTTAACTTTCAATCAGCAATGCTTTAGTTTAAAATAAGATCTTGTGTCTTGACTCTAATTGTGAAATAGATATTGTTTCTACCATGTTTCACTTCTAAAATTCATTTTCTTTGGAAAAATATTGCTACACCCCCGCTGCCCCCTTTACTTAAACGTTTTTGGACACCCCAATAAGTACCCAATAAGTACATTTTATCTGATTTGATCTTTGTCTGTATTTTATAGGAGAAGAACCCAAATGTTGCTGTCATGTTTTATTGGGAGCCGTTGGAGCGTCAGGTGTGTGGATTAATGGGTTTCATGATCTGATTAGAGGTGGCCCCAGGCCCTAAGGACCATGGTAGTAGAGGGGGACTACATCCTTCTTGTTGTAGCATATTTGCCCTTTCCCCCTTGCAGCAGGGTATGTTTAATCAGACCTGGCAAGATTCAGTTTTGAAAATTGGCGAGTTTTTAAAGGAAGGGAAAATGTTTGGGCTGTTATGGGATCTCAAGATCATGGGTGGATCCAGAATGAATCCTGACTACCATACAGACAGAAGAGGGGCTCAGGGATTGGTGCGTGGTTCCTTTTTGTATCCATTGACGTAGGGCCTAGAGTCCAGGACCGCCTAAAACCACCACTGGGTAAAGAGAGCGCTACAGAATGTGTTACCAACCTATTACACTAGTTTTTACATTGATAAGCCCGCTTTAAACTTGATAGTTTTACGACAGAATAACACAGACGTTTTTAATCAGCGTGAAATCAGATATCAAAGAAACATTTTTCATAATGTGTTTCTCGTTTCAAAATTGATGCAAAAAATTTGTTTTAGAATTTATAGGTAATTTTTTTAGGCAGCGTTACTAAACTTTGAAAAAGTGCCTAAGCCTTACAGAAATGTCCACAATTACAAACCCCTCGGCCTAATTGGATAATTCATGGTATTCGGCAAAATCAGCACTAGCACCCCCCCCCCCCCCCCCTCAACTCCTAAATATTTTTGAAAAGCCACAATTTGAGTATTTAATGAAAAATTGCTTCAGTATTTAATGTAAAAATGAAGACGTTCTTTTTTGAGGGAGCTTTTTATTCAAGTTTTCTTTCCATTCAACTTTTTATTTTTTTTTATTTTAGGTGAGAATCGAGGGCAAAGTGCAGAAAATGTCTGAGAGTGAATCTGGGAAATATTTCCATATGAGACCAAGATTTATGCAACTTTATGCATTGGCCAGCAATCAAAGCTGTGTTATTGAGAGCAAAGAGGTAGGGATCGTCCAGCCGTCTGTATGAAGGCATTTTAGAAACTTAGACAGGTCTGGGAGCAGATGTGAAGTGAATGAAGCCTTCTTTACCTTGCTCGTAACTTTGCCCGAACCTGTTTTGCTTTCAAGATAGCATTTTATTGTTGTTAAAGCGAATTCAATTTTACACTTTGAGTAGGTTTTTGCATGCAGAGAACTATCATAAATTGCACCTTCTGCTTGCTTGTTATAAGGTTAAAATTTATTAAGTGTAACACCCCTTTCAGAAGGAGCTTCTAGGGGTGCTTCTTCGGCAAATTAAGGATGGCTCACCCACTTTGTTGGCGAATAGGACCTTGTTAACCACTTTTGAGTTCAATAACAGCTTTGGAAAGAATTTAAAGAAATTATGTACTGCTTGCTTATATTTTGAGGACTTTTTTCTGTCGCTGCATGTTTTTGAAATGCTCTTTTTGCAATGTTTTGCAGGCACTTGAAAATCGATATGCAGATCTCGAGAAAAAGTACGAGGGTGTTGAAATACCAAAGCCTGACTGTTGGTATGTACAGGAAACTTTCTTTTAGCATTATCTCTTTTTTTCTGTCTTTTTTCTTGATATTCCACAAAACTTTACAAAACAGAACAAGTTTAAAAGACGATACCATAGGGCGGATAGGAATACATAGTAACCCTGTGGCAATTTACAATCAACTACAATTAGTAGATACAGCATGAACAAAAAGAATTCAAGAAAACTATTTCAAGAATGAGGAGAGGAGAGAGGAAATATGATGTTTTGTTCTTAAAATTTTTCACCATTTTGAGTAAAATCTGGAAAGGGGGCTATATCCCTTAGGGTAATCCCTTTGGATCGATTTTCTTAAGACAGGGAAGATAAACTTTTAGACTATGGCCTTTCGAATATGGCCTTTTTATTCATGATGATGGCCTTTCGAATAGGAAACGTTGCCTTCTTTTTTGTTATCGAAATTTCACAGTATTTCAAATTTCAAATTAACTTGACTTTAATTCTTCTTCGCAATATCCAAACTTCATTTCTCTCAGAAAGATTTTCCAACAGTGAAATGAACAAACACTGACTTGCCGCAGTGTCAGTCTTTGACTTTTTATTACTTTGGGAGTTGTTGTCAGTTTATTAGTATTTCGTCAGTGACTGACTTTTAAAGCACTGGGGACCCTTCGGAATCGTTTGTTGTTTATTAAAAACTTAAATTCCCACGTTTGCCCTGAATTTTCCCACGGTCTTGGCATTTTCTCTCACTATCCATTGACTAATTCTGCTGATACTATTCAATCGCTGTGCTGTTTTTCAAGCTTTAGGGTTTGGGACTGTCGCATCGCAGAAAGAGGAAAAATTTTTGCTGCATACAGAAAAATGATTCCCATCCAAAAGTTTTTTCAAACTTAAACCGTTTCAAAGAATTGAGCCCAATATATGGTACTTCTGGCCTTGATGGTGCTTTCCTTGACAATTCTAGAATTTGCATCAGTTTTTTGGAACAACTTATTCTTGTCACGTGATAGAAGAGTTTTCAATGGTGTTGAATTGCTATTCTGAAATGCCAAAATCATGTGCCTGCAGTCTGAATACTTTGCCTCCCATAATGCATTGCGAACATGACAAAAAATGAATGGTAGTATTATTTTGTTGGTAAATTGAAGAATTACAGTAATTTGAAGATCAAGAAGGAACGTTTTGTTGGTTTTGATATAACTGTTTTAGCAGCAGGAGCTTGATTGGATTTATAAGTTATCAATTGTTTTCTTTTCTTCCTCAAGGGGTGGCTATCAGCTGATTCCTGAAACATTTGAGTTTTGGTGCGGTGGAAAGGGACGCATGCATGACAGGGTGGTATTTCGAAGGCCTGGCCCAGCCGATGCTCAAGGCAAAAACCCTTTTGCAAAAATTGGAGACGATGGATGGGTGTATGAGTTCTTGTCCCCTTAGGTAGGCTTTATTTTGAATAGAGCTCAAGAGTTGTGTATTCACGTAGAGTTGTAGTTTGCAATTTCATTGAATTTGAACATGCGGGTAAAGTTTCTTATTTTTAAATTACCTGAAAATCATTATTACTTTTATGTTTAAGCATAATAAAATGACATGTGTCACTTTTTGTAGCACTGGTGCAAATAAACACGGGCAATAATTTAATACAGTCAACTCTGTCTAATTTCAAACTCGTGTAATCTGAACTTTCTATAACTTGAACAAGATTCTCAGGTTCCAAAAATTTTGCTCTGATAAATTTCCTTTTCCGTCGTTGGCTTTAACATCCTTCACCAAGATCTTAACCAGATAAATGGCAAATAAAGCTTTATTGAGGTTCCACTGTGATTTCAAATATGTGATGTTTCATTTTTGGATTAATCGAATCTGTCCCATATTTTCAGTCACTGGTGTTTTGAGCAAATGATTTGATGAATCAATCACATAAATCTAACCCTAACAAGAATTAGGTAACTTGGTACCTTTATTGAGTTTAAAACCCATAATTAAAACAACGCACAGTTTGCCAGTATCGGCTTCATTCGAGTTATTAAAGCCCTTTTCTTGGAATCAAATATTTATTAATTGACAGATATCTTCCAGTTACGGAAATCCCCTTTGAATCAATAAAAACGTCTTTACATATTTAATGCCTTGTGGAAACAGCCTTGAGACAATCGACTGTAATTCGGTATATCCAAGCTTACTTTTGTTTTTATTATAATGGACATTAATTGATTTATTGACAGAAGCTCAAACCACCTTAGTATCTGTCGATTGTCGATTTCCAAAATTGCGTTTTTTTGTATTTAGCAAGCATTTGCAGTACACACTTTTTTATAAGAATATAGTCTATAAGAGTATTAAAGCTCAAAATTGTTGATATTTAAGAGTAATTTCAAAAAAACATTTTTTGTTTATTTGCATTTTTTTGGAAAGCAAAACAAATGCAAGTTTCACGCTATATGTTTTAAAAAAGATGTATGCGGCCTTGGAATCATCAACTCTGTAATGTTACTCATTTACGCCTTGTGTCACTAAAGAATAGTTTAAGAATAATCTTAGGCTCGAAATAAAAAAAGATTTAAGAATATTGAGGCTAAGCAAAAAATTAGGTATTCTTATGAAGGAAGTGTGCACATACTGTTAATATAGAACCTCTGATATAACGAACTTCCCGGTATAACGAACTTAATGTTTGGTCCCTTGGATTCTGCCTAACAAACTCCTTACAAATTCTCTCGCTATAACGAACACCTGATATAACGAACTCTCGTTATTACGAACCAATTTTTCGATCCCTTCATCATAATTACCCTCGATATAACGAACTTTTCATAAATTTTTCATCTGTTATTTTTGCTTATTTATTTTCGGTGTTCATTTATCACTTAATCTGGTGGGAAATCATTTTTGCAATCGGCAAAACATGCCGATGATATATTTCAATCAATGGCTGATGGACTCGGTGCACGAGATGAAAGTTTGATTGCGTCAGAAATTTCTTTGAATGAGTACATTGACAATAACGAATACCTTTTTACATATGAGAAAATAAGCGATGACAAACTTTTATTGAGAGACCCAAATGAAGAAGCAGAAGAAGACAAGCAAGAATGTGAAGTAGTCCAGACGTCATTCAGCCGCCAACTAGAAGTGAAGTGATACAAGCTTTGCTAACCTCTTGGTCCCAAATTATAAGAGGAAAATAAAGATTTTCATTTTCGATGTTTAACCATTAGTAACATTTGAATTCAGCTTAGTTTCTTGGAGTTAAATGTACACAGAAGTTAGAGATAGCCTAAACTGCGAAAAGACGTAAAAAACGTTTTCGCCAGGTTTAACGAACTCCCCATATAACGAACTATTTTCTTGTCCCCTTCGGAGTTCGTTATATCGGAATTCCACTGTATCTATCTTAAAAGATCGGGTCCAAGAGTGACCAAAGATGTTCCCCCTTTTCTTTGCACAAAATAAAGTTAATTTGACCAAAAAGCGGGTTTTCGAAACCTTTGCATTGATTGTAGTGAACGAAAATGAATTTTTAGGATAGATAAACAGCCTAAAAGCAAAAAAATCTGCAGGTCAAAACAACAAACCGTGCATTATTAAACTGCTAGCACACTACTTGCAAAGCCTCCAAGACACGTATGATTTATGCAGGCACCGCACAGCCATTGGGCTAGCAGAGGCTATAGCCCCCCCCCCCCCCCACCACCACTTTTTGGCAATAAAAGGTTAAAAAAACTAGAAAGCTTTCTCCAACGCAACTTTGGAAAGTTTACTCTAACGGATTCAAAGTAGTAACAGTTCATCTTGACTAGGAACCCTTCTCTGTTCATTTTCTTGGTATCTTATCTTGTTAAATCTTTTCTGAATTTGACTGTCTATAAAAAAATAAGTGGAAAGAAATAAATATTTTCTTAAAGGGGCGTTTCCGGTGTTCTAAAGGGCGTGGTCCCAGAATTCTCCGTCATGCCCTTTTCAGCCCAGCCACTTTTCGAAGGGTGCGCAGTGCCTGGATTCATGTCTTCGTTCGATATGGGGTTATGTCGGATGTTTGGACAATCGCCAGTGTGATCCCCGTTTTTAAGAAAGGCGAAAAACATTGCGGAGCGCATTTCAGCTAAGCAAGTGCTCTCTTTTCTGATAAAAAAGAAGTTTCTGTTTCATTTGCAGTTTTCATGAAGGTCACTCAACTAGTCATGCAATGCTAGAGTTGTTTAGGTTTGTCTATGAAAACCTTGACCAGAACAAATCATGCATTGGCTTGTTCTTTGACACAACTAAGGCCTATGATACAATAGATCGTAACGACAGTAGCTTTGATATTCCTTCATAAGCTCTCCCATCGCGGTTTTTGAGGTAAAATGAATGACTGGTTTGCTGCAACCATTTCCAAAAGTACTTGGAACATCAAGCAACTTGCGTTGTGTTTTTGTTTTTCCATTCTTTTCCCAGATACTCCTATTTCCGCACACCCTTCCCTCCGAAACAATGTTGATAATTTAGAAAAATATCATAAAAGAAGCACATTTTTCCGTGGGGGAGAGGGGGATGATTGATTTTGACCTTGGAAACTGACATCAGTGTTTCAAGACTTTTGGCAGGGATTGTAGCTATCTTGGCAGAAGGACTCAGTGCACTGTAGTCAATGAAAAAAGAAATCTTCTCATAGACCGAGATGTGTCACAATGTTCTGCCCTAGGGTCAAATATGGATAAAATCTAGATGTCTAACTCTATTGTTTTCGAGTGAGGCAAAATCACTCATGCGGTAAAAGGGCAAAAAGACGATTTCGCATAAGGGCTCAGTATTGGAAATTCCGAAGCTGGCAAACGAAACCAAAATTTTTAGAAAATCTATCTAATTTAGGAAGGTCACTTATATTTTTTCAGCTTACTGTATGCATTAAGAAGATTTTAAGCCATAATTATTGTTTGTACACGGGTTTTAAGATTTTTAAAAATTTTTTTTCACCGTGGCGTTGATAAGGGCACTCTGGTTTAGAGAATATTTATATTTTAGGAAGAATGTTTTCGGGCTTATTCACAAAATTTCGCTTATGAAAACATATTCTGTTAATTTTTTATCATAACATTCAGGCAACGTGATGAAAGAGGTCATCTTCAATTCTGATTCAGCCACGCCCCCTTCCTACAACATCCTGATGTCGTCCGTAAATAAAAGTCTGATTTGCTGATGAACGTTAAAGGGAAGGTCTTGTCATTAAAAAACTTGATATGGAGAGTGATCATAAGATTTTTAATCCTTACATCTAGAATCTCTACCACAAGTCACATGCAGGGGGTTGCTAAAGTAGGGGACTGATAATTTAACAAGTTGTCATAATGATATGAGAGTATTTGCTTACATCTACCCTTTCACTTAGAAAACACAAAATAAACCTAATTTTGAAATTATGTGTGAATTTTTTTGCAAATAAACTCAAAAACAGACTTCCTGTAAAGGTAAACATTGCCTAGGCCAGAGAACGAGCGCCGCAGCAATAAATATTTTAAAAATCTTGAAACCCTATTTAACAACACAATTTATGGCTTAAAATTTTTGAAATTAATACGGCAAGCTAGCAAGGTATAACTAACCTTTCGAAATGATGCTAATTTTCAATAATCTTGGTTTTTCTTCGTACAACTTGCAATGTCCCGTACTGAGCCTTATGCGGAATCGTCCTTTTGCCCTTTTACCGCTCAAGTGATTTTGCCTCACCAGCTCTAGCATGTATATAACACACCGGCTTTCGTTGGTCCACAGCTGTGGACAACTGGTTCATCAACCTCGTTTTCGATATAAATAATAGTGGTGACGTTGATGTCAGACACTCGGTGGTGCTGTGGTCATAGGTCATTTGAGGGTTAAAGTTACAGCGATAAAAGAAGCAGAAATGAGCTCAAACTCTGATTCTTCGACAGAGAAAGATGCATGCGAAGAATTATCGCCAATTCCAAGTGGAAGGAGAAAAAAGAAAGTGGTGAAGGTATCAACAGGAAGAAAGCGCTCCAATTTTGAGACTTACAGTCGTAAAATTAAAAACTTAGAAAACCATGTAAGTATTTGCGTTTGGTGAAATTTGAAAGAAATCTCCAGTTTAAGTTACCTCCAAATTCGTGGCCAAATATACCTCGCTCTAGTGCCTTCGGCGCTTCTACATCATTGATTTTATCTCGATTTCCTCAAAACGAGGCTCTGGGAGGCTGGAACTCCTGAGTCGAAACAAAACAAATTTATTCTTAACAAAAACTTACATAACCAGAAGTAAATGGTAAGTGTTTATTACGTAAGTTGTCATTTACCTTTCTTATTGATGTTTCTTTTGGGTGGAGTACAATTTACGCTAACAGTTCACTGTATGGAGAACAAGTAACTAGCTAGGCCCACACGTAAGGAACCGAATTTCGAACTTTCCTCGTACTGCAGATCAACAGTCGTGTGTGATTTTGCAAGTATTATTTGCAGCAAACAGAAGGAGATGGTCATATTTCTTTGATCGTCGGGCTTCCAGCTGTCCGCCTTGGTATATCATTTGAAGCTGGCCACAAGTTGTTTTGCTTGTCGGGGTGCACAAGTAGCACGTGATACGTGAGCCGAGTTTGAAATATTGCAGTATACAAGGAATAAATATTCATTTTGTGGTTATTTTCTAGGATTCCAGATAACCGTAATGTATTGTATCCACTAATAATGCTATGGCTACTGTTTTGAGACAAGGCTTCGTTAAAACAGCAAGTTCTTTGAGATATAAACATTTTGTTAACAATTGTGTAAATTTGCTAGTGAGAAACGCAGAGATGTCATCCACTGGTAGCATACTCAGCAAAGACGAGGTTGCTTCGATGAGAATCAACTACAAATCCCATGGTTTGAAGCTGGAAGAATTTGAGAAGAAGGAGCCATTGGCAATGTTTGATGCTTGGTTCAAAATGGCAAAGGAATGTCCACTTATTAAAGAAGCAAATTCCATGTCTCTGGCTACTGTTTCAGAGTGAGAAAACATATTTTCTGTTTTGCTTTTCTTTTATGAAGACTTTGTTATGCACCAGTCTGCTGAGTATGGCATGTGCACACCGGAGATATTTTTGTGCAAAAGCTGTTGCACACCAGGTATTTTTGGGTGTGACAAATAAGATGGGCGTGGCTGGGTGTGGCCCCATAGAAAATTCTGTGGCTTCTATTGGAATGACCCAGACAAAAAGAAAAAAAGGGCAGGCAAAAGAAGAAGGCATGTGAGGCTCCTTTGCATTTTTACGGTGAAATTCAAATTTACAAACTTTAACCACAACAGGGGAAAATGGCTGGTGCACACCAGCACACCAGAAATTTTTTGTGGTGCACACTGGCACACCAGGCTTTTTGCTCGTGCACACTGGAGATCTCGTCAAAAAGTGCCATACTCTGCAGACCGGGTTATGCATCTATGTATTTGATGTGAGACTCTTAGTCTGATTATACCTGATAAGATTTTTATACTTTGGATTCAAGCCTGGGTCATGGCAGGGATATTTTGTCACCAGGAGATTTTCGCACTTTGTAGAAGTAAAAGTGGCATAGAGACTTGAGCTTTGAGGTTATCAGCTTCCAAAATTTTCAGAATTCAAGGAAGCAATTTTTTGAGATTAAGACAAAGAAAAAAGAATTAATGGGTTTAGTTTCATATTCATTATTATGGAAAATACCTAAAGCTCAAATATCGGTGTATTTGTACTTAATTACAAACAAAAAATATGACAGTAGTTGTTAATTGACATTAAATGTAGCAATCAATTTTTAACTGGAGACAGGGCTACTGGAGTTCATATACTAACAATTGGGGGTGAAAGGGGTAAAAGTCCATGATACCTTGAATATTTTGTACCTATTTGAAGCAATACCTGCTAAAATCTGCATCAAGTTTTACCATAGGACCCTTGCTTGCCCTCAATTGACCTTCCTTGAAGATCTCTTGCAGCATCAAAGATTGTTCTGCCTTTCAAATTGATTTTTAACAACTTCAAAAATCTTTCCCAAATTTTTATCTAAAACTTTAAAGGTGAATTTTATTCAGTGGTCAGGGTTTTTGTATAATATTGTAGTTTATTTTATTATATTTTATTGATTTGATTGTCTTTTTGTCTTATGGCCTTACCTTTTAATTGTCTTTTAGGGACTTCAAGCCTTCTGTGCGTATTGTCTTATTGAAAGGATATGACAATGCTGGATTTCGATTTTTCACCAATTACAGTAGCCGGAAAGGAAAGGATATAGTGAGCTGCTCAACATTTAACAACTTCCAATTAAATTTGAATTAACAATTTTTCAATAACCATATTTTGATACTATCTACTCTAAGGTAAAAGGTTCAGAAAGGAATTGGAGATGGCTTTTGTTCCTTTAGTTTCTTGGAATTATGTTGTTTGGTCATTGGTTAATTTCTGAGTTCTGTACATGAATGTAAGAACATTCTCAGTTTTATGAATGGCAATTTTATGAAAGTATCTTGTAGTAGCAGGACTTGAATAACTAAACTAATTTGAGCTTCAAATGTAGAACCATTGTTTAGAGACAATATTTATTTATTATAGATAATTTATGCATCAATGAAGTGCTGGGCCATGTTCCCCTTCTTTTTTCTGACACCCCTCCCCCATGAACACAAGCATAAAATGAAACATAAATCTTGCATTTTTATCATGCGTAAATTTGCTAACCAGCTCACTACTGAGAAGCATTTTCTATTTCGTCCACTATGGTTTCTATTCAATGGAATCCAAACTGTGCACTCTTTTTTGGCAATTTATAGTTCTTTCAGTTTCCTCCATTTTTTGGCATATTTTATTTGTCAAACACAACCTCATTTCCATCAATTCCAAGGTTCAGAGGACACACTCCCTTGTGTTTGCTTTAACATGCTTTCTGGATATATGCAATCAAATTGCTGTTTTTATTTTGCAGGAGAAGAACCCAAATGTAGCTGTTATGTTTTATTGGGAGCCATTGGAACGTCAGGTGTGTGTGGATTAATGGGTTTCATGATCTGATTAGAGGTGGCCCCAAGGACCAGGGTAGGACAAGGGGATTGCATCTTTCTTTTTGTTGCCTGTTAACCCTTCCCCTTGTTGATGAAAATCAGTTCATTTTGTTAAAACGAAGCAGGGCTCAAAATGTAGCTATTCAATTGTGTTGCAAAAACTGTGAAACCCCTTTGAGAATGGTCAGTCCCTTTGTGAAACCCCTTTGGAAATGGTCAGTCCCTTTGTGAAACCTCTTTGAGAATGGTCAGTCCCTTTGTGAAACCTAATTCAGAATGGTCAGTCTCTTTGTTTAAGAATTTCTTGAGCCACCCATGACATTTTTGTTTTAAAAACAAAGAAAATTGCAGCATTCCTAAGATGTTTCAACAACCCTGTTGTATTTATTGTAAAAGGGAATAGGCTGTACTTTTGAGGGAAGCTTTTTATTCGAAGCTTTTTTCCTTTGACTGTTATTCTTATATCTTATTTCGTGCATTTGTTTTAGGTAAGAGTGGAGGGAAAAGTACAGAAATTGTCTGAGAGTGAGTCTGAGAATTATTTCCACATGAGACCAAGAGCAAGTCAACTTGGTGCATTGGCCAGCAATCAGAGCTGTGTTATTGAAAGCAAAGAGGTAAGAATTGGTTTGGGTGCCAATTGCTTGATTCAAGCATAAATTCAAGAATCCAAAAAAACAATATTTCAGTAGTCAAGACCAAGTCTGAATGGTCCAGGTCAGATGGGAAGACTTCCTTACTTTGTTTATGACTTTCCCTTGGTTTTTTAAAAAACGTATTTTATTGTTGTAATAACATTTATAATTTCTATATTTCAAGAACACTCTCATACAGCATTTTACTTTAGGTTAAAAGAAAAAAAAATTGGCACCAAAAGCGTGTCACTTGTCCTTTAAATGCCCTTTCTGGGCTTAATTATTGCTTAGCTCTTTAAAAGCATTTATCTACGATTTTTCTTTCTTTTTTTGAATCAAGCTTCCAGGGTATGACACAGCCCTCCTTGAAATAAAAAAACCCGTTTCGAAAACTAGGAGCTCTTCACCATCTCGGGGTGCTTCATCGGAAAATTGTCAAACCTGTTTGCAACTAAATTTTGTCTTTCCCACTTTGTCCACAAGCGGGACCTCGAAAGTCCTTTTGAAAACAACAGCTAGCGACATCGCTGAAAAGAAGCATAAACAAAGATATATCATTTGTTCATGTCTTGACGGCTTTTTTCTGTTATATCACGCTTTTGAAATGCTCTTTTTCCAATATTTTTCAGGTGTCTGAAAAAAGATATGCAGATCTCGAGAAAAAATACGAGGGTGTTGAAATACCAAAACCTGACTGTTGGTATGTGCAGGGAATTTTCTTTTAATAGAAATATTGAGCAAATATCTAAGAACGGTAGGGTGGAAAACAGTGAAATGAACAAACACTGGCTTGCGAATGGACTAATTAATACCCTGGGAGTTGCTGTCAGTTTATCGGTATTCCATTAGTGACTGGCTGTTGGGGCACTTGGGACCCTTCGGAATCGTTTGTTGTTTTGCCTGAAAGCTGAAATTCCCACGATTGTTATAAATTTTCCCACGGTGTTGTTATTTTCTCTCGTCATTTTTGACTTATTTTGCTGAATTTTCTCCAGTCGATGCCTCCTCTATTCAAGCTTTAGAGCTTGGGGCTTTTACATTGCGGAAAAGAGAAACAATTTTCCCTTCATGTAAAAATATCTATCTTTCCCAAATCGATGAACCATTTCCATCTTATAAAAGATTGACCCCAATGTAGGGTATTTTATGGTGATGTTTCCATTGAATAAAGATTTTCTGCAATTTTATTTTAAGTTATGTAAGCTGTTTAGTTTTGTGTTAAAGGGTTTTAATGACGTTAAGATGGCATTTAGAAATGCCGAAGCTTCTGTTGAAGTCACGTGCCTGCAATCTTAATACTTTGTCTCCCCTAATTCATTGCGAGCATGACGAAAACTAGGATGGTGGTTGCTATTTTTGTTTGTGAATTGAAGTATTAATTGAAATCTAGCAACACTTAGTTTATAAAAATGTTTCAAGATATATCTGTCCGATTGGATTTATAAATTTAGGACGATTGCAAGTCTTTTTGGTAGTGTGCTGAAAGCTTTGCAGGATGCCACAGAACTCAGCTTGCAGCTTCTTCAAATGTGGTGCTGAATTCCCTGTTCTCTTTGCCATTTTCAATTTCAATTTTTTTCTTATCTTCCTCAAGGGGTGGCTATCAACTGATTCCTGAAACATTTGAGTTTTGGTGCGGTGGAAAGGGACGCATGCATGACAGGGTGGTATTTCGAAGGCCTGGCCCAGCCGACGCTCAAGGCAAAAACCCTTTTGCAAAAATTGGAGACGATGGATGGGTGTATGAGTTCTTGTCCCCTTAGGTAGGCTTTATTCAGAATAGAGTTCAAGAGTTGTATATTCATGTGTGGTTTGCAAATTTTAGTGAATCGGGACACACATGAATACACAACACTTTAATTGAATGCACCGCCTGTCAATCAACTATTGGCTAATCAATGATCGTGATAATACTCAGACGCTTTTTGATTGGCCAAATTTTTGATTGACAAATGGCTCACACCATTTCCTATCTGTTGATTGCCTTTAAAAAGATGTCCAAAATTGCGTGTTTACTTCCATTAAGCTCGTGTAGTAAATTTTTTTATTGTGCATATACTACAATCATTTGTTGACATTTTCTTATCTTACTTTTTTCTGCTGCAACCATCTTTCTACCTTAGACGATTGGATCCAGCTGCGACTAAGGGTTTCACTGTTATCCTCGTTTCGCTGCATTAAATCAAATTTTCAAATTGAGGTCACTGTATCAGTTGTATATGACTTTATTGTCTATGAAGAACAACTCCAAATGTAGCAGTAAATTTTTATGATTTTAATTGAAAGATGTAATTGATAACAGTTATGGTCAAATAAGGACAACTTTGGGTCCAACACCCCTTAAAATCTTCTAATATCTCCCCCAGAAACCCTTTTTACTCTATTTAGCAGTATTTTGTGACCGGAATGCATGCTTAGGTCAAACCGACGTTGAGGTGCTATCTTCGATTTTCGAATGACTTTTTGAAACCTCTAATTGCAGGGTAGGTGTGCGGGGTGGAAATGTTGAGAAACTGTCACACCAAACGGGCCTTTATTTTCCCCTCCCCCTTAATCGATGTATTGAGTTCCAATAATAACTAACATTTGAGTTATCAAAGCCTGAATCCATGGTTTGTTACCTAAAGAGGATTTTGAAGGAAGCAGTTGTAATTAGCTAGAAATATTGCCTGATTTCGACAGGTAAACCGAATATGCCCTAACAATCTGACAAAAATGCTAAGTCACGTTTTCTCAACAGATTCTGTTCGACTAAGCTTTAAACTTGAAAATTTCGATTTGCAACTTTTGTGAAAAGCCTTTGTTGTCGTAGATCGATGACGTCATTTCTGGTATATTTTCAGTGTTTAAATAGCTATAACTCGATCGATATTCGTCAAATTGCAATGAAATTTAGATTGTAATACAAGGTTTCAAAGATAACTTTCGATTGATGCATACATATTCAGTATTTGCTGATGTCAGCATTTTTGTTATCACGTGATTTAAAAACAAATTTCCCACAATTCACGGATAATGGTTTTTGTCATGTGTTTTATCTAAATTTTTGCCTTTCGGCATTAAAAGCTCTTTGCAGAAAAAGAAAAGCAACACTATGAAAAAGCAGAAAGTTAATTAAGAAATATAATGAAAAATTGACACAAACTTGATCACTCTGGTAGTTAAATCATGTTTTCGCTTTCAGCTTTTCTCTCTGTTCATTTCGCTGTTTTCATTTTTTTACTCATTATATGTAAAAAATCTAAATTTGTGCTCTCCTTCCCTCCCAGTTTCCCTTGTTTTTCTTTGTTTTGTTTATTAAAAGTTAAGTTATCAGAAATTAGTTTTCGCATTTAGTTTGAAATCAATACAAGTATGAGAACCATCACCCATCAAAACATAACATTCAAAGCCTATTTACTCAAAACCATATAAATTATACAGAATTTCTGTTACAAAATTAGCTGATAAGTTCAATCGAAGCTAACCTTTAAATACTCTATGTGAAATACGCTGCAGCAATGTCTGTGATATTTTGATATCCAAACTCGGTGACATTGACATCAAGTAGTGGATTGAGTTGGGATGTCTCGTTTAATGACATCAGTGTTATTAATGGTCAAAGAAGTTCGCTGCTTCCATTGCAGTATGGGAGGTATTTTGTGGTATGAATGCACCCATGGGGCATGAAAGCTGCCATGACTATACCAAGGAGAATGATCATGAAGCTTGCCGATGCCAGCACCAAGCATGGCAGCTTGCGTAGGCCGTATATTGATTCTTTCGACAATCGTAGAAAACTGCCACAGGGGATGATTATGACTGAAAGGTACAATCTTTTTATTTCTTGCGAATATAAGAATGCTCTTGAAGTTTCTAAAGCGCCATATTAGTGTGCCAGCTGAGTGAAGCAACGGGGCAAGGAAAGTTTCATTCGTAAAATGTAAATCCCAGAAATTGCAGAGATTGATGGCATCGAGCAAAGGAAATAGGGAATGTTAAGTTTCATTATGGCCCTTTGGACATAGCAGCGATAAGAACGTTATTTAACTCCCATGTGGTTCATTTCAACCAACGAGACATTTCCCCTGAGAAAAGAGGAGACTGCACAATAAGTAGTTAAGCAATGAGATGTCGATTTCATTTGTAGATTTCATTTATATTGTAAATGAAATGTCCTTTACTCACCCAGAGGGACTGCAAAAAGTAGACCCTGAAAAAAGCAAATGCATGAAACATTCTGTATTGTCATTAGAAATAAAGTTTTTCGCGATCATGAGCAGCAGATAACGACTGAAATAGAGCTTTAAAGAAACTGCACGTACACGCCTATAAAAAGTATATCCAAAACAAATTGTTTATTTTGTTACATGTGGCTCTCCTTTTTTGTCTAGTTACTTTTCTAGTTAAACAATTAGAATTTCCTTACTCTTTAGAAGGTCTTTTTGTAAGCATTAAAAAAACTCAGTGTTCAATTGCCTGATTTCAACTCACAAAGAAATTCATATTGACGCACCCCTCGACAGAATGCCACAGTGAAATAAAGTGATAAAAATATCTTATGTATGATTATTGGAGAAAACGGCAATGTCGATAGAAATATGAAAATGATTCCATTTCTGAAAAAGTGTGATCCTTACCGAAATCTCTAATATGAGAGAAACACAATCAACAAAGATCGATATCGTCGACGCGAGAACCACAAGAACCATTGTTAGGCCAATATGAAGCGGCAATGACGTTGCACTTTGAGGTAGGAACGATGCGTAAATTATCTAAAAAGACAGCATAATAGGTTTAGAGGTGTTTGAAAAGCTAGGATCAGGAATTTTTTTGCGTAATGAACCTAACGCTTATGGCGATTGCCAAGCAACGGTAAAATTATGTTTGAATTAAGCACGAAACTTGGAGTAGCAACTTAAAACCTTTCTGCTTTATATAATAGCGCGTAAAAAACTCTGTCAAATACAACATCTATCACAATATAACAGACCGGTAAACATTAATTCTCACTAGGAATACATAAATTTGTTTAAGGTTTACGATGAATAATCTTCGTATAATCTTCTTTGGCAAGATTAAATATTTCAAAACTATTGCCCTTTGAAGACCATTTCCAAATGTTTCCTTCGGGTAATCGAGCTTGCCTAACCATAACTAAATTATTGTCAAAAATGCACCTTATTTTTCAATAATTCCAACGTACCTCTCTACCTCCATGACATTCTAATGGGTATTGCATTATTATCATTACTGTTATACACAGTCTGACGATATTTGCCATGTCATCTTCTTCACAGTAGTTTTCTAGGAAGTCCCCTGAAAAAGATTTGATGTGCCTAATTAGTTCATTGAGACTGTGATTTTCATCGTAGTTTTAACACCTGTGTTACTCTAGGTTCTAACGTGCGGGAGCTATGTTTTGAGACCATACGCTCAATTTTAATTTAAAGGGTATGGTGTAAATTCATTTGTCCGGGGGATTTTCTGCGTTGCTTGTCAAAAAAGGGGGGGGGGAGATTTCGACGCACTGGCCAATTGAATTTGCGCAAAAACATATCACAGAATCTATCCAACTAGCTGTAATAGCAAGCCCGGTTTTAGAAAATAAGGGAGAAGGGGCTGCAATGCCTTTGTGGTTAATACAAACCTATATTTTAGCAAAGAAAGGTTCTAAATCAATGTGTTTCTTTTAAGTATGATGTCATCTTAAAATTGATACTATCTAGTTGCAACTAAAAGTTATCTTTAAAGTCATCATTTTGGAACTGCCAGCCTTGTTTTCCTCATTTTTGTGTTGATTGTGCCGCACGTCTGCTTTTTCACTGAAAATAAGTACTCATTATTCGCAGTCAGTCATAGAAAAGAGTCTTTTTTAAACGAGAGTCCCCATCAAAATGTGCAAAATAAACATTTTTGCCTAAATGTTCTTACAAAAGTAGGTTTTTATATGCGAGTTTCAACCCTTGGATAGATACACCACAGGCGCCTTTTTCAAGGAAATAGTTTATGATTACTCAGCCACGTAGCTGCAGGGGGGCTGTGCCCCCCAAATGAAAATTTTGACAACAGCTTGCCCCCTCTGGCTACAGTTCTTCCAAATGATATTTTGAAAATTTGGCATATTTATAATTCCATGATCTTGATTTTGTCCAAATATATCTGTTTGTTATATATCTGTTTTCTTGTTTTAAAGCCTGCCCCCCTCAGGTATGGCTCTTGCTTGAGTTTGCCCCCCCCCCTAGCCGACACCTACATCTACGTGGTTGTGATTACTCCACCCTTCATCCCCCTTTGTTTGTTTTAAGTGACACTCACCTTGAACAAGACCTTTGAACGTGATAAAGCCAATGATACCCAGCATCAATGTACACAGCAAGCTGTACGAAATATTGACGTATGTTGTGTTACTGAACCTCGATTTAGAAGAGTCTCGTATTGATGCATTGAAGATGTATGAGCTATGATGACTCAAGTACACTGAAAGTAGAAAGGGTGTTGCTTATTTCAGAAACGTGTTGGCTTCAAGCAAGAGGAAAGAGCCCTTAAAAGTTTCGTTGGTGCAAGTTACAATGCTATTATATTTCAAACTGTTAACATTTGAAAAGAGAACTAATAAAAATACCATTGATATAACGGTCTAAGTTAAACGTTGATATATGAAATATTTGTTTACATAAATTTAGAACTGAAGTCACACTTCCCAAAGTAGACTTGAATTGGATTGGCTTGAATATCATAGGGCCTAAATTAAATTGGCTGCCTGCCTTGCAAAATCGATAAAATGAATTCTTATTGGAATCTTGAATAAAGTGAAATAACTTTATAACAATGGTTACTTTGTATCTTCTTGCAGAGTTTAAAGCCTATCTAAAAGCTTCTTATACTCACTGAACACGATTATGCCGATACTCTGAAAAAAAATTAAAGTACAATTACAAAAAACTTCACCAAAACGAACCAAAAAATGTCAGCCAATAAATTTCTTCCATTTGTAAAGCTTTCAGTCAGTTGGTATAAGATATGAATATTTTTTCAAAAACTGCTTAACTTTTATTCATTTCTTAATTTTTCTTTCTTTATTTATCGTCATAAAGTATTCTGTTTGAGCAATAAATGATGCTAGTTCAATTTGAAAGTGCCCTACCTGAAAAGCGTTCATGTTGGAAAATCTAAAAGGGCTATGCGTGTAAGGCCTGCAAAAAGTAAAAGACTATAACGTAAAGATTGTTTCTACAAAAATAAATAAAAAAAACACTTCTTTTTAAAGCTTTAATTTAATGATTTTTAAAAATAACTCGAAAGCCTCTGTGACTCAGATGTTTTTTGAATGGTTTTAGGTTTCTGACTCTTAGGTACACCAGATAAGGTACACTTAGGCCTTGAAACACTTGACAATAATTGCAATGTCTCCATTATTATTTGCTTTCTCCTTGAGCAATAGAAGCATCTTATACTTCCAGTCAAGGATTATAAGGGGAAGGTTATAAAATAAATTTTTTTTAAAAGTTAAACAGTTAGATCCTTGATAAATCTTGAAGCTAATTCAAATGTTTCGGTAATTTTTTGCTTTTTCCCTAAATACAATCTTAATTTTTCAAAGAACGGTTTCAGGGAGAAAATATTAAAAAATTATAGGTTTAAATAAAAGTAAGCAACTAGAGTATTAATCGGTCTACTTACACGTGTCTGCTGATTGTAGTGAGACGAATCAGAGAAAAAGTGATCAACGATGTTATGCAAAAGAAAGAAATCAGCGAAAACTGTAAAGAGAAATGAAATTATTTCCAAGTTACTTTCAATTGGTATCAAAAAAGGAAACTATAAAAGCTGGACTGTAAAAAAACTGTCGAAGAGTGCTTGTTATCTTAAATTTTAAGGTAAAATAGGCCATTTGAAATCTAAATGTAAATTATTCTGAGCATTTAATGTCCGAAGGTTGTTTGCTTCTGTAGCTCTTTAGGATTCAACATTCCTCAAATTCACTGTAGGAATATAAGATCAGTACTGTGGTGAAACAATACCTATTTTTAATTGCAAAATAATTGATCGAAACTCACCTTAGAGATCAACCGTATGCTTCGGCAAAGACTGAGAGGAACCAGAATCAGCAAAGCAGACATTGCTATCGAGAACTGTCTTCCAATTTGAAAATCGTCCACCCCGCAGACTAAAAAAAAGAAGCATCACGATGATGTAAGCATACAATAAGCAAAAAGATGTTACTCTTAAACTTTTGCAGTCATCCGACATTTAAAGATTTAATAACTTGGAATTTCGAACTTTTCATTCACAAGTAATATGTTAAAAGGAAAGAGGCAGTTTTAATAACTTAGTAGGTCTATTTTTTTAAGGTAGAAGGGACGAAATCGTAATATGCTTTTTCCAAATAGTTTTAAATAAACCCTTGGAGTGCCTAGGCCTTAATGATCTCAATAAAAGCAGTTGGACAGCCAAGAATAAAAATCATGCATAAATTAAGGTTGATAAGAATTCTACTCACTGAGTACCAGTCTGTTTATCATTTTGGGCAGCATATCACCGAGAAGAGCATGATAAAAAGTCATTGCTAAATGAAAGTAACAAAACAAAATCTTTTCAAGATATTAAATCAATTTATCGTCAATGCAGATTAAGAAAAAGAATTATCACGTAACTTTCAAATTGTAACTTAATCATCAAAATTTCGTAAGAATGACTTGAAAGAAAGTTATAAATAGTTTCTGAATATTTAAATACGGAATGCATAGAAATCAAACTTACAGCTTATGTAAAACAGAACTTGAAAGCTTGAAAGAAACCAGAAAACTTTGTTTCCGAATGTCTCTCTGATAATTCCCTGCATTGATAAAAATTAAATAATGTACGAGGTGCCAAAAGTATGAGCACACAAGAAAGAATGTAAAATGCATTAGCTCTCTCATATGATGTTTATATTTAAAGAAAATACCAATAAAATCTGCACTTTTCATAATTTTGATAATAATGAGGAACTTAAGATAACGGAGAGAAAAAATTTTAAAGTTTACCTGGTATGTGTCTTGCTGTGTTAATATACTGTTCTGCATTAAAATTAGAGTGCAATAGTCTGAAAAGAGAAGGTGACAAGAATAAGTAGATTTGAGATATATCAACAAGACAAGAAACATTAAACTCTGCGCATAAAATGAACATTGATAATATAATACTCTAGAGAAATTTACGAGGGGTCCTAGAAAGAAGGGGTCCACCACTTTGAAAGGGGTCCTCCACTTTCAATTTTTGTACATAAACTCGAAGCAGCAACTTTTAACAGCCCTGTTCTATACACTAAAATCGTTAACAGCTCTGCCTTCACGCAGTGGCGTCACGAGACCATTCTCGCTGGGGTGGGGGGGGGGGGGGGGGGTGTGTAAGAGATGCAAACCATATTTTACTGAAAGAAATTATTTTTTTACATTAATATTTTGTTAAAACTTTAATTTTACCGACGAGTTCTCTGAAAGTTGGGGGCTGTACACCCCCACAGCCCCCCCGCACGCTACGCCCCTGCCTTCACGGCATCAAGCACTTTATGACAGACACGTAAACAGAAATTTTCTTTAGATTTCAAGAATTTTAGAGAAAAATCATAAGGATCACCTTTGCTTTTACTATCTATTATTATTATTATTATTATTATTTTAAATGCCGGCTCAGGTTTGGGTAATTTCGAAATTCTCATATCTAGATATTTCAAAACTCTTTTCTGAGAGAAAAGGAGGGATTAATAATTTCAAACTAGATGGCAACCAAAAAGTTTGAACTACCATCTTGCCTTCAGATTATTCTCTCATTTATTGTCATTTGTAATACAAGAATAACTCCTAGGTAGAGCAGCAAAAATATTTTATGAAATTGTAAATATGAATACCATGCTTACCCATTAAAAAGGCAAAACAAACAACGAATGTGATTCCCATTGGAATTCCAACTTGTTTAAACGCATATGGTGAAGCTGTTGAAATGGTAAAAAGCCGATATGAAAACTTCCGTCGATAAAACACAAAAGATGGCAGCTGTTTAAAACTTTATTCCAAGGAATATACTTCTCTTTTAACTATTTTACGAGTACGAAGCAAATTTGCAAGGGGCAGATTACTTCATGAAAATCTCGTACACCTTTTCGTAGAAATCCTATTTTTTATCTGAATGTCCTTGGAAATCATTTTTTTTGTGAAAATCTCATACGCTATTTGCACAATTGAGCTGCCCCAAGCAAAACTGCTCAAAACCTGGACGAGGACCCTAAAAAGGTCTGATATGAGATAGATTTGCTAAATTCATAGCACCAATTGAACAATGTTCTTCTGAAAGGTAAAATTTTAGAGAAATACAAGGGATAATTTGGTACTCTATCAGGCGAAAAATCGGGAGAAAGTTACTAAAGTTTTCATAACTGACTAATAATTTGCTTGGTTTGAAATTTTTCAAATCCTTTTCTCAGAAAATAACAGAAGTTGTATATTGGACCAAACTAGTTATAAGTTGCTATATTTGACTAAGCGTGTTGCTGCTTGTGAACGAGATCTGTGGAATTAATTTTTATTTGGATTCACGCAAAGAAAGATTTCTTCAAAACGTTTTCTATTTTTGTCTCTGTTTGCACAAAGAGAAAGAATAGCTCCCCGAAAAAGATGAGGTAAGGAGAAAGAGTGCTTAGTCGTACTATGAAATTAATTTCTGAAGTTACCGTCATCAGTTCAATTAAAGTGGTGTATAAATTTTTTTCTTAATATGCAAAAAACACAAATTTGAAAGTTTGAAAGTTTATGTCACGTAAAAATGGTGTCATATCAATTTGATCCTCATGCAACGTTGGTAGAAGGCCGTCATATCTTTAGAATTTCCACTTTTGCCCTTGAAGGTAACCAAAAATCAATGAATATAGAATTAGGTATTTTAAATTATAAATTATAAAATGTCTTACCTATGATAGCTCCACTCATCATGCAATGAATGTATGGTTTATGTGTGTCTGTTACAGTTTCAAACGATTTTTCTTCATTTGACTCTTGTGACGACCTCAATACAAATATTTTTGACTGCTTTAAGTAATTTGCAAAGGGCAAGGAAATCCCTTTCTTGGATGTCGTCGGTGAGCTTGTCTGTTTAAACGAGAAAAAATTCATTAAAATCAAAAAATTTTGGAAAAAAACGTTCCGACAAGCAACTTTGGACAAAAACTTTCGGGAGCATTTTCAAGAAGTTCCGACAAAATTTCTTTCTGACATACTTGGATTTCGGCCAAATAAAGTTCGGAAAATATTTTTTTGCCCGACTGTATAATTTTCTAGTTCTTCCAAGTGCTATAAAAAACTGGGGATGATAAATGACGTCATCGTTTATGAAGGAAAAGGGTGTGATCCAGACAATTTTCGATTTTGTCCAGCCAACAATGGACAGCTGGCGCCGCTCTGAGATATGGTACATTTTCATATCTCGTGGGATTGATGACATTTTCAACTTTTTAGCCTCCAAAGTATTCTTTTCAAAATTATGTGTACATTCCATCCGCCTGTACATACTATCCCTCTCTTTCTTGGCAAGGAGATTGTTAAGGCTTGCGTGAGCAATGGAATGAGTTACGTAAAATTTCTTGGACTTTTTTTATAGATTTACACAGACTTGCCTCTTTTAAATTGCAAAATCCGCCAAAATCCCCAAAAACAGAATTTAACAAACTTCTTGTTTGTTGAAGTATTTTCTTCTTTGGTGACATTGGTTGTAGAACCTAAAAGCAAAAAGACAACAAGTAAGCTTACAAAAACAGCTAGATGAAATGTTTTAAGCTTAAGTTTGTGATTTAAAAGCAATCATTCACTTTTGCCAATTTTGGGGATGGTTCTATGATTTACTAGCAAGAAAAAGATTCAATTTCTGGATTTGAAAAACAGAAACTGATAAATTTTGATAAATTTAACTAAAATTTCGATATAGACTAACATTTCACTAAAATTTCAATTTGAGGCATTAAATGTCAAGAACTTGGTGATAATTTATGACATATTATTGGCATAGTTTTCAGAGTACGAAACTCATGAAAATATTTCACTTCCAAGGAGCAACATTGTGCACCCAAAAGATTATTAATTTGAGCAATAACGATATCGATTTTTTGTTTAATTTTTTCAATAGCTTTTTGTTTGTTTGTAAATTTCTGGACAAAACTAGCAATGCTAACACCCTTTCTTAGGGACCTTGTAATATGTTGAAGCCAGATAGCCAGATTTTGCCTATAATAACCCACCAATCAGTGTATCCATCGTTTTCCTAGGAAAATAGGTGCAATCGCATTCAATATCTGCCTAAGCACACCCTCAGTCAGTTTTCCAATATTCCTAAACCGTAAAATTTGGTCCCCCATAGCCGTAACCGCAGCATTTTTGTTAATGGTCAATCGCACGGCACTCAAACGTGGAAAATATCGGCAAACATACTCAAATTTCGGCCAAATCCGCGTGACTGTAAAATTAAACTACACACATACAGCAGAGACCTTATGCTGAAGCAGGAGTATAGTGCTAGGGGGGTCAGGGGGTTTAACCCCTTGTTAATGCCAAAAATTGACAAATTTCTACATCTTCTACTGTTTTTCTGCAACATTCTGTGCAAAAGCCCCCCTTGTTATTTTCATAGTACTACACCACTGCCCTAAAGTGCTCAAAATTATATCATCAAAAGAGTTATACTTACAGGCTTGCTGCTCAACTGGGGAATGTATTCGGCCGACGGGGGGTTTGATAATTCCGTCTCCATATCTGAGAAGATAAGACAAGAACTGATAAATTACCATAATTCTTCATATTTGCAGAAAAAAGTAGCAGATTTCAAACTAGAGTTAAAGAACAATTTATGATTTGCAAAATTTTATAAAAAGACAGTTTGAATTTATAGTTTCTATATTTATACGGTATAATTGTCCTAACTTTCGTGTAAAGAATCAAAGACATCCCTCCCCCGTATCTCAATTCACTGTGTTAATTTTCTGTTTGTGAGTATTCCATTCCGCAAAATTGCTGCGACCACTTTAACAGACTATCCCTTAACATGCATGCATAGGTTCTTGCATTAAGTATTAGTGCAGTAAAATCTTGAAAAAGGAAGCCAACCCATTTATAACTTAATTTTATAACTGAATCATACAATGATTGATAAAAGGGATTTAAACTCTAAATTTCTGAAAATCTTTAGCCCCAATAACGTGGATTTGAATAATTGGAACACCTTGATATGAACATCGCGTTCAACTTTTAAAACAAAATTTATCTTCAACGCTACTGGGACTTTGTTAATAAATATTGCGCACAAAGTTAGTTTGAGCAAAACCATTTTGCCAGACTTATGCCATTCTGACATATCTTTACTTTGAATTTATAAATCCACTATCATAATTTATAAAGATGTTTTTAGTTGTCGGCCTTAAAACATTGCAGCTGGTGAAAAACACACGTTGTAGAACTCACTCGAGACAACCAGCAAAGCGAAAATAATAACAAGGTGATCGTCTAAACGCAATAAATTATATTTTCATTAGAATGGCCTTGAATTAATTTTTTTTGCATTCTGTAAAAGGATTTCAATGACAAAAACGCCACTGCCGTTGTTGATATCCAATAACAAACCGTGTTTTTCTCGTAATGCAAAAAGTTATTTGTGATCTTAAAATTTAAATTGTTGGGTTTTTGGCTATAAATTTATATTTCAGGCCTGCATACAAAAATCAACTTTTTATGAAGTCAAATTGTGTTTAACAAACCTTTCATAACAGGCGATTTCCTTTGTAATAGTTTTTTTGATTCAATCTGCTTAAATTGATCCGACGTTTGCTTACAAAGGATAACGGCCTAAATCAGGCAGCCATTTTCACAAGGATGATTCGGTGACCTGTTGATTCGGAAGATCACTGACCTTTTCTAATTAAGCAGGTCCGCCATAGTGCTAAACAGTTGAGAGGCAGCATTTAAGGTATATTGCCATGGAAACAAATAGGAAGCAGGGCCGTCCAACGTCGGGCATGATGGCGCAACATACCTCTTTGAAAAATTTCATTATAAAAAAGAGTACATTGTAAGTAGAGGTGCTTTATCGGCAAGTTCTCATCTACTTTTTCTGCAAACGGCAAAAAGTTAGCGACTGCCATGTTAGGACGAGGAGTATAGCCCCGTCTTCAGCAAATTAAAACATTTCCACCATTCTTTTTTAATTATTTCGAAATATCGAAAGCTGCTAGTTTGTTCGGAGGAATTTGGATATCTTCGGATATTGAACTCAAACCAGCCTTACATAACCGATATCAAGTTTGAAATCTCAAGATCAATTAATCTCTAAATCTTTCCCACCCTAAACCAATGCTGGTAAATAACTTGGTCCGACTTGTTATTAAAACCCCGTTTTGCATATTGTATAAGCATAGGGAAGAAAAACCCCAAATTATTTAAGCTGAAGAAAAATAATGGTGAAACGTTATCAGAAAAATATTCAACGACACTACGTCTGTGACTTGATTTTCATGGCCTAGCAAAAGGACACAAAAATTTCTTTCCGGTGCAATTTGCACTATCCGGGGCGTTTACGGAACAAAGTGACTTTCATATTGGACAGGCACCGCGGAGCAGGGGGGGCTGGCGGGCTTTAGCCCCCCCCCACTTTTTGCGAAAATGCCAAATATTAAGTATCAAACCACCAGAAAAGCCTCTTTTTATACGGTTTTAGCCCCCCCCACTTTTTTAGACCCCCCACTTTTCTCAACGCTCCGCAGTGCCTGTTGGATAGGGGTTTGCGTTTTATTTTCTCGCAGTAATTAGATACACAACGCTCTGATCAGTTCATTCTTGAGTTAAACTGTTTTGGAGCGTTTTCCTGCAACGGACAAATCGATTATTCTCCGTTCAAAAACTTAGCGTTTTTGTATCTTTTCCTTTTAATTCGATCATTGGTGAGGCAATTCTGGAGATTTTGGTCTTGCTACTGGATATGACCCAACAAAAATTGTCCCAATTTTTCGTATCTAGATTCTACTTCTTCCCAATCGATTCCATCGAAGCGGCATTTACAACCAATGCAATTACAACGAATACCAGACAGCAACTCAAACTCAATCGATTTATTCGTTGTAGTATTCATAAAATTTTCGAAGGGAATTCAGCTAGGGGCAAGCCGCAAGCCTTTGTTTCAATGGAAAAGAGGACAATAGCCTATTATTTAAACAACGGACGGTCATCGAAGCTGAATGAACAATTGCCTCTTATTTAGTGCGTTAGAAAGGCCCTGGTAGATTTTAATTACAGGCTACATGATTGAACATAAAAATAACTCAGAAGAGATATCGAGTTATTTGCTCTTTTTTACTGCTTGCATAAAATTACATTGAGTTAGAAGAAAATTTCAATATTAAGACAAAATTTTTTACGGTGGCCCACAGGTGCCACGGCAAAACTTACTTTCTCACGGCAAAACTTTCTTTTTCACGGCAAAACTTTCTTTCTCACGGCAAAACTTACTTTCTCACGGCAAAACTTACTTTCTCACGGCAAAAATTTCTTTCTCACGGCAAAACTTTCTTTCTCACGGCAAAACTTTCTTTACGTGTTGTTGTGTACGTGATACTTAGATCTAATCAATGCTTTAGACGTTTTAAACTTCGCAGAATTTGCGAATACCTACATCTTCTCTTGATAATTCTCGCAGAAAGACAGCCCAGAAATGTTCTAAAATTTATCTAGGTTGGGCTAGGCTAGGCCTATATGCCTATCTCAACGAAACAGTACCGCATGCAAGGTCTTTGATTCCTTTGTTTTGAAAGCAGTGAAAAAGATCAATTCGTTGAAAATTGGCGTGCACATAAAATTCGTGCAAAAAAATCACGTACGTGCACTTGGCACGCTCGATTGTGGCTTGTAAAAAACCTATAAATTGGGTATTGTGTTTAATATCATATCATATCGTATTACACACAGGGTGGGTTGATGGCTAGGTACTTAATTTTTCGAATAATAGTAATAACAATGAATAAAGAAATGAAATAATAAGCATGGGCATAATATAAGGGTAGAAAAAAATCGAAGTGGTTGCCCAACAAACAACATCCATTGTTTATGAAAATTTTGCCTGACTGAATCATGGTAGATTTCTGCCTGATTATCGCTTTTTAGGAAACTTTTCAGTGTTGAGAAACTACAGTTGCCGCTACAGCCCCCTTATCTCCCCAGACCCTTGTCTACTACGCCTATGTAAGAAAAGCAAAAGGAACAAAGCAATACGACGACGAGAATCCAATGTCACGGGATAAAATTTTCGAAATAAATTTAATTTAAGTAATAAATTAAATTCAAAGAAAGTTTTGCCGTGAGAAGTAAAGTTTTGCCGTGAAAAAAGAAAGTTTTGCCGTGAGAAAGTAAGTTTTGCCGTAAGAAAGTAAGTTTTGCCGTGAGAAAGAAAGTTTTGCCGTGGCACCTGTGGGCCACCGTAATTTTTTGGATAAAGATTAAGGTTAACAAATACAAATTAATAAGAAGAAAGCAATGAAAAACTAAACTAAACGAAATAAAAACAAAAATAAATAAAAGAAAAGAAAAGAAAAGATGCCAAAACCCAATATCAAATCAAGTGGTAAAACGATCGAGTGGAAAAAAGGAAAAACAATCGAGAGGATATCTAGTGGTAAAAAGTTAGCTCCAGATTCTTACCTCGATCCGAAATCGAGGCAAACATAATGCATTTCGTTGGCGCCAGTTGAGCACGAGAAGAATAGTTTCGCGGCAATTTGGTTGCAAAGGCCTTGGAGGAAATAGTGTCTAGTTTTGATTTTTCGGAGAAATTTGTATAACTTATGGTTAATGCGATCTTCCAGACAACATTCTCGGCTAATATTACGTGTATGCTGTTAACATATTGAGGCTGTCGATTTGTTGATAAACGGGGAAATCCGGATATCTTGCCAACCCTGCTGAAACTTTGATCTGTGAGCGAGACTATATGGCAGCTAAGAAAAGTATCCAGTCAAGACAAAAATGACCTTAACTAAAGCTGAAACCGTCTCTGAGATGGAAAATTATGCCGGAAAAACCGACCAAGTTACACAGCTTCTTCAAAATTTAAATAATAAAGCTGCAACAAGGGAGTCGAGGATGGACACGTATCTTTTGCTTGCCAGGTAGCACATATTATTTGAATGAGTCGTTGAACGTTCATATACTGAACTTATGTGTTGTTTTATTAAGTGAGTTTTCCTTTCCACTCGCAGTTGTAGGCATTTTCCGAACATGTTTTTAAACAATGCAAGTCTAAATTGCTTAGATATCCTGTTTTTCCTTAGCTGTTTCGTGTAGACTGTATCTCATAGCTCAGCTTCGATGTTTTTTCTTTAACTTAAAGAAAACGCAAATGTTTAAATTTTTCTTTCTACCATCTAATGTAGCTTATTGGACATAGAAATAAATTCCTCTAACATTTTAGTATGTTAATTTAAAATACCCAGGATTGATCACCAATAAAAATAATGCTTGAATGCTTTCATAAATATCCATCATTCCAACTGTTGTTTGTTTTTCAGGGGTGTCAGCATACCAATGCCAGCCATGATTGAAGATTTATCAAGACTGGCTGTGCTTATTCTGAAACACATCAAGGTTTGTCTTCTTTCACATTGCCCTTTGTTGCAATCTTAATGTCAAGAAATTGGTTCGAGTCCCTGGCATGACCAAACTTACACCCAGAGCAAGGAGAATCGCCAGCTCTCTGTAATGCTTGATTAGCATAAGCTTCTCAGTGTCCTAAAAACTACCTTCGGATGCTAGGTAGAAACAAATACAAAAAATACAGTCCAAACTGTACTCCCCTTTTCACACTTGATATGATCATCAGGAAACTGTCCCCTGTTTATTAAGATAACAGTGTAAAGAAAACATAACTTGTATCTGAACATAACATGAAGAAGTAGTTGAGAACAATACAAATTCTTAAAGTAGATATATCGCAGTGCAAGCGTGAGGGTCACAAGACTGGAACTCCCCAATATGAATGATATAACAGAACCAGAGTAAATAGCATGATTAGCGATAAGTATATAGTGATGATCTTAAAAGGTAATAATGAGTTCTTCACAGAGTTGTCTGATGATGGCAGTAGGTATGAAACTTAGAACTGTCCTGTTCTGTACACTAAATACTGTGTACAGCTCTGTCTATATGGTATTGAGCTCTTCATGACAGACCAGTAAACACTAATTTTCATTACAGGTATTTTTATGTATATGTTTTTCTCTCCCTGTACAATTTGTCAATAATATATATATATGGAAATCATTTACCAAGCCTTGATGAACACTTTTTTCAAAATTATATATATATATACTAAAAATAATACTTATTTTGTCAAATCAGTTTAAAGTTTTTTTAGACAATGTGTGCAATAAACTGAAATTTTTCTAACAAATTTTATTTTTTTCTAGATGGACCTGGAAAAAGATGACTCAGGACTTGTGCAGAGTGCATTGCAACTCTTAGGATTCCTCTTACATTGCCCAGAAATTGTGACGTGAGTCTCTGCTTGGCATTTTAGATTAAAGAATGTACAAGGAAACTTTTACTAGCCTTTAAACCCAGCCATCAAATTTGGTTCTGTTTTTATCATGCATGCAAGGCTAACAGTCTTGCATAATTATTATTTAAATGATTTTGCATAATTATCTTTTCTTACCACTTTTAGCTACTACTACTAAGACGTCATACACAGTTAATACTGCACTTCACGTCTCACAATGCCACACCAGTTCTTTCTGTCCTGTGTCAGTTCAGATAATCTATTCAATGTTTGTGCTTCTTTTGAAAGATCCAGTTTAATTCCAAGGCTGGCCAGATCTTGCCTTACTGTCTGCATCCAGGTCGTCTTTAGACTTTTAGCTATATGAAGGATTACTGCTATGTGGGGCAGAAAAGAAAGCTAATGGATGCTAATGGATTCTAATGGATCCAAAGTCTCTTGCCAATTGACCTATAGGCAGGTTGTAAGAGAACTTTCTCAATTGGCAACAGCAGCCAATCAATCCCCTTAAAAGGGAAAGTTACATTTTAGATGTGAGTCATTTCTTTTGATATTGCTCGATAGTAAATTTGTCAAATGTTTTTTCTTGTAGTTCTTTTAGTGGAGGCATTTTGAAAAGCATTTTAGAAGGTAAGAAATACCATTCTGTTTGAAATTTAGCTTTGTATTCATTTGCTTTGAATTTAGCTTTCTATAGTTATAGTGTTTCTAACAGGCAAAAGTTTGTGTCGCCACTGCTTACAATTGTCAATAAGAGTTGGAATTTTGCCATCAATGAGAGTTGGAAGGGCATGGCCAAGAAAATTTGTTTTTCCACCCCAGTTTTTTCACGCAGGCAAAACTCCACTGCTTTTAAGGTTTTTTATTATGATAGATAAAGCTGGGCTTGTTTGTGACGCTTGGTTGTGTCCTGTTTTTACCTCATAAATGACTCTTCACTGGCCTGGTACATTGCCTATGCATTACCATACCTAGGTATGTAGAGATAAAAAAGCAACTGATCTGAGCTGACCAATGCCCCTCTGCGCCAACAAGAACCCATAGGAACCAACAGCAACCAGCTGATATTCATTGGCACACAGCCTGAGACCCCTCAAATTGACCCACACCAATCTGTTTTGGAAGCTTTTTCATAAGACCCATTTTTTTCAAGCATAATTTGCATGAAGTTGATACACAAATTACAGCAATGAAAAGTTTTTATCAGATAGCTAAACATTCTTTTAATCAAACAAATTCAATCCTGGTACCATCATTCTATTACAGATATCTGTACGGTTCTAAGGAAAACTGATGACAAAGGAATTTGTGCAAGAGCTTTGTGGTGTTTGAGTAAACAAAACATGCCAGATGATATCATAAGTAAAGAGGTTTGTCAACACTGCTAACTGTTAAATAATGTTCTTCTTGCTGACGCTTCTGAATATGTTCATAAAGCTAGTGCTGCTAAGAACAAGACCAGGCTTTTGGTTTTATAGCTTTATAGTAAACAAATATTTAAGAAGGTGAAAATCAATATAGATGCCATAGTTACTGGTTGCAGAATGAACCATGGCCCTGGAGCACTTGCCAGGATACCCCCTCCTGTCAGTGGTCCTGAATAACATAAAAAGCTACTTTTTGTCTGAATCATAATCAAAGGAAGCTACCTTTTCAAAGAAAACTATAATAAAAAAATGATAATCAAAGAAAAGTACCACTGTGACTGCAAATGTCACAACCAATTTGGTTGAGAAATCTCCATTTTCGTCAACAGTTCGATGTTTAATTTTACATCATGCATGCAACTTGTCTCATACACTCGTGTCACAAGAAATCTCAAAGTCTTGATTGCTCACAAGAAATCTTAAACACAAAAGGCCTCCAATTGATGCAAGAATTTTTATTTTCCTTATAGCTTTCTAATCTGCTGCCAGTCATCAATTCATGTCTAGTTGGAAAGAACTTTGACTCTTCTACTGTTGAGCTTGAGGCAATCAATGTATTCCAAAGGTATAAAGAAGGTTTTACATGTTTGTAAATGTATGGAATCAGTATTTTGGGGGTGTTTTTAAAAGGAGTTATGGATTGAAACTATAAGTTCCAACTAACAAGTTTAATCTTACAAAGGACTGGCCAAGAGGTGGGGGCAAGGGGTTGTTATAGGGGAATAATTACCCCCCCCCCTGTTTTTTTCAAGACATCATCCACATAATTTGTCTGAAAATTGATGAAATATATTAGGTATAGGTGGGTTGTATTTTCCTAAGGTTTGTCTTAAAGGAATATCCATCTGGTATAAAGCACTGAAAGAAGGGGAAAAGGGTGTGGTCCCATTGAGCTTAAGTGTGAGTGAGCCCATTATCCTGCACTTTCCAGTTGCAGTAGTTGTTGATCTCTTTTTATCAGGAAAACTAATGACAAGTTCCACTTAATTTTTCTCTTAACCTAAAAGAAAGCTTCACCATGGTCTGATTTTTATCATATAAATGATTCACTTTGGGAACCGCAGGTTGATAATGAAATTCATAATAACTACCACGATAAAAAAGACATAAAATATTTACCTGATATCTATTATGCAATACCAACTGGTCTGTCTGTTGAATAAGTATATTCCCTTAGATACATCTTGTGCTCAATTTTTCAGTTTTATGATAAATTTTTTCTTTTGATAAATGCTACAAATTCTTCAGTATGTCCAGGCCCTGTTTCAGCTGTCAGTTCCCAAATGCCAAGATCAGCAATGGAAAGTCCCCAATCAATCGCATCTTACTTTGTAGGTTACTTAAACACTGTCCTGTCCAAATGATTGAAAATGGAGAAGTTTGGTTCAAGATGGTCTATCCATTTGTGATAAGCAGAAACACAAAGGTTTGTATTATAATATATAATTTAACTGTATGAATGAGGCCTGAATTTTCAAAGCCGAGATGCCAGGGGGTGGAACTAAAAAGGTTTTCATAGTTAGGTTTTCCAGTATTATGTTAAAAAATCCACCACTCTTGGGGGTGAATAGGATAAACAATATCTTCCCTTACAATTTCTGCATTTTCATAGGGAGCCTCCAGGGGGTTCTCTTGTATATTTAAGATAGGGATAATCAGGTTGGGTTATGAAATTTTGCCCCAAAAAGTAGTTTCAACCTAGATTCTAAGCCCAAAATGAACTACCTGCATCAGTATCTTCAGTGTACCGGGGTACCCCCCTTGGTTGGAGCCACAGTGCCTTTGGAGCAAGAAAACAACTATTATTACTTGTTTCGAAAGGGGGAGTTTAATTTTAACATGTGTTTAGGCTGTGGCTCATGGGAGTGTTTTTAACTGGATTTCTTTATATGTATTCAAATTCACAGATTGCTGAAAGATCCTTGGTATTTCTTGAAAAGAATCTGGTCATGTTTAAACAGCACCATGAGAAGTTATCGACAACATTAATTAGTGACTTACAGGAGGTTTGTAACAGCGCTCATTAGCAAGTAGAGTTTTGCTAGTTTAAGCCGAAAAAATTATTTTATGATATAGTACATTGCATGTACAGCAGAGTCTCAGTGTTCTGGGAGGGATTCAGAAAAAACTGGAAAACTAACAAATTGTAGCATTGGGTACACGGTATCATATTAGATTCTAACCAGGTTTAGGTTCATTATATTTTAATTTCCACAACATACATTTCCACAAAATACTAAATAAAAATACAGCAACATCAAATATCAAACAATCATTATAACAATAAGATATGGAACACAAATTATCTGTGGGATATGTAGGTATGGGGATTATTTAAAGCAGGAACCATTTCTGCTACCGTTTATTATTCTTGAGACAGCACATCAAATCTGTATCTAAATTTTGATTCCCAACTACTTTTTTTCTTCGATCTGTAAGAGTTTCGTAACCCAATTATGCATGTTTAAATTTTGTTAATTTTGTTGACTTGGAATGTGAGAAGAGCGTCTTTTATATACTCGTACTGTTTACATCTCTTTTTGTTCAGCAGGGTCTTGTCGAGAGGTTGAGGGCAATTTTTGACTCTAAAAGAGAGCTCTTTGTGTTGAGAGTTTGGTCTTGTTTTGTCACGATTCTGGACAAGGTGAGCTTATTTGTTTACGTTTGGCTGGAACGAATCTTTCACAGATAAAATTCTTGAAAACCTCAAAAGTGAAATGACCATCATTTGTAAAAAGAAATCAACCAGGTGTACCATTATCATATTGTTTCATATTTCATACCAAAGAAATCAGCCATTCCCATATTGTCTCGTTTCTCTGGTTATCAGGATTTCTTATCTTTCCACAATCTTTCCACGTTTGTTACCCAAATGAAAGCTGGAGACAGCAGTTCTTGGCAGGATCAGTTTTGCATTTCGTCTAATTCTTTTTTTCTTGTGATGTAATCCTATGATTTTCAAACTGCCTCTACATAGCCAAAAGTGAGTCATGGGCGTTCCCTTCGGGTAAAAATTGCGTTCCTTGTTAGTAAACGGGCGTTTTCTGGTGCTAACAGGGGCGTGGTCTAAAATCTTTTGTTTTTTCCCCACCCCAGAGCGCAGTGGCTGGCGCCGCCATTGGCTGGAGTTAACTGATTTTACTATAAACATAAATGACGAGAATCAGGATTAAGAAATAGGCCAAATGTTGTTTTTTCAAATAAAACAATCTTGAAGTTTCTTAGCAAATGCTTTCGTAATAGCATTTATTGATAGTCTGCTATACCATGTCATAGAGAAACTCAAATTGATTTTTCTTTATTTATAAACGAATTTTTATGGTGACTAATTTTTTTCGATTTAGAACATGCATCAAGGGACCCGTGTTTCAAACAGCCTTTTGAAAGTCGAGGAAATGGTAAGATATTATCATTTAATATAAATTACTTTGTTGAAATGAAACTTTCTAAAAATTCCAACAAGTTTTATCTAAAAACTTTTCACTAAAGGACAAACGGGCCATAGGTCCATAAAAATCCCAGAATGTGGTGATAAGAAATTGTTTTCAGTAAGTAAAACTCTTGAAATGGAAAGTTTTGTATTGGAAAAAATCTGTGAATAAAAGTTACGAGAAACGTAATACGGATGCGCTGGTTGGTTTCTCTAGAAATTTAATAGCTGGGCTACAGACAAACGCAACTGCAAGCTTTGCAAAAGACCTTGGCTATAAATAGTTAGCATTGTATTGTTATTATTTATATTTTTAGATTTTAGAATTGATGTTTATACGCCCTTTTTGTATATAGTTGGCTTTAATTAGCACTGCTGCTATTATAGTTGCAAACTTTAAATAAATTGCATTATTATTTTTTACTGTTAAGTACATTAATGCACTTAAAACTGCTGGTTTAAAGCCAACCCTTCGCTTCCCTTGCCTTGTTTTCCACTACGATTCGACCCGTTTCCTAAATGTTTTCCTCAAACCATCTTTAATATTTGCTTTAGGCGTTCAAGGCCCGTTCAACAGATGTCCTAATCGCTGCCTACAAAGCATGGCAATTTCTTATAGATAATTTCGCTACATCGGAAGGTGAGTTCTTTGGATAATGAAAATGATTTCTCTTATTATTATTTTATTATTGACAATAGATTGTTGCGGTTTAGTTGTTATTCCCGTTAAAAAATTATTTCTTCCCACAGTTTTTCAAATTCGTGTTGATTGTATGTTTGAAAATCTCTTGAAAGGCTTATTGTCTCTTGAGATTTTTTGATAATCAATTTCTATGAATCCGATGAAAAAATAGGTTGCTGAAGAATATCCCGAGTATCATTTTCTAATTGCCTGTCACATTTTGATGTCGATTTCTACTAACTGGGCGTAATTTCATTTGATTTTCTATTAATCGATCGCCTTTAGATGTCAATTTCTAATAACCGGTCGCCTTTTTATGTCAATTTTTGTCTAATCGATCGCCTTTTTGACCTTGTTTTTTAAGGGTATGAACTACTGATATATCCATACCGTATTCTTGATTAATTTTCATTAGATTAATCCACAGAACTCATGTAATCATATTCTGATAAGATGAATTATTTTTGCACCTTGCGTTGATCAGCTTTGCAGATAAATTTAGAAGCTACCTTTTCTATTCATTTACTGGTAGAATTGCTGATAAATTTCTTACCAAGTTTTTAAATAAATGTTAAAAGAAAAATTTGCTTTCCTTTCAGATGCGATCTGCTCCCAGAAGAGACTTAAGCTTCTCTTGATGCCTCTTGTTGTAAGTTATCTTGCATATTTTGATGTTTATATCTTGCAAAGATTTTCTTGTCCTACCCTTTGCTTCATGATTATGAAACCCTCAGATTCTATGTTGCATTTTAATCAATTTTCTGTTTTTGGGAAGGAGCAATTTTTCTGTGAAGTTCCGTAGCAACACGAATGAAGTTTCCCAATTTTGCTATTTTTAATTTACGATTATTTTTATGCCAATACCAAGTTTTTTTGCAAAGAAGAGGAACTGTTGCAAAATAATAGTTGGGTAATATTTTCTGAATTGCTCTTTATATCTAAAGCTTTTTTTCAACTTTCCCCTGTTGAACTCATATCTCAAGATCTTACCATGCCTGTTATTAAAGACACTAGAATCCATGTACGTACCCGACATCTCCTTAAAACGGATCTCTCTACAATGAACATCTCCCTACAATTATTAAAACATTCTGTATATTTTTCTAGAATGCTACTTCAAGCTCGCAAAGAAATGCGAACGTGGAACAAGCAAGATTTGACTGTTGGCTGCATTTAATCCGAACCCTAAAGCACAAAATCAACACTATTTTTAGTCAGGTATTCTTTTGAAATATTATCACTTCACGATAGTAAGGCTTATTGCAACTGAAGATTTGATAAACGCAAAGCCATTCAAAGCAAATCGTGCAAAACTATAGGAATAGAGTCCTAAAGTGTGACGTCACTAAAAACTTTAACCACATAGCGTAAAAGATCACCACGAAATACTTTCAAATACGCAAAATTGGCCAAATATGTCTAAAATCGGTTGAGATGTAGCCAATAAAAAATTTGAAGTTTGCTAACGAATCACTGTTATTTCCGCTCTGTTCATAAAGTTATGAACAGAGACCAAAATACAGAGGTTTGATGGGGAGAGAACCAATAGACATATGGCCATATCTCTGCCATTTCGTAACACACTTGCCTGATTTTGCACATTTAGAGGTATTTCATGATGCTTTTTTAGGTTATGGGATCCAAATTAAAAAATTCTAAAAATATATTTTTGTTACGTCATCACTTTAGAACTCTATTCCGTTTTTCTATGTATTAAGTTTTTACTTTAAAGTTCGTGCTTGATGGTATATAATGTTATATTTAATGCTTGCACCCAAGAGGTATTTTCCAACAAATATACTGCAATTGTTAGAATTCACCATGTTCTTTTTTCTCAATGATTTCTCAAGCGGCTACCATGCAAATCCCTTTTTCGAATAAATTTGCTGAAACAAGCTTCTATTTCTACGCAAAAAAACCTTCTCATAAAGTGCTGCTTTTGAGACAGAACTCTTATAATTTCAAATGCATTTTTTCTAATCAATCTTTTTTAATGGCAGACCACTCCTTCCCTACAATGAAATAACTACCTAATGCAGATTGCCGCTTCGAATTACTCATTACAAATATTGATCCAATTTCTGTGTAAGACATTTAGAGTATATTGCTTATAATTAACCTATTTTTTAAATTATTATATATTTTCAACAACTTTCACTAAATATGTCACTTTGTACTCAGGTCATTAATCCATTTTTGGAATTTCTCTTCTCCGTGCGTACATCCACGGCTGCCTCAGTCGACCTTAATCTCCAGAAGACCCCAACAAAAGCGAATGGTGATGAGGTCCTCAAAGTGGAGACACCTATTACGCCGGCCGCGCGCAAGTTCGATATAGCGCGGCAAAAGTCGTCACCGCGCAACAAAAATCTACACTTCGATTCTGGCCAGTTGAAGAAATCCGGTGCTGAAATTTTGTACCATTTGATCAAATCGGAGGATTCTGATGATGATCCATTTGAGACCAGCGGTTAGTTCTGCTTAAAGCTGATATTTTTTCGTTTAGATCATTATCAAGGGCCTGTGTTTTGAGTGCAGGAGCTGCGAATGTCACCAGGAAATGTTCCACCGGGGGTGGGGGGGGGGGGGGGTATTGTTGACCAAGCTTTTCACAAGCAATTGATGTTTGGTCCTGCAGACCCAATATGATTTTAGTTCATAGCTGATAGATTATCTTCGGGTCTTTACTGAAGAATAAGCTCGAGTTTGTGCTGTCTGAGAGGGCGGCTACCTCTAAAAAAGGAAATTTCAGTTGTGGCCAAAGGCGTGGCACCTAAAAGACACTAAAATCATAGCCCTGTCCCCTAATGTTTTTGGACAGCACTTCTTCTCGAAATCATGTTACCATGTCGAGCTTTAAAGCTCTTTTCTTTGAACTCAATGATTTTATCGGTTAGTTTTTATTCCAATTTCTTCCCATCAGTTGAAAATTAGAATTCCAGTTATTTCTTTTTAATCTCACCTTCATACCTAAGAATATGTGTAAAAGTTCATCACAGCTTGTTTCTAAACTTGCCTTAATTTTCAGCTGCTGTTTTTAAGTCTTTTTGTCTTTTATCCAGTGAGCATAGAATTCGAGCCAGTATCCCTGGATATTATCAAGAAGAACGCTGTTATTTTCACGATTGCCCTTCAAGATTTGACATCAAACTGTGGCGAAGTGATTGATCGTGAGTCAAAAATTCTAATTCATTATTTTAAAATTATTTCGCCTTGTGATTTTCTTGACACCTCGTGATTCCTATGCCTTAAAAATTACAGAGAGCTTGCGACTCTCTTCACTCTAAGTGGAAGTTTGATTGTGACATAACACGATCCTTGAATCTGTGCCACGTCACGCTAGTCACTGAGCCATCTTCGCCGATCTCACTTTATTTCGTTTACCTAATCCTACCGCCTAGCTTTTTATCAAGATCACCATCTATTTCTGTTTGGTACTTAATGTCAACATAACTTCGACAAACATCTAGGTTTAAGGGATCAGCTAAAAATATAAAACAATCTTTTGGTGGTACAAAACTTGTAAATGGCTTTGAAAAAAGCAAACATTTAGTAAACTAAAGCTTTTCGTCTGACACTCTTCAGAGTAACTCTGAAGAGTGTAAGACGAAAAGCTTTAGTTTACTAAAAGTTTGCTTTTTTCAAAGCCATTTAAAAATATAAAATTTTATTTCCTTTTCTACAATTAATGATTTGTTCATCATGCTTTGTTTTAAAATAGAGCCAATATCACTTTGGATCACCTTGAAATTAGAACGTATTTTAATAAGGTCTTCATTTCGCATTTCTGTCACACATTTGCCTGCAGACAGTTCATCTTTTATTTACAAATATTGATAGTTTGTCTCTCTTTGTACAGCCCGACTGCTCACAGCGCTTTGGGGGCGATTACTGTGCCAATTTGAAAGGATTTTCGTCACAGCTGGAGGTTTTTAGTTTAACTTACATTGCATATGAAAATATAGGCTTTTGTAACAAATCTGAGGGATTCACTTGTGTTGAATGTTTCAGAGTAGTTGTAGTTGTATATGATTATTTAGACTGGATAATGTAATATATCAGGCCGAGAACAGACACACTAGAGTCCAACTTGAATCACTATCACAAAACGAGGCTATAACAATAGGACTCAAAACTAGAACTAATGCATCACAGATAACACTTTGCAATTTAAAAAATTGGTATAAATAGAGGGATTCGCTCATGTTGTTTGAGAGACGAGTTTATGCTCGACATTGTCATTATCCTGTTTTGGATCTGCATACGAAAGGAAATCCAGTTTTACAGATTTTATATTTACCTCAAAGGTGTTCAAAATGTTTTCTCAATGCCAATTTGATTCTTACAATCTTCCCTCGAATAATGATAAAAAAACTTCCTGCGAATCCTGCAAAGTCTGCATAATCAATTTATAAATATCATAAAAGGATACCAAAATACCCTGAACAGTAAATCTTTCCCTTTGTTAGTCTTTTTATATCATTATTTGCTCTAGATTTTAATGTCGTTGATAATTTCTTTGTAAATTGGAGCTCCCATTAGTACAACTGGTTGGTGCATGGAGCCCATAAACTGTAATTTTCGCTCATGCTTTTCCTAAAGTTTAAAAATTTTATGTTTGATTGTCACTGTAATTTTGTTTTTTTGTCTTTTTGAATGATTATTTTGATCACCCCATAGATGACAAAGAAAGCATCACCGTGATCGCGGGTGGACTGTTCTTGTCTCTACAAACCATGGTTGATTCTATCAAAATCCCATCAAAAACGGTTGTGGTAAGGCGTCCTTCATTCCTTTTCTAGTCTCTGTGTGCCAATTAATTGCATTGCAATGGTGTGCTGTTTCACAGATCTGGGTGCTTATGTTTGCCTATTTATGAATCCTGCAGTGACATCAAATACATTTCAAAGTTGAAGGGGTGCAAGAAGAAAAGGGGAACGATGTCTCACAACAATCGCCACTTTTCCAAACGTTTTGTACAAGGGAAATCTAAGAAAAGGGGTTCTCTTCTCATGAAAAATGTTAGGTGCACGTGCTCCTGGTGCCCCTTCCTGGTTTTCATGTCACTTATGCCATGTCACTCCTATTGCTACTAGGAATTTACATTCAGTTATAAATTAAGTTCTTTTCATTTTCTCGTATTTTTAGAATATTTTGACGTTATGTCATGAAGAACTCCATGAAACGATGTCCCAACACAAAGATCTGCTGAAAACCGAGCTGAACACCCAAGGAAGTTTCTCCATTCACTTGTTGCAACTCATTCTTCAGACATTGAAGTCTAGAAATGACATCTCCACATCAAATGGGTGAGTCACAGTCAACTTCAGTCATCAAATGACACTCAGTAATAACTTCCTGTTTCTAGCTTTGCATTGCAAGTTCTCCAAGACTTTGTTTTCGTCCCTTTGTGTATTTCTCTACGAACGATATCCAATGTAAATACCAAATCGCGATTTTGATAAAAAAGGAGACAAATCTGGCCAATGCAACGGAAATTTTGTTTCCGTTTTAATATTTACAACCAAGCCCAGTAATCCTTAAGTACAAAGAATTTAGGTCTTTCCATATCTCAGATGGTTTATGATTTTGCTGGATTTATTGTATGATCTTCATCTTAATTTTGTAATCCAAATTTAAAAATTATAGAAGTGAATTTTTGTAATTTTATCACTTAACCAGTCTGTTAGGCTACAATGAAATCGAATATTCCTAACTTGTTTATAACAATAGCAGTTATGCAAAAAGAGGTAATGATTTGTTCTTTAATTGACATTTCCCTTCTTTTCTATGTAAGTGATCCGTTGTTGTGCCCAGGGATTTTAATATACTGTTGAACCCCGTCGAATAGGACTTTTTAAGGGGGAGTGGGTTAAGGAAATGGTCCAACTTGTCGGAGGTGTGGTTTTTGACTTCCATAAGGTTGGAAATTTCAATCAAAATTGAAAATCAGTCTGACTTAGAAAAAGTTTGAAGGATCCAGCTATAGAAATGTTTGTCATATGGGTGAAAATTGTACGCACTTATACGCCATCCTTCAATGATATTGCTACACAGAATTTCCCAACTTGTCTTTGTGTTTTCCCCCAGTTTTCTTGGCCTGTTCAAAGAGCTATTGGCGAGCGTGATGGAGGCGGTGACTGGTCAACTACCGGCGGTTCAACAGATCATCAAATCAACGCACGCCGTAGCACCGTGAGTTTTATTATTTTCAGTTTGTTGCGGCTAATATAATTTGTTTCGTCACAGCCATTGAATTATTTTAGCGATTAACAACAATAGTAATAACCTTAATGTTTTTGTAATAAGGTTTTGATATGTTATCTCGTATTAAACTTTCCTGCCACAGACAACCAATTAAAACTACCCTTTACTATAGTAATGCAGATGCTAATCCTGGCATTTTTCTCAAGGAGGGGAGAGCTGGGGAGAAAGGGGGAGAGAAGTGGAGAGAGAGGGATATAGGGAGAGTATAAGAAGGGAGAGGTCTGTTTCAGTTACCCTTACTAAACATTTCTGAAACGTCTTTCGATTTCAGCAAAGCTAATGGAAGTCCAGGTTTGTTTTTAGAATAGAAAATCAGCCTTTTCCAGATAAAAACTTTGAGAAATGTTAGATTCTTTTTAACGAAAAAGAAAACCATTTTCAAGACTGACAAAGAACGAACTGTTACCCGTCGTATACATTTCTGTGAGCCCAGTCACATCTAGGTTCAGGCTGGCCTGCCATTCTTTCGACTTAAGTTTATCATTCTTTTTGTAATTTATTCAATTTTCAGCTTTGTTGAAGACAAAGGTTTCCTTTGGCGCATTTGGGATGCAATCACCACGCACCTTACTGAATTTGTCAAAAGAACAAACGAGGTTAATCAAGGAGGTAGCCTCGACCACGATTTTAGCGCTATTTTAGATACGCTTCTCTTCCCTGTGAAAGAGCTTCTAAAGGCTGATATGCCTATGGGTGTCTCCAAAGATCTGAACTCTCGCTGGTCTGCACTTTTCAAATCATTGGTGAGGGAATCCTCGTTGATAGCCACTACAGAACGGAATCAAGCAATCGAAGATTTTTGCCGTTTGCTGCATGGAGCAATAGAAAGCCAAGGCTTGGGTCTTGAGGTGAGATGTTGTCATCGTCATCATTTAAGTTTTATTGGTTAAAATGGTATTCATAGTAATAATCACCATAACCTTTGTCTTCAGCATTCTCCAGCAGCACATCGACAACGATAACAGCATTATCATCCTTGACAACAACAACAACGTTATCATCAACATCGATTTAGTAGAATAAACACTTTTTTCCGTTTTTTTCTGTTTGTGTGTGCTATGAATTGAAACCCCTGGAGAAAAAGCTAAATTCCAGCCTTAGCAGAAAATTCCCCGAACGAAGTAAGCAGAAAACCTGGCAAGCACGCCTCTGTAGATTAAACAAACTACAGAATTATTCCTGCGGTCATTTTCTTGCATTCGCCTAAAACTGTTCTGTAGGGATGCATGGGTCCTGTTAATGATGCCACAGCAAACCACAGGCGAGTTCCGCCATTGCTTGCAGCCTCCGTCTTTTTTCACTTAGTCCTCGGTTTCAAAGATGTATGACGTCATGTACGTTAGATGACTATGATCTAGTGCCGACCCATCATCATCATCAACAACAACAACAACAACATCAACAACAACAACAAGCTCATCTTTTTCATCTTTCATTATAAAAATTATAATCACCATTTTCTTGATTGTCATTTTGAGTTTTCTTTACAATTTCTTAAGGTCGTGGATGAGATTGGAAAGTTAATCCAGCTTTTGACCGTTGTGATTGAAAGCCTTGAGCCTCCAGGCAACCAGCAAAGAAATCAATTGAAAATGACGCCACGAAGCATGCATCGAAGACTGGGAAATCCACTTGGCAATGTCAAATCACTGGTCAATGTTTTAAAGGCGATCTACAGGGCATTCCATTCTGCAAAGGATGTGAGTTCATTTTTGCTTTTTGGTCGCCTACTGAAATGTCGTTGGTTGATTTTTTGTCGGTCAGTTTGGGAAGTCAAAACGAATATGATTTTTTCCAATGTTTACACGGGCTGATCGTTGTATCTTGGTAATGCCAGGATGCATCGTATGACTGACTTAGACGGAATTTCGCTCCAATTTACCAAAGCAAATTTCCAAATCACCGCTACGTGTATTCTCTTTCAGAGTAAAACCGCTGAGCAGCACCTTGGCTCCTTCATAGAGGCTCTTGGTAAATATTTCAGCAGGATTTCAGGTGATGACGTCATCAAAGAATCGGTCAAGCAGCTCTCATCTTGTATTGTTCAGCTTGTTTTTGAAGAAAGGTTGAAAAGGTACTGTTAACACTTTTGAATGCTTTTATTTCTCATATTTGAAATTTGTGTCTTCTTCCCCATGTTTTTTATTCTTTCAAAGGCGAGCGTCAATTTTCCATACCTTCTGTTTTTAAATTTTACAATTCTTGTGAAAAACCATGCATGTTTTACACCACGTTTATATAAAATCATTCGCAAAAATTCCCTTTTCTAAATGCTTTCTTCTAATCTCATTTAGCCTGCCCGTCCCAATCGATGTTGAATTGGAATCAAGTAAAAGTTTGTCTTTAAAAGGAAATATGGAGCAATCTTGGCTTGAAATCCCAAAACAATGTGTATGTCTCTTGACAATGCTGTGCTTGTTAATGTATACCTCTTAATGTGATATATCCAACGTTTTTTCACTTTGTTTGAAGATCGTTTTGGCCATTAGGTTCGCAAGGCCCCTTCATCCTTATAGCATTTTCAACGCATTCACCTTAGGCCTGTCTCTCGCACGTTTCCGAATTTTCCCAATAGAAAAAGCCCAACTCTTGTCACTTTTATCTTGTCACTTTTATTTGCACTCGGATTTGTAGTAATTTGGTAAGCCTCTGTTACCGCGAAATTTGAAAAAAGTGCGAAACAGCAAAAACTCATCGTATTACAAAACATTTCTCACTATACGACACTGAAATTTTTGCTAATTAGCCATCATTTAAACTTTGTTTATACTCAACACCTTTTCGTGCTATTTTCAAAGAAATTTTATTCATTTTAAGTTCGCGGTTATCCAACTTGAAAAACGATTTCTCATTAACTTCCTTTTCTTTCTCTTTCTTTCCTTTTCTTTAAATTGCTTTCTCTTTATTTCAATCAATACTTGATACATGGTTTCGAGTTCATCAGCTTTCATGTTTAGCCATTCATTTTCTGTTGCTTGGTTAAGACAGTAAACATTTATGTTCAACTTACATTTAACCCAATTATAGGTGGCTAAATTGCTGAATCAAATCTACGCGTGCGTGCAAGAGAAATACGAAGAAAACGCGAATCAGGATCTGCTTGACGTATTTTCACCTTTACTCGTAAGTGTTTGAACTCGTGAGAATTTTTATCGTTCTTTATTTACTTTTGGGCTTTAAGAAGGTAGCTAAATTGAAGCTAATCGAATAACACGAACATGATAAATTGAATAATCTTATTGTGTCGTTTCAGGCTATTTGTTCAAAATTTAAAAATTCTAAAAATAGATTTATGTGACGTCATCACTTATCCACTCTGTGATTTGAATTTGCATCAACTACTAACACGAAAATTATTCATGTATATCTCAGATTCTTTCCAAAATTATTTCCCTTTGAATCAGAAGTCGCCCTTTTAGTCACAGAAATTGCTTTCTTACTTAAACGATAATACTGAATACTGTTCCAGTATTAGCAAGCACGCACACAGACTAAAGCATGCTCGATAACTGAAGCCTATTTTAATATGATCTCTTCCAATTTTAGATAGCTGGGATTTCGTGTGAAAACAGTGTAGTGCGATCTCGTACGGCTGGGTTCTGGAACATGTATTTTGGTGAAGTAACTGGCCTTGTTTACTCAAAAGAGTTAAGGTAAAGCTTAAATAAGGATTAACAAATTTTTTGTGTTACAAACGCGTAATTTCAGCGTAAAGAGAGAAGATTATGTAATACAAGGATTTCTCGCAACATGGTTTCCAGATCGTAGAAAACCTTGATTTCTAAAGAAGAAAACACTTAGAAATGGAAGCACTTTTGTAAGAAGTTAGGGAGAGAAACGATGAAATAATTTTCCCCAAGACTCTTCGTTTTTACCTATTTACACTAAATTGTTTACTTCTGTTACCCTGCTTAATATAAAAACTTTTAATTAATGATTATTTTTCATTCAGTGAGTAAATACACAGTTTTTTAAACATAAAACAGGCACTGCTAAAAGAATTGCCAGAATGTAATTCCCAAATGCCGAAATGCAATTCCCAAATGTAATTCCCATATGAAATGTCCTTTATTATTTTTATTCTCCTTTCAGAGCTATTCTGAATCAAATGAAAACAAAAATTCCCTTGACCATAAATGGTTCGCAGGTAAGAATCCCTTGTGGTTTGCCATGGAATACAAAGGCATATCAACAAAGCAAGCCAATTTCTTGGAACACTGACAGCATTTTTGTCATTCATATCAGCAGTTCCATTCTTCACTTCCAAAAAACCTTGGATTATTCTCTATAAGAATTATTCACTATTTAAACGTAACCTGCAGTTTTGAAACTAAGATGATTTCGGTGTAATTGTTTTGGGGGCAAGGGGGTAACATAGCTATTTGTCTAGGTGTGATATCAAAATAGACGAAGAAATGAATGCTTGGTTGTTGCATTGTGGAACATAGAAAGCACTAAGTCTATAGTTTCTTCTCAAAATTACCTTCACTTGGTGGATTTTTCAAAACATCCTTCATGCTAGTTTTTCAATCTGGTTTTTATAACTTTAAAATTTATTCGCCTTATCAGGCCAATAGTTTTAGTTGTAGAATTTGAATGATCTTTCCTGCCATTTCTCGTTCCTCTTTTATCTATACTTCACTTCTTTCCTAAACCAATCTCCCCACCTTTTGCATACACCTCTGAGTTGACTTCTCATGATTTTTTTCCAGGGCACCGATCCAGTTGCTATTCCAGAGGTAAGATTTTTTCCTTGTTTTATTTTACTTATCATTGATGAAACCTTTTTTTATTTCCGTCTGGTGTACGACGTCCTAATCCTACTTGTCAACACATTTGCCAATTATATAAACTCAATATTTCAAGCAATCTCTCACCAATGCTTAATGTAGTTAGCCTTTTCCATAGTATTATTTTTCCATGTCGATAGTTTTGCATTCGTTTTGCTTTGTTACTAATAGTATTTGATGAATCAATTAAATTTTAAAAGGTGTGTCAATATTATTTTAGCATTTATATTCTGCTTTTCGTGCTTTCCTTAAATTTCATTGCACGAAAAGCCTATTCTTTCGGTACTGTAGCCCTTACTAAATTTTGTGGAAAATCAACACAAAATCTTCACAGTTTTTATGGTGTTTCCCCTCTCTAATCACAATGCTTTTTAATATTTTATCAATCTTCCATGATTGTCAGTGACAATCTTACTAAGATTCGATGCATAAAACACTTTCTTTGAAGGACTCAACAATTGCATGGGGTAATGAGGAAGAATTCAGCAAGAGAGTTAATAACTTAGGGATATAGTTAAATTAAGGGGGAGGGTTGTCAAATTTTCAACGTGAATATTGTATGCTCTACCTTTTTGGCTAAGATTGAAACTTCTTCATACGGATGATTGTTAAAGACATTTCCATTTCAAAGGTTTTACGATTCAAATACCTATTTTTCAACCAAAATAAGTTCCTATCGTCCACGCTCCAAAATCTAACGATAATTTTTATGCCATCACTGAAAAAGCCTATTTTTTCAATCGTAGTTTAACTAAAGTTTTAGCTAAGTATTTGACAAACCATGTTCATTTGAGGCGTTTCAGTCTGCTAGTTGTTTGCCGATTTGAAAATCGCAGATACGAAGCCAGCTTGGAGTTAGCTCTGCCTCTCTCTGTCAGGTTAAAAAAGATATGATATCTCAAACTAAGAAAACCCTTAAATGACTGTTATTTGATAATTTAGCGAGATCAACATGGTGTCGAATTTAAAACCTCTGGGATGGATTCATAGCCCTCAACACCCACCTCGGTGAAAAATGATTTCCTATTTTGTTCCACGTTTATATATGCAGTAATTGAATGACATGTTTGTTAGGAAGTGTTTTAATAATATTTTGAAGCATTTTAAAGAATCGCCAAGAAATGTAATTTATCATATTTTTCTCATAGTCTGACGATGCAGCCCAGCTACCTGATTCAACTGATATTACCAATTCGCCAAACATCAGGAAGACTTTGGCTGTTAACCTTCGGTCTCCCCATAAAATTCACGGCAGTTTCCTGCAAAAGGCACTTTCTGCTGATCGCGTGCCTCAAAGCCCTTCTCCTAGAAAGGTTAACGAAATTTCATCTCAGTTTTTCAAGCTCTCCTTTGTTCATATCATTTTGTCATTTATTGTCATTTTATAATTGTTGATGTTATAATTTTTTCTGTTCTTTATGTGTTGTTTACTATTTAGTGAATACTTTAAATCGATAATAAATTTAAAGTTTCAAATACAAACTTTTTCTTAAATCAGAATATTGTTTAGAAGAATATTCAGACCAACATCTGCCAAATTTCTGTCAATCTGCCAAAATCTAAGGATAAATTGAAAATAATAACAAACCTAAACTGAACCAAATTATTCATCTGAGTTTTCCTCGCCATTTCGAAGCTTCAATCATATATGTACTTGCAGAAATACAGCTGTTCCTTAGTACTTGCTAGCAATGATTTCTAATGCTAAAACCTGGAAAAAATAATATATTATTTCGATCGGAAATATTGATTATTTTATTGCTTCTACATGGATATAATGTAAAGCGAATATTGAAATTACTAATCCGAAAATAAATTTATTCAAAAAGTAAAGCTGAAACCTCTTTTGCCATCTTATATAAATTAGTCCTTTTTAAACTTCGAACAATTAATTCATTTCTTATTTCCTATTGACAAAATGCAAACAGCAAGATTTAATTCGATTCCTTCCTTGCGAAGGCCATTGTTGTTATAATATATTTCATTAAATTGGCAGAAAATCGTAGACAAGTCCCCGAAGAGTGAACCACGAATAAAAGCAGTCAGAAGAAAACTTGCGAGTTCACTCGACCACGATAATTCGGTGGGTGTAGTTGTTGTTAAGGAAATTGTGATTTATTGAAATGGGGTGGGTGGGTGCAGAATTATTTTAAAGGATTTTAAAGCAAGACGATATACCGATATTTGAACTTTCTTATTAATATCTTTGGAATGCTATTTCAAAATTTCACAACGTCACAAGAAGGGGTGTCATAGTAGGGGTACAAAACCCACCATCATCGTCCTGTCAGAAATATTTACGTTTTGTCGAATAAAACAAAAGTTAAATTCCTGCTATTTTTCAAAATTTCTATTTCAAGAGGTCGGAGATCAAATTACTAATTTTTTTTTGTAAGTCACATAATTTGTTTAAATGGACAGAGTTGTTTCACTATCTTGATAATCCATACCGAAATCGGACACGCCCATCTGTCAGGATTCTAATTTGATAAGCCCCCCGCTCTCGAATATGCCCCTGCCCGAAAGTATTTCTTGTGAAATAAGCCCCCGCCCTCGAATAAGCCCCCATGGGCTGTGGTATTGCCTCCACAGCAGTAGGTTCCTCCCAATATCTGCATTTTTAAGCTTACTAGCCACCTCAAATAAAATAAGAAAATTTACCCTGATAACACTTTTCGCTGCTGCTTAATAATACCTTCGAATAACCCCCCTCCCCCCTCAAACAAGCCCCACCTCGAAAGTATTTTTGCGAAATAAGCCCCCGGGGGGCTAATTCGATTGTGAGGTCCCCTGTAATAGACATCTTATTGTGCAATTGGCTCAATTAACAACTGTTATTCTAAATTCTTCACTTTTTCATGTTTTGCTCATCAATTTATTGTTTTTCTTATTTCTGTAGAATGAGTTTGTTACCATTGCTCCTTCCCCGAAAAAACGGCGTATTTTGACAGAACACCAGAAAGACATGTTGAGAAGCAAGAGGTAAGATTTTTACTGTTTAATTAGAAACAATTTTTACCCTGCTCTTCAAATTTTTATCATGATATCTTTAAAGTTTTTTCTTTATAATTTTTTCTTTTTTTAAAGTTTTACTCTTTTTCATTCTACTATCTTTATCTTCTAATTTTGTTAATTTTTGCAGCGATGTACCCACATTGTACAATATGCTTGATCAAACGACACAGGAGGCTATTTTCTCTGAAGACACCCAGTAGGTTTCCTTGATATTTGATTTGTCTAATTGCAGTCAAATTGTATAAACTGCTTATATTAACTTCACACAGCAGTTGAATCAACAATTGATACTATTAAAGTTGTCTAGTTATGATCCTCTGATTAAATTCGTCTTGGTTCTTCCCAGGAAAATTTTCGCAATGGCAGCCATGAATCTTGAAACAACCCAAAATCACCAAACTGACACGACATTAGTTGTAATTTTTTTACTAAATCGTCTTATTCCATATATCTTACTATTTGACAAAAATTGACATAAAGATCTCAAGTTATTTAATTTGACTTTTTCTTCTCTATATTTGCAATTATGTAAAATTCACAATTATCATTTGTATTTTTTTCAATCTCCACGTATGTTCTTCCTTCTGTGGGTGAACCCACTCAAATTTTCTTAATTGCATTTGAAAGCTACTCCGCCGAAAAACGCTTTGTCCTCCAGCGTCGTATTTCAATGGTCAATGGTCAAGAATTCTCTCATACTTCTACATCCCTTCTAATTATTACAAAGTTTTTGTTATTTTTTTAATCCTGTTTTGTTGGTTTAAAGGTGCACAATGGACTTCCCTCTCATATCGTCCGGCAAAATTGACCCAGCTTGTCATGCGGAAAGACGCGGATCCCACTCGAATGACGCAGCAGTCACTGTTGAGAGAGAAGCAACTGCAGAAGAGCCATTTGTCCATATAGCTTTCACCCAAAAGGAACCTGATGTAATGGAAGTTGCCTCCCCGCATGGCAGTTGCGGAGGATCTCAAACCAAAAGCGGTTCGCCAGTGTGTGATATTGAGGTTATTGCAAAATGCCCCAAGGGTGACAAAGAAGTGTCCCATGGCTCTCAAAGAAGCCCTTGTGATATGAAGGAAACAACAGGACGCTGCGATGCCAGCGCACCGAAGGCGAGGAAGTCAATAAAAAAATCATTGGAAATGGTGGCGAATGGGACATGCTTTGACGATTCGCTCTCACGTCTCAATGAGACCGGAAAAGGGCTTGAAAGTTCACAACCAGATGATAATGACGTCATACCTTCATCCTACACCCCATATCATGAATCCTCACTAGAAAAAAGTATGCCTTTGGAGTCTATAGCACGTCTTGTTACGTCTGTGGCATCATCTTCAAATTTGATAGTCGATGATGCCAATCCGGAAAGTTCCGCAGCTGTATCAAGCAGCGAAAACTCAGCCGAGCCGTCTAGTCTGAAAGCTAACGGAACAAATGCTGAAGGCAAGACAAAACATTGTGAGGAACCGGACTCAGAAACACCGGATTTGATCCCTTGCACACAACCGGAAAATGAACCGTTGCCGGTATTGAAAGGTGTGACATTGTTAACTCCGAGGCGGTCTTTAAGAAAGAGTAGAAAATCGCAGCCCATTGCCTGGCAGAAAATGAGAGATGAGAACATTTCTGAAGCAAAAAACAATGGTTCAAATAAAGTCTCATCAACGAGAAGAAAATCTAGGAATGTCCGGACTAGTTTTAAGGAAACAGAACAGAACAACAGGTCAGATAAGGTATTGTCTGGCAGTAGCGTCGATATAAATAGTGAAGGTGAAGGTTCTTCGGAAGCTGAAGCCAGTTGTCAGAGCAAGAAAGAAAAAGTTTCTAATCAAAGCAAAAACGAAGAAGTTTCCAGCCAAAGGAAGAGCGAAAAGGATTCTAGTCAAAACAAGCACAAAGATGTCTCTAGCCAAAGCAAGAACGAAGAGGTTTCTAGTCAAAACAAGGATGAAGAAGTTTCTATTCAAAGCAAAAACGAAGAAGTTCCTAGCCAAAGCAAGAAAGAAGAAGTTTCTATTCAAAACAAAAACGAAGAAGTTTCTTATGAAAACAAAGACGAAGAGGTGTCTGATCAAAGCAAGAACGAGGAGGTTTCTTATGAAAACAAAGACGAAGAGGTCTCTGATCAAAGCAAGAACGAGGAGGTTTCTATTCAAAACAAGGACGAAACAGTAGCAACAGATGAGGGTTCAACACCAGCTAGACCTGAAAGAACAAAAGAAATGGCGCCAGAAAAGAGCCTTGATCTTTGTCCTGCCAAAGGAGATTTCGCTGGCACTAGGCCTAATGAAAAGAAAGCGAGTAAAAGGAACCATAGAAAACGCTCTGTGATTTCAATTTTGCTGGACAGTGCTAAAGGTTTCTTGGGAAAACAGGACAAAAACGAAACTGGACAGGAAGATAAAAATGGAGACAAATCAGTGGTTCATGTTGATCTAAGCGAGGAAAATGGAGTTTCGCAAGATAATGGAATGAGTTCAACTGAAATGAGTGAAAATTTTACTGAAGAAATTATTTTAGTTAATGACACAGCCGAGAGTGAAAATGAAAATTCAACTAAAAGGGATAAAACTACTGCAGAAGTAGTTCCAATCAGGGACACAACTGAGAAGAATATTGAAAGCAAGGATGATTCGGTTACTCAAAGCTCTGAAGACTCGAATTCAATCATTGGAACAGGTGTGTTTTCGGAGGGAGGAAAGATATTGCCTGCTCGTAACACAGCAAGGAAGTCAATTGCCAAGAAGGAGAAGCGCCATGAAGCCGATAAATTGCCATTGAAAGAGTTCAGTATCGTGGCAAAGACGTATTTACAAGATCTAAACGCATCGATTGAAGATTCAATCGATTTAGCAAGTTTGAGCAAGTTATACAAAGCACGTGCAGACAAAGGGTCAAGTACTGAGCAATCCAAAGTTGGGTTCGGTGAAAATGAGAAAGAAAAAAATGACAAAATGGATATTAAGGTTACAGACAAGCTTGGGTGCCAGGAAAATGACACCAAAAGTGTTGGCACAACTGAGCCCGAGGGACAAATTATAAGCCAACCAAAGTATTGCAATGACAAGGATGTTGGATTACATATTGTTGCCCTTTCACCCACAAAATCGTCAAATAAAAATCAAGGAATGATTGAGTATGACTTAACACCGACTTTTCCAAGAACTAGGAAAAGGAAACGAAAGCTGAAAAGTGACAAAATGAATTCGATAATTGCTGAAAAAGTATCACATACTTCTGATGGTTCCGAAGACCCCAAGGAGACATCCGAGGACCAAAAAGACTTGACAATGACGTCAGACTCGTTCAAAGTAATTGAAAGTATAGCAATGGAGGTGACAGAGGCGGGTGTCTTAGAAAGAAACACAGAATTAAACCGAGAAAGAAAAGAGACGAAGTCGACTAAGCAACAAGGGATAAAGCCAGCATCACCAAAAATCAAGTTTTCCCATGGCCTTGGTTCAACTCATCCCTCATCATCAAGGAGTAATTGCGAAGGTCGATCTCCGATAAGTGGAATCTTAAAGATGGCTTTGAAGAAAAGCATGGAGTCATCCCCCTCCGGAAAGGTAATCTTGAAACCCACCTTTAATCATTCTATTGTTTATGCTTTGCTTATGTACTTTATTTGTTTATCTTTTCGCAGTTAATACTCTTTTCGTTTTGCTGTTCAAGACAGGACGTCGTGTTCATGGCGTCCTTAGGTCTTTTTCTGCTTTAGTCTTCTAAGTTATTAATGTTTTGAATTTGAAATTGTTAAAAATTATTCCAATTTAACCTGTTTTCACAATTTCATGTAAACTAATGTTTTTTCGAAGTTTTGTCTTTTTGCGAACCTGGTAAACAAAATTATGAATCAGAATTGTAAAAAATTTTCAGAGAAAAACGTGAAGAAAGATGAAAGCAAGGTGATTATAGTAATAATTGAAATTTAAATGGCTGAAAGCGTACTTTTAATAACAATTCAATAATGTATCGTCTATGTACGTATCATGTATTGAACTCTCCTTTGGCCTACCTTTTACGATCAACCCACCCCCCCCCCCCTTTTCCTTGGAGCAAAATACTTTGTATGCTTAACTGATATAAGTCAAACTTGAGGAGCACGTTCTCCTGCTGAAATTTTCATTTGATTTTCCCGTAGAGCCGACGGGTATCTTTTGCAATTCCACTTGAAGACAAGCGATGGGCTGATAACGAAAGACGAGCAAGTGATCTAGCGGTGCCATTTCCAAAAACAAGCGAGAAAAACGGAGGTACCAAGATGCCGAGACAGGCGACGCCTAAACGATTTACTGCAATTCAAAAGAAGGTATTTCGAGATGCGCGTTCTCCTTTTTTACTTTAGCCAAAGGAAATATGCTTTATGCGCGCTACCATTGCACTCAGCAAAATTTGGACTTTTTAAAAAGCATTGAATTTGGAAGGTAGAAAAATTGTTGATATTGGATGCTTTTTTAAAACATGGACAACAACATACTAACTAACTTGGTAAGGTCTAATGCTAAACATCATTTGCACTCCAATTTTCCAGCATTCCATACTGCTTGTTTCAAAGTTCATAGTTTCATTACGATCGACTAACCGTTGCATTATTTAAGGGTTGCCTTTTTTGTCTTTGTTTCAATATTGCTATTCTGCCATCCCTACATTCAAAGTCATTTTTTGAAAAATTATTTTCCTTTTGGAGTCACGAAGCAAATTGTATTTGTATCAAATTACGTACTAGATCAAGGCAATTTGCAAGATCCCATTTGCAATTTTCATTATAGAATATTATAAGAAAATTTTGTTTCGTTGGTTACAAAGTTATATCTTTGGTTCCTTTCGCTTTATATGCTGGTAACAAATTTATATCCTTTGTTTTTTGTGTGTTTAGTCTCAATAAAGAACCCCGGGGACGAAAATTGGTTTTAAGCTAGGATCTTGCATGTGTAAAATAAAAAGTCGATGATTGATATAATCAAAAGTCATATTACAAACATTTCCCATCATCTTTTACAGCTTTCATCTCCAAAGATCGCCAGACAAGACGACACCCAGGCCATTTTCCCTGATCTCATCAAATGTCGCACCGTCATCGAGAAGATTCTCCCGTCCATCACTTCAATGAGTTGGTCACGTGGTGCTGGTAATTTCTTCAGGTCGCAAAACATTCGGACGATAGGCGATCTTTGTGCCCTGTCCGAATCGCAAATCGAGTCACTGCCGATTCGTTCCCCCAAAGTCTGCGTTTGTAAAACAGCGTTGAGTAGATTTCTCAAACAGCAAGAAAAGCAAATGGCCACCCATACTGCGGTTTCGAAATCAGGTAAGCAAAACAGTTTGTATCTTTCAAAGTCTTCAAGTTCAGTCTTCACTGCATGTGGCCGAAAACAACGGAAGGAAACTCCGGATTTACTCAAGGAAATCCGGCTTTATTTAAGGAAACTCCGGTTTATTTAAGGCAACTCCGGGTTTATTTAAAAGAACTCAGGTTTTATTTCAAGGAACTCAGGTTGATTTAAGGGAACTCCGGATTTATTTCTCCGGATTTGTTTTAAGGAACTCAGGTTTCATTTCAAGAAACTCAGGTTTCATTTCAAGAAACTCAGGTTTTATTTTAAGGAACTCAGGTTTTATTTAAGGGAACTCAGGTTTTATTTTAAGGAACTCAGGTTTTATTTCAAGGAACTCCAGTTTATTTAAGGGAACTCTGGATTAAATCTTTTTCGATGTCTCGTAGTTGCCCCTTGCCTTGATACTTAAATGAAATTAAATCACTAACGCAACTTGCAATCTTTCAAAGAGGAAGATGCACTTTTTGGTTAAAAAATCAGTTCCAGCTTTTCCATTTAGCATTTTAGGAAAAAGCTTCATATAAAGAATCAAAAAAAAATATCAGCATTTTCTGAAAATGCAAACTGCAAAATGTTAAATAGAGACATTTTATTCCGGTCATTATGTCCGGCTGATTTACCGCACTGTCTCATTCTCATGTTCGGTTCAAATTATCTTCTGCCCTTAGAACCTCACTCGTCTTAGCGCCTTCTAAGAATCTTGAGACCCTAAAATCTTAAATTTTTCAATGCGCCTTTTAAAATTTGAGAACACAAACCAGACAAGATAATGTAGTTGTCAAATTCCCTAATATTGCTTGTTTTTAGTGACAATTAATAAATTTTATCTTAACAGAACAACCAGGTGTGTTCCTTTTTGAAATATGTGCACCTAAGATTTTTATAGGAAAATGTCGCAGAAATGCCAAAATTCGGAAGCGAGCGCCTAGTGGGTAATGTAGAGCCCCAGTGGAATTTTTCTAAACCTCTTGGGAAATATGAAACCCCTTGAGAAGGTTCTTGAAGTCATAGGTATGCCTAGACAATTTGTTGTATTCTTTCAGGGTCTCCAACGAAAGTGAAATCTCAGATAAAAGAAGAAAACAGTAAAAACGTGGGGTTGAAGAAAGCAGAAGTGAACGAAACACCAACGAAGAAAGGTAGTATTAAAGCGACATTACTGTTTAGAGATTTGGAGGAAAATGAAGGAGACCGAGAAAAGGAAGAAGCTGGGAAGGAAGATGATGTCACGGAGAAATTTGACTTTTCTGCTACAACCTGTGACGTAGATGTCTCGGATCATGAGATGGAAGGTAGCAAGGAAATAGTGGATGAAAGCAGTGGTAAAAACGATTGTGATGAGGTTGTTGTTATGGAGGACTCATGTCAGCCGGATGATGAAGCTTCTCAGGAAAAATCTACGATGTCTTCTGATATATGTGAAGATATCGGTGATGATGATGAAATGGACGCTGAAAATAACGAGCAGGAAAATGATTTAGGAAACCAAGCCCCAAAAGAAATAAAGATTGACATCACAGAAGGTACTGTTTTGCAATACCCTGATATTGATAGCTCTGGGAGTGAAAATTCGCCCGAATCTGAAGAGCTTGGAAAAGAAGAGCATGCGCCAATTTTGGTTCAATCTTCAGATGAAAATACCGACTCTGACAACACGGAGGACGATTCAATCGAGAACTCAAGATTGAATCCAGATTCTAATCATGATAAAAATCCGGATTCAGCTTTGTCAGAGAATCCGGAATCTGAAGCTTTTAAATGCCATGTAACTAGTATTGTGGAACCAATCCAGGAGGTTCACGAAAATCCGGTAGCTGAGGGACCCGAACCTACTAGTCAACCCGTTACGGAAAGAAGTTTACAGAGTTGTTCAGACAAAAATGGAACTGCATTTGACAAAGAGAAATCCGGATTAGAAACGGTTGATATGGATCAAAGTCTAACACGAACTAAGGTTGAAATCTTAAAAACTGAGATTGTTATAAATGGCGAGTTGAGCTTCGAGGAATCGACTGGATTACTTAATCGAGAAAAGGATTGTGAAGCTGACACGAAACCTGAAGATTGTTGTCAAATGCTGGATAAAGCTCTAAGTGCCATCAAAAATAACCTTTCTAGGATGTCACTGAAACAATCTGTTAATATTCACCGAACGTTGTTTGATTTCAACAAGCTGATGCTGGACTCTATAGAGACGAAAATTGATGACAATTCTTAAGAATCGAAAATATTGTAAATAATTTTTCGCAGTGTTTACATTTTGGAAATATCCGATAAGAAGAGTTAAAATTGATTTCAAGATATACAAGATGTGATCGTTTCTGTTGGTCACATTTGAATATAAATGAGACAGAAGCTCGTGTCTATTCCAGCGTTCTTGTAATGCTTATAATTTTTGCGTTTTTTAATATTGTTGTAAATAGCATCAGCCATTTGTGTCTTTATTCTGCCAGTGATAAAGACACGATTGCTTTGTGCTAATCCTTCATTCGATGTCTTGATAATATAAATATATTTAGCCTATAAACGTCTGTTTTCATACTTCTCGCATCAAAAATCGGTTTTTTTCGTATTTTTATTTAATACTTAACTTGACCCGTTTGCGTAAATTTGACATTGATAGATTTTGCTGCTCTTGCAAATTATATCGTCAATGTTTTTAAATGTTTGTGAAATTAATTTCAAATTTTATGAATGGATTTGTTGTCATTTTCCTTGAGACGGCCATTGCCCTTCTGTGTGAATGAATAAAAGGTCACTGTAGCAGGCTGCTCGAAGGGGCTCCAAGGAGTTTTTGCGGCGAAAAGTCGATAGAAATGTAGCAAATATGAAACACCGCAATGCGACGAGAATGAGCAACAATAAATACACGTAAATCAGTGAAGGCTAATATTTCACCCCGGCATACGGGGCTTCATCAGAGCAAAAGTTAACGGGCTAAAAATGTACACATTTAAAAGAGGCGATGGTGGTGTCGGATTGGCTGATGTGGAATGGTGTGAATGCAGCGCAGTGTTGGAGGAGGGAAGGGTGGCGAATGAGAGAGGGTGGGTTGTGGTGGTGGAATGAAAATGTAATGGGGATGAAGTACTATAATATGAAATAATGATAATGTTGCTGTAAGGTTAACGGTCAGTGGTTCTGTTCATGCCGTTCGGTGTGAGAGTGTTTGCCAGGCCAATGAGGTATTGCCCTACTCTCGTGTTTAAATTTTTTAAAATGTTAAGTCGGTCACTGATCTTAAAATTTTATGTAATAAATATGGAATATAGAAATACACTTCCATGAAGAATGGACTCGAATTTTCCGTTAACGTCAGCTGCTGTAGCGTTATCATGGGGATCACACTATCTTAAAACCTATCTTAAAATCTTAAAATGGGGATCACCCTTACACCCCGAGCATCTCTGTTCCATCATTTGTTCCACAAAGACCCCTACGGGTACTCACTTTGTGGCTTCCACAATCATTAAATTTCACAATGGCCTCAGCAGTTTAACTTTCCAAATGAAAAACATGATTTTGGCTTCAGGCAATGCGGCAATTTTCCCCCAATTATCAAAATTATTTGCTGAAATAATCAGAAATTTATGAAAACAGCTTGTTAATGTATGAAGCTGAAAGACTTGTTGTACGCTGAAGAACAGCTGTGGCGATGTTCCTCAGTAGTGCATTTTGGGACCGCTATTGTTTTTGTATACGCCGACAATTTGACACAAGAACCAGGAATACTAGGTTCAGGTTAAATGTTCTTAATTTTACCACAATTTTAGAGGCTAGACTTATAGACTAGATTTGTGGAGGTTATGAATTGAATAAATTTTATGTACGAGACTATATTTTAATGCAGAGCAACACTGGATGTGTAATCCAAGTATATTTTTCAAAAGATTGGCAAATATCACACCCAGCCATAAAGAGAGCCTAATCAAGGACCTTTCTTAGTAAAGGACTAAATTGCTTTAGAAATAATTAACGTTACCAATTCTTTGACAGGGGAAATTATTCAGAATTGAAAAATGGTTTCCAAAATTATTTCTTAACCACAGTCTTACCCACGCCTCATCTTATTCTAAATATCTGCTTATTTTTTTACCAATTTTGAGGCTCCTGCCCTTATCAAGTTGTTCATATAAAAAAGAGTGCGTGAAGAAGTTTTCATTGCAAGGGGAGTTTTCCACATGTTGCTAAACTTGGCTATTTTAGCCCCACACCTGGGCAGTTTAGTAAAACTGGGAAACTACCTCTGGTGTTCAATGACGTTTTTAACAGTCAATTCCCCCTGTATCGTGTAGCCTTTACCTTTGTCTTCCATTCTAACTTGCAGTTTTACTAATTTAGAAATTATTTATCATTTGTCGTAGATATACAATCGGACATTCAGCACAAATTACATGTAATGAAACACTTTCCTCGGGTGTTCCTCTTCTTTTAAATCACACCATGATCCCTGCGTTAACTATTTTCCCCCTTCAAAACTTAACAATCTGCTTTCATGCAAATTTGCAGAAAAAATCCTGCAAACTTCAATTTATTAATGTTTTATTTTTGTAGATTATGACTTGATTTGATGCTTTGTTTTGTCGCGAAGTTCCGGGGCAACCGCTGCAATCATTTGGTAACTGTCCTGATTCTTTTATTACCAACATGGGCTTCGACAACCTCACTCTTTCTATTAAAATCAATTACTTGTTTTTGTTTACCAACTTCATGGGGGCTTTAGGACTCAAGCCCCCTGGGGCATTGTCGAGGGTGCTCAGCATTCCTTGGACCCTATTCCTGGTTTTCAGGGATCCCTTAAAAGCAATACATTTCTTCATTCAGAGAAATGGAAAATCAAAATTGGTTCATGTTTGATGCATTCTCGTATTAATTGTTGGATTGGACTACATCATAACATGAGCACTTATAAATCCATTTGAAATATTTTGCTACTTCAGGGAAATTAAGAAATTGGCTTCTATGCTTGCTTGCGTTGCTTTCTTGCGTAGCTTGCTTACGTAGCTTTCTTGCGTAGCTTGCTTACGTAGCTTGTTTGCGTAACTTGCTAGCGTAGCTTGCTTGCGTAGCTTGTTTGTGTTGCCAGCCTTCTTTAATCAGGACGACTGCCCCTTAATCTTACCTTTAACAGGAGTCGTCTGACACAGCTCTGTTCCGCGTCTGTTGCCGATCCATCTTTATTCATCCCCTTCTCCTTTCTAACCCCCCTTTTTTTAAGATCGTATTTTTTTAAGAACATAAATTATCTAGCATAACACAGTAAAAATCAGCATAAAAGAACCTGAGTTTCTGTAACAAGCTGAAGAGACCCTTAAATTTTTATATCGTGGTTCCAGGTCCGTAACAACTATTGTTCTTGGGGGGCTCGTGCCCCCTAAAAGCTTATAATAATCCTTTGTTTTCAATGAAAAATCCCTTCTGTTCCTATCGCTCTCAAACAACGGTGCCCCCCCCCCCCCCAAGGCTGTATCCTTGCTACAGCACTCAGTTCTTTAAGTTTTGATTTGCCCGGAGGGAGGGTTAATTCTAGCAAACCCAGCCAGTCTCGAATTTCAAACACTCATGAGTGTTCGATTGAACAAATCTAAATCGCAGGTCGTTATGAACGGGAGTGAAGGATTCCAATCGATGCTCAAAATTAATACGAAGCAGCTTCTATCTTGACTAGGTAAGTAGTTGAAAAACTGTTAGTTTGAGTTTTGATCAATTTTAGCAATTTTCAAAACAAATGACCTTTTCTCTAATCCTTGTGTTTATTTTTTTAACTCAAACTAATTTTTGTTATCTTTAGGTAAATAAATTGCTTTGGGGTTAACGGTAAAATTTTTCTGGATGAAAACATCCATTTTTGATATCTTCACATTCTGGAAGCTGCGTTTCAAGGCACACAATGATACCAAATTTGAAACTTACAGAAGTTTTGTATGAAAGAATCCCATACAACCAAAGGTTTCCAAAAAATCTTTATTGAAGTTTTCAGTCCAAGCCTGAAAATCGTTGCTTGGCGGTTGTGGTCGCATGTCTCATTTACAATATCGCATGGCACATCCATGTATCCCATGTACAGCTGTGTTTATTTAAACAGACTTATTTAGATCTTAAGCTTCAAATGACTTGACCCACATTACACTGTGGTTTACGAGTGTACCTTGCAAATGCGATCAGTAAAATCAGTAAAGCTATTTTGTTACCCAAGGAACCAATGGCTCAAAAATTTTCACACGGCCAGGATAGATGTGGGGTAAGCAAAGAGTGTCGTAAAATTCTGTATTTGCTCTGGTCTGTCTTTTATAGCCATACAAAACTGTGGGGGGTAGGGGGGGGGGGGGTAGCTAAGGATCTGCAGTTCTAGGGATTTAAGTTAGACAACCATTGGTCAGATTTTGTTGCCTAAAACGTAAAGGTGCAAAATAGCTTTCGAAGGTGGAACATTTTTTTAAGCAAGAAATTTGACTGGAAAATATCATTTTACAATATTTGCAAATTATTTTGATATGGTTGGAATCACCACTTTTTTTGTGCATCGAATGATATCCAAGTTTCATCCGATACCGTTAATAGTTTTGCTTTTAGGTAAGAAACGTGAAACAAAATTTACCGAAACCTTCACTGAATTCCTTTTATTAGCAGTGAATGAGTTTTTACCGCTGTAAGCAATTCAAGCTTTTTAGTGGTTAATTTCGATGACTTGAATTTGGTTTCTAGATCAAAAGAACACTGTTTGTAGATAAATATAAATTGAATAATGAATTATTCAAGTCCATTGCCAAAAATTGAGTAATCTTATATTTCCATCAAAAATTTGATATATTAAATCTCGTTAAAATTTATAAATTAAATTAGCTGTATGAAATAGAAATGGAGGGGTAGCGACAATAAATGATGATGTAATCAATGCAACCAAAAATCTGCGAATATTTAGTATTCCTGAACAACACATGCATTTTATCGTGTGCAAATTTTCGTCTACCCTGTAAAATGTTTCGCTTGATGACCTAAAAACAATTATTTAAGCTGGAATGTATTATTTCGATAAATAAATTGCTGTATGTGTGTTATTTTTGTTATAAACTCCAATAGTTTTATTTTTGATTTAGGTAATTAAAAATTGTAACCCCCTCTTTTAAAATGTCTACAAGCGAAGGTGATTTTTCATTAGACAGAAAAACCTCTGATTCTATAGACTAAGCAAGGGAAACTTACAAGTGTCAATTTCACAATTCCTTTGCGAGTTGTTTTGTAATCAATTTCTCGTGAAACTTACACGCTCCTAAATGCTCTGGTTAGGCATGTCCTAACAGATCTGCGAATTCATTCTTTCTTGCACCAATGTTGCTCTGATTGTGCCAGTTGTATTTGCTTAATGCAATTCCCGTATGAATTTTGGTCTCTCTTGAGACAATAAAAACAAAATGTCCCTTGCTCCGTGCACCAGAATTATGCAAATTTATCAATTCGTTTTGTTTAGGCCAAAGTTGTTTATCGAAAAAGCTCTTTGAGATCATACGACACAACCCTCTTCAATGTGTTGATTTATCTCCAAGAGCGGTTGGACTTGCGGGGTTCCATTCCTAGGAAATCACCAAAAGCATTAAAAGGTACCGTACAGTTTTTACCTGCGATTAATTTCATTTCACCTTTTAGCTCGAAATTTCATGTTCTGCATCTTTACATAATTTTCATCTAATGTTTGAAAAGCACTGGAAATTTCTTGCGGGAAAATTTAAGGGAAATGTTGCGCGTAACTTTGTCAATTCTGGCCACACAATTTTCTCCAATGCTTTCGGTCGCATTTTTGCAAAGAAATAACAAGCTCTTGCATTTAGGCTAGAATTTTTTTCACCTCTTTGATATTTAATCAATTTCTATCAATTTTGTTTCTGGGCATCCAGAAAATAATTTCTTAGATCTTGCATTCTTTGATTACAGAAAATTTATGAGTTCGAATTCTCAGAACTAATTAATCTCTTCTCTCTAATTTATAATGCGCATAGTTTTATCAAACTTGATCAATTTTTTTCAATTTTGTTTTCCCTTAAGTTTAGATTATCAAAAATATTGATGAGCATTTAAAGCCGAGAATCGGTGTGAAGTTTCATATGCAACGAAAATCCTGTACGTTATAACTGAAATGGTCTTGAAGGATTTGAATTTGAAGGGAATGTCTCAGCAATGTGTATTTCCGACATTGTCTGTATCTTGCAAAAGTACTATTATGTTATTAGCATTCCCTACCTTATTATCATTAAGTGTTGATTTCTTAAAAATTTACAATTGGCTCTCATCTATTCGAAGTTGCAGCCATTCAAAGTTTCCATATGTTACAACCAATTTTTATTTTACTTCAGCTCTTTCCTTTCAAAGTTTACCGTTGTTACAACCAATTTGCATTTTACTTCACCTCTTTCCTTCAAAGATATACCGTTATATGATTATTGGAAATACTTATCCATTCCCCTTATTATTTCGAATAAAGAACCCATTATATCATTGGCAAAGATATAAATTACAGTGCTGTTGGAACGAAATTCAGGGGGAGGGCTGCCCATTGTACTTCGTCTCATTCAGTGCTACAGCTGGGCAATTATTGGGGCTCTAGCACCCCCTTTCAGCCCCCGCTTCCGACGGCCCTGAATTATAATCAGATAAATTCAAGTGTTTATGCAGGCATAGACAAGTGTTAGTTCTAGGGTGGGGGCTTATTCGAGGGGGGGGCTTATTCGAGGGGGGGCTTATTCGAGGGGGTGAACTTTTTCGAGGGGGGCTTATTCGAGGATTTACGGTATTTAATGACGGCACAGTGTTTGAGTCACGAGGAAAAATGCATGTGATCACTTTACGAGACGGTTGAGACAAAGCTATGGCTGATAATCTGAATGTGAAACTTTCGCGTGACCACTTTCAAAAATGATCCAAAATACGCATTTCTCAACGGCTGACTATTCTAAGATATCCTCTACAAAAAGATCCCCTTTTTACACTTTTGTTTTGTTTTACTTTATTTACTGTATCAATTAATCAATTACAAATTTAAAAATGGAATCAGTCAATTCTGATTTCGGATTTAAAGGTATTTAAAATGACGGGTACATAGAAGATTCGTTTTTAACCACTGCAAGTCTACTTTCAGTTTTTATCATTCTAAACATGCTTGGTTTCTGTTTATCTTTCTATCAAGCACTTTCTATTTTGCCAGCAAATTCTATATCAAACAAAGTTGGTTTGAAAACATTGGTTCTCTGTGCTGTGAAACCGGATGCCATAATGAAGAATTTTAACAGCAAGTCAATTTTAGAACAGGTTTCGATAAAGATCGTTAAAAATTCGACAGATGTCTTTTGACCAAACCCTTTGCGAAATTGCTCGATGAGTACACACCTGGTTTAGTTCTTTATCCATAAATGAGTGGAAACGAGGCTTAACAATAACATTTAGCATCCATTCCTTTGTCTTTGAGAAAACCCAATGGAAAGCGAATGCTTCTTAATGGCTTCCTTGTTTAGCGAATAACTCGAAAATGCTCGTGGCCAGGCAGTTAAGTTGCAATTAATGAACTGTGTACGATTTAAGTGTGGTTCTTAAACTAATAATGTAATTACTCCGTCCTTATAGATCTTACCTGTTGTAAAATTCAATCGGAATAAAGCTGTATTCGGGGTTTCCTGTCAAATCATGAAAATGCGTGGAGGAAGCATTTCATCGTGTTTGTCAAGATCCAACAGTTCTGATTCCGAGTTAAACCTCAAGTTGTTTGCCACAAGCACACCGCCACGGCCAAATCGCGACACGCCACGGACAACCAGTGAAAGCTCACAATACAGCCTCGCTGCAAAGAGGGGCTTGTCTACATCAATGGATTCATGTTGCAGAATTTGCCATGATGGGGATAACGAGGAGAAACTTATGACTGCGTGTAAATGTCTCGGCTCGATCAAGCACGTGCACCACGCGTGTCTGTTGAACTGGGTTTCGCGCTCTGGAGATCTTACGTGTGAAATCTGCAAACACAATTACACTGTTACAAGGTCGCGCAGAAAAACATTCACAGAGGTAAATATATTTCTTTAAATTTGAAGTGCTTCATTACTTGAAACCGTGATCTACTTGATTCGTAATATCGCATTTCTCATTTTATGGTAAAATCATCGATAGAGAAGAAAATATCCTTGGTTGGAGAAACTTTCTGGAAGCAGGCACTGTAATTTGTCAGTTAAAAATCTTTTGTTGTGAGATCTAGATAAAAAAACAAAGGCAACAGCGGCTGCTGAGTTTTTGTTGAAAATATATTATCAGTAAAAATTTTCTTGCGGTGTTACCATTCGAGAAATGGAGAAAAATGTTGTTCGTCTGTTGATAAAGTACTGAGCATCTTAGGAAATGGGTAAGGGGGGTGCTTGCCCCCCGAAGGGAATAATCCTGTCAAGTCTCACAACCGTTTCAAAAGTCTGGTTAAATGTCAACTTCGTTTTCCCTTCGCAAATATTGATTACGAACCTTTTATTGTGAAGTTTTGTTGTGGTTTTTCACAATAACGACACTGTTTCGAAATCACACCTCACTAAAACGCTACACTACCTCATAATAACGAGCACGCCTTTTACTCAAAATAATAGATTTTCTGCCCCACCCCCTTTCTGGAGGTATAAATTTTCAAAAAAACCCTAAAATTTGAGCCTTCTGAATCCAATCTCTTACCAGTTTTGCCTTTCTTTTTCTTTTGTTATTTTGTTGAAAGAATCCTCAAGATTTTTTCCAAAGCCGGAAAGAAGTTAACTCTATTCGATCAAATCTTCAAAGATAAAACTTGAAGCTGAAACTGTTAGGATACCAGCCGTTGATTTAATATTTTACATAGTTTTGTCTCAAATTCGTTTTTACCGCTCAAGTCTTTTCCATAGACTCGACTACGGAATTTATAAAAAAGAATGGTATGTTTATCGACGCATTGCTAAAGGATTTCTTAGATTTTTCTAAATATGGGAGGGCCTAAAAAATTACGATAGAATTAAAAATGATCGACTAGCCAAAACTCGATGCAATTTTAATGAAACATATGTCAAGCGAGGAGATCATCTCACAATATGCTTGGCCGCAAAGAAGCGAATATTGTTGGGATCACAGTGACTAGGCCTGGCTAAGCAGCAGAAAGGTTATTTTGCTTTTAATAGAAACAGCCGCGACAATTAATAACAACGCTCAATATTTTTTCTTGATTGGGTTGTAACATATTCATATAAGCTCGATTTGATGTATCATGAGACATTATTAGCAAAAAATATGCGAAAAATAGCGAATTCGGATGGAAATTCCAATGTACCTCGTTTTATACTTTTTAGTGAGTTCTCCGATACATGTCCACACCCACCCCCTTTTCTAGTTCATTTGCAGACCTGTCAACCCTCCCGGTTCCGCCGGGAGACTCCCGGTTTTGATTGCTTTTACCCGGTCTCCTGGTTTTTTAAATGTTTCTCCTGGTTTTGAAGATGTCTAGCAGAATTTCTAGGAAGATTCTTCACCGAATATTTTGAATGAATTGCGCATCTTATGCTTCAAAAACAGGTCCATTATGTATGTTTTCTTTTTTACAGAGGTATAATTAAGATATAATGGTCACATTGACTTTCCACATGACAACAATTTTTTGCTAGTGCTTACTGATCAAAAAAGCACTAAAAGTTATTATGAAGATACTTTTCATGATCACTTTTATCATAAACTATTTGCCGAGCACAACATTTTATCAGGTATATTTATTTCTTTAACGAATTACTGTGATTTCCCTGTTTTTGACCAAAGCTCCTTGTTTTTTTTAGGAAAAATCTAAAATCTCCAGGTTTTGAAAACTTAAGGTTGACAGGTCTGCATTGAACAACTTTGCCTAGTAGCCCAGGGTCGTCCCCTTGCGCGAGTCTCGGACCACTTAACCCGGGCTGACGAGAGCCTCAGCAATGGGGAAAAGTGCCGAAAAAGTACACAATTATTTTTCCTAATATTTTAGTTCATTAAAAATGTCTCAGCATCGTTGACAAATTCTGTGAAACAGGATATCTTTATATGTATTTCTAAATACTAATAATATGTTAATTATAGCGATAGGTAATGCTTTTTTAATTACACCAGATTACCTTTGATATCAATGGAAAGCTCTTAATTATTATCCTTCCCCCTACTGTCCAAGATTGAATGCCTGGAAAGGAACGATTGTGTGCCCAATATCGGGAGTAATTCTCAACAATCAGTTGCATTGATGCACCAGGAAGTATTAAATGGTGGAGTTATTATTGATAGCGACTTTTATATCCTGTTTTCAAGAGATTGTTGGTTGCTAACGCTAGTCTAAAAAATGTCTGGTCAAAATACGTGAAAGATTTCTCAACTTATGTATTTTCTGTTAGACCATTCTATTCGAAGAGGATTGCAAAACCCACTCTATTTTTCCCGCCAAAGAAATGGTTTGTAAGAAGATTATTTAAGAACTCCCCCATTCTAATAATATATTCTTGATATAAATGTATTCAGATTTTAAGGATAATTTTTCGTTACTTGAAGGAGTGTGAACACCCGAGTAAAAAATTCTCCCCAAAGATCTCGGCAAAATCTACTTTCTGTTTCATCTAAATCGGAAGGCAGAGTAACTCGTGATGTCAAAGAATTGATTTTGTGATTCTAACATTGTCACATTGTAAGGAAACGTTAATCATGAGCGTTCCTAATTGGTGCCATCTTTGATTCGAAATGGGCATTTTCTTACAGCAAAAGGGCAAGACCGAAAATCACTAATCTCTAATTTTAAACTTATATCGATGTTGTTGAACTGATTTTTTGTGTAATGAGTTTTTTTCATTGTTGCTTCAGTGCTATTTTGCTTATAATTTATGTTGTTCTGTTGCAAATTTCAGCCTGATGTTTTCTATAAAGGGGTTGTTCTTATATAAAAACTTGTACCTAGCAATGTATGAGCTTTCCTAAATTGGTACGGATAGCAATTCCAAACTAGGACGGATACTCTAAGTCCACCGTATGCGGAAAAAAAACAAACCTCTCTGTCCTCGATTGGGTATACGGAAAGCTTCTATGTCCTCGCTTTGGTATGCGGAAAGCTATCTGACCAGTTTGAAGCAGTGCAAACGGGGCTATGATGTCAACTCAAAGTTGCCAATCGATCCTTGATAAAAGGAGGAAAGTTTGATAGGAAGCTGAATGAATTACAGGTTTATGTGTTTATAAAAAAATTGATGACGAAAATTGTTAAGCACTGAATCGTATACACTATCCATGTAGTGACTTTCAAGATCTGATTCTTTTATATATATCATATATATATATATATATTTACTAACGAAAAATTGACGCTACAAGGCGATTGGCAAGAAGCACGAAAATGCGTTGTAACCCTGCTACTACACTAAGCACCCCATTAAAAAGTAACAGTAATTGCTAATTACATAGTTACACTTAACATTAATACAACTTGGTATATAAACTGATAGAAATACAAGAAAGTACACTATACAAATAAGCCATAAGAAACTGCTTTTAACAGCATGGTTTAATCGCAAACCTCACTCCCATGTTCATTTTTATCTTTCCAGCCGATCAAAGGCCATTTCCACGGCAAAATCAAGATCGCTTGAGATGGTTTAACAAATCGCTGTCTATGTTTTCGCTTATCTATAAAAATAATTAAATTATGTGGTTTTCGCGAAATAGCTCTTCCATTTTTAATAGAGCCCCTAAGTCATTAATCATTTACAATATTTTGGCTTTCCGACCACGAGGAAATCTTTCCTGGTTGCTAATGATATCGCGGCAGATTTTGTATTGCGTTTTTTCATAAAAGATAAGACACGCTTGATTTTTTGTAGGTGTAATGTTTCAAAATGTATTACAAAAACTGCACCTGCTATGATGAAATAGTTAAAAAAGCCATATTTATCAATTTAAGTTATTTATCATTATTTTATTTTTCATTGCTAGGCACATGAATAAGTTGCTGTGATTTTATTGCAAAGGCATTTTCTTTGTACTTGCGAAATTCAGGTGGACGGCCTAAAGACCAAAATACTACTTCGCGATAAACTTGGCTGAAACAACTAATGATATGAACAACACCCTTACCTTCTAATGTCTCTTGTTGAGTGATTACTTCATTTCCTTTGGTGTGGCCTACGTCAAATAACGTTGAATAACTCAGTGCTAGTCCTCTGTAATCAGAGAAAAAGCAATTCATTTTAAAATAGTCAACTTCGTCAAGTTTTGAAATTATATTCATGCAGGGCCGTTGCTATCTATTGTCATTAACTGGGGTGCTTAGGTCCCATTTGCTGACAAGAAGGGTGAGCCACCATTGCTGACAAGTCTAAAAATTTACCAACAAAGCACCTTTGAACGACAAAAAGTCGATTTTGCTATGGAACTTTTTTAAGGGGGTGTCGCACCACCACACCCCATTGTAGCGATGGCCCTCTGCTCACAACATCTTTTTGAAACTATCTGCGAAAAAGTCCATTAAAGCTCAGTTAAATCCATTTTGACATAGAAACATTACATGCTTGGAACAACAATCGAGGTTTTAAAAAAGCGTCAATTTTAGAGAAAACTTCATGCTATAAAAATTTTTAATAGGTTATTAAATTTAGAGGCTATTAAATAAGGACTGGAGAGTTGTTTGGTTTATATCTATTGTTGTTCTTGAAGGTCCAAATTGAGGAGGTAAATATCAGGGAATCCCCCTGTATAGCCTTTTAACTTCACAATCGAATATCCCGATTTTGGTTCCTTCGAAAGGTTTCTACAATTATGATATCTTTGTTTTCAGTGGCGATTTCCGGGAATTGGAATCCAGGGCTGGCTTCATCTTGTCTTGTTCTTTGCGTTCTTTGCAATGCTCGTGACGTCAGTAACATGGATCGTTTGGTCCCAGACCTCCAAATCGTCAGCAGCTGTGTTTGAGAGAACGTCAACTGAGATCAAGTATGCCTACATGTTAAATGGTATATTCATTTTTACTGCGGTTATCGGAATTATTTTAGACAGTTGCCGACAAGGTAAAAAGTACTTTCAAAGAGTGCTTGCGTTAAACCAAGAAATTTTCATTCAAGAATACGTCGAAAAGAAAGATGAAAGTCTGTTAAAAAAGAGCTGTAAAGGAATGTCAACTACCCAATCAAAATTGACTTTGAATTCTTTAAGAGGCAATGACAAATCGCTTTCTGTAAACTGTCGCCTACTCAGCGATCAAGACGGAGGTAGTTCTGATCTGCAGAGCCAGGAAGAGAATCAGTCCGATTTGATTGGCGAGTCTGTTTTCGTGGAAATTGACATCGATGATGACACTAATAGCTACATTTTTAGGAATTCCATGGACCAAAGAATGGAATATGTGAAAGATTTTAAATGTCTGCAAAATCTGGCTGAAACATGCATATAATATTAACAAAAAAGGCAAGTATTGAAAATTTCCTTTAACGAGATTTAATTTAGCAATTGATCATTATTAACTTAATCTAATTCTTGTCTTAGAATTTTCTGAATAATTTATCAAATGATTAATTTTTTGGTGTAATTATTCGCAATTTTTGTATAAAATTTCTACGGGTACGAATTTATATCGTACCTATTCTGAGAAAACATTTGGTTAACAAGGTATAAGAGAATTATTTTGAAAGGTATCGAGTTAAAATTCCAGGAAAAATGTTTTAGATAGTTAAGGCCAACGAGTTTAAATTCCAGGGAAAATGTTTTAGATAGTTAAGGCCAACGAGTTTAAATTCCAGGAAAAATGTTTTAGATAGTTAAGGCCAACGAGTTTAAATTGCAGGAAAAATGTTTCAGATAGTTAAGGCCAACGAGTTTAAATTCCAGGAAAAATGTTTTAGATAGTTAAGGCCAACGAGTTTAAATTCCAGGGAAAATGTTTTAGATAGTTAAGGCCAACGAGTTTAAATTCCAGGAAAAATGTTTTAGATAGTTAAGGCCAACGAGTTTAAATTGCAGGAAAAATGTTTCAGATAGTTAAGGCCAACGAGTTTAAATTCCAGGAAAAATGTTTTAGATAGTTAAGGCCAACGAGTTTAAATTCCAGGGAAAATGTTTTAGATAGTTAAGGCCAACGAGTTTAAATTCCAGGAAAAATGTTTTAGATAGTTAAGGCCAACGAGTTTAAATTGCAGGAAAAATGTTTCAGATAGTTAAGGCCAACGAGTTTAAATTCCAGGAAAAATGTTTTAGATAGTTAAGGCCAACGAGTTTAAATTCCAGGGAAAATGTTTTAGATAGTTAAGGCCAACGAGTTTAAATTCCAGGAAAAATGTTTTAGATAGTTAAGGCCAACGAGTTTAAATTGCAGGAAAAATGTTTCAGATAGTTAAGGCCAACGAGTTTAAATTCCAGGAAAAATGTTTTAGATAGTTAAGGCCAACGAGTTTAAATTCCAGGGAAAATGTTTTAGATAGTTAAGGCCAACGAGTTTAAATTCCAGGAAAAATGTTTTAGATAGTTAAGGCCAATGAGTTTAAATTGCAGGAAAAATGTTTTAGATAGTTAAGGCCAACGAGTTTAAATTCCAGGAAAAATGTTTTAGATAGTTTAGGCCAACATTTCCAGGAGCAGAAATATTTTTACAGATGTCATATTCATTTCAATGAATTTCGTTAAATCGCAATCTTAGCCATATGCAAAGCGGTTTTAACTGTATAATTTGCAGGAAAAATTCTACTCAACAACCTACTTGCTGCGGTTAACTCTAAGTGGGCGTTCAGAAAGCGTTTGTAATCTTCAAATCAATATTTTTTTAACTTTTTGGAATAGTTTATGCAATTCTTCTTTGAATCAAACTCTTCCTAAATTTATTTTCTCGAAATCTGTAACTAATGACTCACGGAAACCATCACTAATTTTTTCTAAATTATCTTATTATATTTTCAATGGAAAACACATGCTTCTTCCTTGCAGCATTCATTGAGAAAATGTTCAGCCATTATAATAAAAGTATTGTTTAATCTTTAATAAACGTTTTTAATCACAATTTTCTCCTACGCAGGTGCTGCTGCGCTGCCTTGAAATACAAAATTTGCAAAACAGCTGTTTTAGATGGTCGATGAAAATGTAAAAAAATATTTTCTGTCCTCTATAATGATAAAAAATATTTATTGAAATATTCCTGAATAATTCAATAACAGTTTAGTTCTCAGTTTTATTGATGTTAATATCATAACTCTACGTTAATTGGTTGAAAACAATTCCTAATTTGCAGTGCTAATCGTTGTTGCCTGAAAACCATTGCTAATGCCACCAGGGATTAAGATTGTCCCCAAAGACTGGTCTTTTGCCTCTGGCAGGTCCCTAGAGAAACGAAAGTACCAGGCGTGTTATTGCTTCTGATTGGGAACAAAAATTTATTCTTCTATAGTAAAATCTTTGTCTCTGACTGCCAAGTAATGCCAAGCAGGGGCGTTAAAATTGCATATAGTTCATTTTATCAAAACGTTGCATAAAATTCATTCTATCAAAACATTCTATCAAAATCGATACTATTATCATTCTACTTGTTTTAGGAAATTCAATTTACAAAATGTTGATTCCAGTAGCTGCTTGCTTCTTTTTAACTATCTCATTTATCCTTGAAACAAAGATGTATCTACAGATGCTTTTCAGTATTACAACATTTAATTTTACCATACCAAAATCTATTGATCCTGTGCATTTTCAAAACTGCTCCATGTTCTCGCAGAATTGTCTTTTCAGCAACTTCAATGTTTTAAACTTATATTCGTTGTTTATTTTTCGATGTATTTTTTGTTGTTCACGTTATTTATTGAATATTAAGAATGCTATTTAGTGCAAAATTGAACGTAAAAAATTTTATTTGAATCGGTAGATAAAATATTTTAGGTATAATTATCAAAAGCCATTTTGAAGGCTTTTCCGTATGAGACAGATGTATTTTTCCTGTGCCTTATAAAAATGTTGGCTTTCCACTTTCTACACTTTTTATTAGCTTCGTCCCAAATATTCACCTTTAGTAGATGCAAGCAAAAAATAGTTGACTTTGACGACTTTTATATCATGTTATCAGTTTGTGATAACAAGAAGTCTATATTAGAAAATGTAACACCCCATTAGTTGATAGGCTAAGATGCTGATGTCTGAGCATTTTTTCTTGAAGAAATTTCAATTTGAGAAAATAAATTAACTTCTTCACTTTTTAGCCTTGCCAAAATCACAAATTCTGCATCTTTACTTCCCAGAGCTTACTGGCTTTGGAGCCCTGTATCTTCTTCCTGCTTCTCAGACTTTTTGGCCTGTCTTTTTTCAAAACTAAACTCAACAAACCTGATCTAGCCTCCATTTTTAGCCTCCTCTTTCCTTTCCTTGTAAGGGCTTTGATTTAGGCCACGAGACCTCTTCCTAGAATAACCAACTAAAGATGCTGTTCTTTTCCTTTATCTCCGGTAATGTTATGAATCGGCACCCAACTTATTGCTCTACTTGTGGTAAAGAATACGTTGTTACTTAACATAAGAATTAAAATTGCTTTTTTCTGGTTTACGACTAAATAATTGCATTTCAAAGCTCCTACCATCTATGAATGGATTATTGATCAACTGGCTACTTTTTCATTTTACATGTTACGTTGCTTATAAACATATGATTGGGTTTAACAACCTCTAAAATTTAGCCACGTATGAACAATTAATATAATATTATATGGAATGCATTGATCGTTATTTTTTATACTACGAAAAATGTTGAGTATTGACAAATTTCTTTGGCTGTAGCCGTGTATTTAGAATTGATATAATTAGAAAAAAGTTGCTAATGATATAAAATTGATTTTAGAACAAGTGTGAACCGACTTTTTTTTGTAGTGAACTCTTGTAACTGTGCTACATTGTCGTTTGAAAAAGCATACATTTCAAGTTACAGGAACATTGCGGAGAATGACACTCTAAAAATTAGGCTTTGCCAAGTAAAGTGAGTCCTACAATTTGCCGCAGTGGCACAGAAATGACAAATTTTTCTCGACGCTTTGTAGTGCCTGATTTTAAAAGTACAAAAGTCTCTAAAATGATATAAAATGAAATTCAATATGTATTTCTTAAAATTTCAGATCTTAGTATAGCATTTTCTTTATGTTTTAGGGGGTACTTGCTCACCCATGCATCATCTACTGGGTGTTACAAATGAATTTTACAAATTTGATTCTCCATATAAGAAAATTTAGCAATTGAGCCATTAAGCTTGGCTTCCATTTTGAGTTAACGTGAGATAGTTCTGAGTTAGATTTAAAATTAACTCATGGTCTCAATCCGAGTTGACTTGAGATAGTGTGAAATGCGTGAGATAACGCGAGCTAACTCAAAATTAACCCATGTACCGATTCTGTTTCCACTTAAGATAGAATTAAGTATGGAAATACCAGAAATCGCACTTTATTTGAGTCTTGCAGCTATGTGGGGGGGGGGGGGGGGGGGGCGTTTTACAAGAACAACTTATTTTACTTCTGCTTTTGAGAATACGTAGAAGGAAAATATTTTCTTGCTAGAAGTGCCATTCGCGATCTGCGCTAAGGCTTTTGAAACGGAAAATCTGCCAAAAAAGATATGCGTTTGGTGAGTACAACCATTTGAAAAAGGAACTTCGAAATGAGAACATGTTTCTCTTAATTCACAACTTATTTTTCTGTAAAGAAAACTGTTTTCAACTTCTAAACTAATGCTAAGTGCAAGTGCGTTGTGTAAGAACCTCAGTGCAAATGGTAGCACATTCCCCTCCCACGCAGCGTCTTCTTTTGATAAGATGTTATCTCAAGTTAACTCATGAGTTTGAAATCAAAAAATGTTGTTTCCAAGCTCATGAGATAACGTGAGTTAACGCGAGTTAATTTTCATGAGATAATTTTAAATGAGAGTTTCCACTATAAGATTATTTTTAAACCATGTCAGATCACAAAATTATTTCAAATTAACTCACGTTAACTCATAGTGGAAACCAAGCTTTACAAGACATCTACCAGTATCAACAATGTATAATCAAATATTCACAAATACAAATGAATTTTGAACTTTGCTGGATTCTAATTTCCCCTTTTTGCAATGTCCCACTAATGTATCATAACGAAGGGTGTGTCTGTCGGAGGTTTAAGGTGCAACATGGTTACCTCTTCATGAACTGGTTGGTAAATTCGGCATAATATTCGACAGCTTGTTAAAATCGACTAACCTCCAACGGTTAGGAAAAATGGTAACAAAGCTTTCTTAATTTGATGTTTATTTCTTCATCTGCAAATTTTATTACCGCATTAAGAAAGATTTAAATGAAAAGAAGATAAAACTTCCAGGCAAACCTAGCCACAGTCAGTGTCCCCCACCCCACTGTGTCCCTACCTGATCAGTGCCTCATCCCTCCTCCTGTAGGATGAACTCATAGTGAGGCCGCGAGGAAATTGTTGTGTCCATGCGAGGCTAGTTTGGCGCCAATTCAAAATCTGTTTTGTTTTGCTCTCGAAGCAAAACATTTGTCGAATGTCGAACTCTATGGCTGAATCGATTTATTAAATGGATCTGCAAATTGAACGACTCAAGAAATAATATGAAAACATGTCATCAAGAAAGGTGAGTTTATTTCAATTTATTACAATACATGCATCGTGCCGGAAAAAAGTGTTTAAATCAGAAAAAGTAGGATTGCCGCTATCTACGAACGAAGGCAAGTCTTGCCAATTTAGCAAAAGATTGCAGGAGTCTTTCAAAAGAAATTAAGCGTGAAAAGTGAGCCCATACAGTTGCCCCTTTAACAATGAGAATTAGGCTTCTTTTAGTTCAGCTAACTCTTCGTGGAAAAGGAATATCCTTGAACTATTGATGATAACGGCGTGACTTTTGGTAGAAACACTATGATTATATTTTAGCCATCTTTTTTTCTGAATTTATAAACATGTTCCCTAAATTGGTTGATGATAGCTGCAAATTATAGTCTTATAAGTTCTGAAGCTAATTTTTAAATTCTTTTTTGTAAATAGAGCATCGGAATGCAACAGAAACGCAAGCCTAACCCTAACAAGAAGAAATCCTCCAGTTTCAACTTTTTCAGAAAGCCAAATAATTCAGGAGTGAAGACTTTCTCAGGTTTGTTGTTTTAGCTTTTAGAGTTTCTGGTTCACTTAAAGTTCTATATAGACCTTTAATTATTTTCTGGTTCACTTATAACCACGTCTAATTATTTTCAAAAGTTTCAGTTTCATTTATCAGTCAGTCCTATGCACATAGCCCTGAAATGCTTTAATACCTACATTTTAACAGCCAGAGTATTCCTAACAATAAATCAAAATGTGATTAACTTGCTTACTTAAAGTATGTTTTTATATGTAGGGCTTTGTTAATCATGAGCTGCCTAAACATGTTATTCTATCAAGAAATAGATTGACTGACCTGATCAAAATTCATTTTGAAATTCAGGTTAACAATTTTTATAAAAGTAGTTTTTGAAATACCCATCTCTAAACAGCTTGAAAAAATTATTTGTATACAACTCTCAATTGAACAACTTTGAAAATATTTTTTTACTTGTCTGTTTCTTGTCAAGGCAATCTCGTCTCTTATTTACTGGCAACAGGCAAAATAAACTTAAACATGCAGTAACTCAAACAGAGAAGCAACATTTCTGGGGGACTACAGCCTCCAAGGCAATATGCCTTTGCCTCCATAATATCCTTGTCCTAATGCAAAATGTTGTTAGTGCAGGCAGCCAATCATTTTGAACAAAAACAGCCTACTGATAATTATTATTGATATAAGATACTTTTCTAAATCTTTTTTATGTATTTACAGAGCAAAAAGATCAGAGGCCTGAATCAAGATACACCTCATTAAAAGCCAATAATAATGATTTAGCCAAGGCATTAGGTATGAAAAATTTATTTTCATCAATTATCTCATTTTCTATTGTTTATAGTTTTTCTGTGTTATCATATTGCATAAAATCAGTTGTTTATTGAGATAAGCTGAATTGTTTCAACTGATAATCTAATCTTGAGTTTACTTTAGTCATAAATCATATTTTAGCTTTCGCTTAACAAAGTTTTTAGCTTCTGAAATAAGGCTTATTTTAAAAACAAATGCTTTCATTTTCAAATAATAACATATTGAGATTGATTTTTATCTTTTCCTTTCTTTGTCACATTTAAAAGTGATGCAACTTTTCTTCAGAGAGAAGTCATGTGAGAGAATCAGAGCTAAAAGACCAGATATCACAACTACAAGATGATAACCTGGATCTGATAAAGAAACTTCAGTGTCTAAAAGAGAGTGAGGTAAATTATGCATGTTTTTAGCCATAAATTTATAACATCAACTTTGTCGTCTTTGAGATCAAAAGTCTTCCTTTTCAATTAATGTGCAATCTCCTTACAGCTTGAGAGGTCTCACACACTTTTTCAAAGTCTCGCACACTCACACAGAGGCCTAGTTACTCTAGAGTAGTAGTCAGTGCACCACATTTATAACTATAAAATGATTTCCAAGTAGCCTTAAAAATGACAGCAAGGTACTCCAGTTTATTCATTCTCATTCCGTATATACATGACAGTACAGACATTTGATGATGGCAACTTATTTGCAAATGAAGATCAATTTTCGAGTCAAATCATCTTTAGTTTTTGGGCTAATTAATTGATAGTGGATAATTGCTTGTGGTACCTCTGATAGTCCATCAAGGGACACTTGTTTGCCATGAAACAGCCAAGCACTGAAAATGACTTTCTAAATTGAATGCTATAGCCAATTTTTGTTTTAAGAGGATATTATTTAGGAAACAATTCATATACTAAAGGATATTAATTGATATCTAAAAAAGATTCAAGACTGAACAAATACCTCAGCCAGATTTTAGGTTGTCTAACAGAAGATTGAAAATAAGCCACTGTGGCTCTTTAAAATGCTCAATTTTGAATCATTCTTAAAACTATTAAAATGCCTTTGATACAGCAAGGCAGTGGGAGTTTAATTTTGGGGGAGGTGTGGCTAAAGCTCAGGTTTGCCTAAGATCCTGGCAAATAAGCGAGATCCTGGCAAATGATGTATTTTGTATTTTAGGAAGGGTTGTAGTCCCCCCTGTGCCTCCAGTCACCATGACCTTGATCTGCTACCAAAGGGTTTTCTTAGAAAACCATCCTGTAAAAAACCACAAATAGCATCCATGCTTCTTGCAACAAGGCCAACACTCAAGACTTCATCAAGCAAGCTCCTTCATTTTCTCAGTCTTTTCATCTTAATTTGATGTTGCTCTTTCATGGCTATTTTGTTGTATTTGTTTCTACCTAGCATCCGAAGGTAGTTTTTAGGACACTGAGAAGCTTATGCTTTTCAAGCATTGTCCTGGTCCTTTATCTCGATGTGACGACACCTCGTGATTCCTATGCCGGGAATTACAGAGAGCTGGCGACTCTCCTCACCCTGGGTGAAAGTTTGGTCATGCCAGGGACTCGAGCCACGGGCCCTTGCGTCTGTAGTCGGCGCCTCTAACAACTGAGCCATCCTCGCAGCTTAAATAGCTATTTTGATCTATTTGGTTTACTTGCATTTAATGGATGACCAAATTGGGTTCTTTTTAACCAGTATCAGTGTCTTGTGAATATAGCCTACCACAGTGGCCTGTATCAAGGTGAAATAATCTGGATATGGATTTCTGGAAATAATCTGCTTTCCCTTTGGAGAAGGCCGTTGCTATGGCAAGGGAGGCTGTTAGAGGTGTGACGCCCCCTTGGAAAGATATTCCATTTCAAAAATGAGGAGTTTTCATTTTTTTACCATCTAGATGAGCTTCGTCGGCAAATTTTCACATTTATCAGCATATAAAGGATAATTCACCAACTTTGTCAGCAAAAGGAATAGGAGAAACCCCTTGAGCCCAATAGCTAGCGACTGCCCTGTATTTGGACACTATCTGACGTTTATGCTCTGAGGTGTTTCGCATTAAAACACTTTATTATCCTCCACTTTTTCGTGCCACATCCAATTTGCAGTAACAAAATTTTCTATACTGGGCTGGCATCGTTTTTACATGAGTCTTTCCTTTTCTTAACCTATCGTTCTTGAATTCTTTCCTATTTTCTACTTTTTCGGAAATCCATTAGAAGGTCTTTTTTCTCTTCTTAAGTTAAATTTTTAGCTTTGTTGAGAAAACTGTTTTGTACTTCTTTGCAATTTCTTTGATAGCTTTCTTCTTCATTTGAAAACTGTTCCAGTAAAGGCTTGAGGAATTGGATATTTAAATCCGATTCTTTTTTTATACATGTATAGTTTAACGATAGAAGCACTTAGGTTCTTTAGTTTCTTGAGTCTTTCTTAATATCGACTACAAGATATTAACGATCTGTGCTTCAATTCACTGTAAAGTTATCTTCGTTTCAACCTAGCATCTGTCAGATTCATGAGACAGAGTTTTTAGACAATGCACAATCCTATGCTTGGAATAAAAGGTGGTTTGAAACTTTGCTCACTCTAAGTTAAAGTTTAGGCATACCATAACGTGAAGCACAGTTCCTTTGGTCTCTAGTCTGCGATCCATACTAGCTAGTGAGTTATCCTCGCATCTAATCAATTCGATTACATGTATCTGGTGATATCCAGGCGCGAAGATATGTAGGAAGGTATTAGAGAACGTGTTCGCGATGACAAGATCTTCCATTTTACGCAACTCTTCTAGTTCAGTACTTCTTTCATTCTACTCCGAAGGCCATATTTTCAAAAAACTATCTTTGTTGATTGCTGATTTTAAGACTTCAATATTAATAAATAATATATCAACCATTGAAATATATCTCTGTTTTGAGTGCTGCCAAAAGTCTCCGTTTTCTCAACACTTGTAGCGCCAGTTGGTGCAAAACAATGAATTATGCTCATGTCATGAGAAATGGGACTACAACCCAGGTGTCCTTATCTATTTTCATTACCAATTTTTATTGCCACATTTCATTACCTCATAATTGTTAGCCCTACATTGATTTTCCCAACAATGACAGCCTTATCGTAATAGTTTGTCTCAGATAAACCTATACTCTGTAGGTTATTTCTGTTGATCCATCGCAGACTGTAACAAAGTTTCCCCACTCCTTTATTTGTTTTACATCCTGCGTCCCCAGTCTGATTTTCAATCACAGCAGCTGACAAATTGCTTACCTATCATAGCAACTGCCACTTGCTCTTCTAAATCCACGTTACGAGCTATATGCTACGAAATAAGATTATTTTCTACCGTAGCATAAAGCTTATTCAAGGGGCAAATAGTAAACAAAGTTAGTGGCCCCTAGGCTTTTTCACTGTTCCAATTAAGAAGATAGTTTTTATCTGTTATTCATTTTTACTTGAAATGTACTTAGGCGAGACAAATCTTATAAAAGCCTCCTGAAAAATTGCATCATTCTGGCCTTTCATTAAATCCTCTTCCTTGTAACCAATAGCTTCACCTTTCCTTAGAAAGCTTTTTGGTGCTGACATGTGGTTTAACGTCATGCACAGCACAGGACGAGATTCTTCGTTACTTTACCTTATTTTCTGAAGTGGTATTATGTTATGACATTTGGCAATGAATTCATTCCGAAACACGATCTAAGCCACTTAAATATTTAGTGAAAATAGATCTTAAAATCATTTATGAGGATGAAGATAAAATTTTTAGAGCTTTTTTATGTCATATTATATAAATGAAAGTATTTTTGATGAATATGAACATGTCAATCAACAATTGGCCAATCAGTGAGCGTGCTACCAATCACAGGCCTCTTAATTGGCTAATTTTTGATTGACATGTCGAACAACAATTGGCCAATCAGTGAGCGTGTTACCAATAACAGGCCTCTTAATTGGCTAATTTTTATTGACATGTCAATCAACAATTGGCCAATCAGTGAGCGTGCTACCAATAACAGGCCTCTTGATTGGCTAATTTTAATTGACAGATTGCGTAGGCCGCTTTAGTATCTGTCGATTGCCTTTAAAAAAGTGATCTGAATATAAACTAAATTTTCTCAAGATCTAGGAAGCAAAGGATGGTTTCAGTATTTAAATATTATTTATTTTGTTTTGCAGGAGCAAGGGAAATTGCAATTTTGTTATCACCAGCGAATATTCCTCGAGAAATTGATCGAAGCCGTTGAGGTATTGACAAATGCATCATTTTGCAGTGGTGAAAGCAAAGCCCAAGAAGAGATGGATGTAGTCGACTATGGAGTCAATAGAAAAGATACCGTTCATTTAGATGATAAAGAATTGAGAGAACACCAGGTAAATTTGATTCGGAATAGTTAAATTAATAATGTTAATACCAAGGATTCAGAAAATCACCAACAAAGATCTTGTCTTTTAAGGCGCTAATAGCAACAACAGCTTCTAAATTTGAATGTTTAGTGTGTCAAAGTTAGTTAGTATGATTTGATTCTTAAAAGTAAGGAAAGGAACAACATTTTCCTTAGGTGTAAATTTGATGACAAATTGAGAGGGAGAAAATTTTGAATGCAAGGGTAGCAGTTGGTTTTTGAAACCTCTCAGAAGTGTACAAAGCATAAAAATTTTACATTGTCAATTCTCTATGTTTACCGCATAAGCATCTCAGTTCTAATTTTGGACACATTTTAAACAATCTTCTTGAGCTCTGTCCTAATATGTGTATATAAAACTTGCAAAGTTATTCATCCCAATAACTAAACAGGCTCTTTTTTACTTCTCCCCAGAAGGCCTTTGTGGTGGCTGGCGTTTCGTGTATCTTTCTGATACTTACTGTCCCATTTGTTCAATGTTTTGTGCATTTGACAATATTTCCCATAAAAGAAGAATTTTAGACTCAATAGAGTAATGAGAGGCGAGAATGGGTTTTCTGAATAATTTTTCTGAAACTTTTTCCCAGCCTATACAAGACAGCTTTGTCACTTTGCGAGAAAGGCGCACAGGCAAGGATGATGCTGAGGCTTGGAACGATTCCATGTTCGACCTGAACCGAGAAATGCAACATCAATCAGCCATTGACGAAGAAGTAAAATTTGGAGGTATTTTGATAGAGCAATTTTTGCCGTAACTTTCTGTCGTTGCCCATGTTATGTGTGTGATATCTTTTGTTATTTTTGATTCAATGAAAATGGTTAAGTTTTGAAGTTAATTTATTTCAGGTCACGGTACCAATGCGCAAAGTGATTTCAAAAATCAATGCGACAAACAGCCATCCGATTCATCGCAATGCAACTCCTGCAATGAAGGTCTTCCTGATGAAGCTAGAAGTACCGGACGGTCTCTCGTGAACAGGTCTGTCGCATGTTGGGTGGAGCAAAGGCCAGAGCTATTAGTAAATTTGGCAACATCTGGCACTGATGGCTCGTTGACAATGGATGTCGACATAGATACGGTAGAAGCTAATGGGACAGTCTCGGAGCATAGCAGTATGAATGTTATGAAAGAGCAAAAGTCAGCGACATCACTTCTTCTTAGGCCTATCGATTGTGAAGAAAGATTAGGTCAGGAATGGACATCGGGGAATAACATTTTAGACATTATTCCAGCATCTAGCAACCGTCGAGAAAGGAGTTTTGTGATACTAGATGAATCCCAAACAAATCAGGGAACAACAAATAATTTGTTTGCAGCGCAAAATAGTCCTTTATACTCTCCAAGCTGTGTTTTAGGGAAACCTGTCAAAGACAAAGTCATCCGCACCCAATCGATTGGAGACAGAAGAGATTTGAAGCGAAGGCAGCTGAAGGATAAGAGAGAAAGAAAGAGAAATAACAAATTGAGAATAAATAGCAGTAGAATGAATATACAAAGAGAAAACAAAAGCAACCACGGGCAAATGCTTATACCGTTAGAAGATAAGGAAAATGTGGATCCTTGCCGGTTAAAGTCTCGATCGGTGAAAAGATCTGCTGCTGAAAGAGTTCATATTCAAGGCGGGTGCTGCTCACCTATGGCTAAGGTTGTCAAACGGTTGCTCACTCCAATGCACACACGATCACCTATGATGCGCAGACAATCGAGACACAAGCGACAGGTCTCCTATGTTGAACCATCTTTGAACAAGTAAGCAAATTTTTCTACCTTGGATTTGCGTGGTGTGTCTTCTGTGCGCAGGGTAGCAGGTGTACCAACAAATTTACGCCATCTTTAGCTTTTGTTTTGCCATCTTTATAGTAGGGGACATACTGCTCCTACTAAAGAGGTGATATTTAAAGCCAATTTGATGTAGAACATCGGTCATGATTAATGCCATAATTCTGGATCAGTATCTGAATTGAAGGGCTTTCGTTGCTGATATTCATTGGTAGGAAAACACTTAGTTTCGTATAGATCCCTAATTTGTCTTCCAAATGACCATGATTCTATAAAAAGGCACACTTCATTAGTTTCCAATAATATGATCTTACATAAATGGCTCATCCATATTACAATATGCTTGTAAAAAACACCTTCCCTGGCCTGTTCGGCAGGGTGTTATTTTCCCCGTGACCTTATGACCATTGGTCACAGGAGATAACAGAAAAATCATATTTCTCTCACAAAAACTTTTGTATAGACTATTGCGAAGAATTTCCTACCAAAACTTTGCTGAAAACATCTTAAATTCTGTTTTGTATTTGTATATTTTCTGCTTGTCTCAACAACACAATTTTCTTTGCATAAATGAGGAATTTCAATGTCACAAATTCCAAACTACTCTATAGGTTGAAATACACTATGCATTTAAATGGATTTGATTAAATGGTTTGTTGGAAAATTGATAATTTTAACTTAAAATTGGATGTCAAAATAGCTGTTTCGACAAAGTGAAACTTCCTAAACATGAAACTTTCTTCGAAACTTTAAGGTCACTTGGAACCTATAAATAGATAACATGGCTTTGAAAAAAGCAAACATTTGAGTTAGCTAGAGCTTTTTGTCTGACACTCTTCAGAGTTTAAAACGTCAGAACATAGATCGAAAACTCTACGCTAGGAAATATAAATACCCAGTTGTGGATCGAAATAGGCCAATCAGAAACGAGCACATGATTGTATAGGTTGACCAATCAGTGCCACTTGCCTATTGATAATGTTACCAATGGAGTCCTAAGATGAAACAAAACTCCTTTTGTCTACACAATAGCGGTTCTTCATTTTCAAGTTTTGTACCACCAAAAAATAAATAACACCCTGCTGTTCAGTAATCATACTCGTTATACTTTCTTCTGAACGACCTGGTGAAGGTTATCTGTGGAGCAGTGGCCTCTCTTACCACCTTTTTAAAACGATCACACGATACCCATACCTCGATTTATACACTGCTGTTGAATTCTTTCATAGCAAGTTTATCTATTATCGAAGCGGTACCGCACAATTAGATGTGATTGTTTACTTCGTGGAATGCTATCCAACATGTTAGTCTTGTATTTTGTTGCAATCATAATGAGGCCCAATCTGAGAGTGATTAATGCCAATGTAATTGATTCTGGAAGGCTTTTATAGCTCATTTATTTTGTTCATATTCTCAGAGGAAATAATCAAATCACATGAGAATATGTATCAAAATGTTTGAGATTATTCATTTTTGTTTTTTACTTGCTCTATTAATTTTCATGTTTTTCCCCATAGAAAACTAAGACGTGGTGATCCATGCACGGATTCAACCCTTTACAATTCGCCTCATTTTGGTAAATTGATTTTAATCCTACGCATTTATTGTCATTTTATTATCATAAAATAACTAAACTTCATATTATTCACCATGCGTATAAACGTATAACGTATAAACCATGAATTGTTTTAAAAACTTTTCAAGATATTATTGTATAAAGAACAGCGTTTGAGCATCAATGTTTGGGGCCATAAATCTTTATTTTTGATGAACAATTATCTTGAAATATTTCGACAGTGGTTTTCTATGTTTTTTGCCAATGGGAACAGTCTTTTACCTTTTGTTAATTGTTAACGTAAATCTTTTCTCAGTTTCATTTTTCACTCAATAACAAAGGAGCACCCACGTGCCATTTTCGGCTTTATTCCGGTGATCTTTTGTAGGGCCTATTTTTTCTGTATTAATTTTTCTAATGCTTCATTCGCAACTTAAATGTGAGATGTGAAGATGTTTTATCTTTGTTTTCTAGGCCATAAACTTCGCTCAATAGGCCATAATCTAAAGGTAAGTTCATAGAATTCCTTTTACTAAGACTTGTTCCTTTGAAGATATGTTCGGGTTTATTTTTGAACCTAAATTGCAATAACTTTGTCAATTACACGTATTTCCTACTCTTAACTTTCTGTAAGGTTGAAACCAAATTGTTTATGTGTCCTAATTGACGATGCTGCAATTCCCTTAAGTCTCTTGATATCTCCTACCATGAATTTTTAGAAACATTTTAACTAATTGTCAAAACTTTTGAATCTGATCATGCAGCGATCTCCACTTGCTGATCTTGGCGGTATGATCAGTGAAGAGCACATCGATTGATAACTGCTAGGCAGTGGAAAGATTCTGGTGCTTCGATGCATTTTTTCTCAAGAAGTCAGCGGAAATTGACTTTCTCAGCAATGGTGGTGGCCCGAGGAGTCATTTTGATATGTTTCTTCAACTTTATGTGATATATTTCAGCTTCTTCTCTGTTCAATATTTCTTATTCATTTCTTTGTTTGATGTTTTGCTTTCTTTCCTTTATTTTTCATTTTTTCATCTTTTTATTTTTCTTCCTTGTATCCTCTGAATTTTAGTGCCTATATTGCAGCTTTTTCTGGTTCGGATAAAGGTATATCTTCCTTCTTTGATATCCCCTTCAATGTTTTTTTCGTTATTTACCTTTCATTACCTATATTTAAGACGCCCATTTAAACAGAAACTGTGTCTTTTCATGAAAACAGGCGATTCAAATAGCAGGGTGGCCTTAAAAACCTCTAGCCTTAAAAACCGGAGACATCAATTTTTCATCCTCTCTTAGAAACCATTTTAATTAAAGGCAATTCCAAGGGTGGCAAAAACAATAAAGACACTCCGTTCTTTATGATGTATTTTAAATATAAATATTACCAAACTCGTTGATAATTTTAAAAATTCGGGTTGTTGATCAAAATTTTGCTCTTTGTGCTAGTATTCATGTAGAATTGTTCGTGTACCATTCATCAGCGCTTGTATTGCAGGTGTTAAATTACCTCAAATCAACAATCTTGACGCGTTTTCTCGGGTTTATCTGAATATGCTTGTGTTAACCTGCGGGGTGTTCCTCATGAATAATAAGAAACGTTGTAGATAAACGATCAAAGGGCTGAGCGGTGACTTTAATGAAGAATTCTGATGATTATTCCAAATTCGTTTTCAGTGCGACATTATGGCTGGCAATTATAAATGCATTTTTCCCATATCTTGTCAGTGAATCAGAGAAGCTATAACCTACGGACAGGGCCCACACTCCTGAGGGGGGGGAGTTGACCATGGCCCCCACTTTTTTGCCAAGCAAGTAGTTTTAAAGCTGCAGTAAAAGAGGAAAGAAGCCTTGGCCCCCTAGTTTTGTTAGCCTTGGCCCCCACACTTCAAATTCGTGGCGTTAGCCCTGACGGAAAAGGGCAAATTGTTGAAATTCGAAAAAGAACATCTTGTCAAAGTTTGGGTGCAATAGGCCACTTCTATGCAGATCAGAAATATGTTCGATATGTAATCAAAACAAATTGTTTGGCAGAACATCAGACAACCAAGATAGAACATAAGACAGCCAAGATCAATTCATACTAGATTTTGAAATTTCATAGAAATCATACTTACATAAATTACAACAATATTTTTGATTTGCATGATTTCAACCTGATGAAAGTTCGAAGTCAAAAAAATGTACCAGTTTTAGGCCATAACTTGGACAATCTAAATAATTCATAATAATTTTCGTAAATTTACAAAGATCTTTATGCTCGGATTAAAGCGACAGAATGAAACCAGTTTTTATCAACTCTGAATGAGCTCTATCAAATTTATAACCAAGGCTATACAACAAAAGCAAAATGAACGATTTTTGGTATTTTCCGACTAAAAACGTGAAAATTTCGACTCGAAAGTGCTTCTACCCATACTTGAACACGAATTTTGCCTAGAAGTATCTGTCGATTTTTGCCAATTTTTAAAGTTTTAAGGCCTTGAGAAAATTTAAGGCCTTACGGATTTTACGAAAGTTTAGGGATTTTTGTCAATTTTTGAGAAAATTTAAGGCTTTAGTAAAAACCCGTTTTTCTGAGTTTTTCTAAACCAAGACACCAAGAAATTTCACTTTTTTCGTTGACGTTTCATATCAGATTTTTGCAAAATCACCTTTCTTAGACCTGCCAAGTTTTGGCAAAACAAGGCCTATTCCTTTTTAAAATGACCAAATTTCATCAATATGCTTAAAACATTTTTCTACACAAAACATTCCCACTTTTATAGCAGATTTCATGCGATTTTTGCCTAATAGTTCACTTCTCTCGCAGCTGTTAAATTAGGGAAAAAACAAAGCCTATCAACCTGGACGATGACCAAGTTCAACTGAATTTTTTGTCACTCCAGAAATGTTTACCTGTTTCTTTACGAACCAGAAGTATTTTCATACCAGATTTGATGATATATTAGCCTAATAATTACATTGTCTAGGACTGTTAATTTTTGCTACAAAACAATATTATACCTAGATAAGCTTAAATCCTCTGTCTTTTGGCTCTGAAGAAAATCAAGTTTTATATGCCTTTTTCTAAAATTTCCTTTGAATTTTTCTTGCAAAAACAAAGGCTATAACTGCAAAGTTAGAGAAGTTTACAAAGTCATGTAATAAAGCTAGACTTAAAGCGATTAAAATTGGGTTGTGATTTTTCTTTTCGAAATTCTAAACTCCTACCTAAGAACTAAACTCATTCTAAGGCTGTACGCTTAAACTTGACCTAATTTTAGGGAAATCTCGAAGCTACTGGAACGCAGGTTTGCAGAAAAGTGTCATGGTCCTGAAAGTTGTCTTAGTCACAATGCTCGAAAATAACACTCTCGTACAACTCCCTAATTTGCTTTTGCCTACATACGAATTCCAATTTATTTCTCCCCATTTGCGACAGAAACCGTCAAGAACATGCTAAATTAATATTAAAATATGCCGAATAAATATAATGGGGATTAGAGAAGGGACAGTTTCCAAATTAACACGGCAAATGAGCAAAGCAAATGAAATGGCTTTGATATAATTTGATTCCCAGTTCTGTGAACCGGTTCAATGAAAACCATGAAATGTCTATTGCCGACCAGGCTGGCTGTATTCCTCACAAACAGAAGCAAATCCAGTTTGAAATAGAAAAATGAAGGACAATAACGGGGTGCTTATTCACCATAGAAAACAACAAACAAAACAGTGACAATTTAAGCTACCTCTCACATAGATTACTCGAAATAAGAAATTTCAGAAAACCTGATAACGAACTGTTTCCATTGATACACTTTACATATTTAGATACAAGTAAAATACAAAATTTAAACCAGCCAGTCACTATACACTAATAAATTTTAATACAAATATGAATCACTTTTTGGCGAGCTTTAATACGATTCCCTTTCGAGGCGACCCTTGATCAGCAGTTGACGGCTTTTGGTCAGTAACCAGTTTGACCGTCCACTTCTCGCTATCGTCTTCGTCCTCCGGGGGTTCCGTTGCCTCCGGAGGCGGTGACTCCAGCTCATTGTCAGACGGGGTGTCGAGCAAAGCCTTACTGGCCTCGACAGGTTTTTCTTCCATCGCCGTTAATTCCTTTGTATCATCTTCAGTTGATGGTTGTTCCGCAATTTCTGGTTTCTCTTCGAATAATGTCAAAATTGGCGGATTATCATAGTCTAGATTCGCTAAATCGTCTCCAACAAGCGGAAATTGCCGCTTCGTCCACGGCATCGCTTTTCCGTCATCTGAATTCAAGGTCAAAGTCCAACTCGACTGTTTGTTTAATCTGCTACTTGATGTGGGCGTGGCAAGAATGAAGTCTGTCGGCGTGGGGACACTGCATGGGGTGTCGGGGTGTGACGGCGAGTAAGGCTCTGGTGTATTGCATTCAGAGCTTTTTCGGCTCGAACGGGATCGTTTAAACGGAAGTTGAAAGAAGGCATTGAACTTGTGGTGTTCGGTGACTTCATAATTGCCGTGTCTTTGAGTGTACGCAACATCGCGGGTGTCCTCCTGGAATAAACACAATGTGAAAATGTCAATTTCACGCTTAAAAATGTGATACATTTCAAAAATCCTCTTGGTATACATTCCCTTGGGTATCAAAAACACGTAATGCATGTGTCTTTTGGGAATAAAATAAGCAAAATAAAAATACTTTATTCAACCGAAAAAAACAGCATTGATTGAGTAGCTAATTACATTTACTTGTAAGAGTCTTTCATACCACAATACTAGTCAGTTTAGCATCCCCTTATTCATGATCATCAAATTCAAAGTCTCTAGTGAAATACTGGCCCGTGGAGACTTTCTTGTTAGTTTTTAGAAAAAAACTGAATTTCTTTAAACTGACTTCTGTTTAGCTAACTAGGGGTTGAAAGTAAATTGCTTTATTTTAACAAGGCTTGATGAAATGCCAGTGACAGCGGGTGATTGTACCAAGCTGATCGAAAAATAGCGACAAGTTAAACTGGGAAAATGCAGTAGTTGAGGTTGCCCATACCGATTCCTCCATGAAACTATTGCGGTGCTCCTCGGCATCACTTCGTGCAGGCCTCCATCCTGGCGTTAGAATCTCTTTGTACTGAGGCTTTTCCAGACGAGTGGATGATGAGATCGAGTACGGTATGACAATGTTGTTGATGTCGTATTCGCTGCTCGTCCTGGTCTTTCGCTGCTTAACCAACTGCGAGAGAGATGGAGCCGGGCAACTTGCCGACAACAGACCTTGCTCTGTGACAGGGGTGGACGGTCGCGACTCCCCACTTCCACTGCTAGGAGCTTTGAGACTACTGGCTCGGCGTTGCAGTAACGAAGCTGGTGAATAATAAAAATACGTGTTAAAGATGAGACAGACGTCTTGACTCCAAACATTAGTGGGAGCTTGGAAACTTTTTAATATTCATTCTTAATGTGGGCTCATGGTAAAAAACATGGCTACTTAACTTTCTTTAGAATCTTCAAAATAAATATCAAACTAATGGCCAAAGGCATAAAAAATACAAAACAAGAATGATTGCAGCTTTGAAGTTTTGAAATTTTTAGGTATGAATTTTATTATCGAATTTTCACAGCCACGATTGTAACAGCAATTGATAACAGCCTTCAAATGGCAACCTCTGGTTTTAGGACCCTCGCACTATCATACTCAACGAAACATGCGTCAGCAAATATTCCGGGGGTTCGCAAGACATTAAATGTTTCTTATGGATAAAATTCTCGTTGTAGGCGAAAATTAAGATGGGAGAAACATTTTCCACTTTTTCACATATCTAAATTTCAAACCTCAACACACGGCAAATTTTATCGTTAACTAGACTGAACACTGAAAAGCCAAAGCAAAAATAGAATTTGGCTTTAAAAATGCAAAATTTCTAGTCTCATTTTTGCAACGAAAGAGCCTTAACAGATAGCAAAACACCCATCGAAAATTGTTGCTATGCGACGATCTTCATCACTCACCCGCTGATGGCGGTGGCACCTTCTTCCTTGGAACAGGAGATTCTTCCTTCTCTGATTCTTCGTCTCCGTATTTCGAAAATCGCCGGTGACGTTTCTTCTCTTGTCGTAGTTTCGCATTTTCTACAGAGCAGAAGAATCTCAAATTATCTCAATAACATAACACATGCTTTGAATTCAAATCAGAATTCATCCCTATTTAAAACGTAGACCTCTCAGAGCTTCCGTAAAGCAAAGGGGAGAATAAGTTCTCATCATAAAAATAACAAGCATTGTTTAAAATTTAAACAATTCTATCTTTATTTGCGTGAGGTATTTAATAACGATGTTATCTTTAATTGGGTAAGTTTTAGCGCTCTTCAAAATTACTGCCCCTTCCTAAATTGTTTTCCCTCTTAAATCCAAGCCCCATTCTACGGGTATGCTCTCCTCAATATTCTCACAACGATCCACACGATATTCAGATCTTTGTTGATTTGAAAATCTTTCTAGAATCGGATTAAGCTCGTTTTCAGCTTGCACCGAGGCCTGCCATGAACAAAACAGCTTGGCGACGCAATGAGCCGCACATGGCCGCAGCAAAAAAATTGTGGTCTGTATGATTTCCACACGATGTAGATGATTATTTTGAAATTAAACGGCAGGTCTAGATGTAAAACACAGCATTGAAAGACTGCAGGTTGCTGCCACACGCTCTGTTTCGCTATGGGGCCGATGGTTTTAAGAATATAATTACTTCCAAGACTGTCCTTCCAATGCTGCAAGATTTCAGAATAACATCAAAACAAATTCTCTAGCAAACGTTAAAACGCTAGACGAGAAGCAAGTCAAAGGCAATGAACAATGCAGACACAATTGGTGTTCCGTGTAATTAAATATGAGGACAAGAGCGTCGCACGCGGGAAATCTCCCACAATAGTGGCAAATCTGCTTTCACATTTTCTAAATTTCACCTTCCCCCTAACAAACCCCCAAACACACGTTCAATATTTATGATGAGTTTAAAGTGGCCGTCTTACTTAAAAAGGAACTGATATCATGGCGTATTCCAATGAGACGACACCTGCAACTATTGTTTTCGACAAAAATAAAAAATAAAAAACACCAGCCACACAAAGCAAAGACAAAATGTTTTTCGACAAAATGTGCATTAAATGCATAAGATAATTTAGCTGGGCGGCGAAAGCAGATGCTATGTAAATACATTTGGAAGAAACATGCCTAATGAGTCATGTAAATATTTTGCAAAAAAGCCTGTTGGCAGAGGGCTGGAAACGAAACATATCAATGAATACAGTAAATATGTTTTTGCCTTAGAGAAAGCTGAACACGCGAAGCAGCGGAGGAGATGGTTTCAGCAAAGACCACAGAATGAGAAAGTTGCCAAATAATTCACAGAAAAAATAGTTCTTGCTGTGGTGAATTATTGGTACTATTGTGGCTACTTAGCTGAAATATGAGATCTTTTATATACAATATGTTAAAAATTTCCGTCCACAACTGACATTTTTCAACTTCACTTCAAAATTGATTAATTATTTAAAGAACACTCCTATTTCTTCAAAGAATAACCGTTCTGGTTGAAAAGAATATTTGTTGTTGCGCTCAGCATATGAAACAAACACGAGAGAAAAAAGGGAGAGGGAGAAATTTAGAATTCTTAACACGGGTCAAAGATAGAAGTTGTTTTAAAAATTGTGAAACCACAACCATCAGATCTTTACTGGAAGCTCTAAAATCTCTTGGTCTGCGGTTCTTAAAAAATGCGCAACAAGATGCGCACAATGTTCATTATGGTGTGGCAAAAACAGTTCTTTGCGTGAAAAGCTCAAGAGGGGGATGCGAGGCAGGAATATACTTATCGTGGCAGAGAAGGAGGAAAAAGAAGCCGAAAAGGAGGGACTACCACAAGAGTCTCGGGATGGCAGAAAGAGGAAAAAGAAACTAAGAGGGGGATGAGGCAGGGGGAGTCTGAGAGTGGCAGAGAGGGGCACAAAGAAGCCCAGAGGGACAGATTAGAAAAAGAGCATCTCGGTGGCAGAGAAGCTAAGAGGGTGAGATAAGGCTGTGAAAGCCTGAGGGTTGCAGAGAGAGGGGAAAAAAGCTGGGGGGGATGAGGCAGGGAGACTGGATTATTGATGACGTGTACCTTGTGACTTTTTGTCTTATTCTGCTTTGTATAAAAAGTCGACAAACGTCATATTCCGCAACTGACATTCACTACGTCTATTAATTTTTAATAATTTCCTTTTTGTGGCCGCGAGAGGGTGGAGGCAAAGGAAATTAACTTTTCAAATAGGTGGATATGGTTCAATGCAACACATTAGCAAGAAATTGGCCTAGATATTTGGATCTAGATTTCACAGTAAATGACTTGTTTGGTTCTGTGTCGCTTGATTTACATTTTTATCAACGAGCCCTGGTATACTTCAAAAATGAAGAAAAGCCACAAGAACTTTTCGATACGGTCTAAATTTTAATGCTATTGGACATTCAAGATGAAAGAGCACCACTGATTTGGAAAGTGCTGCAATTCTAAAGATGATGCAATTCAACATACTCGAAATAGACTTTATTCTAAAAAATTGGACAAAAACAAAGAAATTGAAATTCCCTAAACTAATATAAGCCTAAAAAGAAAAACTAGGATGAAAACATGACAGAAAATTTGCTTCTAAATAGGTTTCACAACGCTGTTCAGGATTAGATAAAACTTGGAAGATTTCCTAAAATTAGCCAGCTTAATAGCCATTTGTGGGACTTCTCAAATTATGGTGGTTTTGAGGAAATATCTTGAATACCACTTTATCTGCTCCATTGTGTACAATCCTTGACAAAAGTCCTTGGAACACCCGGCAGCCAATGAAAGGTTCCTGATCCTAAGATATAGAAATATCCACCCTCCCCTCAAAACTATGTTGGTTGTTAAGCCTATTACTTACCCTAGCTGATAAAGTAACATTGGATGAATTTAAAGCTTTGGAACTGTTGTTATTCAACATTGTTTCAATGAGGAGAGTGGGATGTTACTAAAGTTATGCCGCATTTCACTTTAGTGCACCAAGACTTTTGGCAAGGATTGTAGCTTTCCTGTAGGTATGAATGTTCTTCTGATGACTGTGTTTATGACTCTCAACAACTGTCTTTAACCTTTCACAATTTGAGAAAGTTTGGTTGGATTTCAAAAATCTTTTTTGGGTTTAATTAAGTGTTCATATTTCAGAGCAAAAGTCTGATCAACATACTCTTCTTTGCAAATCCATACTGAACCCTTGAAAGAGCCATTTCTCTGGCCCATGCAACTACAAAACCTTCGTTACAAATTTTAGAATTTGATAAAATTTGCCAGGGTGTTACCAAAAAGTTGTGTACAAAACAATAAACAATTATGAAAATAAAAACGTTAATAAAAAAACTCACTGGGAGCTCTTGAGGCAGGCACACTTTCACGCAGAGATCTGTTCCCAGCTTCTTTCTTTTCAGCCAAAGCACTGGGAAAAAAATAAACTTTTTTGATAAAGGAATAACAACCACAGGCTCTAAAATAGTCTTAAAATGATAAAATAATAATGCAGTCACAAAGTCTTGAATGCAACAATTACAGGGTAGCAAACAAAACACTGCATCGAAATGCAGGGATAATTCAAAGTCCAAAAGAATTGAAAATTAATGAAAATAATCTGTTATTACACCTGCTACTGATAATTAAATCACTAAGAACGTCTTTGCAAAGGTGGATGGGAAAGTGCACTGAAAAGTTTTATTAATGGTGTTTTAAAAGCAAATTTATTAAATATGATCAAAACATAACAAACCTTTTAGCATCTGCTGCCAATGACAAAGTTTTCCTGTCAGAACAGATCTTTTCCTTGCGCAGTATTGATTCCAACAATAAAGGCAAGGGCAAATCTGTGTAAAATAAAAATTTTGAAAAAGGTTATTGCTAAGAAAAATTCCACAGCATTCATGAATTATCAGCATCATGAACACACACAATATAACAGAAGTTAAAAAACACAATCAAGAGTGTAGTTTTTATTAGATAGATAGATAGATAGATAGATAGATAAACTTTATTTAAAGAGGATAAACCTGGTTAGCCTAATAACTAATCTTCCCCAGGTATTGCATCCACACATAAATTATCCCCACACTGAGTGCAGCTTTAGATATCTAAACAATATGTAGCACATGAAGAATTTATTACAAGATCAAGACCACTAGTTTGAATTATGATTATTTTATATAACAAACAGTAACAGGTGAACAAGTGAGTTTTCTTTATAAGAAAAGGAAACAAACTGTCTGGAAGCACTGTCAACAGAAATATTTTCTAATTCATATCAATCTATATGTAAAAATACAAACACACATTGGTGTTTGAAATAGGATAGATTTAAGTTGCAACTCTGAGTTCTATGCTTAATGGGATCATCAGACAACAAGGGTGTACAGCTCTTCTAATCTAGCGTCCAGCACACCATGACAGACAAGAAGAACAGTAATTTTATATATAATTATATATTTCTCATTTTAAAAGGTTAAAATCTATTATATATTCAGTTCTTTCAGATTCTTTATTTATTCATACATTGATATTCCAATTTATTCTTTAAATATTGGTATGTGCATAAGTATACCGTTCTAAATAAAAATTTCAACTTTGCTGTTTTGCTACAAGGTAGTCATGGTATATTGCATTTTGCAGTATTGCCCTTTAATCTTGTAAATTTTTTTTGCATGTAGAGTTACCTGTAAACTTGTATTGCGAATTTTCAATAAGGTAAAAAAATTTAAATGTTATTCAACAATTTGCACTGTTTCTGGAGATTTCAAGATTTTTATGATCTGACAAATGACCTTCTTACTTTAAACAATCTTTGTCAAGATTCAGCCAGATTTAAAATATGAGAGTCACATGGCATATCTATCAATTTATTATCACTTTCATTTTCAAAGAATAAAAGAATGCTGGCCCTTCAGCAAAGACTGGTTTGCAAGGGGCTCTCCACTTGCTTGTTAATATGTTTAAGAATATAAAACATACAATTAAAAACTGTATAAACAAATAAAAGTAAATAGATAAAATCATGTGCTGTAGTAAAAGTCAACTTTCATGAAAATGGTCAAAAATTAATAAATTATTAAATGTTTGCAGATATGAGTTTCAACCTATCTATTGACTACCATCACATTTTGAGTGAGATTTTGTAGCTTGGTGGCTGAAAACACACAACCACAAAAACAAAGGGCTTACCATATTTTGTTGACAACTGCTCATGATAACTGTGATCAAGGTTGACTGCTGCAATGTTAGCCAAGGGACGTCCAAAGCCAGTGGCAGCTGCTTTTAGGCACTGGGCACAAGGAAATGGAGCAGGGAGATTTGTACACTTGTATGCAACACTGCTACCTCTGAATGCAGTTTCAATGCTTTGCTTAACATACTTGTGCTGAGGGAATTTTGAAACTGGTATGGTTCTTGCTCCTGACCCCTTCTCATATTTCATCTCGTTGTCTGTAGAGAATTCTTTGGCGAGACCATTTTTATGTGCTTGCAATTTGGCAAAAATGTTGCTCTGTAGGCTTTCACCATTCAGGTCATCTTTGCTCAGAAAAGATTCCTCTATTTGTCGCTGTATACCAGTTGCAGATGGCTTCCTCTTCTCTTCCAACACAAGCTGCTTTCTATTGGCTTTGATGTGGTGATGCAGGTCTCCGTATCTCTTGATTTTATGGCTAAGGTCAGCTATTTGTGCTTGGATCCAGGTGCACATTGAGCCAATTTTCACTCTGTCTTTTGCCCATGTTCGATCATAACAACTCCCGTTCCTCTGGCTAAAATGACATTAGGGTTAAGTTCACCAAGGTTTGCCACATAATTAAAAGTTCTCAATGAATTCTAATGCAATGCAAATTGGAATTGTAACTGAGTAAGACTAAATGTAAGATAAGATGATGGCATATGGTAGCAAAATATTAAGAGTCAATATTCTTCCTTTTTTGTATTTTATGCAATATGAATAAAAGATAATATAAAAACATCAAACAAAAACTTAAAAGAAACTCTTGTTGTGTTTGAAAGAAATTGAGTTGCACACAAAAAATGCTTCTCTTGCGAACTTGCAAGTTTTATTTCCTTGACAAACAAAACTCAAGAATCAGAGATGTTTTCTTAAAAATTAAGGCAGCAGTAACATATAACTTATTGTGTTATAATCTGAATACTAACAAAAAGAATTCCTAAGTGCAAAAAGTTTGAGCAGGTCAACTATGAACAAGAATAAAAAATTTCAAGATTTCTCATTAGAAAGTATTAATGCACTTTAACAAAACAATTTTAACCACTCCTTACAACTTCTAGTGACTGCCCTTTTGCCCCCCACCCCTAGGTATCTGTCATTGTGTGTATCTGTCAACACAAAATTGTGAACATGTGACAATATCAGCGTATACATATGAAAGTAAACAAATGTTTTGAAAGTACACTTGTCCTAGAAGGTTTTAGCATTGTGCAGGTTCATTATACATTTGATTTCCAATGCTGTTTTGATCACATCTGCAACAAGCTTTATGCCACCTGCTCTACTGATATAGAATGAATAGATCACTGTCACACCGTAAAGGAAAACTTGTTTTGACTTTAGTCTGCTACATTTATAAAAACTTTGGGATTTTTGGTCTAAATAGGCAAGTAGGCAGAAAACAAGGATATCTTTAAACATAGCTCATTGCATTTTGTGACAAGGAGCTTTTTCAGCATAAGCCTGTAACATGTATATATATGTTGGAAAATAGAGGATTTGGTATCCAAAGCCATGAATTAATAATTAATATGGCAAAAGCTCTATTACACAGCTTGCCAGGAAGGCACCGTGGAAGCATAAGACTAGGTGAAGGAGGAAATTTGTTGCATGGACAACACACTAATACAAATCAAATGTCAACTTAAAACCACAGCCACCAAAACATCAAAGTGTTTAAAAAGAACACAGTTAATGAATTTCCACTCTCCAATGTTAAAGACAAGATGAAACTTCCTTTTTTCATGACTAAATTAATTCCTAACTATATAATGCAATCACAGGCCACCCTTGTCCACACCAAATTATTGGTGAATTTCTTAAATAGTCTGTTAAAAATTAGCAGTAGTCACACATAGTCGCAGTAGAAAACCAAAGGTTAGGCTTGAGTGCATTTAGAAAACAAAAAATGTTGGACAGGTGATCATCCTTTCAAGTCCATCCATTTGAATTTTCTGGCCGATTTGGTTCTTATAAGAAGGGGTTCTGCAGTGAACTGTCTGAAGAGTGGAATTCACTATCCAAAAGTCAAAGCATACTTTATGGTGAGGGGCAAATCACTCCAAGAAAATCTCATACACTTTTCATGAAAATCCTATTGTTTTAACTGAAAATCCCCAGAAATCCTTTTGTTTTAGGGAAAATCTTGCACGCTATTTGCAAGAGTGAATTGCCCCTCGCTCTATGGCAGCATCCTGTTATACCAGTCTGCAGAGCATTGCAGACGCATGGCACCAGGACAGTTTAGAGCTGCACACCAAAAAAAGAGATTGCACAGCAAATTTACTAAAGCGAGATCTCGTCGAGAGCTGCCATAATCTACAGACAGGCTGTTATATGCTCCAGAGCACAGCAAGCCAGCACAGCAAGCTTTTAGTTAATGACATATTTCAATCTACAGCTTCTTTAAATCCAAGGTTCTTATATGTTGGTGCTGACAGCATAAACTCTCCCTTTTATAAGAGAAACATGTTTCGTAAATCTTTTGAATTTTCTAAAGACCTAAATTTTAAATCTTTAAATTTTTCAAATTCAAATCTGAACTTCAATAAATTTTTCTGAATTTTTTTATTGATTGGTATAACTGACCAAATAAGACTGATTATACCTGGAAAAATGTAACTGATAATAAATAACACAATTTCTGATACAATGGTACCCACTGTGCCTTCAACCATACATGAAAAAGATAATAAAAATAAAAATTATATAACATACCTTTGATTTGAAACCCTTTCACTTTGGCCAACATTGATGTGTGGAGTTATAATATCGTCCTCATCGGATTCCGGATCCGTTGCATCTGCATCTTCCAGATTCATGATCTCCTTCACACCATCTGTTAGGATACTAAACACTTCCTTCTTTTTTTCTGTTGTTGTTTTGCTCAATCCATTATTTCTTTCAGAAAGGTCCGACCTAGCATCCAGCGTGGGGCTCGGGGCCTGTGCCACTGTTTTCCTCGCAGATTCGTTCCTAAGCAATGACATTAGACTCGGGCTGGATATTCCATTCGACGATGGATTTGCCTCATTGCTTCTGCCAAAAGAAACTGGACTTTTATTCTTATCGTTTACCAATGTCATGGTATCACTCGATTTTCGGTCAATTTTTGTTCGCGGGTCATTTGGCGTTTTACTAGATTGATCGAGGGAGAGTGCTTGACTCTTTATATGCGAAAACAGGCGATTGTTTTGAAAACTTCTCAAGCGTTGTTTTAAACATCGTGCCCTACGATCTAGAGACTTAAATTTGTCATTTGCTTTGCTCGTTTTTGCTTTCAACGCAATGTATGGCGTGGATTCTACATAGGGCTGACTCCTACTGCCCTCGGTTTTCCCGCCCTCCACTTCGGATCGAGCACATGTTTCTGATGTAGCCCCAATGTTGGGGCCTGTACTTTGATCAGTATTTTCGCAATCCAACAATGAAGGATTTCTAGTTTCAATGTTCCCGTGATTGTCAGATGTAGCTTCCATTTGAATTATATTTTTTTGATACAATTTACTTAAATCTTCCTTGTTTACGACTTGGCTTTTCCAAGCCCTTTCCGCGACTTGCGTTGAAGGACGGCCGCTGCCCGGCTTTGTTTCCGAAATGCGGCCTGCAGTAGTTGATGTAATTCCTCTCTCTTTCGTTAAGTCGTTTGCCAATCCTTCCAATAAATCTGTCTTTATGAAGTCAAATTTTCGTTTCGGATTCTGCGATACGGATGCCGCTGCCTCAATTAGAGCGGGCGCCATGAATGTACAAAAATGATGAGCGCCATGCACAAAACACTGACCGAATCGATAATGGGTGAGACCACGCAACTTGACTCAGAAGAGGAGGCTTCCCCGAACCAACAAACCAAAGCAAAATTTATTCAATCTACGCGTAGTATTCCTTTCAAAATATAAAACTGTGTTAAATACCAAATGACTGATTGATTGCATCATCCTAAATAATGTAATCCTTTGGGTTGTCCCAAAACCTTGCCATCATTTCACGCTCAACTATCAAAGCGGACAGGCTGGCCGGAGCACGTGACCGCCACGGAATCAAATGGAGTCGAAATCAATCGGTCTCGCTACGCGAAGATTCGTCGCTCGTTTCACGCAAAATTTTGACTTTCTGTATTCCTGAATATCCAAGAGCAAAACAAAATGAATGCATCCAGGTATTGAGTATAATTTCTCCAACTTTAAAGCTTGATTTTATTGCGTAAATCGACGATTTAGGCGTGCAACAGGGCAACTGTCATGGCGGATCGCTGCATGGCCTTCGTACGACACAAGTCAGCACCTTGACGTAATTGTAGTAATCCAACACCCTCCACGCATGCGCCGTTTTGCTTCCACTATTGCCCAGGCCCTCCATCATGAAGTTCAACTTGTTTGGACTTGAATTATGGAAATAAAGTCCCTTTCCTTGAAAACAAACCAAACAATTCGTTAATCAAATTAAATATTTCTCTGTAGGCAACATAAAAAGTCTAAAAAGTATGTAAGGAGCAAAAGACAAATCTCTAGGCATGCACAGTTTTGCAAATATGTTTGTACAAAGAATGCTTGTACATACAGATTTCCTTTATGGTAATAGGGTAATATAAAAACAAACAAAAACATTACCTGCCATGGAAAACTGAAATGAAACAATTAGGTTTTTTTTCAAAATAATATTTTTTCAAAAATTTAACAGACACGAAAAAAACAGCAGTATCAATGTTCCCCAGCAAAAGTTCACACTTGAGAATAAAAAAATAACATGGTACCCAAAACCTTCACATCGTGCCTGAGCTAAGGAAGCATTTTAGATAAATGATGTAGTAATTAATCTGAAATCTATCAACACAAAACTGCAGAAAATTAATTACAAAGCAGATACTTAGCTACTCATTGCCAAGTCGAAAGTAGGCCATCTCAACTCACTCGGAAAAACCGAACAGCAACGAATCAACTACATGGGATTTCCCCACTAGAAAAGCAAGATTTAATGCAAAAACGTTTAAATGGTCCAGAACATAAATAAATAAAAATACATTTCATACTTAGTCGATTTATTCCCATGTAAGCTCTGCTCCCAAGATCTTGAGCTGACCCTCACAGCCCTCACTGAAGACAATAAGATAGCTTTGTTGAGCATGCGCAATAGCTTCCAACGAATTTTGTTGCCAGAAAACACAATTTTAGGGAAATTTTTATTTGTTGTTTTCTCAAAGGTTGTCATTTCAGCTACATAAACTGACTAATCTTGACCTTGAAATTAAGATTTTGAGCCACAATCCTTCTTTGAAAAATTATGTTATTGCAGTATGCCAAGGCTGACATATCAGTTACATTTCTGTTTGGAAAGTTCCTTGGCTAAGATAACTTTAAAAATAATTCGGCCTACGCATCAATTCATACATTTTTAGCAGTTTGTACTAAATTTCTGAAGGTTTCAAGCTTTAAAATTGGCAACATTATGAACAAGTTTTTTGTAAATCTCAATAATAGGCCAATTTAGTTTTAGCAACCAATCTCTTTTCCATGCCATCCATGTTTTGATAGTTACTGTTATGAGGCCTATTCATAATGACAGCTGCTTGGAAACGTGTCAACTGTGTCAAGCCGCTGCTTTTATCTCAATGAAAAGTTTGTTGCCTTTGTTGAACTGAGGAAAGAAGTTTGTATCAAAAAGTATGACTCTCAAAGAGACACTTTTATTGACATTAGCCATATGTTTCATAAATGGAAAGCTGGTTTATGGAGAAGATAATGATGATGGAGATGCGTCAGTTCCCAGTTTTCGGTTAGGTCAACAATTGAATGAAACCAAGTCTATGAGTGTTGAAAAATATTTGATTTATGAAGTCAATCCCGGAGAAGGTTTTAATCTTAGAAGAGATGTGTTTATTAGAGTTGCTAACCTAGTTAAGCTTCTACAATCTCAAGGGGAAAACATTGTTTTGGTACTCCCACCATGGAGAACATTGTATCATTGGAAATCAGGACGACAGGAAAATGCTTTACCTTGGAGAAAGTTTTTCGATATTAAGAATATAAATAAATATGTGTCTGTTATTGAGTTTCAAGATTTTGTTAGAATAAATAAAAGTCCAGGAATCGATCTGATCGTGTATTTGCAGAGGCATCCTGATGGATTTAGTAATGGATGGGATGAAAAAATAGAGGAAGATGATTGCAAAGACAAGTCAGTCTATTGGAAAGATTCCGATGGCACATATCATGGATACTTTTGGGGCCTAGAAAACGTCTATGGAAGGGATTTTAAATGTGTATCTGTTCAAGGAACAGCAAAGATATTAAGTGAATACATTGTGTCAAAAAATGTGAGGTAAACAAGTTTTTGTTTTTGGAAACTGGAAAGGTTCACATATTTATTTGTCATGTCAGTTCTTCAGTTAAGCGTTTGAAAAGGCAGAAAAGTTTGCTAGTCTAAAGGCTATTAGCTGCATGTCATTGCACACTAAATAAGCAAATGTAGTTGCCTAAACAAGCTTTGCTACCATGTAGAGCAATCAGTAGAAAGAGGTTTTCATTTGACTCGCATATTTGAAATGGTTATGCATATTATTATAAGTCTTGTCATAAACTTTCATTCTCTGTAGATGCATTTGTATTTGTTGCTATCTAGCATCCAAAGGTAGCTTTTAGGACACTGAGAAGCTATGCTTATTGAGCAGTGTCCTGGTCCTTCCTCTCGATGTAACCACACCTCGTGATTTCTATGCCTGGAATTACAGAGAGCTGGTAACTCTTCCCACTCTGGGTGAAAGTTTGGTCATGCCAGGGACTTGAACCACGGCCCCTGGCCTCTAACAACTATGCCATCCTCACTCCTACAACTGAGCCATCCTTGCACAAAAATTCAAGTTTGATTTTTGATTCTAAAATCTTAGTATGGCCTGTGGAACCAGAGATAGGAAGAGCATTAACAGACAAGTTTGTTCCTATATAAATTGTGGTATGCCCAAGTGAAAGATCAAGTTGCCCATGAAAGCAATACATTTTTGCTATTCATGCTATATCATATATTCTTTCAAAAATTTGGGGTAACCTCGCATATAGAAAATCAAAAGTTACTAGGCTGTCATGGGCAGTTGATACCCTTATTCCCCCCCCCCCTTCAAGCCCTGGAGGACATATCCTTAACAAATATAGTTAGACTGGAAATTACCTTTGTAAACTCATCCACATGGGCAATTTGTCACCCTTGTGAAAATTTCTTCATGGAAAGGCCTGACAATCAGCCACACAACAGCAAATTGAAAATGTCAGCAGTGCCAGACAACATAATTATAATTTGCTAAACAATTGCAAAAATATGACTTATTAAGAAAATACCAGGCTGTGCAAATTGAATCTTGAACATTGATACAGAACAGATCCAGAACAACTGTCTTGCATAATTGGCTGCAAGAACCCAATATTAAACAAAAGGAATTATGGTCTTGTGCCAACATCTTCATTAAGTTTTCCATGCCTAAATCGATTCAGGAATATCCTTCTAAATACAAAAGGTTTCATTTTATGATATTACTGTAAGGGAAAACCCAAGTTCGCTTTGTTGTGAGGACCTAAACATTATTTCAGCTCAACAAATCACTTTGATACTCAGGCCTACCCTTCAAAGGTGTTATCATTTTATTTAAAATGCACATCTTTTCAAATATGAATGTTGCTTTTCCTCTTACTTTCTACTCTCTTCAGTGAAATTTATGTGTTTATGTTTTTCAACAAATTGTGTTGATCAAGAATTATTTATTTGGTGCTCAGTGAAAGGAGTTGAGCCTGATAATTTCAACCACTGAGCTTTTTTGTGATCCCCTAAAATATGCTGATTTTTCTTCTGTGAGTTTTCTAATTGACTAAGCAAGATTAAAAGCCACAACTGATTGTGATTGTGAAAGAAGACCTCCAGCCTCCTGTCAGAAGGCAGCCCTACAAAATATGGCTTTGAAGAAATGTTTCTTACAAAAGAACAGTCCAACGGAGATATGAAATTTGAAATTTTGATAGTGACAATGCAGAGTTCATAGCATCTGAGAGAACCTAAATGGAATGTTGCCCCAAACGTTTCAAAGAAAATTTTCATGCCATTGAATTTTCATTGTTTTGAGAGAGTGTGAAAAGTGCCCTTTCTGAAAAAAATATTTTGTGTACTATTTTCAAAGCCAGATAGTTTTCTTTTTGACGCCAAGTAAAATAACTTTAATCAAGGCATTGTTCCAGTGATTCTCAATTTCTAACAACATCTACTGCAAAGGAGACTGTCTCTTTGGCGAGAAAAATTTCCTCAAGTGTCGCCAGTTGTTTCTCAGCTGGTTACACACCGTATTCTCTCTAATGAACGCCAGGGTCACTCATTTTATTTTTTGGCCTGAGAGGGGGGCTCTCTAATGAATGCCAGGGTCACTCATTTTATTTTTTGGCCTCAGAGGGGGCGCTCATTAGAGATGGGTGCACATTGGAGAGGGGTGCTCATTGAAGATAGATAGATATCCACCTATAAAAAACTGAGCTTTGAAATTCAAACGACCATTGTTTTTTGCAAAAATTGATATTGCATTTACATCATACTTGTTAAAGCAAAAAAATTTACAAGATGTCAATTTATTCCGAGTAGGAGCCTTCGCCGATTTGCATAAACACTGACGTAGCATCTTGAAAATTTGAATTTGCAACACCATCTTTAATGAGCACTTTTGCCCAAAAAGGGAGCGCTCATTAGAGAGAATACGGTAGGTCGACCAGTGTACTACTTTGCAGTGTATATAATCTTGGAAAATTTGATTCTGAAGATAACAACTTAGCTGTTTATTTGTTGCCTTGCTAAATTTTGGAAGAGATAGAGACTGAAAATTTTCTTTGAAATAGATAAAGCCTGAAAATTTGATAATTCCTTTCAATTTTGTAAGTTTTTGTTACTTTTATATGAATGGTTGCATTAATGTGGAATTATTTTTTTAGTATGTTTTAATTAAACGGAATATTTGTCGAATATAATGCACCTGCCATAAGTATTGGGGAAGGATGTAAGCCTGCCACGATCTCCACTTACAATAAAAATCAAACATAATAATTAAATCGAATTTTAATGAAAATATTAATCATACATTGACAAAAGGTTTACACAAAAAAAACTTCAATGTCCATGAGGAATTATACAATTAAGAAAGCCCAAGAGTACATGCCAACTGAATGAAGCAAATAGCCATTTTTGATGTGTTATTTTTTCAAAATTTCTGAATTACCATGAAAGCTGTCCTACTTTGGCAATAACCAATGTTACGAAAAAATATATGTTTGTGCCTTTTTTATTCCTTTTGGCCCCTCTGCTCAAACCTGGATCCGGCAGCCCTGCTTGGATCCTTGGCCCTTGCTATATACCTGCCTTAAGGTCATTTCAATTATTTTTCGGATTTTATCTAGTGTGTAAATATATCCGCAAATTTTAAATCTTTCCTTTAAGATTTCCCGAAGTTGGTAACTTCATTTCCAACAAAGTTGTTTTCAACCCTTTCCGAGCACAAATACTGGCTAAAACCACGCATTGGTTTTGAGGGATGGAAATATCAAAATAGTTGAAAAATGTTCCCTCCTCCCACCTTGTTAGTTCTATACCATTCATTTATAATCATGAACAAGATTTCACAATCATTTTTGTCACATATTTCAATGCAAAAACCTGTTGCCAACATTGTTGAAAAGTCCCTTTCATACCCAGATGGTTTTACTCTGAAAGCTAGCTCAGCTTCATTGTCCAGATTCAAATTTTTTAACAATTTCATAACAAAAGGTTTGGGTCATTATTCCAATGATAGCAACATTATAATGTTTATTTATAACAATCATAGATTATTAAAATGTCATGGCCTGTGATTCAATCTTGTAAAAACACATTTTAGATGTTTATATTTCTGCAGAATGAACTCCAATTTTTAAAGTTCACAAAGCACAATGGTTGTAGCAGAAAACTGTCTGTCACGCCAGATTTTTCTGTTCATAGGTTTGGAACTCGTCAGGCCACCCAAGGTGATCTATTCATTCCCTTGAAACAAACAACCCTTCATGGCCTCAAAACAGTACAATATTTTGGCTCAAAATTATGGAATGCTCTTTCACTTTTTGTAGGAGTTGCTGCTTCAATTTCTGTTTTTCGATCTAAATTAAAAGCGTACTTTATTGACTCCTATGCTTAACTAGTGAATTTGATGAGGCTTATCTGCTTCATTTATATCTTGTATTCTTATTTATATGTATATATATATATATATATATCAATATCTTTTGTTGTTTTAAATAACAATTTTCTTTAAAGTTTTCTTTTATGGGGGGGGGGGGGGGAGGGGCTCTCTCTGGATTAGTTTATCTAATTAGAGAGCACCTTCTTAATCAGTCTACTTTATATATATATACAGTCTCATATTTATTTTTGTTTGTTTGATGTGATAAATTTGTCATTATTGTAGTTGTATTAAGTTGTATTGTGATATGTACTAAATTGTATATAAAATAGATTGATGGAAATGAAAAATGAAAAAAATGAAAAACTCCTATTTGAAATCATTGCAAAAACGGATCATATTTTACAGAACTAAATGTTTTTAGAACAGTCTATTATTATTTGCATTGTTTAAATACAGATTGTTTTTTATGCTGAACACAGAAAGTACTGTATTTTCCCTCTTCTTGTTATAAATAGCTTTAAAAAGCAGATTTTTCGATGAATATCATAGATCTTGGTATTATCTGCTTTAAGACACTGATCCTAATTTTGAGATGAATCTTCTCTTGCAACAGAAGGATCTCATTAATATTGATAAATTGTGGAAACTTGTGATTTAATTTTAATAAGCTCAAACCAATTGCATCTTAAGTAGTTTGAAATTCAAAGCAGGTTGTTAGAAAGGCTGCTCTGAATTTCAAGATTAGTTCATATATTCCCCTGAATAAAAATTTTCTTTTTTGCAGTTGGCAACTTTTCAATTATTTTGCTTACTACTAGTTTCAGCCAGTTTTTGTAAATACTGTTTGGGTTTGTTTCTCAGTGGGGCTCAGTGGGGTACAAGAGTCACCTGTTCAATTTGGTAATGAAAATCCAGTGAATGTAGTATGTTGAGTATGAATTTGGGAGATGTTTGATTATATTTCTATTGTAACAAAATATTCCTTTAATTTTTTAGATCAATACTAATAGATAGGTTTGAAGAAGTGTTACACATTGGATATGGGGATTCAGAATTCTGGAGGGTAAGTCTAGCTCAGTTATTTTTTGTCTCTTGTGTACCATTTTTCAAAATCTTTTGCTGTGACTGTTAAGTTCCCCTTGGTCCCCCTATTTTCCAGCCTGCATCGGAGCCCCTGATTTTGTTACCAAATATTTGTAATCAGTGATTCTTTTGGCTGTGTTCAGAGGAGATTCCAAGTAGGGCTTCCACTGTCAAACTTTGAAGTATGATAGCCAATTTGTTATCTTTAGCTACATTACCTTCTACTATCCAAAAACAAGCATTGAGCTGGAGACTACAGTATTTAGGAGTGAGTGAAAAAAATAGAAAGAGCTATGTGAACTATGGTTTCAATAAGGTAAGGGGTGAAATTATCAGGATCTCAGTAATAAAGAGGTAGCCCCTGATGTTCAATGAGTAGACTGGAGGAAAGTAATGAGAAGGTCATCACTTCTGTATGTAGTGATCCTCCCACTATAAAATGAATGGAACAAGACCAGTAACTGTCTTCTATTTTTATATAATTGTACTCTTTGCATGACCCCAAGAGGTTTGGTTGTTAAGACATGACCTGTTCTCATATACTAGCTGGGGGTCATTGATCTATTCAGGTCATTGCCCCTCAGATAGCAATGGTCCTTTGTTTTGCAGAAAAGGCTATTGAGCAAAACAACCAGCTGAAGTCTTACAGAAATAGCAATGTGCTGAGATCCAGCACTTGCGATATTGGGTTAAATGTGGCCTTTACACCAAGGGTATGCAATGAATTTGGTAGACCTGCAAATTTCCGTCTTTGTGAGATTATTAAAGATTCGGTCTTTCAAATATTGACTTGAAATGGTTTTCAAATCTTTTAATTGTGATAATATGTTTGTAACACTGTATATGGAAAAGAGCGGCCAAATTTAGAGTTTCTTTTACAGGTTCAAGTTTCCTATAAAATTCAACCAAAGCATCAATATATCACAAGCCAATGCGTGACAATGCATTTTGTTTGTTTGTAATCTTATCTTAAATCGAATATATATAATTTCAAGCTACAATACAGTAACTTGTCTAATTCGATTGTTTACAAACTATACATATTTAACTAAAAAAAAATTCAATAGTTTTTAAATACAAATTTACAATAAAATCATTAAGTTTTGCATACGTTGCATGTACAGGTTGCCCCGTCCCAGTTTATAATTAATCTTTTGTATTGGGTCAGAATTTCCGCAGATTTTATTTTCTGTGGTAAGCCATTCCAAATTTGTGGATCGAGAGACATTCCAAACTTCATTTGGTTGTCACTCTTTATTTGTCCTTGCTTTGTCTTCTGTCTTGATTTTGATGTACGTTTTTTGATTGTAATTTGGAAAGAAACGTCAACATGGAACAACCAGTGGGTTCTGATTAGCGCCTGGTCACTGAATAAACCTTGTTTTTGTAATGAAAGCCTGGCTTTGATTTGGATCAGTAGGGTATTCACATCCTCGACTCAACAACATTAGTTTTATCTGCTAAGTAAGAATATGCTTTTCTGTTGATCGAATGAGTTCATTCACAAAAACAAACACAAATTATCCTTAGTCACAAATTTGCTAGGTTGGTTAGTAAACTGTTAAGAGTAATTTTCAAGGTAATGAACTTTGGAAATCATAGGTTTTCAGGACCCGCTTCTCCTCATTCCTCTTTTTATGTGGTCTCGGGTATTTTTCCGCTTGGAATGGTAAATGTTTAGTGTAGTATTTAAACAAATTAAGCGGAATATTGTCTTATTACAGGCCCGGCGGAGTCTCGTATTTGCAAAACCCCTTCGCCGAGAAGCCGACGATTTTCGCAAGAAAGTTCTCGATTCAACGGACGAAGGTGACATCACTCCGTACAACGACAAAGACTGGAGGGAACAGATTCCAAAAGATGGGTCCGCAAAAGGGGGCAACTACTTGGCTGTTCATATGAGAAGAGGAGATTTCGTGTTCAGTGGCAGAGAAGGAGTACCATCAATAAAAGCGGTCGCCAAGCAAATAAGAAACCTGCTTAAGAAAACAAAACTTGAAGCTGTATTCCTTGCTACTGATGGCAGCGACAAAGGTTGGTGTCCATTTTAAAATTACTTCTCTAGCGATTAGTTCAAGAAATCTTCTTCTGAGCTTAATTATTAAAACATGACGGCAAAGTTGAAATAAGCGTGGTTTGACCTGCTGGAAAGGATCTCCCTAATATTGTTTCAGCTTTTTAACCTGCTGACTTTATCATTGTTTATGACGTATTCGACGTGAACAATAAAATTTGAAAATTGTTTGGAAATTCATACTAAATTTCTTTTCGTCCGACAATCCTCAGAGCGTTAACGTCGGATAACAGAATGCCGAAATGATGACGTCACGAAGGCTGTGTTAAGATGTTTTCAATTTTGAGTAAACCCCGAACAATTATACGAAATACCTCTAACAATGCAAAATTTGTTGATTTTGTTAAAAAATTGGCTGAGATATGACCAGATGAGCACAAGCTCTTGCCTCATCAAACCTCTGTAATTTGGTCTTAGTTCATAACTTTATGGACCAAGCCAGCAGAATTGCAGTGATCCATTAGTAAACTTGAAATATTTCATTGGCAATATCATCTCGTCCAATTTTGAGCATATCTAACTGATATTGCATGTTGAGAGGTATTTCATGCCAATGTAAAGCTAAGGAAAATTATTTATGTCCAAACAAGTCGGAATCTTTAGTTGTGATGTAGACAGATTCCAAACATCTAAAAGAAAATAAATCCTTGCCTGTACAAGATTTTACAATTGCTATCACTATAAGTATTTTGTTCTTGTATTCAGATTTAAAAATCTATACAAGTTTTGAGAAGTTGCACTTTTTTCGTTGAAAGTTAGAAAAATTATTTTGTCACATTATCGAAAAGATCTAGAGTGTTGAAGTAGGGTTTTATGATTGTATGAAGTTTTTTTTAAAAAATGGTTGAGTTAGAACAAGTTTTTGGCAACAACAGTAACACCTGTAACTTAACAAAAAATGTAGGTTGCTATGGTGACGTTTCATAGGCTGAAAGGAGTGTTAAATGAAGTTCCTCGTTGATGACTAGTTGCTCTCAAATTTATCCATTGTGGGATACAGCGGCCGGAATTTGACGGTTTACCAATTGTATTGCGTACCGTTTGGTGTTTTGATTCCATTGTATCTGTCGGAGCCTGAGTCGTTGACATTCGTGTATTTATAGACCTATTTCCTGCAATTTCTCCCTTAATCCAAAAGCCTTTTGTGCCAATTTTTTTTACGTTTATTTCAAAATAGAAATTTCAAGTACATTGGAAGCAAAATTGTTTTTATACATTCAGATCAGATTTGAATACACGTTTTTTTAATAAAAAAACTTGGCTCCAGTTTCAGCCTGGCCTTTCTTATTTTTCCGCATAATTTCAGCTTAACGTATTTCTTATTTTGTTTCTTATTTTTTAATGGAATTTCGTGTGCATGGTAGTTTCCTGTCATAACATGTGCTTGATCAAGTAATTAATGCTATCTTGCTTATCGCTTTCTGTTTTTTTTGCTGCTGCTGGTCTTTTATTTCTCGAGTTTTGTTGAATTTCAGCCTGCCTTGTTTCTTATGTTGTTCTTATTTTTGGGCAATTTTTCAGCCTGATGTTTCTTGTAAGGGTTGTTCTTGTGACCCTTTTTTAAAACCATTCAAGAATTAAAAGGTTCTTGAAAACATCGTCTGCATCAACAGTTTCCAGTCTTTTGAGTGTAGAAAATAGTTATTTGCATACACTTTTAGTTGCCTGATCAAGAGACGTTTGTCTCATAAGTCGAAACAATAACACCTGCCTTTGTCACTAGGCCGGCAAAAGAGAGTTCGAAAATAGTGATGTCACGAAGACCTACATTTAGAGTCTTTTTAATTTGGATCGCATTAGCTGAAAATGCATCATGAAATACCTCATGCAATGGATCATGAAATGTGCAAAATCAGTCAAATGTGTTAGAAACTTTAGGAAATATGGCTACTAAAGCACAGGTCCTTTCTTAGTCTCTGTTCATAACTTTATGAACCAAGTCAGAGTAACAGCATTCCGTTAGCAAACTTCAAATATTTCATGGACCATATCTTATTCAATAATTAACATAGGTTTTAGTGTAAAGAACAGATCGCCTATTTGTAAGTTGCTACTCCGAGTTTCACGCTTACTGCAATGCGATCATCGCTCCATTTTTTAATTTCGCTCGAAACTCCATGCGGTCACCAGTCGAAATGAGCATTCCATGGTTGAAATTTGAACCTCCTTTTTGCCACAAAAATATGCTAGGTGTGGTCCCTTCTGAGCAATTCAACAGTTTGCCCTTCCTGAACCTGAAAGTGATTGCAATTTCCGTGGTAATTTCAATGACTCATTTCCCTGTCTTATTTCTCTTTACACTCATTTTTTACAAGAAACTGGCTGTAAGAAACGAGTACTGGACAGTCAGAAAAAATTAAGAAAATTCAGTACTCGAAGCAAAAAAATTAAGAAACTATAAAATCGTGATAAAACTGAGAACAACGAAATTGTGTAAAATCCAAGAACATGATTGCCCTGATGGCCTAGAACTTAAGACACAATGGATAGAAATATACTTTCCACATCTAAATTTCAGCATCAGAACGGAAGCGAATCTCTTGACGTGAAAAAAGGTCACAAACATTTCGTAACATCATTCATGACATTATAATTAAGAAACTCTTAAGAAACAATGAGTATTGAAATTTCCAGAACATTAAGAAACTGGAGTACTCAACATCGACCTTTGTTTCTTATAAAAAAATGAGTGTATCCTCGAATAAAGCCACAAAGCTTATTTGTAAAGTTAAATTTGTAGATGTGGGCCTATTCTAGGAAAGGGGGGCTTATTAGAGGGTGGAGGCCTATTAAATTTAAAGTAGATACACGTATTTTTTATAAGAAACTAAGTTCCGGTGCTGCTAGGCAGTTTCTTAAATTTTCTGGCCATTTTGCTATCTAAAGTTTCTTAAATGTTTCTTAAAGTTCTTAGGTAATGAATTTTTTTAAACGTGTTTCCAAGGTTAAGTAAATAGTTCACTCGCATTCGGAGATAAACTAAGAATGTGATCAAGGAATTTTGTTTTCCTAGAATGACTAACTCGGTTGAGATCTGTAAACAAGCTCATTGAGCTTCATCAATGTCAAGTTGAAGTCAAAACAAATTTTTAAATGGAAACTTCTTGAGTGTGCTCATTACATTACTGAGAATGAATGCAAACTGCATGTCAAGTGTAGTGTTGCAATATACAGTGATGTTCAATGTCAAGACTGTTTCGAGTGTCAACTTGGAAAATTAAAACTGCAAATTATAAAAGTTTCTTAGCTTTTTTCAATTTGGGTAGGGTTGTTCCTCAATTTTAGAAAAATTGAGCGTACCGTTTCTTATAACCTGTTTCTTTTGAAGAAATATGAGTGTACTGTTTAGAAACTCGGTTTGTAAACGTGTTTTGTGGGATGTTTTTTTGTTTAGAATTGAGTTGCACATGAAGATCGTATAACAGTCTAACCAACGATCCTATAAAATGAGAAACCTTTGCGTAACCTTGAGGTTTTCAAACATTCAGTGCTGGGAATGTTAAGTGTTTTTTAGATAATGGAGTGTAGTTCAGTTGCAGTTTATTAGGCCGATTTGATTTGTTTTAAAGTCGTGTCTACTCAAGATATCCTGTCTCATTTTAGAGGTTGAAGAGCTCCAATCAAAAGTGAAAGTACCACTTCGCAGATTTAGGCCGTCACCGGAAGCTTTACGCAAATATGGCGACGGAGGGATTGCAATTATTGATCAATGGATTGCAGCTCACGGAAGGCACTTCATTGGAAGCTGTGAATCAACTTTTTCGTTTCGGATCCATGAAGAACGGGACATTTTGGGTTTCCATCCTGATACCACTTATAACTGCTTTTGTATGGAAAAAGACATGGGGAAATGTGAGCAACCGACCAGATGGAGGGTGCAGTTTACATGAAGTAGCAAGTCAATTTCTTTATTGTACATTGGACAATATGTTATCCAAGCGTTAGTTGGCAATATTTTAATGATAATTTCGTTGCTAGATGTAGTCATATAAAGGTAAATATTATTTAGTTATACAAGGGAAAGAAAAAATATTTTTAACATACATTTACGCGTTTTAGAAAGGTTGGAATGATACTAGTACTCAATTTTTCTTAGAACTTTCTTAACCTGATATCAACCATTTTTAGGAGCCTTTGAAAAATAAGCATTCTAAAATATTCTTTAGCTTTTGCTCATGATACTCTCAAAGTATTAAACGTTTGAATATGTAATCGAAAACTCAAAACAAAGAATTTAATGTAGTCAGTTGATAATTGAAATAGGCCAATCAGAAATGGAAGCACGTGACTGTAAAGGTTGCCCAATCAGCGCCGCTTGCCTACTGAAAACATTGGAGAACCTTTTCTGTCTATTTGCCTGCAGCTTTAAGGGAACTTGTAAATACATAAAGCATGGTCGCAAAGGACAGATTCGGTTCGAGTCTCAATCAAGGCTAGTTTAGAAACTGTTTAAGCCCAGGAAGAAGTGAGATAAGTTTTGACAAATAAACATAATTTGTAAATGAAATATAAAAGGAGTTGTTTCTCTACGTGATAGAAAGCGATTTCTGAAATTGATAAATCACAGCTAAATACTTTCCTAGGCTAAAAAACTCATTACTGAACTGTCTTAACTTTTTTAGGAGCCGAGTACTACAATTTTCTTGCAAACCAGTTTCTTATAAAAAACATGTTATTGGGATAGTTTCTTTATTTAATTTAGCAGATTAGTCTAAATTAGTTGATGTCATCTTTTTCCCTGTTCGTCTAGTTGTTGTTACTTTTTAATTAGGGGTTATGCGATATTGTTGTCAAATTGTACTTTCGCAGGTCTATAAAAATAGTTAAATTTACTTGTAGGAGTTTCTGAAATTTAACTGTCTGCTCAAATTGTTTTGTTTTGTATTCTTATTGATTTCAAAGTACAGATTAACTTGCTGTTGCAGCGGTATAGCCACGGTAGCTTTAGCTGGATGTGTCTAAATATGGGTTCTGGGGGCGAGACCAAGTGGCATAACGAACTGAAGTTGCTTTAAGTTCAAAAACTAAGGGCCCCTTACCTTAAGGGGATCCTAGCAAAACCGGCATTCTGGAGATGATGAACGAGTTTAAGGAGCACCCAAACTTGTATTATGTATCAGTCAAAATGAATTGAAAGCCTGTTTGAGGCACACTCTTTGTTTTGGCTGAGGGGGTCTTCCCCAAAAGCACTTCTAGAATGAAGAGTGCAGTCTGTAAACCCAGCCCCAAAAATCATTTGCACGCCGCCACGCTGATTTGGGAGATGACTCCAAGCCAAAAAAATTAGGCCTAAATACGTAGTATACAAACTTGCTTCGAATGCAAACCTTTACAATTTTGCGAGAATTATTATAAAAATGAAAACTTGGGAAAAATTATTTTTTTATCTGTGATAAAAGTCGGAAAAATTTGCTTTTTGTGAATTAAAACTAGAAATTTGTGTTTTCTGGGAAATGTTTCGGGAGGGCTAAATACCCCCGAAGTCCGCAACCACTCCTGCGACCCTTGGCGGCTACGTTTTAATTTATTACGCAGTTGAAATACAAACATACTGGTGCCAGAAGTCGAGGCTTTGATATCATCACTGAATACATGAAAAATACCTGCTAGCAGTTGAATCATATTCCAAATTTAAATATTGTTAAATAAAACCTCAGAAGCAGACGGTTTGTTGCTAGGCAATTCATTTTTTACTTCTGCAGCGAGATACAGTCTTTTGAACTGAGATGTGTACCCATTCAAAGTCTCTGTCAGAGTCCTTAGAGCGCCCTGTCGCTCAATTGAAAAATTGACTGTTTCCGGGAAAACTTTTATCAAAACAATGTTGGTTGAAGAGTTGAAATAATGACTTTTTCATAGGGAGACCATTAGACCACACCGAAGAAGCTCTTTACATTCCATGGAGTAGCAATGCTTGCAGGGGGAGAGAGAATGCAATAGAAAATCTTAAAAAATCTCGTGTAAAATAACCTTGGGCGTCCGAGAACTGAAGCGTCCTTCAGATCAAGCCAGTAGAAACTCTCTGAACTGACTAGTGAGAAAGATATCAAATGCAATAGAAAATTGATATGTTTATTCATTGTACAAATAAGAATAAAGAAGTAAATTAAAACTAAAAAGGCACATTAAGCCATTAATTTGACGAAAGAATCCCTTCATGTTCACAAAAAACTCGCCTTTCATCGTGAGACGAAAAGCAGAGAGCCTGGAAACGATTCTGAAGAACGCCAACTTCAAGGATGAAGGACCAAGTCTCAGGGAAGGGAAGGGACAACTTCTTCAAAATTTCCAAGGGGGCGATTCTAAGAATAAGTTGAAATGCATATCCTCTTGTTCAGACATCAGAAATGTGCCAATGTTTTGGCCCCATTCATTGTACTTCAATTGGGGGGAAGCCTATGTTTGCATAAAAGGGACAAGGGGTTTGCTAGGCTCTTAGCCACCAGTGTATAATATTTTTATTTTAACCTACTCTTTTAAAATAGAAAAGTCATTAGGAAAATATTGGAAAATTAAGGAGCTTTGCTCAGGGTTTTTAGGACGTACACACAGTTTATCTCAAGCGATGACTAGAATACTTAGGAAGCTTTCAGACGAGGGCGTTTCATTATTTTTTGCATTTGTTTGAACTAATGAAGAGCATTTGATGATAAACAGTGCCATCAACCTGCACTATAATTATATAGGTCCAAGCCTACCTGAAAAGCTCAAAACCTGATGAAACGATGCATAAACTTTCGGCGGTATTGGGAAATTGCAAAACATTTAGAATGGGCTTAGGTTTGCCATTGATAACACTTAACCGTAACCATAGAGAAAATATCATGTTTTTTTGCAATTTCGCAAAAAGTGCAATTGTTTCGCGATGAAATTATTAATACAAAAAAACTGTCCTTCAGTTAAATGTAAAATGCATCTGGTTGCGAAGGATTTCATGCGAATTACAACTTTAAAAATTGGATTGCTAGATTTATTGTCGATAGTACAATTACACGATCTTTTCAATTTTATTAAAGATGCCTACACAAAACAATGTTCAGAAAATGCATTTGGCTGCGACTAATTTTGTTTTTTTTTTCTCGCATTTCTTCGTTTATTTAGTTATGTATTTATTCTAAATTTCACATGCATACTGTTAGAAATTCGAAAAACTTACAAGTACATTTACAAAATTATGGAACAATGTAAAAGGGAGTTTGATAATATAAACATTACTTGAAGGGAAATCGGTTCATCAAACCAACAAAGAGCAAACAATCAAGTAATCATTGTACACAGGGAATTTTTCAAAGGAGGAAACTCTCTCAGTCTTCCTAAGAGAGCACCCCCTAATAAATCATACGATTTTTGCTTAATTGTAATACCAAAATGTTGAAATTGCAAGTTTGTAATTTCATGTCAAACACAGATAATAGAAATTAAAATATGTAGACTAAAATATGTTGAAGAAATCAATTTATCTCAACTTTCATGCTCATTTTGTAGTTACATCAAAGGACCAGTTTAAAACTCTGCCTCAGTTTTCAATCACAAAATATTTTGAGATGAAATCGTCAAAGGAAACAAGACCAGTTTTTATGATGGCTGGCAATCTACTAAGCACAGACGAGACACAAACATACAAGTTACCTATGACCTTTATTGGTTATTGATATTTGCGACTTATAGGTCTAAAATACAACCTTTCATTCGCCCTTGGTGAATCAAGACAGCGGAGGCCTTAGGCCATGCATTGTCGGGGCATTATCGCACATTATCGCCTGCCATTGATACTTCTTTTTGCAAAAAACGCGTATTTCATAAACATAACAAAAAGGCAAGTTCATATATATACCTGATAAATGATAAATGTTCCTTCGTCTTTAAACAGAAAAACAGAACTTCTCTCCTTGTTTCTCAATGTATAAAAACCAGATCAAGGTATGTTTAATGGTACTTGATTTGGTTGCAGTAGAAATACCCCGTGGCATTGTGCCTGGGCGGATCCCATGAGACACGAAAAATCGATGGTGTATTATCCCAAGAGATTTTAGATTTTTGTTTATGATATTTGTATATGCGGAACCTGTATATACATTGATGATTTATTTCTTCTTTAATTATTTAATTATAATTTATGATTTAATTTCTTTTTAATCTGTTGATCTATCATGTTATTTTTGAAATTTGTTCGCTGAGATAAATTATGAATATTCTGATGACCTCCCTCTTGCTACAAATCTCATTCAGGTTATTTTCAAGCATCCAAAAAGGTATATTTCATATATTAGACTGAACATTATATCGGAATATATTTCATTTTTGAATTAAAGGCAATAAAGAGTGAGGTGAAATAACACCTGGACTATTCATATTCTGGTAGCATTAAAAATAATTATGCTGCATTAATTACGATCAAATTTCTTTGTTTGCTATAAGATAGTTGTATTACATTTGCCTATAAAATGTTTCAACAATTAGAAGGCCCTCGGAAAAGAGCTTTGTAATTTGAAGGAATATTCACGAACCTGAACTTGAATTATGGATGTGCTTAGGAATTATTTGGCTTTACTAGATATGTACACACAAAATTATGCGACTGTATCAAAAGCACTGGACAAGTAAAAGCTGCGAATTTTGGCGTGAAGAGGACAGAAATGAGTTCAGAATTTAGACCGATGGTTTCACAATCTTTGTAAATCTTTCGCGTAGATTTGACTATAAATGGAAACTGGTTTCAAGAGGAGGATTGGTTTTCGATTTAAAATTCAAAGTTGATACTAGATTAAATAATGCAAGATGTAAATAATGAAATTTTACCTAATAGCGACGAGCTTACAAAGATTATCATGGTCGATTATTATTTCGTAATGCAATATGGTTGATATTTTGATAACATGCTATTTTATAACAGAAACCAAAGGTGAGTTTCTGAAAACAGTAGAAAACACATCGAGCGAAAATGTGATTTATGAAGCTCAAAAACTAGCTATGCTGTTTAACAATTTTTTTCATAAAAGGAATTTTCTCAACAAAAGGTAAATCAGAAAGGAAAATTTGTGACTTTCAGAAGATCATCGACTGCAATTTTTAGGACTATAGAGTACCGAAGTGTGACATCATCGAAAATCTTTTTTAGAATTTCTTAAATTTGATCACATGATCTGAAAGAACAGCATAAAATACCTCTCAATATGCAAAACCAATTAGCTATGCTCAAAATATGACTAATGAAAGATTTTAACTTTGCTAACAATCACTGTTATTTTGGCCTGGTTCATAAAGTTATGAACTGAGACCAAATTACAGAGGTTTGATAGGGTAAGAGCCTGTGCTCATCTGGTCATATCTCAGCCAATTCATAATATCTTTCAGTGATTTTGCAGATTTAGCGGTATTGCATGATGCTCTTTCAGGTTCAGGGATCGAAATTAAAAATTCTAAAATATGTTTTTATGACGTCATCACTTTGGTACTCTATACTGTTCAGGCTACGATTGCCTTAAAGCCTTCAGGGTTCACCAAAGAATCGAGCCAAAACTGCGAGAACTATTTGTTAGCCATTGCTTTTAATGACATTATATTCTACATAATGACATCATATCCTCATTGATTTAAAACTTTCGATAGGAAATGTAAATGTAAATTTAATGTATTCAAATCCAGTTATATTTTGTAATTTAAAGTATACAAGTATTGGAATATGGTGGAATCCACGGAGAATAAAAGATAACACAACTGCCCGAATTTACTTGAAAATTGTCTTCAATCCGATTGAAAACTAGGCTTACATTAATCTCAGTGTGCCGAGGAAGATATAGTTAGGCTGTACTGGAACAAGCTTTGGTAATAAACCTTCAATGCCAACACGAGAGAAAATGCAATAAAAATCACAGTGCCATTGACGAATCACATCTATTTCTGATAAGGCATTGTATAAGATCGTCAACATAAAGACTTTTCAGAATACCATCAATAAGAATAATATATACGCCGTTTACTGTCCCTTTCGAAAGTAAAGTAAGGAACGATAGAATTACATGTTTAAACGACCTCTGGCGTCACAAATACATTTGATTGTCCTTGGGGTGAAAACACTTGTAAGATTTTCCTTTCAACTTAAAGATGTTGACAAAGGGAGGGACAGCCTAAGAGGATTCTCCAACAAGAACCGATCAAGGGTCTTCAATTTCTGCCAAATAATAGAGCATATAAGGTTCCGGGAATATATTAGGGAAACAATATTTTAGAAAATGCCATTATGGGAAACAGGAACGATGATGCTTGCTGATAACATAAGTATAATGTGGCCCGAACTAACAATGGATCTTAAAAACAGGTAAATTTCACCTTAAATAAAACCTAGAGGCAAATTTCACTAGATCTCTAAAACATCCACCAACAGACGACACTAAGCAACCAGAATCAATAATTTACTAGACTAAGAAGCACAACAGACATTGTTTACGACGCTAAAACTATGGGAAACAATACGTTTTTGCTTATTTCGAATTTTTAAATAGATCTTTTGCATAGAGGCACTGAAATACAGGTAGTGAAAAAGGGCGTGGTTAAGTAAGGTCATATTCCTGCACGAGAAACGCGGTTTCACGCGAGGACTGAAGCTGAGATGATTCTTAGACAGAGTAAAATTTAATGTCAACTCTTGATAATTGCTTAAAAATCATACTCCAAAGGGATAACTGTATTTCCGTCATCTCCTTTGAAATGTCTCATTAAAAATCATACTTCATCTGCCTCTATGCAGCAAATTGTGCTTTTTCGCTTTACAAATCAGTGCTGTTAGACAATTTAAATAGAAGTGATCGATCTTCATTAAATTTTCGTTCGATCTACAATAGTTGAGCCGGGACTAAACATCCAAGAACATTAATTTTCTAGTACATAACGATATATACAAATTAACATAACAAGAAGGCAAAAGCTTCTTCTAAAATTTAAAATCTAGTTAAGAATTAATACCAATAACTTCAAAATGGAAGAAAATGCTACTCCAGAAAAATAACCTAGAATAACAAGATAATTACGAAACATTTCTCCGAAAATTTAGACTATGTATCCTTGGAAGGTGACGGAGAAAAAAACTCTTTGGGGAGAAATGACAACACGTCAAGAACGGAGTTTGATATCTAAGATTTGATAGCTTTGGAAATTTGAGAGGAGCACGAGACACTATGAATCACGCTAAAGGAGAAAAACTTGATTGATCAGAACAGCAAATAAATTTAGTAGACTTCAATTTGATAATAGCTACACTAGAAAGCATAAAAGCTTCCATTTCTAAAACAGGAAGAGAAACAGTTCTGCATCAGCATACTTCTACACACAGAAATTGGCATAGCAACATTGGCTATGCACAAAATACCACATAATAAAAATCACAGCCTTCTTCAAAGTGGTCTTACATTTGTCCTAGACTAAGGCGGCTCTCAGAATATTTTCACATGATTTAGCAAAACAAAGCCACCTTTACGATCAAAAATAAACTACCAGGAGTGTCTTGCATACAGCCATGTGCAGTTACAAGTTCAAATTTGTTTTACAGGCACACACCAGTGTTGATTTATGCGTTTGATCCGCCAACTCGTGTGTAGTAACATTTGTAAATGGAAGAGGAATTCAAGTTGACGTGAAAACAAAATGTGTTTGTGCAATGAGCAGCCAAAACGCTGCGATACATCGATGGGGACTCTACGCAAAATTTAGAATCGTTTCGATAACCTCAGGCGAACTGCACATGCAGAAATCGCAAGAAAACAAAATCATTGCAGTTGCATTCTCGGATATACACTTTTAGGGGTGTCCACACGAAGATCTTTTGAAACTGATGCTCTTTGGTTGAGAATTAATTGACAGTAATCTGAAAATCTCCCTGCGTGTAGACGAAAGACATTGCTACATATGTGAGATAGCCATGTGATCTACAAATGCCTACGTGAGAAGAGAGCCATGTTGTGTCTCAAATGTGTCACACGGGTTCACAGGTCAACGTTTTCCAAGTTCCAACTAGTCTGGAAATTATCTAAAAACATTTTTTCCTGCGATAAAGCAAAAATGCTTTATGCAGTTTGAAAAATTCGATGAACCATCTAGATGAATTTGGAATTTTTAAGCATTAATGAGAAGAATTTGAAATTCAGTACAAATTAGTTCCAGCAATTTAATCTAATATTTTTCGCATCTATGTTATAAAATATCCATGTTAAGACCATTTGGAAAGCCATATAAATGTGAAATTTCTACATCTGACTCGCCGATTTTGAGCTTCTGATATCAACCTCTGAAGGTCCACCGTTATCCGCGTTTCGCTGCAGCTTCACTTGCTTTAAATGATCATTAAGTCTTTGTCTCGCGTCTTTCCGCGCTTTATCTTCGTCGACGTAGTTATTGTTTTTACTCGTCTTTCGGCTGCGGGGACTTTTCCTCCGGGGGGTTGGTGATAATTTGCCGTCCTGAGAAATAACGAAATTTGAGATAAACAACAATTCAGAAAATAATCGAATAACACAGATGCTTTAACTGATCCAAACTGTATCTGATCGCCTTAGACCCTGTTTACACGAGTGAAAATGGAACCGTTCCAAAATTTGAACCGTTCCATTTGGGACCTGCTATTCGTTCTCTGTTGGCTCCGCTACAGATGTAGTTCCATTTGGAACCGTTCCGTTTGGCTTCCGTGTAAACGGGAAGGACCGCTTGGTACCGAGCCAAAAGATAACGCTTAGGAAATGAGGCTATACAGGGTAATGAAAAGTGATCTCTTTGTTTATTCAGTTTCAGTTTAGTCCAAAACATTTGTAGGTATATTGTTTCTAGCTTCTGTTTCTGTGTGTTCTTGTCGAAAATAAAAATGAACCTTGCGATTTACTGATTTTGTCCGACACTGTTGACAAAAATAGTTTGAGTTCGTCAATAAATTCTCTCTTCATCTTAAATCAATTTAAATCTAGTAGCATGCAATGTTAAATAAAAAGATTGCTAAACTGTTGTAGTTTTAGAAAAGACGCTTTTATTTAAAGGTGTTAATCACAATGCTTGATTGAACACAATTTCTATAACTGAACGAACTTTTTCAATAGCATTGTTCTTTGAGTTGTTTTTGTACTTGAATGTAAAAAGTTTGATATTGGAAAACGTGTAGTAAACAGTTTTATTTTTGTTCTTATATGTCTGTTGAGGAGAAAAAAACACAACAAATAAATTTGCACAAAACTCTGATAAAAACAAAGATTTTAAAAATTTCAAAACTTACTGGAGAATCCTTCGGTTCTATACTCTCCTTCCAATTATTATTTCTCAGTTCTTCCAGATTATCAAACATTCTGTTGACATCTTCTACCTGGAAATAATGCACATGAGGTGAGTAAAACATTTGTGGCTAAGAAAGACACTTTAAAGACAGTTTAATTCCAGCAGAAACAAAAAATGCCATTTCCGAAAAAATACGCATAAAAATCGATTAACACTGACATTCGTAAGCCCCAAATTTTTATTTCCTTTCGTAGAAATGCGCAATAAGAAAGAAACTGACAATTTGTTCTCATTTTGCCTGTTTATTTAGTTGTAGATCAAGCAGTAAATGGGTATCCTTTAGCAAAAATTGAGTTGATCCAGAGGGGGGGTTGGTGAGCGGGGATGTATGGTGTTGCTAACAAAGAACAGCGAAGAAAAGAGCCTCGTTACTACTGGACCAAGACAAGTGTCCTCGCTAACAGGCAGTTCCCCTACTGATGGTTCATTAGAAGGAGCCAACTTTATCGCTAACCTTTATATCACCCAACGCTACATATATTCAAATTCCTTTGAAACTTTTCAGGGTGATTTTGACCGTGCACTGATCTAAATTATCGATCGTTGTGGGAAATTACTTAAGCAAAGAAACTTGCTAAAAATATCACACACTCTACAGAGTTAGATTAAACAGTTAAAACCTCCAAATAACATCAAACTTTTAAAAAACCATAGCGAAAATTAAAAAAATAAGTAATATTATTTTGGAATAATACTTTCAAAAGCGACGTGCTGGCAAAAATGAGCTCAGAAAACGGATTCATTAGAAATCAAAACCTGAGTTGATTGGAATTAGCTTCCACGAAAATAAAACACAAAGATCGAATGATTTGCAACATTCAAGGTTAAAAGCGACTGCATCCGCCGCTTTAAATAGATGGCCATAAATTTGCACAACTTTTAAAACTTTTAAATAATTATGAGCATACCTGTATTGAGACCATATCCCAGAATCCTTCGAGGTCCGTGGACATTGGGCGCTTCTTGCCTGGCGAATTTTCCTGGTAAAACAAAGCATGGTGTGAACTCATTAAAAATTTCCCAAAATAACTTGCAAGATAAAATACAAGAAAATTAATATTTAAACATTATCAAAAATTGATTATACTTTCAAGGTTGATACAATAAATTTGGTTTTCCTTTTAGTATTTTTGTTGTAACTGTTTTATGAAAAACGGGTTCAAGCAAGATTGCAAAATGATTTACATTGATAAGGGGTTTCGATTTGACAGAAACTTTCTCTTTGCACCTTAATGAAGACGTTATTTTTTGGATTCATATTTCATGGTTTTTGATGGAGACAAAAGAAACATCAAACAAAGATTATGTCAAGGTTTAAAGATGAACGAGGCACAGAACGTACCCTGCGCCATTGCATAAAAGTTTTACAGTAAAATATTTTACGTAAATGAAATAGAAAATGGTTTAAAAAAAGCAAATATTTTACAAAATATATTGGCTTTTTTTCAAAGCCATTTTCAAGTTCTGTACCGCCTAAAAATTGTAAATGAAATAATAATCCAGGTGTTAAGAAATGTCAGGAAGATTTAAAATACTACCACAATGTTACAGAATTCACAAAACTTTTTCGTTTAGTAAGAAAATACAGCAATGTCTTTAGAATCAAAGAAAAATACTGCAAATGGAGAACCCCATAAATGAAAGTTCTAAATGTATGACTTCGACACAAGAAACAAACTCTTTAAATAAAGGTTCAAAATTTTGCACATGACTTCTTTTCAAGTATTCCTAGCAAGCTTACATTAAGTTTAAGGATACGGCGCTCTGTGTTATCTTAGATACTTAACTCGGCTGATTGATCTTTTCTGAAGTTACGTACTAGCCTTTCTATCTTAGGTAACCTCCCGCCTACTTAAAGCCGCGAAGCTGTAATATTTTTTGTACTCTTTTATAATCACACTTCGATTTAAGTCACATTTCGCTTACAATCAACGTCTCAAAACTTTTTTTATTCAAACTCGAATCAGCTGTGATGAATTTAATTACAGCAATCAGCATTGTTAAATAAAAAATTCGTTAACACGTCGGTTTCTTCAATTATAGAAGGTGATATCAGACACTAAAGTCATCAAGAATGAAAGATCTATTTGGAAAGAAAGAATGAGATAAAACTACAGACGTTACTTACAATGTTTTCATTGCAAAGTTTCTCGAATTGTTTGAATTTCTTTGTTAGCAGTAATTGTGACTTGCCGATTGCCGCTCGTATTTTGCCACTCGCTGGGGAAAAATTGCGAAAATTACAAACGGAAAAAGGAAGTAAAACCATTTGCAGCTGTGCTGAAAACAAAAGCTAAAGGCGAAGAGAAGAGTTTATTCCGATAAGGAAATGAATGGTTTGAGGAGGGAAGTTGGATGGAAAAGGGGGACGTTAGCCTGGCTTTGCCTTTTTGGAAGGATCTTGAATCTCTTGAACTGGAACCATGAACCTAAAACAGCGCTTTTCATTTTCTTATCATTCCGAAATGATCTTATATGATTTTCCAGGTGAATTTAGGATAAATAATTCTTATAAAAATCAAAGTCTACATATTGGTGTTAGCAACTGGAGTTACAAATGGGAATAAGCTGAAAGATTTCCTACAAAAATTTTTCAAAATAAATCCAATTTTCAGGGAACTTAAATAGAGCAGAATTTTAAATAGATAAATAGATGCATTTTTGACAAAATTTGGCGAGTCATAGCATGGTTTCTAAACAACACAACACCTCTGTTATGAAAATGCAGTTTATCAGTTTCAATTTTCTGGTGGCCACATAAAATACGACGTACAGAAAGCGTTGGAGGCCAGAAGGACAGGGTTTTATCAGTTTATTTTGTTTTCAATGTTGAGTAATGAATTTCACGCAAACAGCTACCTAACATAATCTAATAATGAATTCTGCAATTATCTATCTATTATACAGATAAACAATATGATATTGATACGGACTAAAATTTATATTTTTGAATTTTCTAGGCTGCTATACGACATAAGACGGGCATAAGATATTCTATACCAGCAGAATGGAAGAATCTTCTATATGCATTGAAATTAAAACCTCCTAATAACAGACCCACCTGATAAAAAAGCTTCCTATAACATTCTCAGAAAATTTCTATAAGCCAAGCCCTAGGCTAGGAAACCCATATATTGCAGCCACACCCAAGAAACGAACAACGGTCCTCGAGGGACCGAAACTTTGGTCCCAAGGGTGTCTGCTATACAATCACTGTGACGCCAAAACTAATAAATGCAAAAACAAACATGCTTTGCCTAATTTTTTTTAATGGCCGCCATTATATATTCTGGCTCTCCGGATTCTCAAGCAAGTGCTTGTCCATGAAAGAATCATATTTATTAAGGCTTTCTCATTTTTACAAAAAAAACAGAATCTTTTAGCCTGTTGCTCACTAGAAAACTTTTTTCAATTCAATAAACTAATCTTTAGCTTGTACGTCCCACACATTGAGCTTTGCATTGGAATGTAAATTCATAATTTTCTTTATTGCCATGCCGAAGTCTCTACTAGCAGGAGATTTCAGATCTAGCACTGTTAAAACGGGGATTACAATCACACGATTAAAAACAAACTAACCTTACATGTTACAAATAAAACAAAATAAAAAATTGCTGATAGTAGTTGTTGTTTTTGTCGAATAATTTTTTTGCAGCTTAAAAAACAACAGCTGTCGGATTGAGAAAAATGCACCTAACCTATCATTTTCAAATTGAATTTTTAATATGCTCAATATTTTCTATTCCCAACAAGTAATTCCTGTAAACAGCAGCACTTAAAATATTGTGCTAAAAATACAAAAAAATTATCTTCCTAATAATTACTGCTACATATTGCATAATAAGCACAAATTGATATAGAAAGCGTTTATTCATACTCCAAATCCCCCTGAAATGTCTCAAAAACAAGCTTTTAAACTGTTTTTTATCAGATTTCAGCATTTTCAATGCTTTATCAGCATTTCAATAACTGCGAAGATATTTTCCAAGATTTCACTACAATGAGGTTAAATTGAAGCATGAAAACAATATATTGAAACCCACCTTCTTCAGATAACGAGTTTTCCGCGATATCTTTTTCAGCTCTTTCGCACAACGCTGTAAATCTCTCAATTTCTGCTTGTAAAATGTTTAGGAAATACTGTCCATCTTTTTTGATAATCTTATCTGGATGTGTATTTTCTTTGTCGATGATGCTGAGCCGCGAAATGTCAATCTGGATCTCGGGTTTCTCCATAATTCTCACAGAAAATGTTTTAACTGAAAGGAGATGTGAGATTTGCGTTGTAAAACTATAGGAATAAACTCATAAATAATAAAACAACTGATAGAATGAAACCGGGGGTTAAAAATACGAGATATAATCCTACCCTAGTAACAAAAACAAATAAATTAAACAGAGATTTTATGCGCTGATGATAAGCTAACACCCATATAGAACAGAAATTTTGGGGAAGAATAGAAAAGATGAAATAAAAAAATAATAAAAATATATATATATATGCTGGAGATTTAGTCTCGATATAACTCATGATATAAAGAGGATGATGGTCTCAAACTTAAAACTAACAGCCAGAGAGTGATTACAACCAAATCAACAAATCAAATAGAGCAAAACTTGATAACGCTAAAAACCTAATGATGAAGCTAAACAGTAAAAATTGAAATATAGTAAGAATTGTTGCTTTTTACATATATTAAGAGAAAATGAAAATTGCGCATGATAAAGTTATCCCTGGTTCGGGAATCCAACACCGTTCAGGCTACTCGTATGGCCCCTTTTAAACATTAATCGCCCACCCCTGTCTTAACATATTTCAAAATCAAATAGTGTGTAATGGCGGGTATGTTTCATTACAATAGGTACCACAGCTTCAAGAAACCGAGGACAAAGTATTGTGGACTGATTTGGTGGCAAAGAATGAGTAGATGCGGACGAAGCGCAAATAAATATATTTGTGACTAGATTTCCACTTAATTTCTGAGACTGAATTATCGAGACTTTGGCACCCAGAGTAACGATTGATACACCAACGAACCACGCTAGCACATTTCATCAGGTTAAACTATCTTGCTAAAGAATTTTTAAAACCAGATTGGAGCGAACTTCAAGTGTCTTTCACACAGAAAACCCTAAATCCATTTTGTCTTACATTTAATTTCAAATTTGCGGATATCAAGTATGTTGCTCTGAAACCATATCATCACTCCAAGCCAATAAACTTATCACAACTAATCAAAAATAAAAATTGTATCCAAAACACAACCACCAATTCCCTAAAATTTTGCCAAAGGCCTATCCAAATAAAAACAACACCATAAATTCTCAAATTAACCACGGTGGCTCATTTATTCCGGACGTTTTTGGATGGGGCTACTTATAGGGCGGGGATGCTTCAACTAGAAAAGGGCCTACAGAAATTATCTTGAAGCCACCACGCAAATAGCTCGCTTCTTAATCTATTACTCCGTCACACCCTTTAAAAAAGCTCACCCACAACCCCCAGCCCCCCATTAATAAGCTGTTCACAGCTCCCACCAAGGCAGTGCATCTCAAAGCAAAAGTCTTCAAAAAATTTACAAACTTCGTGACTGAGAAATAAAGATTCAGCGAGGCAATATTGAAGCAGGGCTGTTTGAAGCGGGTACCTGCAAAAAGGCGATTTCCTTGCGAGCATCAATTTAAATAAAACAAATTAACCCAAATAATATTGTGCATTTTCTCATAGAGATATGAAGCAGCTGCCGGTAAATTTGATCGTTTTATAATGCTGGTGGATTTATTTCTTTAAGCCTCGTTTAATGAAAATGTTGCTGTTTATCAAGTATGGTCATCCAGTGATGTTGCGAGCAGCATTTTCAAATTACATTCATAAATTTGTTGGGAGAAAATTGTCAAAGTCAAAATCTTAGTGGAGTGGACCAATGTTGAGGGATGTGTTGAAATCAAAAGAAAATGCAATTAATAAATCTTTCCATTTCAAAATGTAATCGAAGATGCTGTTTCCCATTTCAAATTCGTATGTTCAGTGATAATTTCTAAAATTCTGAACAGGCTCTTCAGCTTCCCCGTTGACATATGTCCCTCGAAAGGAATGCGTAAACCTAAACCTAGTTAGACACTGAAATGCTAAAATATAAGCAGGTAGATTCCTAGGGGGTGGGGGTGAAATCCAATGCTCTATTGAATGGGGTTGTACCTCTTTTAAGGGTGCCTTTTCAACCAGAAAATCTCAATTTATGGGTAATTTTCTCAGAAATTTTCAAATCTATGGAAATTTATTAAAATATGAAAACTTTCAAAATATAAACATTTTAGAAAACTCCAAATATACGAGTTCCTTTTGAGAAACTTTAAGAGAGAATATCTTGCCCGGCTTATTTTGAAATTTTCCGGAGTTATGGGTCACATTTTTTAGCTCCCAGTTTTTAAGTTTTTTTTAGGGGGGGGATACTAGGCTCTGAGTGGTGGCACTAGGCTACTAGTTTTTCTGGGGGACTAGTCTCCTCAATTTTGGGTTTGTTTTTTATGCAAAACCGCATATCTGCACTTTCAAAACTGCAAATCAAGCACATTTGGGCTTTGGAAGCTAAACACTGCAAGATGTGTTCAGGATAATTCTACAAAAACGAGCATATGTTGAAGGAGGGTTTATTACGCGTCCTGCCAGCTTTTTACTTGCTTGGTATGGTGCAATGCTAAGATCGCGTTTGTTAGAAGTGAGAAGAAATAAAACTTCTCGTGTGTTCTTAAAGACGATGAAAGCCATTTTGAAATTTATGAAGCACTCTGCTGTTTTAGTTTAAATATTTAGTCCCAGGAGACCAAACACGAAATTAATCAAAGTACCGGCTTGAAAAGTGTGTGTAAAAACGGTCACTGGGGACTGTCATTAAGAAAGAGAATTGACAAATTAACAAAGCCGATGTTCATTTCACATTTGGTGGAATCATGCGGTCGAATTGTGAAGCAAGCGACAAGCATTTCAACATCCTGAAATAGTGATAAGAGAATGCTTAATGATAAAATGAATCAGTGAATGAAATATTAATCATAAGCGTGATTGAGACCTTAGGATGCCTATTCAGTTGTACGGTAAACTGAATAAAATATGTGGCAATGAAACGGGGTGTAAGCTCATCTCACGTCCAGTAATTACAAGACTTGAAAATTCGTTAAAAGCATTGCATGATTCATGGAAATTTGTCATGCAAAGTCTTTTGCACAACGTCAGCTTAAATCTTTAATTAGAAAAGTCCGTAATTAATTTATTAAATCGTATTGAGAGGAAGAATAATTCATACCGAAATAGCACTGCAATGATTAGAATGGAGTCAAAACTCGTATTTCTATCTCATTGCAAGCAGAAAACGAATTTTCTTTAGCTAAAACGAATTGCAATATCCAGTCAATCTGCGAAATGTTCATGGCTTTTTCGTTCTAGGACAGAGTAAACTCTTTTTCTGTAAGAATATTGTTTATTAGAATATTTAGGCTCAGGATAATCCAGTTTTTAAAAATGTTTTAAGAAAATTTCACAGCCTCGGCTCGCATGTTTGTGTCTCATTTTTGATTGTGTTTCACGAAATTCCTAACATAAAATTGCAGGACTTGTCTCTCGTCATAGTGATCTCATCTTTTCTCAAAAAAGCGCGGTTTTCAAATCAGATTTGAAAAAATAAGCATACTTAATGAATATATTAAGGCTAAAAAGAAAAATTTCCTAAGAAAATTGAGGCAAAATTTATTCTAGCAGTCTTATAAAAAAAGGGTGTGTCATGAACGAAGACCAGCAAAATTGGCATCAAAAATTTGATTGAATCATAAAAGCGTTTGGACAACACTAAGTCAATGAAATTTCCAAAAATCATGCAAAATTATGCACATTAAATTTTTTAGATAATTTTTAGATTTTCAAATTTCCACATTAACTTTTACAGAAAATTTCTAGTCTTTAAATTTTCCTTTAAAGATTTTCCTTCACCTTCTATTTTATCTCCTCTGCAGTTTAGATTCGTCCTCGCAGGACAAATATTTTATCTTGAAGATTTTAACAAAAGATAAATCGTCTACCCTTTCTCAAAAGAGAAGAACAGATAACTTTTATTCGAATACCTTAACAAAAATCAAGAAAATGTTTCTAACAGCGTGTTTCCTTTTCTTTAACTAGAAAAACTAACCGCTAACACAACCGAAGGAACAACAAATCGAAAGAAAATTAAATAGTGGCAACGAAGTTTATCAACAAAGAATAATAGAGATTTCTGATCTCTGGTTTTGAGATTTTTCGTGCGTTTTTTGCTATTTCTAACGCAGCACTATCCGATCTCGAAATTAAGCCGCTATTTACCCTGTGGTTCTAAGAATTTCGCGCGAAACGTTATTTTTCGCGGGAAAACGATTGACGCTGGTTTTTGAAGCAAATGTAAGTGAGAATGGCGAAATTCTTAACACTGATAAGTTAAACACTTGGCCAAACAAAACAAAGTCGGCGTCATTGTTGGGCCTAAAGACAAAAATAATGAAGCATTGAATACATCGATAAATCTGACAAGCTGGATTGGAGAAAGATAGCAAACAGGTTCGGTCATCACCGAAGAAACGTCACCAATCGGTTAAAGTTCTCAAAATAAAACAAAAATAAAAAATATTTTCTTAGATAAACGAACGTTTCCCTGGGAATAAGCGTGCCACATATAGATGTTAAAACGAAATTCCCAAACAAAGCTACACTTGACATGCAGTCGAATATCGTTAATCGTAAATAAACAACATAGAAAAACACTACAAATAATTCATCAGAATTTATTCGAAACTGTTTTGCTGAGCTAAAAACCTGAAGAAACATTAACTAGTTACACAAAAGTCTGGAGCATTATAATTTACAACTGACCGCTGATATTTGCCTTCAAAACTCACAAAATCCTCTACAATAACAAAATGAAAGTAATTCTTTATCATCTTCTTACCGTTTGATGAAAAAACAGTTTCTTCACGATTACAAATCTCCTTTGCCTATACGAACAAGCACTTACGGATATTCCCACGCTGAAACCAACGATCTTTCTTGCAAAGTCTTATAGTATTATTCAAAACCAAAGAAACGATTTAAAAACAGCTGATCTTGAACTGGCAACGAACACAAGGCGGTAGACACGCCTCATTACCATCCTTTTCAATAGTCGAGCTTCTCTATTCAAATTCAACCTCGCCTGTGCGTCTACTGGTTTTATAATACAGTTTGGAAGCGATTCATCCCACATTGATGAGACGCGATTTTGAAAACCAGAAGAAACGGGGGACACCACAAAGGATTAAAATGATACTAAGAATAACAAAGTTTATATCGCAAGGCAAGTTTTGAAAAAGTGTAAGTTTTACAGCTAGATCAGGCCACTGATGCTTCACAAATGAAAAAAGTCATTTCTACAATGGCAAAGAAACTGTAAACAGTGTTGATATAAATAGGGCGGAAAATAAAAATTGTTGTCCCACTAACGCCAATATACGCTCAATCAAGGCCCCCAAAACAGTGGTGTGGGGTTTTTACAGTATGCATACGCCCATCGCTGGATGTTACCAATGTACCGTCTAAACCATAAGACTTCAAACTACACTGGGATTAAAACATCCACTCCGACCAAAAAGGTAGCTTTAGAAAACAACAAAAATTTCGTCTACTGTACGGACAACACCCATTGCAATAACGTCTTATACCGTATGATTTAAATCATATTAAACAAATTCCCGTGTTGTGAACGTGAAATCTTAGCAACTGCCACAGTGTTTTCTTAGAAGAAGCTGAAATACTGATATTTCAAAAAGAAATACTTTTTCCACAAACACAGCCTTGGGAGACATACAAGCTAGACGATTAAGGTTTGGATTTGACAGAAACCCAAACACCATTGTGTTTTAAAAAAGGTAGTGTTTTATTTCAGAACAAAGCACATCGTCCTTTGCGGGCTTCTGTATAAACGAAGATGAAAATTAACATTATGTAAACATTGGGAGATTTGCTACGTGAAATTTCGCTGGCTGGATTTTATTAAGTTGTTTTTACACCTTATTTTAAATTCGTTCTAAAGCTTGATCTTCAGAATGGTTAGAACAGTTTCTAGCAACAAATATTTGAATCACAAGACGATCCATCTTGACCTAGTAGGCACTCCATGATCGAAGGCTTTATTTCCCAAAGCACAAAACAAAACAGAAACCAATGAAAGGATATGAAGAACTATCAAGGAAGGGATCGGCCACAAAGTAACTATTATGGGGGGGGGGACGATTCTCCAGAGTTTTAGAAAAATAATCAATAGCCTTTCCTAAATTCCTGTTTAATCTTTGTGGCCCGATAGCAAAATCGGGATATTTTTCAGGACCCCATAAAAACGTCTTTTTCATAGCCCCAGACAGGTTCGGCAGAATTTTTCATGGCCCACCCAAATATCGTGCACACCAATATAGCAGATCTTTATGACTGCTCCTTAAACAGGTTTTAAAAAATATTGCTTTTTAAATTTCCAAAGAAAAAACAAAATGACACACAATAAACGAATGTTGTTCTAAAAACAGGTTTTATAAACACTTATCGTTCTAAACATTGCTATTGTGTGTTCTACTGTTTATCGGCCATAAAACAAAAGGGAATATCGACAATGGGACAAGACATCAATTCTCTTAAAAATCTGGGACTTATTGGGAATTCATATAGAATAAGACATTTATTGAAACAGTAAATCCTTTTCAGGAAAGGCCCTTGGCAGTAGTGTTTATAGCGTCTCGCAGCGGAAAATTAAGCCTTTGCGCCAATATATAAAGACTTTCTTCTTCGAATTTATTGCTAAGAAACATATTAAAATCCTGTTATTAATTCATCAAAGTGGATAAAGCATTTTACATATTCAGTATCCAATTCTATTTATCTGTGTGTCACACATATTTGGGACTTAACTTAATTAGAGTCACAGTATCTCACATTGAATATGACAATGTCAGGGTTTTTGAAAAGGCTGTATGCAGAGATTTTTTGAACAACATTTTATAAGAAAATCAATGCTCAAATTAGGTAACAGGCATATAACTTTCTGATTTTTAGAAAATATGCAGTTTAAAATTTATAACAATTCTTGTCTAGCAAAGATTGTCACAAATTAATCGCAACTTATCAGAACAAAGGAACACTAATCCATCCGACCTACTGGAATTAAGAAAAAAAATATCTGGAGAAAGAAACGTGTCCGGAGAAAGGAACATTTCCAGAGAAAGAAAACAGTTAGAGAAATAAAAGAAGCCTTGTGGTTATTCTATCTTGGAAAACAAGGATAAAGAATAAAACATCCAATTTGACTTCGCCTTTAAGAACACTGGTTTAAGAATTTCAAATAAATTGACTCAGTTCCACCAATTGTATTGTATTGTTCTAGAGTAATTCATCTAGAGTAAGTTTGGACCTTTGTAAGTTTAATGATTCTATAACAATTAGTGTCGTATGAAGAAGAGAATTGGTATCATTGTTGGTGAAAGATAGAAATATATAGAGCTTTTTTGTTGGAAATAAATAATTATTAAATATTTTGGAGCTGCATGAGACCCCTTAGAACAAGGGTAGCTAGGGACTGGACTTAGATTTTGAAGTTGGAATGCCTTTTTCAATATCAGGAAATAGAGCAAGCAGTTGGCCTCCCTGGGCAGGCTATCAACAGAGATACAAGATGAGCTGCAGGGCAGGGGGGATGTAAAGTGCCAAGTAAAAGGTCAAAACTATAGCAAAATCCAGAAATGGCTTGAGTTTGTTGTTCTCTTGCTATGGCATCACTGGCTATTAAAAATTTTTTTTATAAATTTATAGATTTTTTACTCTGACGAAGCCCTGTATGCCGGGGAATATTAGCATTCCTTTTATTTGATTCTTGTCGTTGTATTGCTTTGTTCCTGAATATCTTTCGTATTATTACTCATTGCAAGATTCGCAGAATCTGGCAGACAGCCTATCTTGCGGTTCTTCCTTCTTACACAAACTTTTTATACATCTACAAAAAGTGTTGTATCATAAAAATAATGTACTTTAACATCTACCTACAGTTTTCAGTTTTCGTACAACTATTTGCTCTGGTCGCTGCTTTTTAGAGGCATAAAAAGTTGGCGGAGATGATTATGCATCAAAATAAGCCATTAAATGGAAAAACCCAGGTGTGTTCCTAGTTTAAATGATAACTATATCTTCTTTGAACAAAAGACAGTAATTTGTTTCCATTGGTTGCATTGAATGTAGGGCTTCTGTTTCTTTCAAAAATGATAAGAGACATTTCTGACTAGAGAAAAACAAAACATAGCTTCATTAGTCATCAGTTAATGATCCATTAATTCTGTAGGTTGAATGGAGGAACATAAATGGTGGTTGGAAACTTTTTAAAGTTTTTATAAATTGAGCAGCCAGAAATTTAACATCTTTGGAAATGGAGCCCGATTGATTTTCAAAAGAAAATAGTTTATAAAAAGCTAGTGCTTTATATAAAAAAATTCTTAAAGTAACAGTTTATATCTTGAAAACTTTAGAAAACAAATTAAAGAGCATGTGTCATGTGAATTCAAAACAGCTTATTTGACATGCAGATGCTCTCAGCTTACAAAAAGGTTAGTCTCTTTTTTAAGCAAAGAAGCACAGGCCACTTGAGAGCTAATTGTTTGCAAAGACCAGCTAGCCATTGACATAGCATTGCCAGAGCAAGTTGCAGAGGAGTTTGCATTTTATACATTTAAGCACATAAATGCGTTCAGCAAAAAAACAAATTTGCCTAAATATTCTGACGTCCTTTAATATATGCATTATATATATCTTCTGCATATTTTATCTGAAAATAAATCTCACTATATATTTCACCTTTAACTATTCATTGAAAAATTAGAAGGGGAATTTGTGATTAAACTTTATTTCTTTAACTGCATATTTCAAATTCAGTGAAATGTTAAAAACTTGGCAGGTATAAAATAACCACTTGGAAGGCCTGGTAAGGGCTTGGGCAATGGTTGGTTAAGACAAAAAATAGTTAGTTTATTTTATTTTACAGCTGGGAATACACTCAGTCATATCCTAACCATCAGTCCACTCCCATTTTTTAAAATTCTCATTACAAAAATGGCTGCTTTTATGAGTGCAAATAAAATGACACTGCTGTTTTAAGTTAGCAGGACGACCTGTACAAACAAAACACTTCTTTGGCAAACTGTATTGAAAAAATCATAAAGAAAACCAGGGCATCATAAAACTACATATATATTTATAATAGAAGATGGAGGGCTAAGACATCTATCTTGATAAACGACATTAATCAACAGTAATTCATTTGATTTTTCATTAAAACATTATTTTTGTGCATTGGAGATATACAATCTTACCCAAGTTTACTGAGTGTAAAACAAAATATATGGGACTTAATGTATGAATGAAATTTTCAAATGTTAGTAAACTGAAAAGTTATGAATTAAAGATACAAAGGTTTTTGAGAATGGACAAAGTAGACCGAAGAAAAACTGGATTCTCCACAAGTTCTTGAATATAATCATACTGGACACTAAACCTTAAGTGACAGCAACTGATGGTCATATCTCATAGGACATGTTGTAAACTTGCTGGGGACAATTGGCACAATAATAGGTGCTAGGCAATTAACTTTTTTTAAATGCATAATTATGTGTGAGATTTGATTTGGCTCCTTCCCCCTTTGGTAGGACAAATGAAAACCAAGGAGAAATCAACATTAGAAAATTGACTTTTGTTTAGTATCTAAAGCAGGACAGTTTTAATTTGCAATGGCATATCAGCTATCACTGACTAAAACTGATTCAGTCTTAATTTAGAAACTTACATCACCATCATGTGATATATGACCCAATAAACAAGAGTTGCAGCTATTTGGTTTATACCTTCCCACTGGGCCTTGATGAAAGTTTATGGGTCATATAAACCTGTTCATTGAAATTATAATTTAGTTCAAGGCAGGGACAACATAGCCTATAGTTAAGGCTTTGTTTGACAAAGCATGTCTAAGCCTTGACCTGTCATAAGCTTGCTTTAGAGAGATTCTGTTATCATTGGCACTTTGGACTTTGGAAGTCTAGGCAAGCCTGAAATAAGCCAAAAGACATTTCACAAGCCACCTTATATGTTCTGAGACACTTGAGATGGTTTTCCTTAAGAACTGGCATAGGCTTTCCTTAAGAACTATAATTTCAGGCATGATACCGTGGAAAGTTATAAAAAATTTGGAAAGTTATAACCAATATATACCTAAGATATATATATGCTAATGTCCAACTTTATGAAGACATAGTGTCATCTTATTCAACAAACCTCCTTTGAATAGAAAGTATTATTAGTAAAAGTTTTAATATATCTATCTGTCTTTTTATGAGGAATAAAAAACAGAGCAAATTATAGGCTGAATTTAATATCAGACCATGCTTTCTATTCTGGCAAATTTAATATCAAATGCAATAAATTTGATTTAAGTATTAATTTACAAGAAAGGTTTTTCATAAAAAAGGCTTTTAAAATTTTGAGTTAACTAAATTAGCCTTCTGGAATTATAAAGAAATTTGTTAATGACATAACGGTGGTTCGTCAACAGGATGCTCCACCCGTTTGTGAAAACATCCCGTTACGAATAAATTATGAAGCTATAGTGCAAGGTATAAACTTTGCATTACTTGAAAACTGAACTCTCCTGAATTATGACAATACAAACAAACACAATAACTTCTTCCAGACTAATATTTTTTCACGCTATTCTATAAAAACACCTGTTCCTTTTGCCTCGCCTATCTTCAACCATCAATTAAAGTACCTCCCTTAACAAAAATATGGATGCATAGGTCTATTAGCGAATATTGCAACTTAAAATGAAATAGATCTGAAGTGAAAATGCAAATTTTTGAGATGAAACATCAACAGTGACATGATATGGTAGGACATTTTTAGGCTCATTCATTCAAGGGAGGGATATACCTATCATGGAGTATGTTAAATGGGGCTTCCGGTGTTTAAAGTTCAGAAACCAGCTCTGTAGCGTAGGGACAATAAAATCCCATATATCTGACCTATTTGGCGCAAGAAATCATTGCCTATAACAAGTAACAGTTTCGTTTATTTCCAAATAAATAAGTCAGTCCACGCGGGGAACGCCTCCGGTCAGGTGGCCTGCCAAAGAATACATAAATCTCCGATGCAATTGAAACCATGTTACATTAAAAAATAATGCAGCTTACCTTTGCTTGACAATCTCTAGTCCAGCTAGACCTTTTTGCACGTACTTTTCGTCTAAAATCAATTACTAGCGACCTTCCTGATGTTAGTGTACCGAGTAAACCAAATCCCACTACTCGCCAACCATCATAGGTCTGGGGACTAATTATTACGTAATCAATGGATACACAAAAGAAACGAATGACGTCACAAGGTAGTGTCGGGCTCCTTAGAAACGACTTTTTGATAACAAAAATGACAGAAAAAGCTTTGTCTAGATGTAATGCATTCAAAGTTATGGCTAAATTTCAACATGTTTTTGGAACATTTATAAGCTATAAAGATATATGACTGCAAATGGACGAGTGTTCGATTGGCTAAAGTAAAATTAATTCGTGAGTTATTGCCATGTAATTACAAGAGAAAACAATGGAATTTCCCATTAGCATTAATCATTGAATTTTCGATTCTGACGATGCCAATCCAATTATTACTCATTTTTCATAAGACAATAAGACGAACAAATAAGTGATCCAAATGAATTTGAGCTTGGCTGTCTTGGCAACTGTACACGCATAATCTCGTTTTCATTTGCAAGAAACACTAAAGATGACCCTAGGGATGACCCTGTATTGATAAAAACACTAAAAATAGCCCTTTACACGAGACACCTTTTGCCTTTTTATTTCAAAATGACAAAAAACTTTAAAAAGAATCTCTGGGCATTCAAACTCAGGGATGCTAAAAAACCTTGCTCTACTGAAGTTTATTAAATAAACAATGTGATGTCACACTAAACAGTGCAAGTCTGCCTAGAAAGCTTTGTAGTGGCATCACCAGCCCAAAAAACAAGGGGGGGGGGGGCAAATAATTTTATCGACCACGCCCTTCAAAGTATCAAAAAACGTGGTAAATGCCTTTTTCGTATTTTTTTATCTAATTCAAAAATTTTAGAAAAATTACTTTTCTTAAGCAACATTTTTTGCAATGGGGGCTATTTTGCAAGAATGAAGACCGAAATCGATCTGATCACCTCCCTCTACCCCAAGGTTTATTTAACGAATTTCAAGAAATTAGAAAATTGACCTTAGGGAAAAACTGGTGTCCACCCCAGTCCATCCCGTTGTCCAGTACGGGACCCTTCAGCTTAATGGACAGAGGACTGTTGACAATTTGCTTGATAAGAACGTTGTAAGCACTTGAAACACCTCTCTACCGTCTCTTTAATCCTGTCGAATTGAGTTCTTAATTGCCGAAGTTATAGGATCTGTTTTAATAATTTTTTAATTCGGATCAAATTCAAATTCTTTCTTTACAAACTACAAGAGATACAAGTTAAATTTTGAATACATATACG